CCGAACAAGATGCATATGTACATACAACGCACCCGTTGATATCAATCACAGTTGCCCTGGTGCGAAGAAATCATCATTTGAAAGTATACATTTCACTTCAATAGGTCGTTATATACTGCTCGCCCAGGTAGTGCATTAGCAGTGTGTCTAGATCTGAGCCCGACAGCTGATAGACCAGAATCCCACACTCGTGAAAACTACCGTCTGTCAGTTGTTTGAACATGAAGACCGAAAGCAAAAGAAAGGAAGTGCGCACGATCTATGGAAGCTTGGGTAGCTTGCAACACAACGGCTTTCCCATCTACTGTGTCATCATCCATCTGAGTCGTTCAGGTGGGGCGCGACACGACTATCCCATGGACCAAGGAAAGTAACAGTAGTGTGTCCGAGCTCAGATGACTGATAATCCGGGAATTAGGCCTCAGTCAATCGGAGAATATGAGCTTCCAGAGAAACCCACACGCGCCAAACACCCTGTGGGAAACTCGAGACATGATCCCTATCTCACTAGTCCTCCTGGATGTTCATACACATAATCAACCTTCTGCACCTGAGTGACATAAGATCCGACCTTTATATAGCTTGGTGCCCAATTTGGCCTCTGAGGGTTATAACCCTCGAATCCATTACTCCGCTACACCAGCAATACCACCAGTGTTACCTCAATACTTTAGTAGCTCGTACTACTAGATACTCTGAGGATTAGATAGCAATAGATAACAATATTCAGATAATCTCCCTGATAACGATTACTTAGATAACCTTAGATAATCAGACCCACGAATGAATCCCGTGACTCATGGTTCACCGCGTCTCACAAGTCCCGTGACTTATGTTTTGACGCTGTCTGAGCCGTGCTGCTCGTCATTGGACACAACGAGCAAAAGATACTGCGCAAAATTGTTCTATTTCTATAAGACTCTTAGTATAAAACATCTAAAAAACACTATACACAATACTCTAAAGTAGAAGGACTGGGGAACTCATGTATCAAAGCCAGGAAATGAAAGGAAGGACTAGAATACATAACCATCAGTCTGGGGAAGGGTGCTTGTGCTCGCACTACACAAAGGCTCGTAAGGAAGATCCTGGCTCTCGAGGAATTTGCGGAGGGCTTCGGGATCAAAGGGATCCAGGTCATAATCGAGCGGAGGTGTAGGGAGACCACCGAGGGAATCCAGTGGCAGCATAATATCATCAGTCATAGTGGTGCCGTTCTCAATGCGGGTGTCTTCGTGTCGGTTTCCATCGAGTTGCTTCTGGGTGTTGATCTCCTCCTGTTCTTCATCTCTATTCTCCTGCTCGTCCTCTGACCCATCAGTATCCACAACCTCGTGACTGTTATAGGTCTGTTTTGCACCTCTCTTTCTACCGATACCCTTGTCGGAACGTGTAGCACGTCCTTTGATCGTACCATTGAGAACTTGCTGCTCGAACAACTCCTTCTTTTCCTCCCATTCATCTGGAGTAAGCTCGCGCCAATAGCATTCATTGTTTTTGAGCGCAGCGTGGAGATGCGCAAGACCGATAGATGAAGTGATGGTACCAGGGTTCCTGACTTCACCCTCTGTCCAGCCGCTCAGTTCCACCCCCCATTTGACGATGAAGGCATCATATGAGTTGTAAGCCACACTGGGGACTGAATCCTCAGAGACGCCTCTCTTTTTAGTTAAGATTTCGTCTATTACAATTAATGAATCGATCGCGCGCACGAAAAAATATATATAAAGACTTATGCATGCCAACCCAGATCACTTCCCGAATTTGTGCACGTAGCTTTGTTGCGCTGCGTCCTGTTGTTATCTTGACGACACCAGCAGCTCCTGATGTGATGTAGGCATCAGTTTGCATGCCCACTGACTCGATGGTTGATTTGTACAGGTGGAGGAATGCTGTTTGTAGAGGTTCGGAGGCATAGCTACGTGGAACGAAGGAGTTGCTGATTTTGCCGCGGGTAAGAATCCACATTATATTACAGCCAGTACGCTTCTCGAGGCCGAGTAACTAGTAGTAGACATTAGTGGTACGCTGGCAAGAACCGAGTGGAAATTCACCTCTGGCTGAACACGAGCCAGTGTGTTCTCAATGTCAATCCCTGCTTCACGGCCAGTAACTTTAATATTAGCCTTCATCTCCTTCTCATCTTGCATGTCCTTCAGGAGGTCATCTTCGTCTTCGGAGTCAAAATTCTTCCACTCACCAGACTCGCTGACTTGCTTAGTGACAAGTGCGAGTGCATCGCGACCCATGGGTAGACCTAATAGAATATATTACTGTTAGTTAAATTATGCAAAAACATGTACTCACCGTTTTCCTTGCGTTCACGCATCTTTCTGCATACAAAGGCATTAAAAACACCGGCGGTTCGGTTTCTCTTTAGGAGCTTGCCGCCGAGATACATCTGACCTGACATCCAGTCTACTGACCTATGCGTGAGACTGAGTAAGTTTAAGCTGAGCGAAACAAAAAATGACATACATATTGTGTTTTTCAGACAGCGACTCGATGATTTTGAGGTACTTTGTGCGTCCTGACTCAATATTGGCCCACATAGCATCAGAATTCGCCTTTGAGAGCTTCCGTTGTTCATGAGTCCTCACAGCCTTCTTCTTCTGGGTGATGGAAGGAACCATTGTCGTGTACACAAGCAGTAGAAAAGTCAAAACTTGACGACTTGAAGAAGAAAAATAATCTGACCTAGAATACAGTCCAACCCTTTACCGGAACTTCACATGCTAAGTTAGCGTTTAGTGGGTATTCAGTTTGGTTATAGTGCACGGGGACAACCAAGCGAATTAACGATCTACTAATGAGCGCTCAAAAAAAGTCAATAGTCAACGTAAACATGATGCCATATGCATCACATAAATCATTCATTCCAGTAGTTTTACTTACAATTGACCAATGAGAACGACATCAAGCTCTGCGTTAGAAAGTCCTTCTATGATTAGCCTACACAGTTCGATTGCATCCGCGCGACTCAATCCAACCTCCACAAAACAAGAATACCAACAGTCAGCACTGTAATCAAGAATAGTGTCGATTGAGCACAGCATGCTTGGTGACATAACGCGTGTGCAAAGAAAGTTTTGTACCGGTAATGTGAAGTTGAAGGACGACAGATTGGGATTAGTGTAGTAAGCTGGCGGGGGTTGTTCATCGGCAGTATTTCCATATGGTGACCCTGGTGGAGTCATAATCCAAGATGGGCGGTTAGAACGGCTAAGACTTGGAGCAGGTGGAGCAGGCAGAGCAGCAGCAGCAATATCAGAATCATCAGAGCTATCATCCGAGCTGGATTCGAAAACAGTGACAACAGGACTGCGATGTTGAAGAGTGCGTGAAGATGATGATGGGGGTGTAGATGTAGGCACAAATACGGTTGCTGGTGCTACGAGTGGCACCCATGAATTTGCTGTTCCACGAGTCATAGCAGTATTATATTGGCCATACCGTAGGCTTTCGCTACGGTGCTGTGTTGGAAGACTGGGAGATATTGGCTGGTGTGCATGGGTGCTAGGAGATGTGTGAGACGTGCGAGGCTCAACAACATGCTGAGATCTTGCTGTGGAAGGTGTCAAAGCATTGCGTGGTGACTGTGACTCAGACTGTGAGTGATGCCGAGTGGGAGTTAGTGTGACTGGTGATCGCTGGGCAGCATGGGGAGCAACATTGGGGAGGGATTGACCTGCAGCAAGCTGAATATTTCTGGTTATTGCCCGACAAGTCTCTGGGTCAACACGATACCCTGGTCCAGGTGCGACCTTATTCAACTTGTCTTGAAGATGCCAGATGTGAAGCATGGCAATTTCCTGGATGAATGTTTCTCGTAGTCGTTCGGCGATGTGCTTGAAGTGAGGAACCTGCTTGAACTGCCATGTTGTCACGACATCAACTGTGATATCAGAGGTGCAAAGAGGTTTTTTTGGATCCCACTCGGGTCGCAGACCAAACCCAATGAAGAGTGCATCAGCAATGCGAGCCATGCCTGTAGCCTAACGTCGGTACTGTTAGTTGATAGTAAATCTTAGCATAGAAAAAAATACGCACTGCATCTCTGATATCTGACATGCCCTCATAGAAGGCAAGTTCTCGGTCTTCTGTGTTGAGGCAAAAATGTTCGTGCAAGGACAGGTTGCCAGATGATAATTGATCTTTGTTGTCTTGGCGAATCCCGCGGCGACGAGAAAATCGCTGGCAGTCAATGTCGCAATTCAGTGGCTGGATGTTTTGGGATTGCACCCACTGACAGATTGCAGGAGGGGAATATGGGGCTCGCATTTTGCGCTGCAGCAGTTTGTGTCGGCCTGTAGTGGAGTTAAATACGCTATGGCAGCAGTGAGGCGAACACGACCACGTGTTGAGTGACTTAAGTTCAATAAGATATCAGACATATAATAGCAGCCGCAGTGAGGCAAGCCGCAAAACACGCACCAGAGTGACATAAGTTTGATAAGATGTTGGATCAAACAAGCAAAACTTAGCACTAGGCAAGGAGACTCGTGACCAGCAGACTATCCGATGCAGATGTAAATGCGGCTATGTGGAATGAATTAGCCGTCTAATTGTTGCACCTTTGCAATCACTGACTCGTGCCAGCGGGTTTGTTAGACATGTTGACTTCAAACTTGACCTTCTTCAGGAATACCTGTACGATCCCGTGAATTGGGCAGACTTATTAATTTGAGGTTTGTTCGACATGTTGACTTCGATCTTCAAGAATACCCGGCGGAAGATTCCGCAGATTGGGCAGATCTATCAATTCGAGGTTTGTTCGACATGTTGACTTCGAACCTTCTTCAGGAATACCTGTATGATTCCACGGATTGGGCAGACCTATCCGTTTCAGGTTTGTTCGACATGTTCACTTCGAACTTAACCAAAGGTATAGATTGATCAGTAGTTCTGACTCGAATGCCCGACTTCGAACCTTCTTTAGGAATACCTGTACGATTCCGCGGATTGGGCAGACCTATCCATCTCAGGTTTGTTCAACATGTTCACTTCGAACTTAACCAAAGGTATAGATTGATCAGTCGTTCTGACTCGAATGCCCTGACTCTTACAGTTTGAAAGTCCCTGCCAGACAATGGAAGGGTTTCTGGATTTGCAGATGCGGGTGCATTCTACGATACATGAAGTACATAGAGTATTCAGTCTAATACAATACTTTCCAATACTTCAGCCAGACGAACCATATCGTCATTGAAGGCATCATCAGTCGCTATGTCTTCTGGTGATCCGTCATCCTCGTCCAGCCCAGCATCAGATGTCATGGTACCAGTACCACGCACTCCACTAAACTCAGGCAGTGCCTCAATAGTGTCAAGACAGATAATGTGGATAGCATCGACACGAGCTCGGCGCACCCTCAGTGCTTCTACTTCATGTGCCAGAAGAGGGTCTGCGTCATGTAAAAAAGCGACTTGATCTTGAAGAAATATATCTTCATCACAGATGAAGGTACGCAATCGATGAATCTCTACATTGAGACGGGTCAACTCCTCATGCGAGCGCTTCATCTTAAAATACATCATCGCAATCTCACGATTGCCTGGAACTGTCCAGGGCTTATGTAAGACGTCCTGTTGAGAATGCGAGTGTTTGAGCAACTCAAACTTGGACAGAAATCCATAGTTCACGATATCGTTCCAGGCGAGTTGAGGTGCAGGAGGTTGCATGGAGGGTGCTAGCTTATTGTATTCGTCAAGGGCATTGCGGATGGCCTTGCTTCGTGCCTTGATGGCCTTGCTGATATGAACACGAAGTTTATAACCTGTAGAAACCAGTAAACAAACAAAAAAAGATTGGTTTGTCGCCCTACCGCTTACCTGTGCCCGACAAATTAGCTTTTGCAAGCTCAAGTAGACGCTGTACAACAAGCTGTTGCAACTTGTCAAGTGCGCGTCTGAAATCATGAGATTTAATTCGCTTGAGCGCTGACAGATATTCAGGATGCTGGGGAGTCCATCTCTCTTTGATGCCAAGTCGTTCTTCCAGATCCACGACTGCACGAATATGTATCATCAAACCATCCAGTGCTGCTCGGCATTGAGCCTCCAATTGTGATGTTTGTCGCACGTTCTGTTTGTAATTGATGGCATGTGCATGTGACGTAGTCCTGAATGAATCTGAGATCTTTTGCCATTTTTGACTGCACAAACGTTAAAACAATGTTGCAAAATTGAATATATGACTTACTCGGCAGATTGAAGATCCATCAGTGCCTGAACGTATGAACATGCAAGTACGTGTTCTACCAGTTCATCTTTGAGGTCCATCAGAAAATGCTTCTCTTCTTCAATCCAACGTTTAAAATCATCTTTGCGGATGTTAAGGCTTGATGCGAGACTGGATACCTCGTTCCTGTATTTCTTGATAATTCCAATAGCTTGCATGTAGTTGTTCAGTAGAAACTTGCCTGATGATGTATTAGTACGACAATATGATGCGAAACCTTGATAACACCCACTGAGTTCACCGTATTTGTCTTCGTCCCATTGTTGAAAGTGAAGATCGATGAATTGTGCCCAATGGTACCTGGATGCATAGCGTATAACACGTGAGACAGAATTCGATGACAAGAACACGCGCTCCATGGTTTCGAGATCCTCCAAGCCGAAACCAGGTAGATAAAGAGGATGATGTTGCACTTGACATAATTGATTGTGAGCGTAGCCGTGAAATGAATTGACACAAAACTGCATCCGAGCTTCTTCGGCTTTCTGGCTGAGGAGAGGACTGTTGCGCACAATTCCACTAAAGGTACATCCTACATCATAGCCCATGCCAATGTCTTTGCCATAGGCATTAATCATAGCGTTCGTGATGGCAAGCGGATATTTTGCACTAATCAGCATTAGATTTGAATTAAATTAAAATTTAGACGTCACAGGCTGACTCACAGCTCACCACTTCAGACCATTTCACAAACTTTGATGATGAAGCCATGACGGCAGGCAGACGCAAAAATCCCAGTTGTTTCATATATATCAGCGGCGGTCTTCTTGTGATCGGGAGCACTACTCTTCCATGCCAGGCAGGATGCCAGCATCTCGTTGACGTCCTCATCCTGAGTCTCAACCGAAATCAATGAGCGCAACAATAGAGTGAACAAAAAATACCTTGTCATCGGGCTCCTTGTCACGGTTGATATGTTGACGGTGTTGAACTTCATTCTTGAACTGGTTGACTTCTTGATGAGAAATGAAATACGAACTGTCGAAGTTGCGGTGATCTGATAGAGCTGCGCCAGCAATTCGCTTGCAGGAATTGTTGCCATCACAGGCAACCAGGATCTTCGGCTTGAGCATCTCTTCGCCATTGATCTAAAAGCACAATTTAACGATCATAGCACATGATATCAGAAAAATTACCTCATAGGTGCAGCATGGACACATGTGCTTGAGCCACCAGTCCATGTCACTACGCCCGAGCGCATCGTCAACTTGTGACCGAATGTGCTGGAGAATAGAAAGATATGCGTCAAATGCTATGGAGAATTGTTCTCGAAAACATGTGCGGCAGTTGACCTAAATATAAGTATTAGCAACGTGAAGATGAAATGAGGTTACATACTTTGTGAATATCGCATAAAGCTCGTGTGAATGCTTGTATACTAAGCTGCGCATGACGACGCCGTAATCTGTGGTAAAGCTCGAGCGTGTGGACCTCAATAGCAACAGATGGTTCAACCGGAGAGCAGCCCAGGAGTCCAAGTCTTAAAAGTGCCATGTTGGCAGGCTCCTCAGGATGTTGGTGTATCGAAACACCAGCCTCGCGCTCTGGATTTTAATTCAATGTATGCCATAGGTACAGCTATGTAACATACCGAGTGTTCCTACTGTAGTCACATGGAATATATGACCCTCCTCCATCGATAAATCCACGTTGTGATACTTGTCGTTGTGTTTCCATTGCAGATAGGCACGAGCGAGCTGGGAAATTTGCAAGTCCCAATGAGCATACATCATCCTCAGGCGCTCGTGTCGTGCTTGTGGGCCTTTGTGACTAGTGTATCTAGAACACGATTCATTAATTCATCAACCAACAAGATGACTGGTAAACGTACTTTGACTGGGCTGCAAATTGCAATACACAAGCAGCCGCATCGCTGTATTCGCCTCCTTCATGCGATATCTCATGATCAAATTTGTCATGCCAGTGGTCTTCAGTAGTCGGAGAACCCATGTTGTCATCAGGCAGGGCACTTGAACTTGCAGTGATGCTGCTAAATGCCCTGCGTGTATCTATAGGTAATGCTATTGAAAAAATCAATAAAAGAAACAAAAGAACAGGAAAAAGTTGATTATGCACACATCAAGTAGTCTCGACACTGTTTCAGGCCGTCCTGCACCTCTTTAGCAACTCGGGCGCCAGACTTGAATCGGCCCTGCCCAAAAGTTTGTGAAGTCGCATGCCGAATTCCAAGAGGGACTTTAAGTTTTGAGGCTGCTACATGCCTACCACGCCGGTGAGACATGATGGGGAGAAAGGGAAAGCACTGAAGTGGAGCAAAGAAGTGTCAACGTGACGTGTCCATGCAGTGCCACATGGCCGATATCTTCTGGTGGCAATGTAATATTACATGCCAGCACAATGCCTCGAGAGTCGAGGCCATCATTGAGAAAAGGAGCTCGTCGTGTCCGATGACGAGCAGCATGGCTCGGACAGCGTCAAAACATAAGTCACGGGACTTGTGAGATGCGGTGAACCATGAGTCACGGGATTTGTTCGTGGGTCTGATTATCTAAGGTTATCTAAGTAATCATTATCAGGGAGATTATCTAAATATTGTTATCTATTGCTATCTAATCCTCAGAGTATCTAGTAGTACGAGCTACTAAAGTATTGAGGTAACACTGGTGGTATTGCTGGTGTAGTGGAGTAATGGATTCGAGGGTTATAACCCTCGGAGGCCAAATTGGGCACCAAGCTATATAAAGGTCGGATCTTATGTCACTCAGGTGCCTTCTGCACACCTTACTTGATCACTGTTAGGTCCGCGCAACGGCCAGCGGGAACGGCGGAGCACATGATGGGCACACAGCTGTAGTCGGTTGATTTTTTTTAATTTTTGGCAAACACTGAATCTAAAGCTTCTCGGACGTTGTCTGCGAACAGATTGTTATTATTAGAGGCCCGTGTCTTTCGTAATGTCAGAACTTCTTTTACAGCATTTTGATTGATTAAAATGCCTTGATGGCCTGGCCTGATTCTGATCAGATTCTGATTAAACAGTCAGCATTTTAATGACCATTATAAGTGCATTACGACCGACATTTCCATACCTGTCGCAATTGGGTTCGAAACTATGATTTTAATCATAAAATGGCATTATAACACCAATTCCAATAGCAGTCATGATTTGATTTAAAATGGGTATTGTAACCATTGTTGTCGCATTAGGATGGTCATGTTCAGTGTCGCAATGAGCATTTTAAACTGTGTCATAAAGGCCATTTGGGCTGATTCAGATTGTTTTCGCTAATCAATCATATTGTTGGGCATATATTCTAGTCTGAATCTGCAGTTACAGTAGCAATACATACTATGCCTTGTATTTAAATATAGTGGACAGGTGTACGGTAGTACCGAGGAAGTGGTGTCAATATTGAGTTGATGTCTAGAGTGGGCGGAGTATTGCAGGAGCCGAAGTCTGGAACACCAGCAACATGGAGAACTGCGGCCATTGGGAAACGATGGAGGTCGTGGGCATGATCATTCTATCACTATCTATTAGAAGGAGTTTAGCCTAGCAGGCAAGTCATGCGCATCAAAGTAACATACCTCATTGACGCTGCTAGCAGGTCATACCTAATAGGCAGATGCACGAGCGCTGCTGTGCGAGCAGGGTATGGCATACTCGTCACTGCATCCATCGCGCAATGGTGCTGGCCATTCGCTAATCGTGTTCAGTCGTGACTTTGACTTGCACGTACATGACGGCTTGTGCATGGGAGGTTGAGCAAGCGTATCACCAATGGTCCGGCGCTTCTGAATTGGCCGCAACTGACACCATAGCTGATTCAGCTCCGAAGGCATGCCACCCATGACTATGACAATCATCTCAATGATGGCCCCATGAGATAGACAAAGAAACTCACTTAAGTTGACATAATTGTACATTATGCGTAGAGTTGCTGCTGCAAGTACAAGCTGTCTTTCGTTGTGTTTCAGAGGGACTCCCCTCTGTTACGCTGACCGTCAGTCGGCGTGTGCGAACTTGGATAGGTCTTCTTAGCGACGGCTCGAGTGAGCCTATGAAGCTAAGGGTGGTTCTCGGCTTGACGGAACGTCAAGGGTTCCTCTGGTTATCTCAGTAAGACGGCACTCGTCGAGACACAGGGCTAGCGGATATGGCTAAGGCACGGGGAGCGACTTAGAAGTGCGATCTAGACAGCTAAGCTGGGAGGCTTAACCGAACAAGTTTCAGGATAGAACCAAGTAGATTAAAGTAAAGTCTAAGTACAATAATCTATCTACTTATATGTGCTACATGTAAGTGTTCAAGCTCAGTCTGTATCTAATAGTATATCTGGGATCTATGATAAGAGACCGTGAGGCCAGTCATAAGAGCAGATAAGATACATGAGGTATAACCTCTGATCAAGCATGCAGCGCCAAGTGCGACTGCGCAGGTACATGAGGCGCCAGGGGCGCTCCGGATCTTCATGAAGCGACATGGGGTATACATGCACTGATCTAGGGTGACCATGAGGCGTACAGCCTTCATGGATCAGGTACAAGGCCGTCTAGGCCAGGGGTGGTGTCACAGCAGTCCAGACCACTGTCTTTCTAAGTGCTGGCAGCATGCCGCCACGTCGGGAGTCTAGCAGAGCGGGGGCTGGTGTAGGTGTTACGGATGCCTGTAACACCCTCGAGGATTCAGATGTGAAGACTAGGGGTCCCGCTGCAACATACGGCCTTCAGGAAAGGCAAGAGCGAGGGGATATCAAGCGCGGAGGCAATGACGGAGAATACATGAGCGGTGGTGTTACGAACGTACTCGTCGGCATGGTCGATGTCAGGACACATAGTGGATATCATGTGTGCGAGACCGGCAGCCTTGGAAAGGTTGGATATAATCTCCCGACCCTCCACACGAGTCATCAGGTGATTCAGAGTAGAGAGCGCAAGGGCAAGACAACATGAAATGTCAATAAGAAGGGGTTGAGGCAGCCGCGATGACTTGTTGTGGTGGAGAGCATGTCAATGAACAAAGAATAGTCTACATGGAAATTCAGATTCCGATGACATGGCAACTTAGATTTTAATTGATCAATAATGTAGCAATAAAATTATAATACTTATCACATCAGCATCTTTGCGCAGAATAATAATACAAGTCATGATTCAGACTGGCGTGAAGATCAACGCCAAACTTGGAGGCGTCAATGCACGAAGTTCTGATTCAGATAGTATTAGTAGTCTAAGTAATAAGAGAAACTCACCAGTGCTCCGTTCATATTAGTCATGGGTAAGACTGGCATGAAGATCAACGCCAAACTTGGAGGCATCAATGCGCTTCTGATTCAGATAGTATTAGTAAGTAGTCTAAGTAATAAAAGAAACTCACCAGCGCTCTGTTCATAGTCATGGGTAAGACTGGCATGAAGATCAATGCCAAACTTAGAGGCATCAATGTGCTTCTGATCCAGATAGTATTAGTAAGTAGTCTAAGTAATAAGAGAAACTCACCAGCGCTCCGTTCATAGTCATGCATATATATCGTCACTAACAAGCTATTTATTAAGTGGTGAGTGAGGCGAGCGAAGTTCAAAAACAACTGAAGTATATTGTCAAGGGACGACGAAAGGACTACTATTAGTAAGTCTAAGTACATAGTACAACTGCACTAACCATTCATGACAGCCCGGAATTCTGATATCAGTATTATGCACCATTACGGGAAGAGCAGCGAGGGGCCACATCTGTTCCAGCCACTGCCTTGCCTTTTCTCCTCCCCTTCTTCTGCACTGTGACCTTCATACCCTCACCCCCAACAGACACACCTTCCATGTATGCTACTGCTGCTACATCAGCTGGAATAGCAGCAGGGCAGGATCTGGGAGCAGACACTGTGACAGGGGTGGGTACAGTAGCGGGCACAGTCTGAGGTGCCGGCGATATTGGTCCGAAATGACTACCATCTGAATCATTATTCTGAATGGCAGCAGGTATGGAATGGGATGACTCTGGAATAAGGGTGAGGATATGGGTGGCAGACATGGTGACCGGTGCAATGGAAATGCTGGGTGCAGGAAGGGGCACAGATGCAATGATGGGTGCAGGAGGGGGTACAGATGCAATGATGGGTGCAGGAGGTGCAGTGGGCAGCGCCAGTGTGGCTGGTGGTACTGCCTCTGCTGCGTTGTCATCTGAATCTGAGTCATTGTCATCCAAGCTGGCCATCACCCGCTGTAGCGAATCAGTAAAATCCTCCATGCCTGCAGCCTGAGCGTCGTCTGCATCATGAGCGGTCTTGTCGATGTTTTCGAAAACATAGTCATTCATGTTTTTCACAATGGCTTGAACACGTGGATGCGCCCATTGACTAATGAAAAACCGCTTGACAGTTCGAAAGACAGTGCAGTAAGAGATTGATGAGGTGGCACCAACGCCTGAGCCTGGGAATTGTTGATCGGGAGACAGCAAAAAAATCATCTATTGGGGGATGTGCCACTGTTCAGTAACCAATAGTTAATACTGTAATATTGGAAACATACCGAAGTTACACTACATGCAATTAATCCGGGTGTGCAAGCCTTCAGGTGCCACAACTTATAGTACGGGCTCGGACCTCCACCACATCCTGACTTCGAATAGATTGACATCTTGCTGCCCACTTCAACTTTGATAAACTATCAGAAAAGGATGAGTAAATGGTTTCGTAAGTTTGTCGTGAACATCGCACCTTCGCAATCATGAACCAATTACCAAATACCTTCTTCGCATTGACCTTCAGATCAGGATAGATGATAGGTGCATTGAGGACATCGAAGTCTTTCCCCTTTCCTGCCACCCATCCAATCATATCCATGATCTGCTGGTTAGACATGCGATCATACGATGCAGAGAAATATTTGGGGGCCATGTTGAAGATACTGCCAGCTACACTCCGCAATGCATAGTGGTATGACGAATGCACTCTTTGCATTCCAGTGCAAAACTAATGCAAGACCGTCAAGCAAGCAACATCAAATAAAAAGAGAAGACTAACCTTGTTTACGAAGTAAGTGGTTGACATGTGAGGGTGCAGCGCATAGTCAATACAGCCATAGAGCTCCATCACGAGGGCATCTTTCTCTGTTGATTTATTTGCGTAACGGCGTGCACCTTGGATGTTGGCAGGGGGATCGGGACACGGCAATTTGAAGATTGAGTCGTCGAGCACATCTCAGTGGTGAGCCCATACTTCTTCCCCAGGTCCACAATTACCTTCTCTGATTCTTGATCAGAGTCGGCCGCAGTTGTCGTTGCAGTTGTCATGGCCGATGATGCCGAAGATACAGCAGACGATGGTACCTGACTGGGGGAACATTTACGCGACCGCTGTGGCTGATTCGACAGGAGGATGTTGTTAGTCGCATTTAACGCAGCATTGTGATCCTCTAGTCTTCCTTTTTGAAGCTGAAGATACTTGACATACTGATGTGAGATGCCATCAACGATTAGAAACAGAACAAGGAAGTAAATGACACTAGTACCTCCTGAAAATGCTCTAGAGTGGCCCCTTCACTTGGCGGAGCGACAGGTCGGATGCTATGATCTGAATCCTCTGAATCAGACGAGGAAGGGAACTCTGATTCGGACATCAACAGTGGGTGATATGCAGCGATAAGAAGGACGTGCAAAGACAGGCGCGACTCAACGGACTCGAAGGACAGTTGAACTTTTGAACAGTGATTCAGACTCAGCGTCTTTTATACAATTGAGAAGACTTGCCTGCACGCACCGCCAGCTGGTGGTCATTGACAGGCAATAAGCTGTGTGGGTAAGGCGGTGGTCAATACAGCGGATTGAACACATACATTACAGCGCATTCAGCCATGAGTTTTGGCTATATGTGTTCTAGATCATAATAAGCGGTTGTTGGCATTGCTGATGTGATGTAATACCATTCACCTTCAATTGAATAGTGAACCCAAGCGAAGTTCCAAACGTAACTTTAAAACTTGTGGTACTCGTAATAAGACATGATGGCGAGGAGGTAGTGATAAATGATCTTCAATTGGCTGACTATTACGCTATTACTGATGTATTAACTATCGGCATTTATAGGCCTGTCACGACATTGGGCAAGATATATGGCATAGGCTGATGTCTGACCAATATCAATTTCTGTCTCGCCAACGCACGCAGATTTCTTTCCGGCAGAGATTGCATGTCCGATGAGGCCAGAAACTTTCAGTTCTTTGGTTGTCTAAATATATTGAAATCAAAAGGTCATGTAGAAGAGTATGCAAGATGACTTGCCTGACAAATTTGTACGTCGAATGTTGTGTTAAAACCAATTTGCAAGAAGTCCTGATCGTCCTTATTGAACATATGCAGGAAGCTTTGCTTGAAGATCGATGTAGCAAACGAATCAGATAGGACAATGACACTGTTTGTCGAGTTGGGCAATGATTTCATCTCTAGTAAGCCCACTTGATCCAAGCAACCAGTAAACAAATCGACAGTGTGGCCATTGTTGGATACCCTCTTCGCTAGACCTTCATAGAACTAAAACAAAGCAAACTATGATGCCATGGTACATTGTGTCACTGATCCAGGACAAACCTTCACTGCACGTTTGTAGTGCTTGACGCTGTCCCGTTCAATGTCATGATGAGAGCGAATAGGCTCCTTCAGTTCGTTGCTGACAACCATGCCTGGACCCTCCATTGCCGGTCCACCCGCGAAAACCATTATACGCGCGCTCGTATTAAGGGAAGTCGTCTGAGTTATGTTGTCACCTGTACACTCTCCTCAACACAATTGATAAACTCACCTCCAAGAGTCCAACAGCTACACTGACTGTCACACCAGTGCAACGTAAAGCACGCTTGTCATTGGCAACTGGCCAAGGATCACGAGCGAGTGCCTCCAGAACCCCAGTGAGTTGAAATTCGCATTGCTGGACAGGAAGCAAGAAACGCGCAGCTCCAAAAGCTTGTTGGGGCATGGGTTGGCCAGCATGGGGTGCGGCGCGAGTTGTTGTACTGAGTCCAAGCATGTCCTGAATCTGTTTCTGTGTGTACTCCTTGCCGCCACGGAAGACGTATGATTTGCTGCACTCTGCATAGCCCAACTCGTGAACTTGTGTCTAGTAGTTAAAGCAATGAGCTTGAATGATGAAAGAACAAATGTATGTACGTACCATTGTGCCGAACGTAATGAGACCAACTAATGCATATGGTGGGATCAAGCTGAGACTGACGACAAGAGTGTCATGGCACTGGGGGCAGAGACCTATTTTCCCATGTATCAAATGTTGAACACAGTGTGATCTTAGACAAACTGAGATCACCATTAATTCTTGCATAAAATTATGATAACAATTAGAATTTTGTCAACATTTGTCCTACTTTATATCAACTTGAGGTGTGTTTCCACATGAAAATTGTGTCCAGCCTGTCTGCACTTTGTGATCAGATATTATATTTGTTCTGTTGTAAGTTTTTTTGACCTCATTTTGCCTTACAGCTCCATTGTCATCACATTTTTAATAACTTTCAAGCTTTCATTGTAAGTTAATTTTAACAGCAATAACACTGTGTGTATTCTTCTGTCATTAGAATTAAACTGAGAGAATTGTATCTGTAATTGAAAGCAACATGCTACTTTCATTCTGAACAAATTCTAGGCAAGTTTTCATTTATATCACCTTGTTCTCTTCCTACACTCCCACTTTTCTTTCTCTAATACATCATGAAAAAACTAAATTTTAGTGACAAAACAAAGTTTGATTGAATGTAGAGATAATTTTTACTTTACTCTGTTAAAAAAATCAAGCATAAAACAAAATCAGTTTCCTTTTTGTCACAAAATCAAAATTTGACCAAAGTCGACATTGACAGTCAACAGTCAACAAGTCAACAGGTCAATCAATATTGACTGGCACATAGATTGACTGTTGACTGTTGACTGTTGACTGTCAATGTAGACTTTGGTCAAATTTTGATTTTGTGACAAAAAGGAAACTGATTTTGTTTTATGCTTGATTTTTTTAACAGAGTAAAGTAAAAATTATCTCTACATTCAATCAAACTTTGTTTTGTCACTACAGTTTGTTTCCTGTCTTGCATACCTATTTCAATTTTGAATCCTACAGGCGTGGCGCTACGACCCGAATTACTTTTTCCAGATGATAACTTCAAAACAAAGCAAGGATGTCTTGTTTATTAGACTACCAACATTTGAGGACAGGGTTTGGACCAGCAATGCCTATGAGGGACCGTATTCGATTCCTGCTCAGATCACTTTTTTCAAATAGTGCTAGCCAATTGTATTTGTAAGCAAGTCCTCTCACACAGGCTGCGAGAAAACCCTGTGGCAGATATCTGAAGTTCAGAGCTATACCAGAGCCTGGCGGCAGTTTGCGGTGTAAGTTTGCATGGCTGATCCAGACAAATATAAAATCCAGCAAGGCAACCGAATAAATTGAAAATTCGAACATCTACATATAGTAAGGACGGAGCATTTGAGCAATTCTACCACTATAACAACTTTCCTATCAGCCTTACATCAACGATGGCGTTCTCTTGACTGCATTGAAATTAATGATCAAATTGTGACCCAGCTTGGGTCACCATCTTTGCGAATTCGTAAACGCCTCCTAGGCGCAGTCTGAACCGGATGGTCGCAACCTTGTTTAACAGGGACCCAGCCCTCATCAGGATGCAGGATCCATATATATGTGGTTCTAGAGCGGGTGTTGGTGTGTAAGTACAGGTCTCCGACTACAGCAGGAAGGTCCTCATTCGGACAGAGAAGCTGTTGTGCACTAGATGAGCGAAACCATCTTGTTCTTCCCATACCAGTGCCCTTTGAAAACGGACGTTCGTGGAATGATGGCTGCTGACCAACATCAGAATCAGGCAGAAGACTGTTGCGGTCTATAGAATCTGTGTAGACTCTGTGAGCAATATATCCTGTCAAGCTTCACAACAGTATTGTCATCCACATACCTGGAGAACTCGAAAATCCCGTCCCGGAAACCTTAAACGGAACCCGTGCCCCTATGGAATTCGCATCAGGATGTTCCATTAGACCAGCATCAAAGTGTCAGACGCCTAAGGCAGGGTGTGACATTCAATAATGCGAAAGTTTTACTAGTCGTGGATCTTCCCGTGCATTGTCGAATACAGTTAAGGGTGTAGACAAGATCTGCTATGATGTCGAGGCTGCTTGATCCCAATACAGATGGGTAGCCTTTGTTGTTCTATGACCACAACATTAGCATCGTCAAGTAAAGAAAAAAATCATCGACTTGCTTGACATTGTATATGACTTTCCTGCTCTCTTGGTTGATGCTGCGTTGGAATTGAGCAGAAAACCTCCGGCGATTGAAGGGACGGTTCTGTATGTTTGGTCAAGCTCAAGGACTAGGAGTGATGCAAGGGGGCCACTTGCCCTGATGGTTTTCAATAACGTCTCCCTTTCATCACCACCCACCCACAATACTATCGCTTCTTGTTCGTGAGTTGCAGGTATGGATGTTGCGCCACTGGTCATTGTCACGTCTGAGGCAGGCATCGGTGCTCTAGATCTTGCACCTTGGGCCTGAGACAGCACTGCAAGGTCATATGGGTCTACAGTTCATTCAGAAAGTTGACTCACATGCGGTTCAAAAAGATGAAAATTCTCAAAATCCAGTCAACATACGACCCGTTCAAGACTGATTTTTCGACAGGATAGCAACAGCATGGTGGCATTTCGGCCGCAGGGTTTCAAAACTGTGCGAGACCATCACGATCGTAAAGCTTCACAGCCCTGGCCCTACCTTACAGCACGATCATCATGTCAAGAAATGCACAGAGCATGAACAATAGAATTTAAGAGACGAACCCTGAAAATAAAATTTCCAAAAATCAAGATTATGTTGAATTCTGTCACTTTTGGTTGAGCGCAAAACATCAATCATATTTATATTCATGGTACTACGCACTACAACTCATCTGTACTTGTGGTGCCAACATGTTCTTCATGACGCTAATGAAAATAGTTGAAGCAGGTTTAAAATCGAAAGCGTGAAACATACACAACTGGTATTAGGAAACCGCGTCCAACAAGAATCACACCCAAGAACTGTGAGGCACGCTAGGCACTGAACATGTTAATGCAATTAGATAGAATTTCACAGCTGACGGACACACAAGCATAAGTCGATACCAGGAGCACGGCTGTCAAATGGTGACTAGCAACGGGATGAGTTAGAAAGTCGGAGGAAATCGTAATTGAACAAACTCACTTTCACGAATTCGAAAATGATAGTTGATGGCCACAAGAACAGGCCATGAGACTGTTGACTGTTGCCTGAGTGCGAGGGATATCAACCTGATCCAAAACAATGGCAACATCAGACGGAAGCCGCGTAGAGTACAAGAAAAATCAAAAATCAAAAATCATAACAATGAAACAAGTACTTATGATGTGCCTTCTACAATGAGAGCGCTGGCAGAGATGACAAGAGGCGAGGCAAACATGTCCGGATCAAATAGTGAGATGACATCGAGGCGATTGTCAAAGGCGTGTCTTGTTGGTGACTCGATTATGGTTTCGAAGGTTCAAGGTACCAAGAATCGAGTTGCAAAGCTTAACATAGAGACATGGCAACATGAAGATGAGATTTGATTGAGTCATCGTTGGACAGCAGCGGCTGGGGGTAGTCCATATCGTTGAACGCAGACTTGAAGTTGCGCACTTGGTTGAATTCAACCGTGGGAGCTTAACCATGATTGGTCAGCATCATAAAACTCTATACCATGACATCGTCCGCATCGATGAGCCTGCTGCTGGGTTCATGACCTCAGAAAGCTTTCCTTGCAATGGAGGAGTAGAAGAATGGTTTGAGTTGAGAATCATATGGTCATCAGATGGCGAAGGGATGCTTGATGTAGGTGACAGCGTCGCAATAGGAGGAAGTGCAATAGGAACAGATGGGCTGATATGTGATGCATGGCCAGGTCCAATGGGGCGGGAATGAGGCGGAAGCACTACGGCCAGCTGTGGTGGACTAGTTTGGTAGTGAGATTCTGTGTGATGCAACTCTGGAGGATGTGAGGGCTGGGTATGGAAGGGTATAGGCGATGGTCGTGAAGCTGAGTCTAGATGTTCTGCGATGGAGTGCAGGTCGCTAATGAGACTGGAGAAGAATCTGAAGAACGGCTTCTGTTGAGAGAGAACACCTTGTTCTTCGTGCATGTTCGCCAGAACGAGAATGAATATCGACAAAATATTGGTGAGGTAGTGAACCTTTGCCTGGTCATTGTCTATTTCAGAAGCGTCACTATGATACTTGATGATATAGACAATCAATCGCGACATTGCGTCAAGAACTTGGAAAGCGCATTCGGACTCTTAGATAGCATGTGAACAAAGATAATGAATGTACATATGTGGCGAGCAGTCAAAAGAAAAGTGCACTTTGCGCTTCCTCTTCAATCTAGATATGACCATGTAAAGTGCACATTCCACAATAAGTCCAACCCTTCCCTCAATACTCTAGACCTGTAAAACGTTTATGTATGAGGTCTAGGTCCAACTTTACATGCGTAAATATGTATATTCTATAATGTCATGTTTCACTGCAGAGCTGCGTGTTTTACGTGTAGTGGCGAAGATGACTTGGCTTGCCGGTTGGCCTCTGTGCAGCCCTATAATAGCGTAAGGCTATGAAAGTTGAAATTGCATGAAAAGAGCGAAAACTTACAGCTGAATGCCAGGAACGTGCGTGAAGGCATACACCTCAGCCTCACACCTGTCAAGTTCTTTGCGGTCATATTGATTGAGACTATCATACCACTCAGCACGGTATGTGTTACGAGGAAGTCGACAGACAGCCCTTTGTGGGTGACCCATGGACATGGACTCAAATCGCATTCGAGCATTGTTGCCGCGTGAACCAATCCCCGCAGGGCCCCAGCGATTATGATGGTACATCACATCAAATACCCGTAGCCAAGCAGTCACTTCCAGACTGCGCCAGTGCCTTCCAAGTATATGGTATTGAGGGACATTATTCTCGTTGGCTGTCTTGTCGCTGCTCATCCCGTCGGGACCAATTCTCATGAGCATCGTGATGTGTGGGTGTAGGTCTGAAACTGCACAGGCGGTGTCCAAACGTCTGTGATACAACTGCAAACACATTGGAGATAACAACCAATTATCATAACACAAATACATACTGAACGCTTGCGTTCCTTTCTCTGGTCTTCTTTTTGACGTGCACTCGATGCGACGTTGTCCAGTCCTGCCTGCTTAAAGGAGCGCTTCAATGATCTTAAATGTGTGGAAAACGCAGTCTGGACGGAATCGATATTGAAACTGGGATGGTGGGCGACGAAATCACGCGCAAACACTTTGGTAGCGGATATATTCCATTTGGACTTGGGCATGCCTAATATGTCAATTTTGAAGTTCTCCGCAGTACAACAAGGACTGCGGCGAGGGTCGAAGTCGGCGAGAGAAGCCTCATGTGGAAGTATTACACCTGTAAAGGGTGCTTCATCATCAGTTTGTTTCATCAGAATTCGAGTGTGGTCGCGTATAAGTTCCTATAGCCCGTTTAGCTACTCAATACCATTCACCACATGAAAGACTAACATGAAACCTATTTAACCATTGCGATCTATGCTTCACGGGACCAGTTTTCTTAAATGGCCACAGAGCTGAAGTTTCTTCTGTATCCGCATCATTGGCAATGTCGTCAGGAGTCTCATTGCGAGATGAGCTGTGACGAGACTCCACAGCAGTCCTGAAGTCGGTGATTTGAGTTTCTATGCGACCCAGCCAGGTGTTCATTGTATCTAGATCATCCTTGGATGCTGGAACAAACTAGTGGACATTAATTATAGTCAATTATCAAAGCAACTGAGCCCACCGTACACTGCCTGCATGGCTGATCCCAGGGATAACGCCCAGTTCCATGCGGGTCAGTGTCCATCTCGTTTGTCTCCGAACAGATTTTGTCAGTCCTATCTGTGTCGTTAAGGTCGTTGTCACTTTGCGCCAATATGAGGCGTTGTTGTGAATGAATCTGGTCATTGACGGTTGCGAGTGAATTCTGATCAGCAGGAAGGTTGGTGTCACCTGTAATGGGCAGCCGATCTGATAGGACTGTGCTGCCTCTTTCGTCACCAGTTTCTGTAGCTTCAGACTCAGAGGCCAATGGCTCTGTGGCAGTTATGCGACCTGCTTCAGACACGATTTGAACCTGGGGTGAGAATGTCACAGACTGTCGTCCATGGCAAGTCTACCAAAACGGTCAGCTACCACCAAGCACATTGAAATATCGACTTGCCAGTTGTGTATCATGTAAGATGGTATCAGAATGAGATGAAGAACCACTGAGTACTGAAGGGCTACTGATAAAGAATTGTCTGGCATAGATGTTGCTGAAAATTCGAGAGACAGCGCGCCTGGGACCGCTGGGAAGAGCCATAGATAGAACCTACATTGAATCATTGAATATTCTGCTAAGCCAAAGTATGCTTCTTACATTGCTGTCGTCGGTGCTCCTAGGTCTCTTCTTAGGATGGACTTCTTCCCGTTGCTTACCCTTTGAACCACTTCGCTATAATCATCCAGGTTAGCGATGCATCGAGTTACGCCACTCAGCAACATACAGAGGACTCCGCAACCATCAAATTATTGGCATCAGGATTGGTCATGGCCAACACATATTCCTGCAACAAACAATTGTAAATCACCATCCTGACTTGAGCAGCAGAACCGTACCTGGTCTTCCGAATCATCCTCTGAGGTTTCTCCGTGCTCCGAGTCTCGATGCCGCTTACCAAGAATCCTTGAATTTTCATCGGTTTCCAACGGTAAGGGATCATTCATATTCACGTCTTCGTTGATAATCGCGTTGGATGATGCCATGATCCCAAGGATAGTCTACTGCGCAGGTATTGTTCAAATTCCTATCCTCCGTAGCCACAATAAATACTAGTTATACAGCGTGAATTGCCATATGTGGCAGTGTGGTATGCATCCTTTGTTTTTTTTCATGCATCGTGATACGTGCTACACAGTTTCGAAAATTCTGTGAAAGTTTTGGTCACATCTCCGAATCAGTCAATCAGCCGAAGGGAATACATGTCCTTTACCGAGAGAGCGGCGGCGAAGACGAGTCGAAGGACCCGGATTGAAGGGGACCCTAAGTTTGGGAATTTGATTGCACATACAAAGGGCGAAGCAACTACCCTTTGATGATCACATTAAGGACCCATCTACAGAAAACGACTTGCCGATGTCGCCGTTTTTCCTTAATATTATAAATAGCTCGGTCCATCTGTTCCTGTTCAAGTTAGGCTCCTGGGGAAGAAAGCACACGGGGCCTGCAGGCTCACTTCTGATGTCTGAAACTTCGAAATGGATGATGGGTAGGGCGCGCGTGGCAATCAGGGACCACATCAGGTGTCCACAGAAGTGAAAGGTTGAAATCTGGCCCTTGAAGTGTGCTACATGTTCCCTCGTGTTTAACGTATAGATTTGGATGTTGATGTAGTGCTCGCCGGAAAACAATAAATATGGCAGCAGCCATCATGTTTGCCAAGAAATTATTTATGTCAACTCTGCAGAGTAATTGCTTGAAAAAAGTCGATCACAATGGTATACAAAAGTGAATGCCGCAATAAGGATGCTTACCGTAGACTCAATGCGACAGATGTTTCCCAATATTCGACACGAATGTGACTTGGTTCTGGGCCATGGGCTTGCCCCATCATTTGACTGTGAAAAAAACAATGATTCCATCCAAACAGCAGGACTTACAGTTCCAATTCACATCGAGAACACTTTCGCTTCATCCGCCGACCTCAAACAAAAAATGTACATAATTGTAATATATCGAACTAGATCAATACTCTTCCAGGAACCTTCTAGGACTATTTTGGTACTTCACCGCCTACAGCTAAGTTCCGGTCCCAGATCTCATGCCGATCACCGTATTGCTTTGTCAATTGTTCTTCATTGCCTGCAAGAGACTTTCTCATATTCTCACTGTCGCTACTATTGGGGTCTGCTCCGGCAATGCAGGGAATATCAGGGTACTGCTCTATGGCAAAGCGACACTAGGGGCAAACTGTGAATGAGTTTAAAGCTCAAGGTTCAGAAAGGCCTTACGTTTCGACATTGGTGAAACCCACAACTGCTTTGTATGGGGTTGTCCCCAAGCAATACAAGTATGAAAGGAGTGACCAGACCTGCATTCATGTCTTGCGTTGTACCACCAACATTGACCGGTGTTTCAATCTGAAGCAAAAGCATTGTCAGGGGGGCCATATGACTCATGCAATCACATACTTACAGATGAGATTGGACGCTCTACTTCAAGGTGGAGTGCCGAGCGACTATCATTTTCATGTGGAGAGACGACTGACTCATTGACAGACATGGAGTGAGTTATCGATAGATGGCTTGATGCTCGTGTTTGCTTGGCCATCACGTTCATTTAATGATGGAAAAATGAGTGGCCATACGCGTCAATTTCGAGGGGAAACCTCAAGCTCAATGGGACCTCCATTTGTCTGACAAGAAAGTGAAAGACATCCGGTCCAAATGAACGCCACTGCACCCAAATTTCTCATGTCAATTTCGTGCCCTCGGATATCACATATTGACAACTTACAGAAACCCTTTTTGAAGCTGTCAAGCCGGCCGCTGATTTACTGGAAGTTAAGGAGAAAGCATGACCGATATGATCTGTTAGACTATGAGCATTTAATATTTAATCGTGGGTAGAATTTGCAACTACAGTATACCCACGTGCAATGCGTGTGGGACATGACCTTAGTGCATCACGCACTATAAACAGTCCCTAATTCAAGTCCACCTTCTCTAGAGGCGCACGCTAAATGATAAAATGAAATGTTAGTGCAGCCGTACAGAGGGAGGACATGTGTATATTCATGACGCCCACGCAGCAAGAATTGCGAGAGTTGCAGCATCAGTTATACCAGCAAAGGTGACTGACAACTTGATGATGAGGAAAAGTCGTTCAGGGGTGTGAGGTGTTTTGGTAGCTTGGAGGATAGGATGCGTGAGAGTGCCTTGAGAAGGTGATTGTACCTGTGCGAGTGGATGATGAATAAGGTGTGTAATGATATGCATGGAATGGAGACACACTGGTCACATAACGCAGAGGTACCCGCGAGTATCGTACCTGTGCAAGTAGACAATAAAGAAGACGTATAACGAATGGAGACGCACAGGTTACATGACACAGAAGGTGCCTGCAGGTTCACAATAATTGTGCGAGTTCGTTCACAGCTTTCTCTATCTTTCCCATTCTCAGTACCAATACACGCCGCTTCCAGGTCGCCTAGGATGAGAGTAAATGCATAAAAGACACGTATATGCGAGGAACTTGGTCCGAAGGAATATCTGAAGTCGCCAGGGTGTAACTCTTCCCGCACACATGGAGGGGCCAGCAATGGACGGAAGAGGGTGGGCACATAGGCGAACTACGATAAGTATAATGTTCAAATAGAGTCTGCATCAAAGCTATGGGAGACGAACCTTCATAGTGCCAGTGGGGTGTGAGTGCTATGAGGTTAGATTGTAATAGTGAATTATTCACATGTCATCTCAGGTGTCTCCGAACGAACAAATCAACACTTGAAATTCATCATTATGTGCTTTGAAAGTAGCGAAGGATTGATGCAAGTCTTTCCCTTGTCGAGAAATCCGCTGGAGTAACATGGTCACGTGCACCATGCGCCCGGATAAAATGATCACATTTTTTGACAGAGTATTATTCAAAATTCTGGCCTGTACATGTAGTTGTAATATTGAATAGCCCTCTGTGACACTGTCTTTAGATCATTGCTATATATATATTCATTAGGATGGCATCTATTTTCTAGAAAATATTTTCATCACCCAATGATTGGTTGTGCCCGACGGACGGTCCGAGTTCTATATAATTTATTGTCGTCCTCGGAGCTATCTCTCTTCTCTGTACAAGTGTCATCCATTATCACCATACTTAGTAGACACACTCATGAACCCTCAGGATTATACCATGAGCCATAGCTCTCAATGCCCATGATGAAGCAGCATAATGCCAGCATCACGACTCAGATTCTTTCATCTCCGACACTGTGTGAGAATGAGGTACTTCAAAATTCAGACATTCCACCAACCCAACTCGTCGGGACGCTTATCTGTATGTTCCCAATCAGCTTCTTGCATCAGATAATAGTGATCCAGATCAATCACAAGCCATGATGCAGCACGTTCACAGCCTTCGCTTCAGTTAAACGTGTACTAGTTTGGCAGGCTTGAGGCAGTCATACAAAGGGCGAAGCGGCTACTGATTCCAAGTCGAAAATACCCTTCCTTCAGGTCACAGAAGTTTGAATCTCAAATCGAGATAGTAAACAAAGGGGCGGCGACTCCAGCGATTATGATTGGAATCGATTTGGCCTCTATGCCGGTGCCCTGATTTCGGGTCCTTCAAGTAAGTTAATGCAATCTCATTTGAAAATTCACCTCAAAAATTACAGAGGCCTTTGTTGATATGACTTCAAGAAGCATATATAAGCATTGCGGTGAGATTTGAATTCACTGACAAGTGACAATGTCTGACCTCCTCAACCGGTCAGTTTTATCTTGCTTTTTCAACTCACTTGTACAGCATCACTTGACGCAATATCCAACAGCGTCAATATCCTCTTTGCCACTGTTGATGCTGTGGTTGTTCAAATGTGGGCTAATACAGATGTTCCTGTAAGCCGCAATCTGCCTCAGTTGTCATGGTTGCTCCTGAAAGGATCGGTCAGCGTCGTAAGCGTGCCTGAACTTTTCTTCTCCTTTTCTCACCAATGCGCGATTTTCATAGCTTGGCTGCTAATTAAGTTTGGGGACACTGTCCATGTCCGTTCACTTGATGCTGGATTTGCCAACGACACCTTCCACCAATCAAAAGCGCCTGAGGTAAGCGATTTTGTTGGAGATCTTCAAACTTCCCTCCATGACATTAAATATTATTGCCTCCAGGCACATGGGATATCTCTCCAGATAAAGGAAGTAGTTTTCCATATTTATCTCCCAACTCCTGCGGTATTCTGGTGCTTCATGCATATCGCGACTGGGTTGTATTACGACCCCAAGCGTGGTTCTGGGCTCACCGAGGAAACACTCGTGGATGCTTGGAAGGACTTTACTGTCCCTGGCAACTTCGGATTTCAATGCCCTCAGCAAATGCTCTCATACGAAGATATTTAAGAGGTGCAAGCTTATGCTACGCAGATGATTTTTAGGCCTTTTGCTTACAATGAATGTGATGGATTCTCGCCGCACTGAATGTACATTAATGCTTGACGCAATCTGATGACTTTCAATATCTTTGCGAGATAATGAGTGCATAAAACACTGAGGTTCGACGTGTAGTCGTTTCCATAGGGACTTATCGCATGTGGGATGGAGAATTCATTGTTAGAACGGATTCTTTGCAATGCTCCTTCACAAAAAGGCCTATTTCAGATACAGCTCAAAATCCCAAAGTCAGAGAACAAATTTTCCGGAATACAGCATTGGCATTTCATGACTTAGATGACAGAGAATCCTTGGTACATCACGTTTACAAGTTCAAAACAGGGTCACCTGCATGTGTCATGAATTGATCAACTTCTTGTCCTATTAGTATTAGAGAATGGCATACTTCTGAGTTCAGAAAGATCATGTAGCTTATTAGAGCTGCATCACCATAGATGCGACAACAAGGCCTGATGGATGAAGCTGAAGTTTGAATTGATTCCGAATCACCCATGAGGCATGTCTTTTACATAGCTGGTATCCTCGTCCAAATCACATCGAACAGACACCGGCTACATCACTCGATTCTGTTACAGGGCAGCAGTGGTGCAACGTGATGAGATGTGTGTGAAACTTTACTCCTATGGGTTTCACAACACACGCAATGTCGAACTGGATGGCACAAAGAAGTGATTCACGTGTTTTTCCGAGAAAGTAATACAAGTCCTAGACCAAGGACTACGCCATGTTAGTCGTCACTGCTATTACACTACACAATTGATACTCACGCAAACCCTGATATCCATCCTTCCTAGCTGACCAGTCGGCGGTCTGCCCTACCAGGAGCACCACATTCGCAAAGTTGACTACAATCAACCTTTGCATGGGGCTCTTCAAGGCATAAGACCCTAAGTCTGTCAGAATTGCCACCGCCCTTAACGTAACCTGACCACTGCGCATAAGCGCCCAAGTGCACAATGGCTTGATGCCCAAAAGCGTAGGGGAAAGCAGAACGAGCAAAGATAACTCCGAGCCCGAAAGTGCAAGTCGCCAGGTGGAGAAATAGAACAGGGTAGTGATAAGGGACGTGAAGATGGACCAAAACAAGTAAGCTGTAAAGGTGGTAAATTCGATGACTGTGTAATCTGTTGGACTATGACACGCACACAAGTACACATCTGAGATGAAACCTATGACTGTTCGTGCATCTCGAGAGAGCGTAAGTGCAGCCTGCGTTTTCTGAAAAAAACGTCCGAGTTCAATATTCAAGCTAACAGAACTTGAACGTACATACGTGGCTGATACCAACGGAAATCACTTGTCAGGGTATCCAGCAACCCCATTCTTTTGTAGTGCAGTGCGCAGCCGAATAACAAGGCAAGGCCGAATGCGTGAGGCACGTATGCATTGCAGTGACATGGGATGCATTGATAACAAGTCGTTGAGCTCTCACACCAGGTACGCTAGTAGGCGGCTGCTTGCGACCCACCATGGCCAGTAATAGTTCAACGTTGTTCGCGTCTACTGAAGGTCACTAGTTCGATATTCCATCAGTCACGTGGTTTTGATTAATCAAACGTCGGCCAAATATAAACACACATTCTGTCGATCGATACCCAAGGGCCAAAGATGGATTCAAGACAACCACCATATACCGATCACTATCTTCACTGGATTTCTTGGCGCAGGAAAGACTTCTATTATTTTGTCACTCTTTCCACTACTTCCCAAATGGTCTTACTCAAGAATGAGTTTGGAGACGTCCAAGGTGTGCATAATTGCTGCGATCACTGGAGATTTAGGGAATATACATTACCTTTCAGCGGATAGCCAGCCGGCTAAACAATCCAGTTTGACTGCCGTCAGTGAGATCTTGAACGGTTGCATGTATGTCTACACTTCATCATCTTACTGCATTTCCTAATCGACCGTATCATGTGTAGGTGCTGCGTACTCGTCGGTCAGATGGAAACGGCCCTTCGTGAGACCCGAGGTATTTGCAGTCTGACTTAACATAACCTTACCACACTTATATAAGACAAATACCGCCCTGACCGAATCATCATTGAATGCTCGTAAGTTCATCCAAATCTCCCTAGCTTGGTACTCACTATCATGGAGTCAGAGGATCCGTTTTTCCTGCCGCACTGGCATTCCAGATCCGTGAGTTTGAGCGACAGACAAACAACGACCTTCAACTTGACGCAATAGTTACTGTTATTGATGCCAAGAACTTTACGAGGTACGAAGATACCTCTCCCACAGCCAAGATGCAGGCAAGCTACTCGGATATTATTCTTATCGTACGTATCTCCCTCGTTATAATGAGGCAATCTTATACAACTGCCTAGAACAAGCACGAGCATCTTGATGAACGAGCTCTGGACATACTGATTGATAATCTTAATACTCTAAATCTCGATACTCCCAAGATCAAGTGCAATGATCGTAACGGTGTGGACCCAAATGTTCTTTTTGGTATCGACTCTAAGCTTTTCAGAGACCTAATTCCCCAGGGTATCGAAAATCATCATCATGAAGTAAAGACACTCACAGCATACCGGGGATTCCTGCCGACCTGTCACAACCATGAACATCATGATAGAGAATCATGCACCTCACATATTGAGGTGGATGTGGATAAGGGTATGCTCGAGAGTGCTCTTGCCTCTCTAAGCAAGGAGAGCGTTTGGCGAGTCAAGGGATTTATTCCCTTAGATTCTGCAATTTGGATCTTGAACTGGGCATTTGGTCGGTACGACCTCACACTGTTGAAAGGAGATACATCTTTTATGCAAGATGTGTCCATAAGAATCACCATGATAAGAGACATTTGTACCGATCTCTAAGTTCAAGTGATGTAGATTATACGTGTCTAATTGAAATTTGATTACTGCAAGAGATAAGATTGGAGAACATTTTCTCAGTTTCTCACTGCACCATACATGTTTCCAGGGCAATGCATGTTCATGAACGATGATGTTCTCCTATGTCTTTTCGACAGGTCAGTCAATCGGAGTTGACACTAGAACAAGTAACATTGACAGTACAACCATAGCATTCTCCAAATTGTCTCATTCTGTTGTCGAGACATCGATGCTTTGACTCATCTCTAGTGTTTCAGACACGTCCTATGCCTGGCTGATCTGTCTTGCAGGCATTTTGATTTCATATGAAGCGCTGGTGGACAGTTTGGTGACCACCGGAGGCATCGAGTAGGAGGTATGAGATTTTTGATGCGCATTTTAAGTAAAATCGACTGTAATTCACAGAATACCCGACTAGTTGTCCTTGTTTCGTGCAAAGAATTCATATTTTCTAGCTGCCTACTGCTTATTTCTGCTGGACATGCAGCGCTGAGTACGCGTTCTGGACTGTTTCAAAAGACATTGAGCAAAATGGCTTATACAGTGCCCATCATCATGTCATCTCGTTCTAAACACGTTCGCCTTCAATTCATTGCGACACTTCGGACATGTCGATACCTTGTTCGTTGTGGACTTCTAGCTCTGGGAGCTCGGCAGACCTCAACAACTAGTCCAATCAGTAATAGGTAAAAATCACTTGTCACTGGTGCACCTACACGGTCTAACGGGAGGACATGTACGCAGGGCTCACATATATTATGAACGTGCATGGTTGTCTTTGCAAAATGACAAATAACACCAGATGGTCGAATGATACAGTAATCGCTATGATACCGGTTGTAACAAAGAAACCCCCCTGGGATAGGGTATTGATGGTAGGGATCATGGGGACATCAATGTCTGACAATGGAATCAGAGGATGGACGACTAAGAAAGTCTCTTCGACAATACAGTCACTTAGTGAATACCGATGGTGAAGGAATATTTTGATGATGCGACCAGGCTGTGGTTTTGAGTCCGAGGCGCTCCGAAATACGATGTTGCTATCACAATGGGAGAAATTTGAGGGCCGGTAAGAAATGCCGCCAATAAGGATACAATTTGATAGAACCGCCTTGCGCCTGAGAAAAAGCTGTTCTGACGAATGAGGTGTGCCCTCAGCAACATAACAATGCTCCTCGGTAGCGTCGATCAACCGGAGCAAGGCAGAATATATTTTATCCTCAAGGATGACCTCTTTCAAGGTCGGGTGGGTTTGACCTTGTGCAGTGACAGTTTTGTCCCACTGAAGCACATCGCGAATGCGAGTGCCTCTCCTATCTTTGCCTGTGAAGTTGCTGTATGCCTCGACCATCTCAGAGACAACAGTGCGGATGTTTTCCTCCTGGATGAGCGTGCGCACATTTGCTACTCGGCAAGTGTGATTCATCATCGTAAGTTCGATCTCGCCTGTAGTACTCAGTGATTTAGTTTGAGATATAAAGATTAGAGAGAGAGAGAGAGGTACCAAATTTGCCATTCGTGTTCTCACGCTGGAGGAGATAGTTATAGCGCTCGAATGCGAAAGCCCTCCAAGCATGGACAGGACCAAAGGAACACAAGAATTTGCCGAGGTGGAGAGCAATGTGATGGCTCGGAACCAGTCGTATGGTTTTGTAAAGGTCCTTGAAGTTCTCGAGATAGCGCAGCATATAAAATTTGTACTGGTCAATATGGCCAGGGGAGATGATGAACATACAACCAAGCTCGACGGCAGTGACTAGATCCATAAAATTATCTAGCATAGCCTTGGCTACACCATTCATACCACCCCAGAGTCGTACAAGGGTTATGGTCATGTTAATGGTGCATGCGGCACGCCACTGATCCGCACTGAGTTTACCCTGCACTGTCAAGCCAAGGGCCTTGGGAGCTCTGCTAACCCACGTGGGCAATTCGCTACGTACCATGTCTCTCCGTATCTCGGTGACAAGAGATTGTCCGAGGACAACACGGTGAGGTTGATGATCCCTCGTTGGTCCTGAGTGCTCTGTGCGGAGAGGGTCGTGACTATTCTCAAGATCTGTGGGAGTTTGATGCACATTGTGATCGTGTTGGTTCTGCTCGGAGCTTAGTTGCTGTTGCTCGCCTCACTGAAGTTTGCAGTAAGGTCAGCCAGTCTGCAGCATTCAAACGGTTACAATGAGACATACCCATTGGATGAGACGCTGGACAAGAACTTTCTTCTGACCAATGATGCTGAGATGTTGTTCCGAGCACAATGCAACTAGGACGATTCAGGTGTAAGTCATAAGTGTGTCAGGATTGACTTCCAAAGATGAAGAAATATATTCTTCTGCTGTCCTTTGGTTGTTTCGAATTGCTGTGCCTGAACCAGAAGCACTTTCTAGTGCCGTCCGTGCGATCAGTAAATTTTTTGATGAACGCTGGGGTGCCAAAATCAGCGAGGGCAATAGATGGAGACAACGACAAGACCAGCAGCATACCCAGTCCAACAGTCTGCCAATTAAATCACTCTTGTTCCCACTGCGACGTTCACACTTTGCATCACAGAGACTTGCCAAGATAGGTTTCGTGAACTGAAGGAGCGACACATCACTGACTGTGTCTGTACTTTCCATCAGAAGCATAGCTGATTCGGCGTCCGTCTGTGGTGACTTCTTCGAAGGATGAGGTGGGATGAATGGCTTTGAGAGGATGTCTCCTGTTGCCTGCTTTGTTTTCTGTTGTGCGGACTTGTTAATTATATACAAGTTGAAAGAATGTGTATGCACCCAGTTCAGGAGAGTTTTGATGAGTGCCCTCTTCGTACTTGCCCTCCTAAGGTCTCTATCCTGGCACAAATGGTAAAGGACAGGTTTAGTACACATTTCAAGGGCACCAAAGGTCCCCGTAGTGAGCACATCTACACCATTCTGCATGTCTTTATCAGACGGCCTGGCAAAACTTTTAGTTCCTTCTCCTGAAGCCGTTTCTCCATCTTCTAAGTCCACATTCATCCGCCACGCCACCCGACAATGATATCTGAGAATGCGTAGATATAGTATGTGCATGGACTCCACGACTGTGAAAGATATCAGATCCCAATAGGGGAGCCAAAGGAGTTCTGTCCAACGGACTCCAAATTGATCAAATAGACGCTGTCTTTCCTCGAGCGTTGCAGCATCTCGGTATGCGCTGGCATGCTTGTGATGGGTCTCGACGTCATGGGATGGCCACTGGCTCCGATCCACATTGTCAATGTCGTGAAGAGGTAGTAAACAGTAGGAACAAAAGAACTTGGAACCAATACCGCTGAAGCCTGCAATTTGTTTTGCAGCTGGAAGATCACAGACAATTGGTATGAGGGTAATTCAAATGATGCGGCCGTCTGGGTACTTCGCCGTGCGGGAGAAGGTAACCCCAGGGTTCCAAAACGGTAGAAGATCATCCACGAGAAGTTTAAGGAAGTGGTTGATCTGGTCTGTGGAGGGTTTGGTTGGGCCTGGAATGACGCCAACAAGATACATGTTCTCAGGCAGATACCGTAGATCTGGAGGAAGATTCAAGCAGACCATGTACATCCCTGTGACGGTCACATTCTGTTTGGCGACTTTGTTCTGAAATGGATTGAAGCCATCGACTCCTAAGCTAAACAGATAGCACCCCTCATGAATTGTTGGACTAAGGAAGAGTTTACCGTCGGGTCCATGAAACTGACGAAATGTAGATGCATGCCAGATATCTTCCATGTCCGTTCCTTCGTGAGGGCACGCAGCGGAGTCCAGGAGGTTTTCAACTCCAGGACGGGAGATGAAACGAGCCATCCATTGTTTTAGGTCTTGATGCAAATATGTGCGAATTGGACGTTGGATCGGATTCCCGCGAATAATGCGCGTTTTCCATAGCTTTGTGTGACACTGCCGGCTCGCAGGAGTTGGCTGGTGTGTACAAAAGAGGGGGAGGGGGGATGTATCATATAAAGTGAAACACGCCGGACAGCACACGTAGGATCGAGTGCAAGGCTCTAGCTCAAATGATCCTATTACAGTACGTGGGTCTCTCGGGATATTGTGCAATAACGGATCCCCCGCCGAGCGGGCATCTGAAAGGCAAACTATGCTTCGCAAACAAGCAAGTAACAGCGACGCAGCCCAACGAGGTAACCCGCATACAAGGTGCATAAGCAAGACCATCAAATACACGGCCAAGATCATGGGATGCCAGGATGCGTGAGGGGCATTGAAGTATGAATCTAGTCAAATGAAACAATATATATCAGTGCTACATAGACCACATAACGAACAATCAAACGACCTGTGTAGACAAATGTATCAGATTCTTCGTCATCATTGCCTTTTCGCTGTCTTTCCCACTCCTTCTCCTTGAAATCGTCAGCCCGATCGAGTTCCCTATATATACGCTGAACAAGGAATTCTTTTTCCTTGGTAATTTCTGCAACGCTGTGAGTTTCTATTGCATGTGCTTCCTTCATCAACATGACGAGATCATTCTGAAACACGAGCAGCGATTGATTCGTGGGGTGCCGGGATTCTAGCATATGAGGACCAGAGTTGATGGCGAGAAGATCGTCTTCGTCAGGACGCACGTATGGCCCATCGATTGTGGGGTATCTAGCGAATTTCAAAGGACCTTTGAGCGAAAGGCTGTGAACATGGTGATGGATTTTGGAACACAAATGATCCAAATCAGCGACAGATGTAGATGAGTCTGGTGATGGAATGATGGGTGTATCCTTAGCCACGGGAATGCTAGTGCGATTCAGCTCCGGAGATGAAGCAAGACTATGGGATGATTTGGGTAATGGAACTTGATCCATTGATTGTCCGTTCTCATCCAGGTTGACGTGGTCCAGGCCACGACGAAGCACTTCTTCTCGTTTGTGCCTGTGATACATAGTTGCATTCAACCAACATCCTGGTAGATCATCGAAAGACTCAGTGAAATCAAGGGCCGTTCCCCACTCATGAATACATTCGCGACACTGACAGAAGTGAAGTGACGACCTCTCAGGAGGCGAGGACTGGGCGTTCATTGCCCTTCCATTGCGGTGGCATTGTTTTATCATAGATATCTGGGTATGCGATGTTAGAAAGTGGGGAGATAGACAACAATAAATGGACCACCTCGAGACAGGGGGAAGGTGGCGTGAGTAATCACATCGAGCATTCATTGTTCACGATAAAGGACCTGCGATGGAATCAGGCTTGACTAGGACTCATCAAAGCTTGCGGTGATCAGTCACATTAAAGTCTTGTTCCTTCCCTACCTGAACTGGCAACTGCGCTCCGTGAGTTTATGTCTTTTGGCAGCATCATCAGATATAGAAGCCCCATACATCACCTGAACTTCCCAGGACTCAGATCTGAGACTGCGAAGCCTATGCTAAGGAAGCTCCGACGGACTGCCCAAAACTCATCATCTCATAGGGCAGAATGACGCGGAGCATGAGGAAGGAGACGAAGATGACGCTGGCGAGGACAACACTTACTCACTTCCAAACGGTGGACAGATTCATTGATTTCAATGCTATTCTTTGCATCTCTGCCGAAGAAGAGCGATTGTGATACGTAGACGTTTTTCTTTGTCTTCCCGTACTTATTGATGAATTAGTGACAGCTGGGGCAGCAGAGTGCAGATGACCTCGAGTCAATCTCAGATTAGTTCAACAGTGATTCGCCATAGCTTACATAAGTCCACTTTAGTCAGCCAATTAATTGTTTCTCAATTTGTCGTCCTTGAACGTTTGAACGTTAACTTTCATACAGACTTGTGACACCTAGCGTCGAACTGTCCGGCGAAGCTGCTCTGGTGCGGGATATCTTGTCTAGGCGGACATGTGCCTTCTCACGTCACCAACACCTCTCCCAATCGGTACTTCGTGTACGACTTCGGCGACGGGCCCAAAATTAACGAGAGGTGTTGTGAACAGCAGAAGGTGGAAAAACTGACTGGGGTTGTGAGGACTTTGTGTAATCGGGTGCATCTCTCCCTTTCCTCCCTCCTGCATTACGAAGCAAGCACAATTCTAATGAAAATTTGGATCGTGCAGTATCACCAATGTGGACTAAGATCGGAATCAGGTGCATGGGTTGACTAGTTGAACACGCACAGGCTCTCATAGCACTTCAAGAACACTGGTGCACCTGGCCGATATGTTCCTAGTTTTGGTCTGCAAAAGGGAGTTGTGCCCGCCCTCCCTATAAATATTACTGGTCTCACAAATGGGGCAATGAACAACGCAAAAGTGCAGCATGTGCAATAGACGGCCCTCTGTTGGATGAAGACTCGAGACCCCCAACACAGTGAGTACTTCGAAGTTCGTTGTTTTCATGCTTACAATAATCGCAGGCATACTTCCAGGAAGCGAAGACAATTTCGATTGCCCTTATAGAACCCACCAACGTCGCGCTCGCTGATATCGTGGTTGATGGAATGGGCGCTTTTGTTCCTACCATGGAGGTGATGTTTCAGGGAACGAATCAAAAGGACTTTCTACATTTTCTAAGTCCTCACTCTTGTGATTACGACCGCATTGCTCTGACTAGTGGTTCTTGATGTGCAACCTAGATCAAACCGGTTGTTCGTGCATGTTGTGCGTTTGCCGTGGTTTTGGGTCTAATAGATGTTATCTTGCGCGTCCCTTGATTTTGTGGTCCTCACATAAACACGAACTCAATATTATCCTTGTTGTTCTCTGAGAGTGCACCTCGTTCTGTATGCCCCCACTATTCAGTGTATGTGAAGATATGGCTACTGGGTCCTGCTATCTCCTTATAACTCCTTGCATCATAGGACTCGCACTTATTTCCTGGGTTGTCTCTGGACATTGGCTGTAGTGATCAGAAGTATTCGACGAGCCATCCTGTTTACCTCCGGATAGGCACCTAGGTGGTGGTGCACAAACCAAATCTAATCGTAATCGGTCAACGACTCATTATGGCAATGTGAACCTTCGAATTGGACGAGACCACTCAGGCCTTTGTTCTTTGCTTGCCATCAAAACACATCTCAATATGACAGAGGTGGGAAGTCTTTTTCCATTGTCACTTTTCATGAGCTAGGCGGATATTAATGTGACCTCATGACAGGGTACTTCAGTCACCAGCGACTTCGCCCTTTGTGCATCTGGATCTCGAGTGTAACTCCAAACCTTATGAGATAAATTTAGTTCACAGCTATCACGATGGAGAGATTGCAATTATTACAATATTCCAGGTAAAAAGTATACGTGATTCCTCAACTTCCCAGTCTCACCAAAATGTCTTCTGGACCTGTCAGAAATGCCCCAAGATGCAGACGTGCTCAAACGCCTTTCTATCACGCAGCTGCCCGGCCAGGACCTACGACTTCGCGATTTCGGGTGGCGCCTGCACTTCCACATGATGTTATCGAGATCACCATCAATGAGGAAATTCCAAGTTGAGTGTCAGCTATTGACATCACAACAACCAACGACGAAAACACAAGTCAGATGCCAGTCCATCCACATTGCAAGCCGGCAGTAAGTTTTGAGTTTTCTGGCTCAGGCCTCTTCCTTTCCTACCTTGCAGCCCGCTGTTCATGCTGAAGCTTCAGTCAAAATACTATTCAATGATGAAGCCGCGGAGCAAGCTGGTGATGTTGCGGTAAGTTTGTACGCAGGGATATGTTTGTATTAGCCCTTATGATGTATACACTAGTCCACGTCTAATACGTCTTCAGCTGATGCGGATGCAACAAAAGCCGAGCTGGCAAGTCTCCGCGCTGTGATTCAGAAGGTGCGGTATTCAAAACATTGTTGATACCATCATCTCATAATCTATTATCCCTCAAAGGTCCTATCGGAAAGGGATCTGTCTCTGGAGTGCCCCATTTGCAAAACAGTATTCAGAGAATTACACACGTCAGTATATAGGTCATCACAGTACGGTCAAGTAACTTAAACCAATCTTTTAGTCTCAAATGCGGACATAGCTTCTGTGGGGCGTGCTTGAAACAATGGTTTCAATGTTGTTGGAGTAAATGGGTTGCAGACTCGGACAATCCAGTGCCAGCTGCTCTCAGTCTACGAGACATCTCGAAGCTACCACTATCACTTGCAGTCATATCAGTCGTAACGAAACATATTGGACCAATGCCGTTCACCTGTCCAACTTGTCGGGGTTCAGTTGGCAGGCAAGAACCTTTCAAGACCATCGCCCTCTGTCAGATTTCAAACTCCATAACATCACTTCTTGGGGGTGCATGCGGTGAAGAAGATCTACCAACTAATTGGACAGGGTACTTTCTAGAGTAAGTGAGTATTCCATGATTGGCATAAGATATGAACATGCGGCTCCCCGATTATTTGCAATTACGACGGTATCAATGACTAGTACATGTATATAGCGTGGCTTTAGCTTGGAATCTAATTGGTGGTGTGGACTCTCCAAAGCACCAGATGATACAATACTCAGACAACAAAATCAAGAGTGAGGGCTACCAGCTGGTCCACTGTTCTGCAGATCAAACATCGAGAAGACTATCAGCAGTTCATAAGAGTTGTATCTTTTGCAAGACTGCCCAGCCACTGAGCTGATCAATCGAACTTTTTGGAATATTCCAAGTGCGATTCTGAATCTGCCATAGAATATAGTTCACCAATATAATCCCCTTATTGCCAATACTTACTAGCATTCACACATTCACACATCACCGATATTCTTCGCCGATGGTGAATCGTAATCATTCAGGTCGCTGCTCCAAACATAATCTCTTGAAACCTCGTGTTCTTTACCTCCAAATTCTCGGACAGCAGTTTCCGTGAACCGGCAATGTGACTTCAGGAAGGGGTGGCTTTGCCCTTTGTACAACTGCCTCGAGCCTGCCTCGTGATTGTCAAGTTACAAGCAGTCCCAGCGCAGAGATACATGATATCACCAAAATTACCGAATCCAGAGATAGGTGTAATACCCCATATGGAATGGTGTACAGTCTAGCCGTACAGATGTACAGGTCCAACACAATCGATCTCCACAGACTGTCAGAAGCCAAGCTGTGCTTCCACGACACTGTCCAAGGTGTTTGGGACCGTCAAGAATCATCATGTTTTTTAGTGTCGTTGGCTTATGTTATCCATCAACATATTCAAGTTTGATGCTATCATGCATCATGCATCAAGCTTTACTAACTGTGCCCACCCTCGCCTGCCGTCGTTTCCCCAACGAGTGGGTACTTTGTTAATTGTACTGGCAGCTCTGAATTATCTCTCGTGGGACTGATAGTTGGGTTTTCATTTAGATGTGACCGATCCATCCTCTCGTGAATCATGCGATCACATGACCTGCACACGCAAGTCTCTGAGTTCGAATACCCATACTATCACTGGACGCTTACAGTCCTCTACGTGAATCAATCATCTGCCCTATCTGATACCTCGCATGCGGCAAGAAAAACTGAAGACGCTAGGCCGTTGCAGAGGTTTATGCTGATAGTATCATATCCCAGGGAGTTATTGACACGGTGCATGGCTCAATTAAAGACAACATCTAAACTATTGTTTTCCGTGGAATAGTATGTACACGCATCAGCGTGGTGTATGTGCTACGAAGGAAACTGTACAGACTCAGGAGAGACGTTCCTATTCAAAATCAAACATGTGGAAGAAGCTGGGCAGGCAAGGCAAGAGAAATGCTCTACTTTGCAGAGTCTGGGAATACTAATTAATACCTCATTATGACCGATACTCACTCAGGCTGGAGATACAGCTGAATGGAAACAAGTTTCTCAGTGCAAGGTGGCAAACTGTCATCTGTATGTTATTCTTCCTTGTGCTCTTTATTGTGTATTACTATAATAACAACTATGACAATAGGCTATCGTATCCTCTGGAAAACAGGTGTCCAGGACAGCAACGTTAACCTTGGCAGTCTCGTCGTATACTGGACCCCGGACAGTCGAGTGACTGGCGTCTTCAGCAACTTCGACTAATCATCGACTTGAGATATTTCCCTAAAGCAGGAGTGTGCAAAGATAGTACCTTTCGTGGTGCTTGGCCTTCTTCACCGGTACTGCATCCAGATCTACTCTTGTCCAAATATAACTCTCGTTGCCACTGCCACTGGTGCCGGTCCGCGTGACAAGAAGACTCAACGGGTTTGGAGCAAACTCCCATGCAAGAGTAAGTGTTTGTTCAGTAGATGGCGTGCTTGTCGAATCATGTTAATACAGGTGTTATCACAATTGAGGAGCACAGCGACCTCTTTAATGGGCTTTCGGGGATAGTTCTGAATTTTCCAGGATACAGAGAACCATGGTCAACATATATGCACGCAGATACTGCTCAGAGAGGCACTCGTGCCATAGGCTTCGCGCACAAATTGCCAATCAACAAATGGCAATCATCGTGTTACACAATCAATGTCTTGGCACACTGGGGTTCTAAGCACGGATAATTATAAACCATGAGCTCTCAGGTGTGAGCATTCATATTCTATCAATGGTTGGCTAACAGAGGCCTCAGATGTCAGCCGACTTCTTGGCGGCTGACTTGCTGGAACCATTGACATGGGTGAGGCTGACTGCCTCATGCGCATAAGTACCCTAGCCCCTCTTGTCCTGAACTTGGAAGACACAACAAATGGCTGTCGCTGAAGATGCGTTCAAACTCCTCGGTAGAGTTGCTGATGCTTTTGACGATCCTTCCTCTCATGAGTCACGCAAAGACTTCCAGCGTAAACACCATCAAGATACGCAAGCCCCAGACAGTATGATGCAGTCTCACCATGCACGTCGGGGGCTAACATCATGATACCTACCCATCAGAGTCGTTCCAGTCAGGAAAGTCAAGTTCAGCATGCTTGCTATGCCCGCTGCGAGCCCTCTTTCTTCAACATCAGCTACATCTATGACTGATGACGAACTCGCCGATATGGCATCGATGACTGCAAACCGCTCATGCACGTCGTTGTCTGAGACAATCAGAAGCCTCACCGGAATGACCTCGCATGTCATATATCAGCCACAAAGCGTTTTCATATGTGTTGCACTGTTAGCCTGGTCTGTGCATTTTCATGCCAATCTTAGGGCGGCTGCGTGGTGTTTTCAAACTCCTGACTCCTATTAAGCTTAAGTGTTTTTGGCCCGACCTGCAGAGGTTTATCGCCTATTTTTAACTAACTTGTCGTCTTGCGAGGTGAGTTTCCTAGGTAGAAGTTCTTGTCACCTCTTTCTGACATCCCCCATCGTCTGGTCAGAATCTCGCTTCGCATCACCCACCACTCCCACATCTTCAAATGGTGCCCAAAATCGTAGTTCACGGTGTATTACGTCCTCTCGTCGTGGCTACTGTGTGTCCCTATATCGAAATTTTCATAGAGTCCAGCCTGGGACCGCATTTTTGCCGGTAGTCAATTTTGCCCATTTAGCACCCTGTGCAAATAGTGGGCTACTATATGAGTCCAGGAGTCTACTGATCGGCCTGTCTCGGATGCAACAATGGTCAGTAGAGTAGCCTGACCTGACCCAGTAACTCATAGATGAGGGTGGAGTCTCATTCAGGCTACGACTCGGACCTTCGCTTGCTTCGATGTTTTGAAGAGCACATTGCACTGGTATTGAGCGCGCCCACTGAGATTATTGCAGTGCCTCCAGGCAGCCAATTTGACTCAATTTAGTTGCAACAGGATCTCACGAACGGGAACCACCTGGGTCCTCAATATCATGGTCCTCAATCTGCCAGCTCCATTCACTTACACTTCAAATTACACCGTTGTTTCCCTTGATGGTATACTGCAGTCAAGCCTTCGTCAATTTACGCTGCTGATTTGCTCTATAGGGGGAATGAATTACCCAGAGCTGTGCCACTGTAGACTTCGAGGGTAACCTTGCCACTCAATTCGGATCTTGGTGGACTCCCAGAACGATATACTTGACTGGTGGTGAGCTCCCTTTCAATGTTTTTACCGACTGAAAATGAGTCACATGTTCGCGCGTTCGAGCCACCTTTGATTGAGTTCCCCTTGATAATCACATTGGGAATGTAGCAACTAACCAAATCGTAATCGTCTGACAGCCCACAGATAATTCGACGAATCATAACTGCACCTCGCAATTGTGGTGATCCTCGGGATTGGCCTCAGTGTTTTTTTTACCCCAAAAGTGTATCTCGAAGGGGAATATATGTGCCGACCGATTGTTGATGGAAATTTGACAGCACTATGGCGTGCATTGAGAAGATTGTGAAAGCAGTAAGCCGGAATGTGATTTCAGGAAAGGGTACGTCAGTCGCCAGTGGCTTTGCCCTTTGTATGACTGCTTCATGAACCTTGCCTTCATGTGGTGACATGTCAAACCTGAAGCATGCACGCGGGTATTAAAACGCATCATCTACCGACGTTGTTCTTTCCAATATTTTCACTACTGACATTCTTGATCACTCTCACCATTGCTGCCATGCAGATAACTGCCCCAGAGCTCTACTGTGTTACCCCCGATGTTGGAACTGTGTGTAGTGTCTTTGTGTACACTGTCTTTGTAGCTGAACTGGGCTTCTTAGCGGAAGGCCATCTTCTTAAAGGCTATTTGCTTTCCTATGAGGGAGGCTAGATCCCGTACTGCATACGTCTGCACCATTATTCCAAGCAAGGAGTCTACTCGCAATCCCCGCTTTCCCTCAGTAGAAGCTATCCTTGGTTCACAGCACCCGATCTGCTCTTGTTATGTGCGTGTTAACGTGACGGACCTTCAGCGTGGAGAGACATTCATTGTCTTCTTCCAGTTCACAGCAACATTACCCACCAATGATAGCCTCGAAGCCTCATTTCCCGACCTTGAGTGGAGGGGTGGGATTCTCGCAATGAGAGTCGGTCAAATGAGGCAAGTGACGGGCCTCCGGAACTGAAGGGTGCAACACCTTGCGCAGCTCGCTATTCAACGGTATGTTCAAATAAGACCAAAACTATATCATATTGATGAGGGATCTCCAGTACTGTGATTGATTGTTCTCGTGCAATTACTAGAGGTCGCGATGAACATATTCCAATGAAATTCCCGAGTGAAATTGTCTTCACAGCTACGGCATAAATTATAACTCTAATTCCTACCGTACCTATTGCCCGTCCATGTAAGATAATATATGCACATACATACTTCATTCTTCACCTGCGATTCTTTGTACCACATGACGCAACCAAATCAGCCAGGATTCCTCAATTGCTCCCGATGATGAACTGCAATGCTTACATACATTGGAGAGACGCTGACAACTTACTCAGCTAAGTTAACTTCTGGATCTTCAATTTCCTCCCCTCAAAGTCACCATTGATCGCTGTGTGCAAGTTGTGTCCACTGAGACTCGTCGTCCAGCCATTCAGTCATTGTTTTTTCTCCTAACACATCTCATACGGACTATAATATGGTAAGCCATATGCCGGGCCATGAGGGCTAAGTGACAAAATTCTGATACCTCCTCAGCTTGATTAGCTCATTATCATGAAAAACCAAACTCATACCAAATCCCGACGTGTTCTACTTCACCACTCAGTCAATGCGCCATACCGACAAGTACTTCAGCATGAGCGTGATGTAAGTTTCAAATCATAGATATATCTTGATGGTATCGTGCTAACGTCTCCCGTAGCTGATAGCAGTTCACTGTCAATCTTTTCCAAAGCCTGGGGAACTGCACATATATTTCACTTCTGGTATATTGAAAGAGGAATCAGATGTTAGTTTCTCATTCTAGTAGGGAAATATAGAACTGATCTTCACAGGTCTCCCCTCACCGGGAGTCTTGTAATGAAATAATACCCACACCCACGCAAATTCTCCGGGATCATGCGCTGCTTCATTGCCAAGGGTCCCGTCGTCCACGATCTCGACATAGTGAGGCATCTTCCGTGCATTCTGAATGTCCTATGCCTGGCAACACCCAAAACTTCTCTCCTTTGACCCCGAATGCACTGCAGGCTAAACCTCCGCAATATTTTAGCCTGAATGATTCCCTAGTACACCCTCAAACTCTCACCTCCCCAGTATCGCATCCCACTGGTAGCGCCCTATCATTGATGTCACAGTCTCCAACCTCTTCGATGACTTCTGACAATCTCGCCCCTTTCCCCCAGCCATCACCAGAGTCATCTGTGCACACTCTGCTCATTCATGGTGCTCAGTTGTTTACTCCGATCAATGTTTCAGTTCTCAGCCATCCTCAATTAGCGACCAGTGCCTCCAACCAGGCACCGTGTTCAAGCAGTGTGACCCCTTCTAGCACCGCATACAGTGTGCATCGTATCCGGCATAAAATTCGCGATCTCAATCAATACATGCATTGGTTTGATTCTCACGGTTGTGAGCTTCTACCTTCTCCCCCGCCATGTCAACCGCTTGAGTGCGGAGACCTCTATATTCATCAGTTACTTTCTACACCGAATACCCGCCAGATGTGGATATGGAGTCCTCAGCGGGGCTGGGAGAATGCTCAAGAAAATCAGATCCATCCTCTCCTTCCAACACATCGCCTCTGGTTTAGCACAAACAGGGAACCTCGTTGGGTCACTCAGAAGACGATAAGCACGTACAAGTCATGCCTAAAGGTTTCAGGTAAATCGAAATTTGTATTAGTCCAGGCAGAATCTGAAATATATTTACTAGCGTCGCACAGATCATGCTGATTTAAGTAGAGACGAGCCACGACACCCTGTATCTGTATCATAGTATGACCTGATTCCTGGACCAAAATATGTCAAGAACGAGAGGTTTCTCTCCTTCACACCTGGTCACGACGGCTGACAAGGTCAAGGCTGCTCAACATATCACCTGCTTATAGTATATGAGCCCATGGACATCGTAACTTCTGCGACCTGACCCTTTCATTGCACGAGCGATACTGCGATACTCCATTCAATCATTGATTGACTTTGCTACTCAGACTTTGCTTGTTGCCAACTCGCCACTTCCGGTGAGCATTGTTTTTTTATTTATCATCGCTCTCACACTAATGCATTGTTCATCTGCTCACCCCAGCTCACAGTAACACCTGCGCTTGTAAGTCTTCACGTCTACCACTTAGAATCGCGTGCTTACAGCCCTAGTGTTGCCATCACGCTCTTAGCATTCATTTACGCCTTGCCACCACTTGTTTTCGGCCGTCTCGGCTTATCTTCCCCGGCACCAGTCAGACTTGCTTGTTTACACTTGTCTCTGCATAATTTCATGACCTTGGACCCGATTTTGAGCCGAGCCGTGGTTGTCACATAAAATTGTAAATGTCTGGCAAATGGAGGTTCACCAGGCCCATAGGGCGAATGACATCAATCTTTACTCTGCAACACACGCATATTTTGAATATATTTCGCCCAACTGTGTTGACCGACACAATCCACGATACTTTGTCACTTTCTTGCCACTAAGTTACTCAGCTCAATCCGTTTCTGATTCGTTTCTGATATCATATTATCTGAGGGCACACAAGTGGCGTGAGAAACCTAGGGGTTCTTCGACAGGTCCGAACTGTAACGAAGGTGCGGCTCTGCGACTCATGTCACACAATAGAATGTCCGATGACGGAGCGTGCTAGAACGTGCTCTGTTCAAATAGTCTCGCATGAACCGACATTTTGGGCTGATAAAGTTCCCTTTGTCTAGCTCCTTCGGAAGATCTAGATCAGAACACCTTCCTATCAAGCCTTGATCCAAGCCAGTGATCAATTTCTTGTGGCTCTACAAGATCATTTGTTTGTCCGATTTCTGAATCGTCGCCATCTGCTAACCTACCCTTGTTGGACCCAGGTATTGTTGTTCGCGAATGCAAGAGAATCATTACTCAGTCCACCAAACTCTACTTGGACACACCGACTCCATCAGCTGCTTGCAGTTTTCCCCCAAAGGTCACCTTCTAGCTAGCAGCAGAGATGACACTCAACTTATAATATGGGATACTTCAACGGGAACTATACAACATCAAATCACCACCCCCAGCCCCGTATTTGCAATGGTGTGGGACCCTCGCTTCAAGTCAAGACTGTTTTGCGGATGCGAGAATGGAAAAACCTTGCTCATCGATCGTTTTCAGGTAACTTATCACACAAATACCAAACTTGGTACCTCTGACAGATCTATTGTACATTTGCAGGACCCAGACCATGAAGTACTGACTGGCACAGTAGCGCCAGTCTATGCCTTGGATATTGATACGGTCACAGGCTATTTGGCTATCAGCATTGGATCTGAAGTGCACGTTGCACAGGAAATTTTAGGCAGTGAGCCCGCAAACAATCTCTTCATGCGTCCTAAATGTTCCACACCCGAGCAGATACCTTCGCGATGTTTGTAATCCTCCCCAAACCTGCTGATTTCCCCGACATGTTACCAGACAGCAGAGTGCATCTGAGATCCGTACATTTCTTGAAGAACGGGACAAGGTTGATCGTATCCTACCTCAATCATGGCATTATGTATGTTCAATCGTCTTTTACCTGTGGCCACACATTTGATATCTTGTAGATGTTGGGATTTGAAGACACACGACGTGTTATGGCACATTGTCCCGCCCCTCAGTCGACGTCAAATGTAAATCCCTGTTTTCTTGCCCGCATAAGCTAATTTTGCACACTACTAGTGGTTATGCTGCATTGTCTCATAATTTCCGCTACCTAATTGTTTCAAACATGAATATCAGAATGAACTTGTATGTTTTAGGCGAGAAGGAACCTTTACAATCTTTCCTCCAGCCCACAAATACAGGCATCAACATTCCACTCGGTGTAAGCTTTTTGCATCGTGGGAGAGCTGTTATATGCGGCTCGCAGACAGGCAGTGTCAAAATTTGGGACACGTTGTCTGGGGAGCATTTGCAAATGCTTGAACACCAAGGTCCGTGCGCAATATTCCACCAGTGAGAACCCTACTGTAACCTCTGACTTATCTAGACGTCATCATGCAACAAGTATCTGTGCGTATATTATACATTTCTATATGCCCACATTTGACAAATCGTTGACAGACCTATCAAGGTAGTAAGTTTGCATACATTGCTGTAGGTTCCGTTGGGATGGGCGAAAAGACCCAGATAGTTTTATGGCGAGCAACTGGAGATATGTGATATATGAATACCCCACCTGGATACTCCGAGGCATTTGCTAATAGTCAATTAGACCAGATTCTTGGCGACTCATGGTGGGAGGACGTCCGCAATTACATGGTTAGTCTTGTTCACTAATCATCATTTGCAAATGCTTAAGTCATTCAGTGGAATATCCTTGCCTGGGATTTTGATCGAGAAATGCAATGCCAAATGAAACTCGACATCCTCTCTATCCTCGTTCTCGTGTGCTTCCTATTGTGCTTTTCGCAGATCAACGTAATGCGGGTCAGTCTATTATGTGCTATATCCCGCTCCTGCTTACTGATTGCATTTGACGACAGACCCATGTAGAAAGATATATCTTCAAGATTTTAGAACTATGCTACGACCGGGCCAGTCAAGCCTCTAAGATTTTAGCCCCAACATTAAAGTTCATTTGGTACTGGATCAAATCTGCGTTCTGGTCACTCGTTTCGTCTGGAATTTCGTGGGCTGTAATGACTTTAACATGGCTTGGAGAGAACTTAGGAGTTGAGGATCTCGTTGGGCGCCAAGAATTATGATTCCAGGATTCACGAATCATGCATATTTTGGACTTACTAGTAGTATGCTTGCTCGATGTATGACGGCCCTGATGACTCGGACCTGATACTTAGTTGTCATTGATGAACTCTATCAGCATGACACATATCGGATCACTGGTTAGCACACTTTAGCGGAGAGCACTCCGATTGACGTTAACCCGATTTCCATTGGCTGATTACATAGTATGCTACCGATACGTTCATAGTAAGTTGTAACCATTATATGATAGCACAGCCGTGGGCCGTGGTGTACTAATAAGTGCTTGAGAGCCACCCTCCCCTTTGTTAGACCCGCAGATGTACTGCCTGCTGTATGACCTTCCTCACACTCACTTTGTGATCAATGCTATCTGCTTTTCGCAGGATAATCGTTTACTTGCTAGTGGAGATGATGACGGTTACCTTCGGCTCTTTGATTTTCGACAAGGAAAGGAATTGTGTAAGGTGAGAGTTGTTACTTCTGTAACATCACTTCTATGGCATCCAAGAAAGCCTGGTGTTATTTTCATTGGCAATGCAAGGGGCAGTGTCACAGTTATGAACCTTCATGCAGAAGTGAGTCAAACAGTAATGTCATTAGGTTCCGATCTGATGTCTATCTCGAGCGCCCTGAAGCTTATTGTCTTTGCACTGGGGTCAATGCTCCAGCAGAGACATTGGCTTATGATACCTGCAATGGGTATCTCGCCGTCGCAGTAGGGACAGACATCATCTTATTCAACCGTTCTGAAGGTGAGAGGTGCATCCGCTGAAAAAGAGTAACACACACAATGGCTAAGATGCATACTACAGACCCTTGGACATTCGGTGTCAATTTTCTGCCGCCGCCTACCATTAAGACTGGCAGTGTGAATCACGACGAGTTCTTACTATTCTTACCCCGTGTTCTGAAATTCAGTAACGACGGATGTTCTCTTGTCACAGTGTATTTTCAACATGGAATCATGTAGGTATTGTCATTTACTAGCACTGGTAGAAAATATCTGATTGATCATTGTCAAAGTTCCTGGCTGATCGAGTCTCTCCAACCAGAATGGACCATCTGGCCTAAAAGCAGACACGTGTAAGTGCATTATTTCATCATTGTGATAATTAGGCGATATAGACAATGTATCAGGGGAGGTGCTTGTTTCTCCTCTGATGGAAGGAATGCCGTGGTGTCAAATCTCCTTGACAGCTTTGATTGTTACAACATCAGTAATGGCAGGCACTTGGCTAACCTCTCAACTCCAATCATCTATAATGTCCCACTACCTTCGCTATTCATCGAAGAAGACCAATCCATATTGTGCGGAAGCTCTTGTGGATATGTTTTGCTATATTCTGGAAATATGAAGAACATCCTCCAGATATTGAGACACGATGGTATGAACCAAGTTTTTGCTAGTAGTGGACCGATTTTAATGTCTCCTCTAGAACACCATATAATCCAGGCATTGGTTTGTTTGTTGTGGTGTATTTCAGATTGGACCGGTACTGATCCATTAGAAAAGGCATATTGCAAAAATGAGGCTAGGTTTATCACAACGGCCTCATCAGAAGCCTCATCAGATAATTATGTTCGGATCTGGAGGGCGAGTATATCTAGTGAGAGATGTTTTCTCCTTGTCTGTATAAATCCTCACAGTGGTTGTCGATATGACAGCTCCGAAAAAGATTTCAGTATGTGACTTTATCATATCCTCCTAAAGAATCATACTGATGCGACAAAGGACTCTTCGCGATCCTACTGGAGCATTGGTGGAATATTGTTGATGATTCTTATGGTGGTGACCATTTGGGTTAGATGTTTGGGTATCGACGTGGTGCCAGTCGGTCGATTGTTGCTGCTTCCTCTCCCTATATCTCTCACACCTGACAACAGACCAGTGTGAATAGCTATATTGAACTCTGGCACAACTTGGCTGGTCAAACCTTTGAAGGTTTGGGGCTGACTTTTCACCTGGCAGGGGTTGAGTATATGTTTCCGGAGCTTAGGAGTTCAGATCATGTTTAGCGACAAGCATCATGATTCCGAAATTCAGGAATTATGATATTCGATCCGTATGGCTGCTGCCACAGCAAGTCCCCGACTCCCATTGGCTCGTATATACTTTATACAGGACTGACTGACGCTGTACACTTTTCTTTTGACTGCTCGCCACATACGTACATTCATTATCTTTGTTCACATGCTATCTAAGAGTCCGAATGCGCTTTCCAAGTTCTTGATGCAATGTCATGATTGATTGTCTATATCATCAAGTATCATAGTGACACTTCTGGAATAGACAACAACCAGGCAAAGGTTCACTACCTCACCAATATTTTGTCAATATTTGTTCTCGTTCTGGCGAACATGCACGAAGAACAAGGTGTTCTCTCTCAACAGAAGCCGTTCTTCAGATTCTTCTCCAGTCTCATTAGCGACCTGCACTCCATCGCAGAACATCTAGACTCAGCTTCACGACCATCGCCTATACCCTTCCATACCCAGCCCTCACATCCTCCAGAGTTGTGTCACACAGAATCTCACTACCAAACTAGTCCACCACAGCTGGCCGTAGTGCTTCCGCCTCATTCCCGCCCCATTGGACCTGGCCATGCATCACATATCAGCCCATCTGTTCCTATTGCACTTCCTCCTATTGCGACGCTGTCACCTACATCAAGCATCCCTTCGCCATCTGATGACCATATGATTCTCAACTCAAACCATTCTTCTACTCCTCCATTGCAAGGAAAGCTTTCTGAGGTCATGAACCCAGCAGCAGGCTCATCGATGCGGACGATGTCATGGTATAGAGTTTTATGATGCTGACCAATCATGGTTAAGCTCCCACGGTTGAATTCAACCAAGTGCGCAACTTCAAGTCCGCGTTCAACGATATGGACTACCCCCAGCCGCTGCTGTTTACCAACGATGACTCAATCAAATCTCATCTTCATGTTGCCATGTCTCTATGTTAAGCTTTGCAACTTGATTCTTGGTACCTTGAACCTTCGAAACCATAATCAAGTCACCAACAAGACACGCCTTTGACAATCGCCTCGATGTCATCTCACTATTTGATCCAGACATGTTTGCCTCGCCTCTCGTCATCTCTGCCAGCGCTCTCATTGTAGAAGGCACATCATAAGTACTTGTTTCATTGTCATGATTTTTGATTTTTGATTTTTCTTGTACTCTACGCGGCTTCCGTCTGATGTTGCCATTGTTTTGGATCAGGTTGATATCCCTCGCACTCAGGCAACAGTCAACAGTCTCATGGCCTGTTCTTGTGGCCATCAACTATCATTTTCGAATTCGTGAAAGTGAGTTTGTTCAATTACGATTTCCTCCGACTTTCTAACTCATCCCGTTGCTAGTCACCATTTGACAGCCATGCTCCTGGTATCGACTTATGCTTGTGCGTCCGTCAGCTGTGAAATTCTATCTAATTGCATTAACATGTTCAGTGCCTAGCGTGCCTCACAGTTCTTGGGTGTGATTCTTGTTGGACGCGGTTTCCTAATACCAGTTGTGTATGTTTCACGCTTTCGATTTTAAACCTGCTTCAACTATTTTCATTAGCGTCATGAAGAACATGTTGGCACCACAAGTACAGATGAGTTGTAGTGCGTAGTACCATGAATATAAATATGATTGATGTTTTGCGTTCAACTGAATTCAGCATAATCTGAGAATTAGCTTGATTTTCCAAAGGGTTTTCTTGATGTACACATGGACAAATGAAAATGGTCGTCTACTGCTACAATAAATCGATCATCGACCCAGACTGTCATATGTAAATTGGCTGAGAAATAGAACAGGTTTTCATCATTCAATTCATGCTCCTTTGGTCGCTAGGCAGCAGACAATAGGACTTGAGGCTTAGACCTGTGTCAATTTGTGAATTCGATCATTGTTATTGATTTGCTTTGTCTTACTACACGTTGCGGCCGATAGCTAGGCTCATTTGTCGTCGAGCCTTTCACTTTCATTGTTCATTTTAGTCTAACACATGCACTACCCACCGACTTTAAAATGACAATCTTCAGGACACAACTCCCTCTGATGACAGATTGACTCAGATATACTCTCAACCTAGATATTCTACTCATCATCATGAAGCACCAAACTCATACAACTTTGTGTCGTCTTCTTCGCACAATTAGTGCTCCATACCGACAAGTACGGCGACACAAGCATGATGTTAGCTTTTATTCAACATGCATAGAGCGTCTTGTTAACTCTTTTTCTTACAACAGGCTGTTCCAGTTCACCGTCAATCTTTCCCAAAGCCTGGGGAAGCATACGTGTATCTGAGTTCTGCTGTATCTACACGGGGACTAGATGTATGTATAATAGCTCAAAATATTTCGGCAGGGAAGCTCATGTACTTATGTCTTCAGGCATACCCTATTCACCGGCAATCATTCGAGGAAATCTTACCCAGCCTCACACAGTGTCTCCAAGAGCAGGCGCTATCTTGTCGCCAACGACTTGGAAATGCTATGCTACTTTCATTAGCCCCCCCGATCATGAAAATGACCTTCAAATTCGCTCTCCTTTGATTAGCTCAGATGCCTCACAGCGGCAATCTCAATGTCGTAGTTCGAATAATACCATGGTGCATCTTCAAACTGTGGGATCGCATTCCCGTACCCTGTCATCGACATCGATATCACGCTCTCTGTCCCCTCAACTCATCTCTGAAAATTTCGCCTCTGCAGCCCAGCCAGAACCAGAATCACACTTGACAATTATGCCAAATCCTCAGGCCAGGCCATCTAGTCCAGTCAACTGATCGACTCTCAGCCATTCTCCGGTAGTGACCAGTACCTCTCGGTGCAATGTCCATCGTGTTGAGCATAAAATTCGTGGTCTCAATCAAGTCATGCATTGGTTCAATTCTCGTGGCTGTGAACCTCTACTTTCTCCTCTGCCGTGTCCCTTGAGTGCAGGGATCTCTACATCCATCAGTCACTTTCTACACCGACTGGCCGTCAGATGTGGATATGGAGTAATCAGTGTGGCCGGGAGGCTGTCAAAGAGAATCACGTACACCCTATCCTTCCAATGCATCGCCTCTGGCTCGGCGCAACTGGAGAACCTCGTTGGGTCACTCAGAAAACGATAAGCACGTACAAGGGACGCCTGAAAGTTTCAGGTAAATTGAAGGTTGTAACAGTCTAGGCAAATTCTGAAGCTATCTTTTTGCCGTACTAGCGTCCCAAACCTCACATATGAAGTCTCGCATTTGTGGTACACCAATGGCTTGTTTGGATACGTAATACTGTTTTCCCTGAGTCCCACTTCTTCGTCTCACATCTCAATACTTGATCTACTGGGCTGCATTGGAACTTTCTGTATTTTCGGTTTGCATATGTCCTCTGCTACTACTCATATAAGTGTACATAGCTCTATTTAGATGTTTTTGGGTGGCATTTATGACGGCCCAGAGGAGACAATAATAAATTGAATCATTTTTATATAAAATATCTACATGGTAACCCAAAAGTCGTGTTATGTTCGAAAATCTCTGGATGACACAGCGGGGAAACTGACATTTTACCACCTTTTGCCGCCAGTGAAATTACATTCTAAAGGTAATCCAGAGTGCTCTGGAATGCTCTAGGCTAGGTCTGGAATGGTCTAGCCAGGTCCAGATCTGCTTTTGATTGAAAATTTGAAATCTTGCAAGAGGTAAAATGTTGAAACCCCCAGTGTGTGATAACCAAAAGTCATCCACGTGGCTTCTCAGAACTCTATTCTTGGCACAAAAGTCATCCACATGGTACCTTCAGAAGAGTACTTCCTACTGTCATCCTCATTGTCGCTGACGATGAGCCACGCAGCGCCGCGCGTCGGGTCACGTGTCACACAGGCGGGTGCATGATCTCCCTTGCATCATTCAATGGATCATTAACCTACAGAGACACCCAAGCAAACATCACACTTCAGTTTCCTCTCTTCTGCAAAGAATATTGTATGACAATGGCGCATCACCATACATTCCAGAGCCTGGCGCAAATGTGCAGTACTTTGGTAACATTTTTGAGGCGACATGGCACCTTTCAGAAAGACCATTGTTACTTATAATCTCTCCCATACTCGAGGAGGCCAGCATTGTAGCCAAAATCACTGTTATTACAACAGTATTTGAGGAAACACGTGCCAGACTTTTACCAGTACCCAGAATTGACATTTCATTTGTCTCCCGGGCAGAAGATGAAGACCCATATACTGTTGCACTTTTCACTCTTGAACTTGAATCTGAATGGCCCATTTACGTTGACAGTATGATGAGATATTTTATTGTCAATGGTCTCCAGAAGGCCATTCTTGGCGTCTGCATTATGTCTGCACCACTCAAAGTCACCCAGCTCAGAGCATGCAAATCTCAAGCAGAGCTAGACCTTCTGAGATGTGCGAAGCTAAAGAAGTTCCATGCATCAAGATTCAAGTGTAAGTCCTGTCTTTATTAGTACCATCTGTGCTCTTGTATCTGACAAGCTTAAAAGGGCTGCCATGTTTTGGGCGCCAGCTCATTTTAACAGAAAACACCCATCTGTCCCCTCCAACAGGCTGTGCTTGTTTCAAGGTGGACACATTTGCTGTGGTTGATTAATTACTATACTAAGCAAATGCTGGTACGAGTGTCACGCACCCGCCATACCGTGACTAGTGACTAGTGACCCGACATGCAAAGGGTGGAGCCCACCTTGAGCTCGCCATTGATAACAGTGAGCATAGGATGACTTGAGCCAGCAGGTGGACGACTTTTGTGAAATGATTTAGAGTTTTGAGAAGCCATGTGGATGACATTTGTGAAATCAATTTGAGTTTTAGTTATAACGTCGATTTGTTTACTTTATCGTTTTGATTTTATTTCGTCCAATATGGTCCCTCATAGGCATTGCTGGTCCAAACCCTGTCCTCAAATGTTGGTAGTCTAATAAACAAGACATCCTTGCTTTGTTTTGAAGTTATCATCTGGAAAAAGCAATTCGGGTCGTAGCGCCACGCCTGTAGGATTCAAAATTGAAATAGGTATGCAAGACAGGAAACAAACTGTAGTGACAAAACAAAGTTTGATTGAATGTAGAGATAATTTTTACTTTACTCTGTTAAAAAAATCAAGCATAAAACAAAATCAGTTTCCTTTTTGTCACAAAATCAAAATTTGACCAAAGTCTACATTGACAGTCAACAGTCAACAGTCAATCTATGTGCCAGTCAATATTGATTGACCCTGTTGACTTGTTGACTGTTGACTGTCAATGTCGACTTTGGTCAAATTTTGATTTTGTGACAAAAAGGAAACTGATTTTGTTTTATGCTTGATTTTTTTAACAGAGTAAAGTAAAAATTATCTCTACATTCAATCAAACTTTGTTTTGTCACTAAAATTTAGTTTTTTCATGATGTATTAGAGAAAGAAAAGTGGGAGTGTAGGAAGAGAACAAGGTGATATAAATGAAAACTTGCCTAGAATTTGTTCAGAATGAAAGTAGCATGTTGCTTTCAATTACAGATACAATTCTCTCAGTTTAATTCTAATGACAGAAGAATACACACAGTGTTATTGCTGTTAAAATTAACTTACAATGAAAGCTTGAAAGTTATTAAAAATGTGATGACAATGGAGCTGTAAGGCAAAATGAGGTCAAAAACTTACAACAGAACAAATATAATATCTGATCACAAAGTGCAGACAGGCTGGACACAATTTTCATGTGGAAACACACCTCAAGTTGATATAAAGTAGGACAAATGTTGACAAAATTCTAATTGTTATCATAATTTTATGCAAGAATTAATGGTGATCTCAGTTTGTCTAAGATCACACTGTGTTCAACATTTGATACATGGGAAAATAGGTCTCTGCCCCCAGTGTGGAGTGCTTTGAGGTCATCAGCATCTAGACAGGTATCGACGACAAACAGGAAGACAGGTGGAGCCTGAGCGGGACGAGATAGAGTGTACTCAATCGTCGTGTACTTGGGAAGTAGTTCAGCGGGTTGATTGGTGTTAGAGATATCTTTATAATGTGGCGGGAAAGGATTGCGGGTCAAGCAAAATGGACAAATCCACAGTTTGCCTCTGATATTGATTTGACTGTATGGCACATCATTAGTAGAATTTCAGGAAGGAAGAGAAGAGACATACCAATATGGATTGAGAATAGCACGACAAGGCGGTTTACACGTCACGGGTTCGTATAATACTGGGGGAAGATCCTACATAATATAGAAGTGCCTTGTCAGCTCTTCGAACAAATAGCCATTATGCCAACTTGATGTGCATAAGGATGGTCCGGTGGCGCATGCAAGTCATACAGAGGCAGTGCGAGGGTACAACCAGGTATGAAGGTCGGATCAGCTGCAGTGCGATTGGAGAGAGTGTGAGTAAGCAAAGATGGCAATGGACATTCAATAAACTTCAAAGAAGGGGAGTATAAAACAAAGACATGAATGAGAGCCGGAGGTTTGGGAGACGATGATATGATGGAGTGTAGCCATCGATACAACGACCATGCAGGAAGGGTAGACCATGTGTGAGGTAGGAGCTGATCAGTCATTGGGACTGTCAGACTGGTAGAGCATAGTGAACACACGCATAGTTATGCGCATCAAAGTGACATACCTCAGTCTATTGACACTGGAAGTGTAAGCCAGAACTGACTTGAAGTGCCTTCATGCGGAGGAACATGTCTGTATCAATGGTATCCATGACGAAGTAATCATTGACTGCTTCAGGGTCACTGGCGAGTGCAACGCCATGAATGATGGACTTGACAAAGATGAATTCAGAAGATGACCGAGGTTTTGCTCACACCCGCCAGAGCCTCAAATCTAAGTCTTGTCTGCGGCGAACACCAATACCAACGTCGTAAGGATGGATCAGGGCAAGAGAAAGTTCAGTCCCCCCAACTTTGCAGCGGAACATGTAGATAAGATGTGCGAAAAATGGCTGGTGTTTGGTCTTTATGATGACGCAGTCATATCTTGGTGACCCAAACAATTTTGGGTTACATCGAAGGAGGTCTCATTGCAGATGCCAGTCAACCATCGACTCATAATTCACCCGGAGGTATCGAAATTCCGTGATCTGGCAAACCATGTTATATCAGTATTTAAATTATGGGCGATAAAATGTGCTACATGTTAATGCATACCTGGTCACAAGCTTGAAATCTGCTGCATGTCTCGTTCGGCAAGGGAATTGCATCGTTCGGCAGCAAGTCGTTGAAAAATTTGTTCAATTTGATTCGAAAACCAAAAAATGCCCTGTCTGTGGCATGCGATTGCTCGATGTCTGAAAAGGAGAAATCGCCCTGCCTCGCACCCAACTGTACACGTGCTGCTGCATTTACAACATCTTCAGGATTCTTGGTTGCCTCAGGCTCTATAGCAGCTTTCAAGTTGTCAGTATACGCGTCTAGGTCATCGATCTCATCACGGATAGAAGTTGATGTAAGTTGCCAGTGGTCGTAGCGGAGGATCTAGTATGGATCGAAATCAGCGCATCCGACCATGAGACATAGGAGGCTCGTTGTTGTGCATACCTGGGGAGCGACATCTTTGAAATTCGTCCGCCAGAAATAGATAGCTCTTAGTGGGCCATGCATTTTTTCATTCACCTTTGTGTTATCATTCCGTGTGACACCTTTTGCAAGGATATCGTCAAACAAATGCGTAAGCAAATGCTTCTTCGGAAAATTCCAACTCTTTCCGGTTTCAGGCTGTGATTTCTCGATATATAGCTAACAGTTTGTCAAAATCGTCAGTCAGAAGTGCTGCGTGTTGCATGACATTGAACCTACATCCATGAGCATTGAGAATCGAGACAAGGCATCTCTTCCAGCTGCAATGGTATCTTCGGTGTGAACCTGTAGTGCTGCATATATGTCGAGGTCGACATAGCAACGTATGCAGTGTAGAAGTAGATAACCGAGTTCACTATTAGTTCGGCTGAGGACATTCTGCGCTGTAAAGATGATCATCTGGCAGAACAGCATCAGTATCATAAAACATGTTTCAAATTGAAAAACACCTTCAATATGTCTTTGTGAGCTGAGCCATCGTTGAAATCAACCCCCACCACCTGCGAGAAGTGCCTGAGGTTGCACCACCTTGGGAGAGCATCAAAACTAAGATGAAGTCAATGACACCTCTGAAACCATCTATGGTAGAAAGACGAACTTCACATCAATCTTAACAATGGCTTCTCGTCCCAAATCTTTAAGCCAAAACTGGAGCTCCGACCACAGATGATCGCCCCACATCCCAGCATTATTGGAATGCAGGCGGTCAAACGAAAGTGCTCGGTGAACGTCGCAGTGAGAAACCTTCCAAAAACAATTCTGTGAAGCTAGAAGTAAATTTGTGCTAAGTCTCGACTGGTAAAGACACCATACCTCGACGTCACACAGTGAGTACGCCTTGAGTTGTTTCTCCTTTTCCTTTTCTGTCGATGTTGATCTTGCCGCATTGAGAATGTCGAGAGAATGAGTACTTGTGCATAATGGATGTGCGTCCGACAATACCGATTGCTGTTCTTGAGGAACCAAGCAAACTGGACATGGAAATTTACCTTTAAGTCCCTGAATTAAGGACATAACACACCTGTTACATATCATTAGAGTCAAGAAACCACCTCGTAAGTCTAAGACTTACTGTTCCTTGTAATCGGCATTTAGAATCAGTATCAAAGGCCAAAGAAGGTGTTGTACGGGGTCCCAACATTCAAACCAATATCCACTCTTCAAGTGTACTATGACTGCCTCGAGTAGCTTGAGGAATGACTCGTGCCAGACCGCGTTCTTGAAGTTCACAAAACTTTTCTTTTTGCCATGTTTTGGATCTTCTTTAACCTGTTCCGAAGATGTGATTGAATGATTACATTCATGTTGAAGTCTGACACTCACAATCGGCAACCAACCAACAACTCGTCCGCCACCTACACCTGTACCATTGCGAATCTCAACAGGCAAATTTGCAATCCGCACAACAATTGGGTAGCCCTTCTTGGTTCCGAAAGAAGATAGTTTGGCCTTGTCGGCATACAGGACGAACGCAAGCGGCTTAGCATCGGGTGGAAGGCGCGACTGTAACTATATTTATATTGTACCATGGACAGATTAATCTTGGAAACATACTTGTGCATCCCAGAAAGCATTAGCAGTCCAGGGCTCATCTATGAATCGCACAAAACGTGCTCCATTAAATTTATAGAGGCGCTGAGCATCAAACACAAAATGTGGTGCGAACCGACTATCTCACATTAGGTCAAGTGCCCAGTTTCAAAGACAGCGGGAGTACATCGTGTATTCACGAGCCTCACCGTGATGCGGCACAGATATTGTACTGGTCTCAAACTACACTCGATGGCCTATTAACACCGTAATCTACATGCACCGACATGACTCACAGGCATGAATCGTTCGGATGCCATTTTCCACAATGTACAAACTTCATCATGATTCTGCAAAGTGAAATCTTCTTTAGCGCTTGCAGCACAGCGCATGAGCTCAAAAAGCCTGTTGGTCTGGTCTTTCGTCATCGCTGCAGCAAGTGCAATCTCTGCAACCTCGAAGTCGAGCCGTGTGCGGAATGGTTCCCACGGAGAGGCGTTATGAGGCATTGTATCCTCTGTAGGATGGCGGTGAGAAAAATTGGAAAACGGATGAACGGTTGAAGGTATCCTGCTATGTGGATGATATTCAATTTTGATATCATCCAGCTGAGGCGCCGGGGGTGCATCATCATCGACACCATCATTGGCGTCGTCATGGTGTTGGTGGTCAGAGAACACTGGGACGAAATCTACGGATGATGGGTGGCTCCGGGGTGACGATCCATGCATGTCAATGTCTCAAATATAGGAGGTTAGCTTCTTGCACAGATGGGCCATTTCAATTGAATGTTTGAAACAACTCACCATTGTCCTGGTTTTCCTGAATAGCAACTCCATCTTGCACTGCCCAGATTGCGATTGGGTTGACTAGCCATTGGATTCAGAGTTAACAGAAAGATCAAGTGACAGAAGCAGCTGCGAGTTCACCTAAATTCTCCACAGCATGAGATGGTCCAGGTGCCTTCCCATCATCGTGACTCTCGATCCGAAACTTCTGACGTCGACCTGGATATTGTTAAATCATTGGCAAACAACAGTCATTCGAGATGAATCTTATGTGCATGAATTTAGTATTGAATATTACTTACGCTTTTTCCAAGTCTCTCGAAGGGCCTCTGTGAGCTCTTCCTCTTCTTGCCTTTGCCTTTCCTTCTTTTCACACATCCTTGTATGGGACATTATCCCGTGTGCTGGCATTGTCACACCACATATTTGGCACAAGATGTCTTCCGAAGCCCGGGGCATGAGAGAATATACCACAAATCTATGGTACAAACAGTAGTAGAACAGTTAGAAGTAGATTAATAGAGGCAGGATATGTGCAATGGTCGACCTGGTCAATCAGCGACAATGAAATGGATCGTAATCGTATTAAAACTCAGCTTAGATATCTATAATCGGATTCTAATGCTGATTATGATAGCTATTATGATTTGATTTTAACGCCGCATCAGTAGATTAAAACATGTGAGCATTTTGATGCCGCCAGGAAATTTCCGACATACTGTGTTTCATGCACGCATGCGATGAACACTGATATCATTTGTTCATCGTGTCCAGTATCATGTGCATCTTGAACCTGCTTCAAAATGGTCAGTTCTTTCTCTGGACCATCAGCATAACCAGCAGCACTTTCATTGGTGCCTTTACTGAACATGGCCGGCGACCAACATGTAATTTCAGCAAGCAAGCCTCTTAATGCGCCTGCAAAAACAGCGAAATCGGCCCTGCCAGGTCTCCCAGTCATCTACACCATCACTAATCTATCACCTTCCCCTGACTGTCTATTTGGTACGTTGCTCGAGCTGTGATTCGCTACGAACAATCCATTCATTTGGAAAGCACAGTGGCCACTTAATCATCGTGACACACAACACATCCAACAGCCATCAAAACACCTTCTCTGAACATGCTATGCCACACAATGCGACCTTGTTACAAAAAAGTAATCTCAGGGGAGCTGACAGCAAGTATTGAGCTGGCCAACAAGACCAAGAGAGCACACATGCTCGTTACGATCCCATATGCTCAAACCTGTATTAGATCGGTGGTTACCTGGTTTCATATGGAACACATCACCAATGACTGGAACTTTCCTGGTGTCCGAGTAGTGGCGTGGTTTCACCAACAAAATTCTATGCTGGGTATCGTCTTTGATTTGATTTTGGACTGCAATACTTACTTTGCCTGTGATATAGGTTTCTTGGCTCTCATATGCAACTTCCTCTTCGACCTCGGGATGTGTCGTATAAGTATTTAATGGCTATCAATCACAAAACAAGATGTATCTGCCTGTGCAATACATCGCCATCACATAAGTGCACAATGCATTGAATATGGTGCGCTTTGTATTAGATTCGTTCTATGCTCGCCGTCTCTTTGTTCATCGTTTTTGATACAATCATAATAGCCCAATGATCCGAGTGTACGAGGTGCTGTGCCGCAGAATAGTCCTTGTTCCATAAGAGTAATCAGAGGGCTGTTCCGCCTCAGGCTTGCCTAGTGAAGCCGAAGAAAGTGCTCGTACTCGTTTCGATCACATCATGCTTTGACCTGTGTTAGATCGCTCACTACATGATTCATAAGGAACTCCTTCATTTTTTCAAGCTTGCAGCAAAAACACTTCAAAAATCACATCGGAAATAAGTTGTCTTCATCATCGATGACCGGAACTTTCCTGATGAAGTTCAAGTATTCAATGTGCGCAACGCCGGTTCAGAAATCAAAATTTACTTTGATTTGATCAAGGGATTCCACATGCTTTTTGCTTTATTTTGGACTCAAGCTGTTCCACCCAATCAAGGGTCTTGGGGCGCGATCCAATATCCGTCACCGTCATGCTGATTTTGGTGACACAAGGGCTGTATGGTGGTATATCTAGCACGACTGCTGTCGTTATGCATCACTAACCTTCCCCACTCGCTCACAGTGCACATCCATCCTCAAACATGACCTACGTCTCAAATGATCCCAGTGTTACAGGGATCTGTAACACCTACTAGAGCCCCAGTTCTCCCTACGCCTGCCCCCGCTCTGCTAGACTCCCCGCGCGGCGGTGCGCCGCCTGCGCCTAGAAAGACAGTGGTCTGGACCGCTATGACCCCGCCCCCTGGCGCTATGACCCCGCCCCTGGCCTAGACGGCCTTGTACCTGATCCATGGAGGCTGTACGCCTCATGGACACCCTAGATCAGCGCATGTATACCACATGTCGCTTCATGAAGATCCAGAGCGCGCTTGGCGCTTCCTGTACCTATGCGCAGCTGCCCTTGGCGCAGCATGCTTGATCAGAGGTTAAGCCTCATGTATCTTATCTGAACCTCATGTCTTGTTATCATAGATTTACGATATACTATTGATTACAGACTGAGCTAGAATACTTGTAGTACTTCCCTATAAGTAGACACAGATTATTGTACTTAGACTTTACTTTAATCTACTAGGTTCATCCCCAGAACTTGCTCATCTAAGCCTACCAGCTTCCTTGTGTGAGACCGCACTTCTAAGTCGCCCCCATACGACTTAGCACGTATCCGCTAGCCCTGCATCTCGACGAGCGCCATCTTACCGAGATCGCCGGAGGAATCCTTGACGTTCCGTCAAGGCCAGACCACGCTCAGCTTCAGTAGACTCACTCGAGTCGTCGCTGAGAAGACCCATCCTAGTTCGCACACGCCGACCGACGGTCAGCGTAACACCCAGTTACTGGCTGTATATCAGTGAAAATATTTTTGTAAACTATTGGATCGGTTTGTCGCATCAAGATGTCTGGCTCCAACGTTGACTCTCGGTTTTGCAGTTGCTGCTGGCATCGTGGTGGTATATGATTGGGGTTAGCAGGACAGTGTTCGAAAATTGCAGATATTCTCATGATATTTCCAGTCTTAACACTCGGACAAGAGGTACATCGATGTTATCGCCGGAGGAGTTAACTCGCTAATAATGGTGTCATAGATTGAACTCATCTGGGTAAGTAACAAGAGTCCCGTATCGAAAGAAAACAAGAGCATGCACTGAATTCGCGACAGAGACAACACTGGTCTCTCATGACCGTGTTGTATTTGATTGTTCGTACCTCATGTTTTGCTTTAGCATGGTGGACAACTTGTGCTGACTCAAAAATGTTCTAGATATGCTATCTTGCAATACTGTATTTTCTGTATGTGTCGAGATCAACCACTTTGCACTGTGCCAATAGCTCATCTCTGACAACTAGTGCCTATGTTCTACATATGTCTCATATGCACTGTGTTCCATTTTTCTGACCAGCGATACACAGAAACTATGCCATCAGTATCGCTGACAGATGCAGTAAGTATTCTGCAACCATCTCATCCCCATCCAATCAATACGCTCATATGTAGGGGTGAGTGAGATTCCAACCATTGAACTTGGCTCAACATAATGACTTGATAGTTGTAAGTCGGAGTCTTTGATACTAGTGCGAGGGCATTCACTAATTTCGAGTTTTAGCCACCATCATGTACTACGTAGTAAGTTGCACAACTGTGGCCTTGACTGCCATGATGGGCGGTAAGTTACCCAGGTGCAGTACCTCCATGATATTGACCTGACTGACACACGACGCAAGTGATCATGATTGCTCGGTTGCATGCCATGTATCAGGGATCTAGAACGATGCTTATGTTCCTTGTTATTATCTTCCTGGTTGTAAACATTGCCTGCGCAGTAATTGCGGCAATAGGACTCAACAATACTGTACTTGGTAAGCTGTACTTGTCGACTTGAAGAACACGGCTAATTGAACAAACACCAGAGGAGGAGATACTCGATGGCATATATATGTGCGGTGATGTATATGGAGGGGACAACCAGCTTCTTATTTTGATGCCTTGGATGCTCAACACTGTTTGGGAGGTCCTCGTACTGTGTCTTTCAGTCTGGGTTGGCGTGAAACACTTCCGTGAGCTGCGACGACTCGGCCCATCGACAGGATCGACCATTGGGGACTGTTTCAAAGTGCTCCTACAATCTCACATTCTTTATTTTGCAAGGTGAGCTTGTAATGTGGAAGCAGTTATATTTTTCTGCTCAAGTTCGGCACATGTTAGCTTTGTTGGTGTGTCTTGCCTCCAGATTTCTGCTCTCTCTCCAGTAATCTCGGTGCGCCAACCTGTTGCTGATATCTGCACGTAACCACTAGCTCATCTGTTCTATAGAATACAAATTCTATTGGAGCTCAGATACTCAATGGTGCTCTTCAAATTTCATTGGTCGTGCAGATGTTTGTGCTGGGACCTTGTCTCATCCTGAGCGTTCGAGAATACCACACCAAACTCGTGGCATACTCTGATGCAGAAACTAGCATGAATTTGATTGTTTTCCAGGAGCGTGTACATGTATCGACTAGCAGTACTGTGTAGGGAAATGCTTTGCCGAGTGGTCTGCAGGGAGGAGAAATTTGGTGGAGGATCCGTCGTGGTATTTATTTATCATATGATGTTTCGCAGTATATTTGAAAGGTCCAGGCAAACCCTGTTTCTTGTTGTATCACTACTGGAACGAAGTACCCGTGCTTGAACCAAGTGGTAAGGGGAAATTATCCGGAACGACTAGCAACCAAATTGGTCCTTGATGACCGATGTTGAAATACAACGAGAATCAGTAAAAGTGCCTTGACAGCTGATTCTGTGTGTTGGTGTTCCACTGTCTGGACATATACACTGCGAATCGTGAAGCCAGATGACTGATAACTCATTGGTACTCAGATGTGATTTCCTCCATCCAACAGGCAAAGGAGAATGAAAGGAATAAATTGTGTAAACTCATGGTTTTATTGTACCTCTTTCTTGCAAATGAGCGTGACAAGGATATGGGGTCTGCTGAGTGATGGGTGGAGTATAAGAAAATATCAAAAGGCCTCAAGCGTACCTATCAAACTACTGATGAGGGATTGACCACGATATTCTGTTGGAGCCCTGGCTAAGCACGACTATGAGAGTAAAGCACCTGGATGAGATACAGACATGCATACACACATACATATACTTGTTGACATGGACCACAGTCGCTGCCAGTCTGTGCGCCATGGGCTTTAATTAAACAAACTTCAACAAATATTTGCTGCGAATACATGGAGACCCCGCGTGTGCCTCTTTCGTATTATATTGGGTGCACGAATGCAAACTCTTGTTTATTCATTCATTGTGCCCAGTATCGTGTGTATCTTCAGTCTCCTGCCTCAAAACGGTCAGTTCTTCCTCTGGACGATGGTCATAATCAGCAGTGTTTTACTGAGCACAGCCGGTGACCAACGTACTTCAGCAACAAGTCCGCGACCACAGCGAAATTTGGCCCTGCCAGGTCTCACTGTCACCTACCCTATCACTACTCTATCTCCTCGCTCCCAACTGTATATTTGGTGCATCGATCGAGCTGTGATTCGCAATTCGCTGTTACAAACCGTTTGTTTGCAAAGCACCGTGACAATTTTGTACTTATAACAACAACGCATCTACGACCGTCAAAGCTACTCTACGTTTTTGCTAAGTATTGTATAACCCTCCTACTACTCTTTCACTTAGTTTGACAGACTCTTTAATGAAACATTCAATACTCGTTACCTGGACTACTCAGCTTCTTGCACTGAAGGGCGCTGATTTGTGCAGGATGGGCTGCAAGAACGTCGAGACCAACAATGGTGTTAGCGACATTTGAGTTTGTCAGGTTGAAACCCTGAAGATATTAATATTGATGTCAAGCCAAGTTCAGCATGGCTGCCTCACTGTATCTGGACATTCGACTCAAGCGCTCACATGACGATGACGCCCCGTTTAGAACTTCATCAGATGGTGGCGGTCCAGTGCGTGCCACATCGATCAAATTCAGCCTCCAGCTTCTATGCCCATTCCTCAGGCCTCAAGCTCGAGCACTCAAGCTTCAAGCTGAAGCTCACGGACCTCCAACCAGTTCATCCCGCTTGCGACGTGCTTCTCTTCACGAGCCATGCATGACACAACGTGCAGGTAGCATTGATGTGCGTACACTCAGGACGATTGAACACTTGTGGGTCAGCATTCAACTACAGAATCTTGATGTATTCATTGCTGTGGTTGGAACGAATTGCAATTCTACTAGTACCTTCTGTCCTGCGTGGAATATGCCAGGGAAACAGGACCAGCGCTGCTTAATCCGTCACCCGCTATTGGCCTCCAGTAGCAGCCACCTACGCCACCCGTCTTGATCCTTAGACTGAATCGTGACACAATGTGGGGTCTTGCGCGCAGGTTATTTTTTCCGACAACTACCGCATGGAACATTAAGCTGTGTATCAAGTCTTTTTCGTCGTTGCACTGAGCTCGTGTATTCATGATAGCGGAGCCTGTTCTGCAAAACACGATAACACTTTCTATTGTTCAATCGCTCTTTACCAAATGCCGAGTCTACCCAAACACAGCCGATGTCATTTTCGATGGAACTTTGCCGGCAACTGTCAAGTTGCACGTATACAGCACAGGAACTGTGTTAAGCCTTGGATTTCGAAGGAATTCCTCATACGGGTTTGCACCACTGTACACGAGGCGTGTCATCGGTGGCTGTCCCATCATTTCATTTAGGCGCCATCTATCTGGTAGTATATAATATAATCTATCATATCACTAGGAGTCCCTCAGGCTTTCGACGTTCGACGACAAAGGCCGTTCCACTTGCTTTTACGACATTCCTCATCTTCCTGTCCCTATCTCAAGTCAGACTAACGGTCAAACAGAATCCGTTCACGAACCACATCCTTTCCCCACAATCATGAGTACAATTGCCTACCAAGCATGCTTGGCCGCCTGTGTATGTCCCACCATGTACCATGCTTATCGTGTCTTAACGTCTGGTATAGTCTTCAGGGCGTGACACAAGTGCTACTGCCCCCCGCATGCCTGCGGATCCTCCTGCATCTAATCACTTTGCTGGCCAGGGTGCTTACCGGGCCCATATCTTTGAACGAGTGAGTATCATGACTTGATAAAGGAAACATGCCTTATTGAAATGTCACCTCTAGTACGGGTTTTCCTAGGATAAGAGCAGTGCAGAGTTCTCGAATATTGTTCGTGCGCTTTGGCTGTGCCGCTGCGCATGAAGCACGTTTGTCAATGAGGCAGGCCTCCTATTACTAGAAGCTGGTCTTCAATTCTTTGCCATTTGAGCCATGGTGTGCCCATACGGTTTGGTGGATCCAAATTATCCAATGCCCTTGATTTTGTTTTGTTTTGTTTTGTCATGTTTGGAAGCGCATACGTTGATTGCCAAGTCTTTCAATGCTAGGAGCTAGTCTTCACTGTTCACCATTCGAATTATGGTGTCTTGATACTCTTGTGTTGTATCCGGTGCCTTCCACTTTGTCATATTTTTGCATACTGCTTGTGTCTCGAAGCATGCCCTATGTCGACGAGGCAGGTCTCTTAGGAGCTAGTCTTCATCTGTAGGGTATATTGATGCGCTTCCGATGCTTTCCACTTTTGTTTGGTTTCTTCATGACCTGTTATTTAATGCCTGTTTACGAGTTCCTCGACTTTACCGTATAGTTTGATACTATGTATGACCGTTGTCGTGAATGTATGTCTCATCCATTTACAAAATTGTCAATGGTGATTTCAAAATGCCTGTCTGGCGACTTCGCCACTCAATTGAAAAGCCTGAGAGCAAGTAGGCTAGAATTTGGGATAAACACCGGGCGCAGTATATATTCCCCAGTAAGTGAGTCAGAGCCAGATTGCCACAAGCAACCAATTCAATGCACAGCCTATCTAGAATGAATCACCATACCATTCGAGTGTGAGCGCTAGTTAGAAGAGCTGGTTCTAGTGAGAAGGTTGCTGATGCGTGTGATTTATTGAGTAAATGACAATCCCGGAGCCAGCACATACCAATGACCGAAGAGAATGGGTGCAATGGGCTAGCACCTAATGCAAATGACGGGACTCTTCCTAATCCAGGTGTTGCGCTTTAATATAATAGATAAGTAAACAAAAAATAGAAAAGTGCTCGACAGCCGCCCATTTTCCGCGTGTTGTTGCGCTCTATAGCAGATACATAGGGGGCAATAGAAAAGGGCCCGGTGGCTATCCTGAGTCTGGGAAGACCGGGAACGGTATGGCCTGAGCGTCTTAACCAAGAATGTCGCCTTTAGAAGCCAAGCTTGTGCACAGGTACAAGCGCCTGCAGCAACACATGGCGAACTTATCTGATTGATTTGGGATAATTAATATGTTGCTTCTGCTTCTTAGTGCTGCCATGGTCCGGTTCGGTCCGGTTCACAGAGGGTCGAGCGAGAACCAAGAACTGGACCTAGGTCCGGTTCTACCAGACTCAACAAACCTCGAACTGGACCTTGGCAAACAGTTCAGAATGGTCAGGTCCGGTTAATTTCAGGTTCGAACATGAACCGAACCAAATTTATTTACAATGAGCAAAAAAAAACATAGGTAGGTACTCATAGCTACACATCCAACTACACAGCTTCTGCCTCGACTGTCGCAGAAACATGGCCATTCCTATACACCGCCTTTAACAACTGTAACGAGCCAAACATGGATGATGCGAGTGCATTGCGTCGCACGGTGGAGGTGATCCCTCTGCTTGAGAAAGCCTGTTTGGAGGGGACAGAGCTGCCCTGGATGGGCAAATAATTGCGCGCAATATGTGCAAGCGTAGGGAATTGTAAAGAATGAAGCCCCCACCAGGCAACAACATCATTGGCCTCCTCTAGTGGTGAAGACAGATACGCCATGAGTTCTTGATGAGGATTGCGAGCAGGTTGGTCTGCAGCTTGACGCACCTTAATGGCCTTGCGCATCCATGCATCACCATACCGGTTTTCCAGCAAGGGTCTTGTTGGCGGAGCAGGTTCATCGACAGGTGTCCGAGTTGGTGGTTTATAGTACTCGTCAAACTGTAGAAGACAGGCCCCAGTGTCATATTGATGCAACATTTTGCTGCAGTTGCAAGGGATCCAGTGATGCAACAGCGCAGCGTGGATCCTCGGATAGCACTGATGCATTGCAGGTCGGCTCATTGCTTTCCCAGCCCATCACCCAACTACTTATAGTGTGCGCATATATTCATTTTCCTTTCTCCCTTTCTCCCTTACTTATCACTGCTTGTATTCTGTCAGTCCGAGTCACGATGTTCTGTTCCGTCTCGAGTCCAATTTTTCATGCGATGCAGGCTGATACTTATAACGTGCACATAGCCTATATTCATTCTTCCTTTCTCCCTTTCTCCCTTACTTATCACTGCTTGTATTCTGTCAGTCCAAGTCACGATGTTCTGTTCCGTCTCGAGTCCAATTTTTCACGTGATGCAGGCTGATACTTGTAGCATGCGCATATATTCATTCTTTTCAAGTTTTCCCTTACTCGTATTCTTTCAATTCCTGCAAGTCTGAGTCACGCTGTTCTGTTCTGTCTCGCGTCCGATCTTAGCTTTTCCTTCGCGACAAGCTTTCACAATGCAAGAATAACTTCATTCACTAATCATAGACAGGATAAAGGTCTAGGGACCACATCTATTACATCTGTATAGCATGAAAATTTATGATCAGAGCATGGATCAAACAGAGAACTTCATGGAGCCAACATAAAGCCAGTCTGCTCACGCCTTCGTTCGTCTTTTCCTGTTTCTGTTAGCGAGTGAGAATAGAGCAGGATTTTTCAGACATACTTTGTTGGAATCACGCCTTCTGCAGTCGAGTCAGCAGTACGCTTCAATGATGTTCCCCCAACCTCCTCCAAAACACTTGGATTTTCCTTGCTACCAATACCAACAAATGTCATGCCATCTGACCTGATTGCATCAGCAATATCATTCCGCCTGGATTTGATTGGAATGCGCTTCAATACACGTGCCGCTCCAATCTGACTCGCAGTAGCTTTTTGCACGATATTATTGATAGTAATCAAATCACCCAACGCGTTACCTTCATTTGCAGCGACATGTGTTGTCTCCGTTACTGCACTGGACTTGGTACTAACAGGATTTGCCTTGGGTTTGGGTTTGGGTTTGGCCTTGGGTTTGGCAGTGTTTGCAAGCGTGATCACAGGGATAGGCTCAGTAGAATTGACCAGGGAAGTGAGTTTTGCTGTAGTGGGTGCGGCCATAACAGTGGGAGTGTCTGTGATAAATTTGGCGGCAGAGCAAGGCTTGTCGAGCCCATTCAGTGACATGCCTCCTTAGTTACTGGCCAGCCCACCTTGACATTTCTTCCAAGTGATATGGGCCAGCCCACCATGGGCCCACATTATAGGTGTATGTCTATGCCTCTGTGTGTGCCCCACTGGTATTGTGTACCCGGCGAATATGGGTAGGCCCACAGATTACATTCTTCGAAACATTGGAGTGGGCCCACAGGGATTTGGATTGAAGTACAATGTATTTACAGGTGGGCCCATACTATAGCAGAAAAGATATTCCTACTGTCGCCGATGATTTGCAAGCGGCGAAAACAAATAGATATCCCACTAAATGACAGCCGGCAAATGCAACTTGAAACCTCAGCCGGCAGCGATATTATGATTTAATCCAGGCAATGCAGATAACATTCGGCCCATGGCTTTCGGGGTGTTGTGTACATCATTGTCAGCGGTGTAAATCAATGCGGCGGACTCAAAGAGGTATATCGGCAGAATCAATCAGATATATCAGCGGGATAAATAAGAAAAGATATTCCTACTGTCGCCAATGATTTGCAAGTGGCGAATACAAATAGATATCCCACTAAATGACGGCCGGCAAATGCCAATTGAAACCTCAGCCAGCGGCGAGATTATGATTTAATCCGGGCAATGCAGATAACATTCGGCCCATAATTTTCTGGTTTAGGGTACATCATTGTCGGCGGTGTAATTCAATGCAGAAAACTCAAAGAGGTATATCGGCAGAATAAATCAGATACATCGGCGGGATAACTAATATTGTCGGCGGGGTGATATTGGGTAGACCGGTAATGCACCTCTGGCGATTTTATGAGGTTGGCAATGCCATCGGTGCATCCATATAGCTGTAACCGAGTACTGGCGAATAAACGGCCATTTTGTCCATTGGTGAGCCCACATTGGTTTCACGGATGGGCTTGACTCTGGTATCCGAGTGGATGGGCGGGCCCATGCTCCTCTACATTCAGTGTGGGTGGGCCCAGGTGATGTATGTCTGGATGCAGTCGGCCCTCACGACAGCCTATGGCTTGGATGGGCCCGTCCTTCTGAGGTATGTGGGCGGGTGGGCCTACTACAGTAACATGGGTGATACGGTTCGGCCATGGAAATGCATCTCGGTGACTACGGACGGGCCCACCAACCATGTAACACATGTGGTAGGCCTCGCCCCGGTTGGCGCATGGTACGGGCAGGCCACAGCAAATGTCAACACTACCACGAGTGGGCCCAGACAGTGCCTTCCTCCTTCCGCATGGGCCCATGTAATGTACGCTGAATAGCATGGGCCCATCCATGAATTCCAAATACAGCGGTGGGCCTTGGAGATGCTGCAATGGCCATGGGTGGGCCTGGGCAGTGATGTCACCCTTTGAGATGGGCCCATCTGATGTCCAATGCCAAGCATGGGCCCTTCCCTGGATTCTTAATACACTGGCGGGCCCAGGGCCTGCTGCCATGCACACCATGGGCCTAGGGCGTGTAACCAGGCAATGTGTGTGGGCCCAAATAGGATCAGGCAAGCGGGATGGGCCCATTTTTGGTAAGCACCATAAAGCAGCAGGCCAAGGTAGCTGCCGCAGACACCATACCTGTGATTCACCGGCGACATAAAGCTGAAGCAATGGAAATCTGGATGACAAACCCGGCGAGATACACGGCGACCTTCCATCATGGAGCCGGCAGAACTGGTGAAAACAATTCTTGTATTCTTGCAGTAGCTCTCCGGTGGGCAGGACCAGGGTACCTGGACCATATTGGCGATGTTGCATGGACACATTGCATGTACGCGGTGAGCACGGAGAATGACATTGATGTGACGAATGTGTGGGAAAGCCAAGTTCTCCGGGAAAACAATGTTATGCTGTGGACTCCAGGTCCATCGAGATGTATATATATATTCAGTATATTGAGACAAAGAACTAAGTGATAGGAAGACGAAGTTCAGTAATACTGTAGCAGGCAGCTCATGATCTTGAATCGCATCGGCGATGATTTTGGATGCTCCCGGTGGGTTCGCACTGAAAGGCCGAGCTAGATCACGATGACACCCATGTAGCATTGTAGGGATGCTTGCATCGTGCAGGTCTCCACACCATCTGCATGATGAGGAGATAAGAGCTAGAACGATTCAGATTCCACCCAACAACATTATATTTTACAACACATACTAAATATCTATGTGTGCCATACTACAATGCAGACAGAAACATACATGTATGGACAAGTACAACAAAATTATACCGGCAGCTGACCCGCATGCACATGAGCTCCCTCAGCTGCAGAATCCTTCATCACAACTGGCAAACACGCCGATTCATCTGGGGGACTTGCTCCGGCGACCGGTTCACCAGAGGCCTCATTGGAGGTAGGTGTAGGTTGGGCAACTACCGGAGGTGAGCTGTCTCGATGGGAGTGTTCCAAGGCCGCTGGATAAAGCTGTCGGTGGAGTGACTCAATTTGCTCGGTGAGCCGATGGGAGAGTTGCTCCTGTGCCACTAAGCGTGTTGCTGCGTCCTGAAGCTTGCCGTCAGTGGCCACCACTTGTGTCTGCAGGGCCAGCACTAGCGCGCGAAGGCTGTCCACTTCCACATTGAGGTTTTGCATCTCCTGCTGATGGGACACAGAGGACGGCATAGGGATGGCGGCCGGTGAAATAGCTGGCGCTGGCATGTTTTCAATGCTGTTCTGAACATTCTCTTCTGCAATGGACATGAGATCATCTTCATGAATCCAAAGACAAACTTACCGGCTGGCGGCGAAGCACAGCACCAGGACTGTGAACGGTTCCGGCATGTAGCAAAGGTCTTTGCCTTCACTTTGGGGGCCTCCGACCCTTTTCCACTGCACTTGATCTTCAGCTGGTTACAGAGGCCACATACCCTCAACTTTCGGTGGTTACCCTTATTGAATCCCTGGCGACATATAAGGTCCCAGGCCACACATTGGCCACAATGTGGTGTCCATACTGGCGCGGATGTGTCGGCGAAGTCGTCCTCCGTGAGGTCAGGCCCGGAGGTGATTGGGATATTCTGCATTCCCATAAGTAAGTGGCAAGGAAGAACAGTAACAACTTACCGGCAAGACAATGGACGCGGCATGTGCAATTTGTGGCCCAGCCACATCCGCGATACTCTCATTGGTATCGCTCTCCTCTTTGCTGGTGACCTCAACATACTTTTGACCAGGACGAGCCTTTGGCTCCGTAACTGGAAGCTGCAGGATGGATAAGATTAGCTGATCGATTTGTACGGATATTGAACTTACTTTTTTGAGGGCTGTCTTTGGCCCAACCTCTTCTTCCTCAAGCTCATCCTCGCTGCTGAGGATGGCCTTTGATTTCTCAAGGCGTCGTTTTGTGAGCGCCGGCCGGCTCCGACTCCTGGTACTTGGCGCCTGGGAACGCTTGCGTCGCTCAGTGCCCCGCCCATGCTGTTCGACGCTGCCGGCAGGAATGTTTTCCTTTGCCCGAGAAGGGCCAGGTGTTGGGGGAGACTGTGGCCGAGTGACCGGCCGGTAATTGAGGGTAGAGGGAAAGAGCGGGTGGCCCTTGATCCTTAAATCATCCACACGGATTTTCATCCACACAGGCGGACTTTTCATGCCAGTGTTGTTGGCGTTGACATGCTCCTGCAATTCAGCAGCAGCAGAGAGGATTAATGGCAACAGGACGGTCACCTGGTTGCCATGTAACATTAAGACTTGAGTCTAACACGACATCAGACGCGCCTGAAAAACAAGTGCAAACTTACCAGTGCCTGACCCATCTCCATTGCAATAGAGATATGCTTTTGATCCGCCGGCTGCAACTGCCAGGCTTGCCCCAGGAGATGTTCCACCTTGTCAGCGAGGTCGCTGAAAGACTTGTTAGCAGCAGAGATGATTTCAGTTTGAGACATTGTAGTAGTTCAAGATGAGAGACGGCGACAAATCAAAACCAACTCTAAATACACCAATTTCGGCCACAGTGGGTGCCGATTATGTCATATCCCCATTGTGGATCACAGCCACCGAACGCTCATGAAACATGATCCACAGAGTACCACAGTCAAAACTTCAAAGTGCAGTGACTCTTGTTAACAATTTCCCATCGCCTCCACAACCACTGATCTCCACTAATGCGGATGTCGGACAATGTCGATCAAGCGAAGTACTATTGTGCCGATCAACATCACAATTATAAATTCTACGAATTCAACTCCCGACCTAATTATCTATTTAAAGCCCTCTTGCAATGACATTAAACTTCAAATTCACAATGTCAACATATCCAAAAATGTCTCAGACCACCGAGTCAAACGAGGTTGAGTTTGGTTTATTGGACTTTTCAAAGATTGTTGATTATGCCAGATCACGCCTACTAGCCATTCGCACCGAGCTGGAGAAGACACAGGACACACTCTCGCCGGTAACTGCTCGGCTTGTTGGCGAGTATCTGAACTGGGAGGCAGAGGTGCGTTCACATGATACAGTTTCCTAAGCTACCGTTTACCTAAACTTCTTTCCATTTGAAGGCCTTCACCATGCCATGGATGGCTTATTGCGCAGGCTTGTCGATCAACCCGCCGTTATCGCGAAACCTCCGCCATCTCATCGGCGTGCTTGCAATGAAACAGCTCGCCATGCTGACTGATTATCTTCATGTCTATGAATCTTTCATGACCTTGAGTGTTCAACCTTCTGGACCCTGGACCAAAGGCCGCCCAGTCAATACCTATCACCATGCATGGTGGACACGCCTGGTGAATCTCAAGCGTGATGACAAGTTCTTTGGCACGTACCCCAACCACCAGCAAGTTCAGGCATGGGTGACCAAGCATTTCGAGCAATTGGTAAGGCATATATATTATCAAGATGACGTTGACACTAACTGTTCACAGCCGGAGGGGATGACGTTGGTCACGCCGGCTACAGTTGTTGAACCAATGTCAACACTGCTAGCCCAGCAACTGTCCACAATCTACGCCGAAGCTCAGGAAGAAGGTCGATGCATTTTGAAGATGATGGAGGACAAGGTCCTAGAGGCAAAGATGGTGGCTGCCACAATGGTGCAGATGGACACGGCATTGGGAGACAATGTGATTACGGCAATCGCCACCACAGAAAAACTGATGAGGTATTTGAAAAGAGAGGACATGGACTGAATGCCAGACTGAGTTGCCGGACCCTGTGTTGGGCACTATGTAGAACATATTTACAAAGTAGGAGACAGCACGGTATACTGTATGTTAGTGCTATCTATATCAAAATGAAACATTTGATCACCAGAATGACTTGAGAGATTATTGAGCGCACAGCGCTTGACCGATGTGAAGCTCGGCGCAGCTCAGACATGAGCTAAGCTCGCCAGATATGTATCTGCAATAGTTCATCATATCCGGAATAATCACTCCGATATCGCCGACATTGTGGACTTCAAACACAGCGGTGGCTTTCAGCGCATGGATATTCGCCTGTGCATGGAAATGTGCAATCCTTCCGGCGGGTGACAGGGATGATATTCTTGTACAGGAGGCCAACATGTCCAAATACGTTCATGATATCGCCGGAACAAAAAACTATGCGTCTTAATGTAAATGTAATGCAGTCATTCTACGAGTCCACATTGATATAGGTATCTGCCAAGTCCTGCACTAGTGAGACACATTCGCTTTTATCCGGTCGAAAGCATGTCTTGCCTCTGTAAAGAGACATTCATAGATTTTGCACTGCCTCGCCGCGTATGCCAAGTGTCCCTTCTCACACTGCTTGCACGTGGCGCCGAGATAGATCCATTCTTGACCCTTCTGATGGAAGAAGTTACAGGTCCACTCCATTTCATGCTCCACAAGCAAAATCGCCTCCGCCCAACGATCTCTGAGAGCTTTGGCACGAAGCCAATGAACATGGTAAACTGATGCATCGGTGTGATAAACACCGGTGGTATGCCAGAGACGTGAACAACTCACACTCATTTAACCACTCACTGCTGTCAGAGTCACGCTGCACATCCAATGACCAAAACCAAGGCAATACATCGTTCCTCTGTCCCCTTGTGTTCGGATCTGCCACCGCTGTACTAACCTTGAGATGCTCTTTTGCCAATATTTGGTATCTCTTTAGCAGGGCATCGTCGGCGTCCAGTTTGTGCAGTTGCATTCAGCATTTCGCATACATGCTTGCATTAATACTGACCGCCCTGTCCACCGAATGAACTTGAGCCCAAGCTCTGGTGGCCATTGCTTGTGACTTTGCAACTCTGACTGTCTTCCGGAATATCACCGCCTTGTCCGCCAAATGCACCCTAATGTTGTGCAGGGCATCGTTGGCTTGACCCTGTCGGAGGGTGAGTTCGTGACGAACCAAATTGGCGATGCCGAGAGCTGAACATTTTTCTAGCCCCAAATTGGAAGGCAAGGGGATGAGCACCTTCTCTGGCTCAAAAAATCTGCCTTCATCCTTCATTTCATCTTCTACTTCTCCTAGGATTAAAAGATCTTGCTCCATGATTTGTGTGTTGTCGTCACCCAATTCATCGCCGATGAATGTTGCTCCAGCCTCCACCCACCGATCAATATCCCGTTGAAGTGTGTCACGTCGGCGACTGATTTGCAATCGCTGACTGTCGGTCGGTTGGCGTCCAAGCTGTTTAACTTCCATCTGCAAGGTGACCTGAGCTTCCTCAATAGTAAGGCCCTCAGCTATCCATGTCACCACACCCCTCCAGCGAACAGGCCCCGGATGCTGGCCTTGAGCTGCCAACAACTGTAGCTCTTGCTGTTTTCTTGTTGGTGCTAGGCCAGCATTAACACTAACCAGCTATGCAAGAAGTCCACACACCTTTCTGCAGTTGAACTTCATATATGTCCATCACTGATGAATCTTGGCTGCGCCATTCCTGCACCGACCTGTCTTGGGCCTCCCAATCTCGGACTTTATCGGCGTCGGCACTCTCATCAAGTCTCTCAAATGCCAATTTGCTTTCGGCGACTCCTTTAACAGCTTCCTTGTATTTCTGGCAAAGGGATTTGCCTTCATGGTGTTGTATGAGATTTAAATAGACATTAACATAGGATCACCTACTCATTCTAATCATCTTCATGAAATTGCAATCGTTCATTTGATAGTCGAGGCATTCTTTCCGGTGTGGAGTCCCCATGCCACGAGCTGCCGGCGATATGATGTTTAGTGGCACCCACAGGGTCTCCATGATCTCGCCGTCAATCCGAGCTGCTCCCTTGATGAAATTGGAAGCATATCTGACGTAGCAGTTGTCTTGATGGCCATAAACATGCCATAGTCCGATGCCGGGGACAATATCTAGCTCCATAGGAATCTCCAGGAAAGGACTATTGGTGATGCACTCCTTGAGATTCTTGTGATACTGACAGTTCACATCATAGAAAGTTAATACTCGGCGAATCCCTTCGGCATTCACTTTCAATGCCTCGCACAGAGCATAATCCATGTTTATTTGTCTGGCGGGTGTCGGCGATGGAGGGCATATCATGAAGTGTTGTACTTACCTTTCTCCTTTCTGAAAGTCTACCATTGCATGGGGCACAAAGCAACCATGCCTTGCACAGGCGCAACCGCTGATTCCGGTGGCTTCCAGTTTGTGACAGGATGTGTTCGCCTGATTAACTGCGCGGTGATTGTTGCACTCTGACTGTTGAATAGCATCCTTGGCAACAGCCAAGTGTTTCTTGTAAATGTGATTGCCGACCATGAAGCCACGGCCATCCATTAGCGATACTTCATTGGCAGGATTTTTTGCATAGAGATGCTCAGCTTTGAAGTTTCCATCCATAACTAGTGATCTTGTGTACAGCCAACTTGGCGTTTCAAGATCATATGCATCTTTAGCATCTCTGGCCTGTTTGACATCGCCAGTTGGCACAGTGAGGTTGATTCCTGGCTGTGGACATGCCGGACAAAAGAGGGCTAGATCGCCGGGTCTGACTTCCTTTTCCTTATGGCCGAAGCCATTCCATTTCAATAGCTTGAGTTTCCGCCATTGTCTGGCGACCCTCATTAACTCTCGATATCGGTCCTTCATCACAATCAATCACACGGCCGGTGAATCAAGAAATAACTCACTGGCACTGTGTGAGGAAAGACACTGGTTGTCATCCTCCGCAATTTGCTATAGTAATTCATCGCCGAGGTCCCGCACTCCAGATTGTCCAGCAAGAAGTCATCCAATACACCGATGGTAAACGCGGTCTTTGGTTCTACGAAAGACGCTGCAAACAATCCCATTTCAAACAGCTGTATGTTGGCGGTGGTGGCGTCTGGGCATGTGCAATACTTGATAATGTGAGTATGTACTCCGGACTTGTCAACTATTGTCGTCATCGCCTTTGAATTCTTGATAAATGGCACGCCAGTCGGGAGGTCATGGGCATCCTTTGAGGATGGCGCTCCCGTTTCTTCATCGGCGGTACCCTCAGCATCTGTGCTGTCGGTACTACCTTCCCCTGTGGCAAAAAAATCTAACTCCCCTGGATCATCCTCCCATGGGCAGGCATTTCCTCCATGTCCAAGCCATATCACCATCCCAAGCAACTCTCCTCAAAGAAGGAGCCTGTCCATTGGCTGACCCTATGGAAGGGATGCCTCTGGTGCTGGGTTCTGCAACAATGTGTGCAATAGAGGGGCTTGCCGAAGCACCCATGACATTTATACACACCATCTGTCCCACAGATTATACATGTCCTATCTGATGGGACCTCCCTTCTAAGGAGTATGTTCAGATATGTTTCAGTCTTTGGCACCCATTGACATATATAGTCATTTTGACTCTGAACAAAGATCAACAAAGAACTAAATATAAGGGTGTGGAAGGCTCACCAGGGACTTTGGCAGGTGCAGTGGAATCACCTCATGATTGTCAAGGTCCCTACAAACGTCATCTCCACCTTGGTGAAGCATACCATAAGATGCCTGCCTTGCGAGACACTTTGTAGGGGTGGCTGGAACAGATTTACTGATCTTGGGTCTCTCCACCCATTTCCCCACTACCTTCCTAGTCCTATATGATTTCTGCCAATCCACCACTGCATACCTATGTTTTGGTGTCCACTCTTGGATCCTAGAGCCTCCCATTTGTCTTCTTTGATGCTGTATCAGAATCTGCAAGAAGGGCAAGGAGTTTCAATTGAGTCTTGACCGATACAGTATCTTGCTTATGCTACTAGTCTATCATTATGACATTGTCTGATCATATCGGCAATAAGTACATAATATGGGACAGCAATGTAAGCTGAGCTGAGTAGAACATGGCAACCATATAGGCCACAGGTACATCATATGAGTAGTAATATAAGCCGGACCAACCAGAACAGAACAGAACAGAACTAAAGAACACTGCATGACAACTAAGGAACCGAGGAATACCATTGAATGTCAACCGATTGTTTTTAAGTCTCAAACCACAACTTTACCATCTCCGATCACACAACATGCCCAGAAGTGAATCTCCCATTGTCGTCCCACAGCAGAGGAAGGTTCGGTTGGACAAGTCGGAAGTCATGGTGCTCAGGGCTCATATAGAGGACTGGAAGTCTGTCAAAGGGAAGGAAAGATCTAGGGTGCTACTTGCCATCCACAAGGAAGCCTCCCTCCAAGCTCCAACCAAGGAAAAAGCCATACTGAAAGCTCGGAAAAAGGTATGGAACAGCTTATAGATATTGGAGAAATGATAACATGTCCATGAAAGATTTACAAGCAGTGGCTGCAGAATCAGTCTCGCCGAAAACAAGCTCCAAAGGCTCTCATAAAGTATGGCCGGCGTTGGATGGCGAGGCAAGTCTTGATTCACACCCACAAAGCCCTTATCAGAGAGGAGACAGGAGAAATGGCGGGAAGTGAGGCAATGATCAGCAAGTGGCCAGTGGCGGCTAAAACAGTAATTAATCGTTTATTGGCAGAGGAGAGGGAAGAAGCAGAAGCAATGGCAGAGAGATGGAACAATGAAGCGGCGCCACCAGACATTCAGGCCGAGGTAGCCAAGACCAAGGGAGCCGACATGATTGAGCATTTCACCACAGAAATGTTCAAGATGGCCGGAATGAGGGTGTGTGTCTTGTCTGCTTGGAAGGATGGAAACGGGAAGCTCATGTTGGGAGGGTGAGTTTCAATTCCGATCAGTCGGCGATTCAGTCAACTTTGCTTTTGCTGCAGCCATGACTTCAATGAGCAGTTTGGGAACGGCAAGAGTTTTATCAAGACAAGGGATTGGGACGGCATTATCATGCCTGAATGGGTGGAATATGCAGGGGAGCAATTCAGTGAGACCTTGGTGATGTCCTAGCGCCTGAGCATGGCTAATCAAAGCATCCAGACTGCGATGACGCCGAAGAACCTCAGATGGTCAGATCAAAGAAGCGAGTGCAAAGGATGCTCATCCAACTAGAGGAAGACGCCAATGGGTGGCCGATCCTACCGGACGCAAAGGAATGGAAACATGCCGAACAACAGCACTTGATTTGATCATTCCTGACAAAGCTCTATAGTACTTATTGTCTGTCCTCTTTGAATCATGATTGATTTCTAACTATAATCAGGAATCTGCATTGGGGAAGACAGCGTCAAGGCAGCGGTGCCATGGGGAGATGTAATACATAACCAATCGGCGTTTTTTGACAACACCCAATGGCCCACTAGCATCCAGTTTAAGGAGCTGTCCAAGATGGATAAGGCTGATGCTACCACCATATTGGGTTTCTGGTTCACCTGGCAGGAGAATAACTTTCAACCGGCCTTTTCATTCAAGGCCTGGAAAGATTCAGATGGGGAGATGGAAGAGGCAGTGTTGTGTCCACCTACTACCCGTCATGGCAAGGCCTCAAAGCAGGCCAAAGGGAAGGGCAAGGGCAAAGCAAATCGCAAACACAACCACTGTGCGGCCATGGACAGTGATGCCGAGGGAGAGTCAGATAGTGATGTTGCGTCATCCAGTGATGATGAGGAAGCATCCTCTGCCGACAAAGGGCAAGAGGCCTTGCTGCCTCGACAAGTGGCAATGCCGCCGACGAAAAGTGGCAAGGTCAAGTCACAGCCTACCAGATCACGGCGTGATGCCAAACAGGTTATGGGCAAGATCGTTGAGGAAGTGAATGCTCCTACGACTTCTGGACACCCTGGTGGGGGCACCTGAAGCAAGCGGGTAACACATGCTTCAAATGATGCTCCGAAAAGCTTGAAACACCACGCCGCTGACCCAGTGAGTGACACTCCTGCCAAACGTACCAGGAGTAAAGCGGCCGCGCCGGAAGGTTCAAAGGCTAAGCGCAGCAGGAAGTAGTCCTTTAGTCACGTTTACAATATGCCGGAGGAACTTGGCTGCCAAAATCATGATCAAATTCACTTCTGACAGCATATCTTTCGCGGTGGCTATTAGACGTTGGTCAGTTCAAAGGCCCACTGCCCTTAGAGCAATCCACTGCATCAACATGCCGACACAACTGTGCTACTACATGATCTGTGAACGGCGCTCATTCACATTTTATAGGCTATCACCAGGTAAATATACAGATTGGGTAACTAAACAACATATTCTGCAAACTAGGAACCACCGGTGGTGCTCCCCTCTGCATTCTCAACTTGTCTTGAAAGTGACTCCAGATATGTGAGTTGGCGGGTGTGGTGCTCAGCAGTGTGATGGAGCGTGATGAGGTCCTTGAATGTTCGAACCAACCGGTCTCTGCATTCACTGAACACCGCCAAAATGGCTCGGTTACTGTCAAGCAAGTCAGCTTCATTGGGATCACGAACATCATCGCCGTGGCTGACAAGACTGCCAAGCATGGTCTCCACTAGTTTATTAACTGCCTTAAATCAGCTAGGTTACAGTGAATAAATGTGAAGGGTAACATACATTCATCTCCTCGGAGTCGTTCCACAATGTTTATCGCAGCCGTGTTGGCATCTGCGACTAAAAATCCAATCATCTCACGCCGCCGTCCTTGACCGGCGGAATCTTGAACTGGTTTGTGAGGGATCAGGAATTGCCCATCGGTGTAGGGCAACTGGCTTGGGATGTATCCCACAGGAACTACAGTAGGAGTTGTTGTTGTTGATGTCGCTGGGCTGGCAACCGTGATCGGGATTGGAGTCCATTCTCCCACTTTCGCCACAGGGCCTTGAGTAACAAACTTGAAAGCTGGCGAGGCTTGTCAGCCAGTTCACTTGTTAGATATATCAAAAACTTACGTTGATTGGAGATGTCATATCCAACATGTGGAGCAGGAGCCGGCATGGATGAGGCTTTCTTTTCCCACCCAAAGTTCAATGGTGCAGCTTTCAGAGGGGGTGGTGGAGATGTGCTGACATTGGGTGGTGTTGGGGCACCCTCATGAATATGTGCTGTGGCATTAATGGTGGGCTCGCAACCAAAGTTTATAGGTGTTGTTGATATAGCCAAGGGAGCTGTGTCATGGACAGCGGGCTCCCAACCAAAGTTCATCGGGTTTGTGGATATAGCCGGGGGAGTTGTAACATGGACAGCGGGCTCCCAGCCAAAGTTCATGGGCATTCTGGATATGGCCAGAGGTGAATTAGTGGCATGAGTATCCATGCCGAAGTTGAATGATTTTGCCACAGGTTTTACAGGATCCTTCTTTGGCATTCCTGGTGTCCATCCAAAGTTAAGTACGATCGGCGTTGGCGGGGGCAGCGTGGGTGCAAATCGAAAGTTAAATGGCTGGATCGCCGCCGGCATATATGCCTTCACAAGCGCAGGTGGCTTGCCAAATCCAAAATCCAACCCTATAACTGGAGTTAATTCACTATTCTTTCTGGCACAACACAAAACACTTACTTTGTGGTTTGTCACTAGCATAAGATGATGGTGGGTTAGATACTTCATCACCCTCCATTGGTACATCGAAATGTACGTGACAGTCTGTTGGCTGAGTCATGCTGTAAGAGTTCGGACTGGTAATAGGAGTATGAGATCAAGCTGAAGGTGTCAACATTAAATATGTAATTAATGTTGTGGCCGTCCGCGGGGTTTAAAGTATTATGGATATTCCGCGTGGAAAGATGGGCACGTGCTGAATATTCTAAGCCTCATGGCACCTCATGGCACCGGTGCCTGAGCCGAACAGGTATGTTGACATGTAATTTACATTATGCTTATATTGCTGACCATGATTGTCCACATCTTGGGCCTTTCTTTTTCACCCACATTTCCTGCTCCATCATGCCATCTGCAGAAGACTCCAATAAGGCTCTGAACGACGCCACCACCGGCATCCTGCAAATTCTCGCCAAAGCTGTGGAATGGAAAGGCCCTGCCAACGGCCATTTGAGTATGGCCATGGAGATGGGACACATTACAGTGAGCATTGCTTAATTTGTCAGGCATCCTACCTCAATGCGTAGCAGTCGGAAGCATTTGAAAAACATGGATGGTTGGCGTCCGTAATATCGCCGGTGTTTCTTTTGGCGGTGATGGAGTTGATGGAGCATTGGGACCTGGTGGGCTGACAATCATTCATCAGTCCGCTGGTATGGGGAAATATCATAATGACTGACCCTCGTATCCAATGACATCCATTATATGTTAAGGCTACGAAGTACATTACAGGATCGCTCTCCTCGCCAGCCACACAGTCTCCGGACCAACTCACCACATCAATCCCGGCACATGTGCCGGCGTGTCCTACATCCGGATTGAAGTCAAAGCCGCGGCCAAAGCCTGTCCCAAAGCAAAAGCAGGTCATAGACCATAGTGTTGACAGCAATGAAGTCGAAATTATTGAGGTTGTAACCCCCACTAATACAACCAGAAAGAGCAAGCAGACGTCTGGAGGTCCTGAGGTTGTTAAGAAAGGTGTGGTCACAGTGCCAGTATTGGCCGAAACAAATATGGCAGAGACTCTAATGCCGGGTTATACCGCACCTACCCACAAGCAGCTGGAGATCGTCACAGAGTCTGAATCCAAGGTAACAGCGGATCGCAAAGGGAAGGGAAAGGAGGTGGTGCCACCGATGGATACAAGTCGCCATGGCCATGGGCGCGCCCTTCAGACCCACTCAAGTTCCACCAAGATGCTGGTCAAACGGCCTGCTAGTAGGCAGCCAGCACAGGACGCCGGTGGTGAATGGTTTGAACAGTCGGTAAGATCAATGTCCTTCCAGGACTACCCTAAGTTTGCCTCATAACTCAAATGTACAGCTAAAGGTCATCACGGGACATAAGGCAAGAAAAAGGTACAAGGTTGGCAATGATCAAGATGAGATACCGCCGGATATCGGGGGCGACATCTGCATGGGGCTGCAGGATATTAGCACTGTAAGATTGCAAGCATTCTATTTTTAATATTCTGACTTGGTGTAGCAAGCTGCAGGACCGGTGTTGGACCTACAGTGTATCGCCTGTCAGGAAAGGTGTGTTAAATCATCACAATTGATCGGTGATGATGCATTATCTAAGGTCAATTAGATGTCGGCAAGGATATGACACGAGTACTATAGTCAAAGCTTGCGCCAGATGCTCCAGGAAGACAATGAGGTGTTCACATTCAGAGCCCTCAGTGAACGTCAGACTTCCGTCAGAACCAGCTCCCACTCTCTGTCAGGATGAAGGTAATTGTGTCGACCCATGGCTGTCCATTTTCTAAGAATTCCCCATAGTTCGCCATGATATTGCCAGACATGCCTCACCGACAAGGAACAGGTCAATTGCTGAAGAGATGGAGATTGATGCATCAGGTGATGTGGTGTTAAAGGATTTGCAGGCCATGTCACTGGAGGTCAAGAAAGACTCGGTGTCCCTCCCCAAGGCCAAAGATGTGCACGACGCTATTAAGAACCTGTGTACCGAAGTGGCCGAACTCTGCACTCACAACGCTGCCTCGGTTGAAATGGTCAAAGCCATGCAAGTCCACCTTGCTGCCCAAGATGCTGAAATCCGAACTATGGAGACCCTGCACGCCAAAATCGCCATATTACAGGAGGAGGTAAAGACATTACAAGCAGAATCCCAAAGTCGCGACGCGCAGCTTAGGAGTGCTGAAGCACGGGTGACTTCACAGGGAACTAGTATGACTGTATTGATGGATGCCTATGAGTCCCTTCGCAAACGTATCATTCCCGATTTGTCCGGACCTCCCCATTTGAATCATGGCATGTTCTTTCCTCCTGCCGGCAATGTTCCTTCTGCCGGCAATGTTCCTCCCGCCGGCCTAGAGATCAGCGCTGGGCAAACATGGGCAATGGAACGTTTGTACTTCAATCTCACCCTGGGTCCTTTCACTGCCGGTCCGTTTGTTCTTCATTTTGCTCAATGTTCTGATAGAGCATCGAAATTCACTCCAGGTTGTTCCAATGCCGCTGGGCCATCCGTACTTGGTTCTCAGACCAGGCGCTCATTTGGTGAATCAGCATCTAGAATGGACCGCAACTAGTTCGGTCTGTGTAGAATTTGAATGTTTAGAATCTTACATGTGGCGATTCGCCGGAATGCCGTCAATCCAGGTAGACCTTGGCGCTTCTGAGCTTCCTACACACAGATATACCGCCGGAAAGATAATTGAATTGGTGTATGTTGAACTTGTGCACGCCGATCATAACTGCCAGTCCCCCGCATCATGTGCAAACAACTGACAATGTCATCATTGCCTCTATCTAAAATTAGCCTTCAAAACATGGATTATTACATGTCCACCTCCCTGCATCGGTGTGGTCGGGCATGTGCTTTTCATCACTGTGAACCTTTACATCACAATCATCAGGGATGCTTTATATGTTGTAATTATAAAAGAGTTCATGACTCAGAGCTCATCATGTCGTTGTCCCACATCATGAATCCTATTCCTGCTGACTGGGCTTTAGCCACAACTCACATTGCTAGTGAATATGTCTGCCGCCAGTTTTGTGCAAATATCGGCGTGTTGCCGAAGGTCCTCCCTCCGCCAGAGCTCAATGTCGTGTTGCTGATGGCTTGCTCTACTCTCACAAGGACTCTCGCCGATGCATACTGCAATCCAGGTACCAACTCTGCCATTTGTCTGGTACCAGTTCTAACTTCCATATATATCAGTTACCATCAACTTGGATATGGTCAGGTATTCGGAAGCGCTTCAAATGCAGGAAAAAGGCCTCAAACCTGGGCGGGAAGAATTCCTCCTTGCCCGATACCCGCCGGATTGTGAAATCATCCTTGAGCGTCCAGCGGTGGTGTTAGACAAATTCGGCCTCATCGTGTTATGGTACCTCCCTGGCGCAATCGATGATGCTATCCAGGTTGGTTTGCAAGTCTCACTAATGATTGCGACTAATTGTTCCAGAATAATATGTTGGTGGCGACCATGATGATGTCAAGCCTGCTCGGTAAGAGCATCGCCCGAAGCTCAGCAAACAACACATGGTGTACCCATCAGTCGAATTTTCAACCCAGTGAAAATGGCCTTACCCCAGGTTGCATTAATCTTTCCCCAGCGTGGTTTCTGCAAGGTCTTCCGGTAAGGCAACCTGGCAGAAATGCCCATGGCCTACCCTTATGTTTTGATAGGCTCCTCAGTTTCATCCCGAAGTCTCGGCGGCCCTGAAAAGTGATGACGCACCATCTTTATGTTGGGCAATTCGGAGGCTGGCGACTCTTGTTGCCGCTGCATTGAGAGTTATGCATTCAGGTCTGTATTGGTCTTCATTGACAACACAGATGGGCCTCGGGGTATGGGCAGATGCTCGTCAATTGGAGAAGATGGGAAATTGCCTGAGAGGATGGGCATCTGTGTTTACAGTCCTCACTGTCATGTGCAACTGGTATTCTCCCTTGCACCGAGATGCCCTATCCCGTGCTCAATGGTTTGACATTATGACCAGTGTCGGCGGGTACGCACCGGCACGCATGAAGATGCCTAATATCGGCATTGAAATTGCCTATAACACTGGTGTTATGGCTGGTACTTCAGGAAGAATTGTGAGGCATGGGGTGGATAGGGTGAACAGCGATCGAGTTGTCTGGATTTGGTATATGAGGGATGATGTACATCAATTTATTGATGTACCCCGAGGCGACTATTCACAGTATAAATCAGTCGTTACCAATGCCTTGTATTACACATAGGTTTGCATAGGGCCCAATATGTAGATGAGTTGCATTGCATGTCGCCGCAGCAAGGTTTCATTCCTTTCAGTGGTATACTACCGCCGGCGTGAGGAAGAGCCTCACCCGGTTGCCGATATACTCAGCCGGTGACTCAGCCATGGTGCAGCCACTGGGCCTGCCTGTAGACCCTGTCTACGAGGAATGGGCCCATTCAACTGATCAGATGCTGTCTGGGCCTGCCGCCATATCCATATACATGGCCCGGGCCTCCCTGTAATCTCATCAGCTCCGTGGGCCCGTCGACAGACAATGGGCCTGCCCGCTCACCGATATGCAGGGCATTGGCCTGCCACTGTAAACGCAGACTGTTACGCTGACCGTCGGTCGGCGTGTGCGAACTAGGATAGGTCTTCTCAGCGACAACTCGAGTGAGTCTACTGAAGCTGAGGGTGGTTCTCGGCTTGACGGAACGTCAAGGGTTCCTCCGGTGATCTCAGTAAGATGGTGCTCGTCGAGATACAGGGCTAGCGGATACGGCTAAGAAGCGGGGAGCAACTTAGAAGTGCGGTCTTATACAAGAAAGCTGAGAGGCTTAGTTGAACAAGTTCTGGGATGAACCTAGTAGATTAAAGTAAAGTCTAAGTACAATAATCTGTCTACTTATATGTGCTACATATGAGTATTCTAGCTCAGTCTGTAATCTATAGTATATCTAGGATCTATGATAACAAGACATGAGGTCAGATAAGATACATGAGGCTTAACCTCTGATCAAGCATGCAGCGCCAAGTGCGACTGCACATAGGTACATGAGGCGCTAGGAAGCGCTCCGGATCTTCATGAAGCGACATGCTGTATACATGCGCTTGATCTAGGGTGACCATGAGGCGTACAGCCTCCATGGATCAGGTACAAGGCCGTCTAGGCCAGGGGCAGGGTCATAGCGCCAGGGGCGGGGTCATAGCGGTCCAGACCGCTGTCTTTCTAAGTGCGGGCGGCGCACTGCCGCGTGGTGAGTCTAGCAGAGCGGGGGCTGGCATAGGCGGAGCTGGGGCTCCTGTAGGTGTTACGGATGCCTGTAACACAGACGGCATCAAAACCCACTCGTCCATCTGGCTTACTGTGGGCAGGCCCTTCCTACTTAACATGCGGCATGCAGGCCCCACCTTAGCTTGCAGGATACTTAACCTGGGCCCAGCCAGCTCAAGAGGTGCAGCGGCATGGGCCCGCTCCTTGGCCTCACATACCGGAATTCGGCCTATCCTGCTTATTAGACATTATGTGGGCCCCACCCGGTGCCCCAACACCGTGATCTTGGCCCAGGCATATGAGCTATGAGCTACATGGGCCCACCCAGGTTGAATATACAGGAAGCCGCCGGTGCTCCGTGACCATTGAATGGACTCGCCGATTGGATGTGTATATAGGTATGGCGACCGTGTGGGCGATACACATCTGCCGGCGACACATCTGGTTTAAATTGTTGATTATTACCAGAAATGCTTTAGCCAGTTTGGCTCGTAACATTGTTGCCGGTCTAGATTGTAATATTGTCGCTGTTTTATATTGTTGTACCTCCGCCAGTTTGGATTGTAATATTATCGCTGGTCCAGATTGTAATATTGTCGACGGTCTATATTTGTAATGTTGTCACCGGTCAAGATTGTAATATTGTCGCCGGTCAAGATTGTAATATTGTCGCTGGTCAATATTGTAATATTGTCGCCGGCTGATGTTGCAATTTGCATTTGCCCGGCCATATTCAGTGGGGCTTCTTTGTGTTTTCGCCGCTTGCAATTCATAGGTGACAGTAGGAATACATTTGCTGCTATAGCATGGGCCCACCTGTAAATACAATGTGCTTCAATCCAGACATCTGTGGGCTCACTCCAATGTTTCGAAGAATGTGACCATGGGGCCCACCCCTATTCATTGGGTACACAGCACTCACAGGCCCACACAAGGGCATCAATATACAATTATAAAGTGGGCCCATGGTGGGTTGGCCCATGTCACATGGGGAAAATGTCAAGGTGGGCTGACCAGTAAGTGTTACGGTACATTCATTCTCTTCGTTTCTCCTTTACTACCGGTCAATGGTACATGGACACGGCCCTTAACGAGCGACCAATTACTTTTCAGACTCTTACTCACATCATCGTCAAGCTAGCTTTCCGTGCTAGTAACCATCACTATGTCTAGACCTTCCCTTATCAAAGCGGGCTGTCCGCACCATGGTTACTATCTCTTATCTCTTATCTCTTATCTCTTACCAAGCGGGCTGTCCGCCTTCTATCTTGATACGCATCTACAAGCTCCGCTTGAACTCTCGCTATATAGACACATAGCGTACCACATGTAGTTCTTCACTTTAATCTACTGGGTTTTACCTGGAACAAGTCCTTTAGCAAGGTCTCCAACCTTGCTATCTAAGAACCACCATTCTAAGGAAGTCGCCGATACTTGCCTTAGCCAGAAACCTCTGACCTCTCACTCGAGAGAAGAACCACGTCTGTCTCGCCGAAACTCAGTCCACTCGGACTAAGACAGCTCGACATACCCCAGTCGTAACAAAAGATTAAAGTCCTTTTTTCAGACGCCGCCATCTGCGACGTCAGCAAGACACCACGACTTCGTTAACTCCTTTGATCGGAGCTTTGAACCTAGGCGCATTACCAACGATACCGCCGTTGAATCCAATGACGACCACCAAAGAATTTGAAATTAAGATCGGTACTCCACCCGAATTCGACGGAGACCGCGACGAATCGCACAGGTTCATGCTGAACTGTAATGCGTATTTAGATATCAACGAGAAAATCTACGACAATGACAAGAAGAAAGTAATCTTCGCACTCTCGTTTATGACCAAGGGCAATGCTGCCGCTTGGAAAGAAGACTTTATGGAGACCGCCCAGAACGCCAAGCTGAAGAATACCGCAGGAAACCTCATCGGTTACGGTAGCTGGGATGAGTTCAAGGTCTCGTTCAAAGAGGCCTTCGGAGCTATTGACCCCAAAGGAACAGCCATGGCTAAAGTGCGAGCCCTTGAGATGAAAGGAGACCTCCACACGTATATCTCCAACTACCGCCTCCTAGCCCATAAAGCAGGAATAACCGAGAACGTCACCAGAGTAGAGTTCTTCCGCGAAGGTCTTGACGTAGGACTTCGCAACAACCTCTACCATACTGGAGAAAGTCTGGATGACTTCGAAACCGTCGTCGCAACGTGTATCAACCTGGATAACGCCTTCCAGAGGTTAAGAGCCATTCAGAAACGAGAGAACCCCACGCACTACCAGCCTAGGAAGAAGAAGTACGGAGATCGTCACTTCACCCCCCGCAGAAGCGACGCCATGGAGATAGACCAACTCTCCGAATCCGAAGTAAAGAGACACCTCAAAGAAGGACGTTGCTTCAAGTGCCATCAGACGGGCCATCGTGCCAATGATATTACGTTCCACCCCAGGGAAGACAAAAAGCAGAAAATGCCTATCCGCAGAAAGGTTGAGAAAGAAGAGAGTAGTGATGACGACGAAGAGGTAAACCGACGATTCGTGGAGATGGATTTTTAAAGAAGGAGACTGCATCGATGTCAGTATCTCCTGTCCCGATACGACTTGTACAATCACTTGGAAATAAAAAAGAGCTTCGCGTCCCTGCCACCATTATTTCCACCAAGCGTAACAAAACCATCGAAACCTCTATGGTCATCGACTCCGGAGCGAGCGGGACCTTCATTAGCGAAGAATTCTGCAAGCTCCACGGAATCAGAACCCACAAACTCTCGAAACCATTCCCCGTTATAACCGCAGACGGATCTGACGCCAGAGGAGGACTCATATCTCGCTACTGCGTCCTTATCGTCAAAATTGACGGGAGAACCATGATAGGAAAATTCAACATAACCAAGCTCTCGAAGAAAGACAAAATTCTACTCGGCTTCCCATGGTTGAAAGCATTAAACCCGTCAATCAACTGGACGAATAAAGAACTGATTCTTGCGCCAAACGAACGATCACTCGAGATCGAAAGAAGAATCGACCATCTTAGGAAAAAGCGCGATCTACCGCTGCTGTTTCCCCTTCTTAATCCCACAGAAAAAGAACCGTCCCGCGAATGGAAGAATTCCAAATTGAAGAAAATCCCCATCGCGCCCGCCTATCAACGAGCCTCAATCGAAGAAGTTACCGACGAAGAACTTCCCCGCCTCGCACCGGATCAAGACGAACCGGATTACGATACCAAGGAAGATGTATGGTCGGAAAACTATGCACCTCCGGTAATCGACTCCTCCCTCTATCCGTTGAACGATGAAGACGTCTTAATCGAATACTCCCCTGACGGTTCCCAAGTTAGAATAATCTCCGACGTCTCTTTTGACACTCCTCTCACCAGAGACGGCACGTCAAAGCAGGAGCAAAACTATTCGAAAACCAGCAATAAAGCTCAGGAGTTCGCTGTCGCCGGGGAGAAAGAAAAAATGAAGAAGAGTTTCGAAGAACTCGTTCCTTCCTACCTGCACACTTACGCTGATATTTTTGCAAAAGACGGCCTTAATAAATTGCCACCGGAACGTCCTGGGATCGATCATCGAATCGATCTGAAGCCTGGATTCATGCCAAGAACGTCCAAAATCTACCCGTTATCAGGAAAGGAAAGAGAAGCGGTAAAGACGTTTATCACAGAAAACACCGCGAAAGGATTCATTATACCCTCGAAATCCCCGCAAGCCAGTGGATTTTTCTTTGTAGGAAAGAAGAGCGGAGAATTACGTCCCTGTCAGGATTATCGGTACCTTAACGATTGGACCGTACGCAACCAATATCCACTCCCGCTCCCCAAAACTCTCATCGAACGACTCTACAAAGCCAAGTACTTCACGAAGATCGACATACGGTCCGGCTATAATAACATCAGAATTCATCCTGACGATAGGTGGAAGGCCGCTTTTACTACCGAGGAAGGCCTATTTGAGCCTACCGTGATGTTCTTTGGCTTAACCAACTCTCCCGCCACTTTCCAATCTTATATGAACAACCGCTTTCAAAACGAAATCAACGAAGGATGGATCGTCATATATATGGATGACCTTCTCATTTTCTCCTCTGATTTAACGGAACACCACGAACGAACGAAAAGAGTACTAGAGATACTCCGCCGAGAACAACTGTTCGTTAAACCAGAAAAATGTACTTTTGACGCAGCAGAAGTGGAGTATCTTGGAATGGTTATTCGTCCCGGGGAAGTCGCAATGGAGCATGCTAAAGTTGATGGGATAAAGGATTGGCCTATCCCGACTTCTGTGAAAGACGTCCGCTCCTTTCTAGGATTCTGCAACTTTTACAGGGCGTTTGTATCCCACTACTCTGATATCGCCCGACCACTTATCAATCTCACTCGAAAAGATCAAATCTTCGCTTGGACGACTGACGCGCAGGCCTCGTTCGATAAACTCAAGCAGTGTTTTACGACGAAGCCAGTCCTACGAAACCCTGATCCTACCCGCCAGTTTGCCCTTGCCACAGATGCCTCCTTGGTAGCAACAGGGGCTGTACTCCTCCAGACGGATGAAAATGGCGTCTATCACCCCTGTGAATACATCTCTCAATCCTTCAACCCCGCCGAACGAAACTACGAAATCTTCGATCGCGAACTCCTTGCTATTATTCGCGCCCTCAATGAATGGCGCCACTATCTAGAAGGAAACCCCCATCCCATTCTCGTCTTCACCGATCATCTGAACCTTCTCTACTTTTCTAAAGCACAGAAACTCTCCCGGAGACAAGCATGTTGGCAGCTTGTTTTATCTAATTATGACCTTGAATTGCATCACGTTCCTGGAACGAAACTTGCAGCGCCTGACGCACTTTCTCGCCGCCCAGATCATGGCCTTGGAGAACACGACAATGAGGATCGTGTGCTCCTCCCTGACTCCATGTTTATACGACTGATTGACAACGAACTTTCCGCTGCGCTCGCACTGGAGTCCTTAGACGACCCCATTTTCTCCACGGCCAGCGACGCTCTAGATGGGCTTTGCCTACCCCCTATGAAATCAGCCCTCTCCGACTGGACAATGTCGGACGGTGTACTTTATTATAAGTCTCGCGCCTATGTACCACCGTCACACCGGACGGCCATTTTGCTCCGTCACCATGACCATCCCACTGCCGGGCATCCCGGACGCTTCAAAACTGAAGAACTCGTCAAGCGTGATTATTGGTGGCCTGCAATGGGCACTTTTATTCGCTCCTATGTCGCCGGTTGCGCTCTCTGTCAGCAGATGAAGACTGACACTCACCCCGTCTCGCCGCCCCTTGTCCCCATTCCCTCCTCCGCAACCCGCCCCTTCTCCCAGGTCTCTGTTGACCTTGTCACCGACCTTCCTCTGTCCAACGGTTTTGACTCTCTCATGGTCGTGGTAGACCATGGCCTTACGAAGGGGGTGATTATTTCCCCCTGTAACAAGAACATCTCTTCTGAGGGAGTGGCCAAATTATTCTTCAAAAACGTATTCAAACGCTTCGGACTCCATGAAAAGGTGATCTCTGATTGAGGCCCCCAATTCATTTCTAGGTTCTCTAGGGAATTAGCACGCCTCTTAGGATACCAGATCGCTGCCTCCACAGCATACCACCCCCAGACCGACGGACAAACCGAACGGCTCAACCAAGAAATAGAAACATACCTCCGAATATACTGTAGAAGTAACCCCTATGAGTGGTCAGACCATTTACCCCTCGCCGAATTTGTGCACAACCACCGAAGACATGAAGCAAGGAACGCATCGCCGTTCTTCCTCATGATGGGATACGAACCTCGCGGTATTCCCCACGTACTACCATCGTCGGATACGCCTGCCGTAGAAGAAAGGGTTCGCACCCTCCAAAAGATCAGAGAGGAAGCTATCTCTTGCCACAATATCGCCATGCAACGAATGGCAGAAAGAACGCACGGAAAGAAGTATCAACCATGGAAGATAGGAGATAAGGTCTGGCTGTCTGCAGCTAATCTCATGACCACTCTCCCATCCAGGAAACTTGCGCCCAAACGGCACGGACCATTCTCTATAACCACAGTCCTATCGCCCATCACGTTCACCCTGAAGCTTCCTGAACAGTGGAAGGTTCACCCCACGTTCCATGCTTCCGAACTATCCTCCTATCAAGAGACAGAGATCCACGGACCGAACTACGAAGAACCACCTCCAGATATGGTCAATCAATCGGAGGAATACGAAGTCGAAGCCGTCCTAAGTCATAAGGGCACGGGTAAACGAAGACGCTATCTCGTATCTTGGAAAGGATACTCTTCTGGAAGCAACGAATGGATTCCAGCGGAGAACATGGAGAACGCCGAGGACCTACTTTCCGCCTATAAGAAGAGGCATAAGTTGAACTAAATCGACCAGTCCCCACTGTTAAAACAAGCATGTCTTCTCAAACCACCTCCCCTACTGAATCCAGCGTCTCCTCTATTAGCCTCTGCGAATCCCCCTTCGCTGACAACGTTGTCAGCATTGAAGACGACGTCATCGTCGAGACCACCATCCTTTCCGTTGCCCACGCCCTCGAGATCGAAACCTATCTCAACAATCAGCCAGCAGTGCCAGCCGGAGTCGCCGCCACTTATATCCATATCATCAGAGCCACCCAACGCCTCGAGGAAGAGTTTGCCCAGATTGAGAATGACGCCCTCAGACTCTCCTGCAACCACGTCCAGAGGCGCATTCGCTCGCTTACGCTTCAGCTATTCCCTCTTGGTTTTAGCACTATCTGCAGGGAAATTATACAGACTGTTGCTGATCGAAACTCCTTCCAAGTCGGCCGCCCGTTGCCTCCTATTACTCATAACCCCCCCGCTGTTCTACCTGATCCAACTTCGATTGGAGGGAACGCTACACCGATACCTATCCCAGCGCCCAACGAGGTCTATAGAAGAAACCTCCGTGGCGGAGCCACCGTTCACGGCGTAACCAAGAAAAAATCATCCAAAGGAAAGAAGCGCGAGGTCATTGACCTCACCAAAGAACCCTCCACTATCCCGTCCTCCAGCATCGTTATCAGAACCCCCTCATTGAAACAAGTAGTCGGCACTATCGCCGACGCCAACTTCATTTGCCGACTCTGCAAGAAGCTTGGTCACAAGCACAAGAACTGCCCCCTGTACTATTGCCGCGTTTGCGGCGACACGAAACCCGGGCACTTCTCCATCTATTGCCCCTTCGCCACCACCAAAATACCATTCCCGTTGGTTTATACTGACGAAGGCTTCTACGACGTGTTAGCCGCGTGGGAAGCGGAGAAAGATAAGAAGGAAGAGGAGGATCTTGAGCGTGCCAACAGGGAGTATTTGGTACAACCAGAGGAATTAGAATTCCACAATGCCGACGCTGACCCCATCTACTACGCAAACCAGGACAACTAGCGACGTCGATGCCGGTGCCATCGACCATAACACGGGGGTAATGTTACGGTACATTCATTCTCTTCGTTTCTCCTTTACTACCGGTCAATGGTACATGGACACGGCCCTTAACGAGCGACCAATTACTTTTCAGACTCTTACTCACATCATCGTCAAGCTAGCTTTCCGTGCTAGTAACCATCACTATGTCTAGACCTTCCCTTATCAAAGCGGGCTGTCCGCACCATGGTTACTATCTCTTATCTCTTATCTCTTATCTCTTACCAAGCGGGCTGTCCGCCTTCTATCTTGATACGCATCTACAAGCTCCGCTTGAACTCTCGCTATATAGACACATAGCGTACCACATGTAGTTCTTCACTTTAATCTACTGGGTTTTACCTGGAACAAGTCCTTTAGCAAGGTCTCCAACCTTGCTATCTAAGAACCACCATTCTAAGGAAGTCGCCGATACTTGCCTTAGCCAGAAACCTCTGACCTCTCACTCGAGAGAAGAACCACGTCTGTCTCGCCGAAACTCAGTCCACTCGGACTAAGACAGCTCGACATACCCCAGTCGTAACAGTAAGTATGGAGATGTGTCACTGTATTATGTGGCTTGTTGGTGTGGGCTGTGAGAGACTTGGTTGTAGGAAGTTTCGACTTGGACTTGCGCTTGGACTTAGCACATCCGGTACCAGCCTGTGAATTGGGAACTTCAGCAGGTTGTGCGGTCTCAGTCAGAGAAGGGGGGTTGGCAGCTGGAAGGGTGGGAAGCTGATAAGTAAATTGAGGAAGGTGCTCGTCAAGGCTAGGGCTCGTGGTACTGCGCTCAGCGGAGGTTGGAGAGGTCAACAAAGAAGACAGACTAGATGTCTCCCACCCTGTCGAATTAAGATTGTCATTGTTGAAATTCCACCCGTGCATGGTGTCAGCAAGTGAGAATCCCAAAGAAGCTGGTGAGCTGAATGATGTGTTCTGCACGGTACTGCTACCAAGATATCCCGTAGCCATAAGACCGGGCTGTGAAAATCGGGCCTCAAATGGTTCAATTGAGCCGAGAGGCGCACTAGCTTGAGGCATCATAACACTGTGCAAATCCAGTGACCAGTCAGGATATTGGGACTATATCAGAAAATCGTCAGGTAACATAGTGGGAGTGACGGCGTGTAAGACTCTTACCTGAGAGTAGAATGGTCCCGTAAGCTGAAGTGATGCATCAGCGAAGCCAGCCGGTGCCAGCGCCACGGTGCCTGCCATTGATGCATCAGTTGTCATTGATGCATCAGGTCCGGTTGATGCATCAGGTGTCTGCAAAATCGTATAAAGGCCGGGGTTATCCCAGCTCATGGTATCAGTACCTCCTTCGTTCTCCTCTCTGCTTTCATCCTCTTCGCCACTTTCATCCTCTTCAAGTTCCTCACTCCTGTTGCCATCTCCGACGTTTGTGGTAGCTGGCAGCAAGGGGTCATGTTCCTTCGCAGCTGACAAGTGTGTATCAATGCGAGCCCATAATGATCATGAGGAAATGACTTACAGAATATTGATTCTGCAAATTCCTGGTACGCACCAAGGAAGGCATAGTCCTTGTCAGGGTACAGGTGGGCAAAATTGCGCCCACCAGAGGTTTCTGATGGATGGCACCTTAGTTGGAGGTAAGCACGTTAGTTATACTGCTGATTCGGTTCACTTACGATAAAGTAACTATGTCCTGATTATGCCTTGGGTCAGGTCCGGCGCACATGAAGGACACAATGAATTGAGTTTGTTTTTTGACGAGGCATGCAAAGTGCTGGCATATGATTGGCAATTTGTCAATACCTCTGTAGGACATGTGAGTATGATTAAAACCAGGTACATCGACCGAAACACTTACTTTGCGATGGCATCAGGATCACTTTCATCGTTATCATCATCTTCGTCATCCAGTATGTCACCCTTTCCCTTGCTACCTTTTATCTGCTTGTTGTACCTCTTTCTAACCTCCTTTTTAACCTCGTCCGACTCATCTTCTAAGAGCTCCTTGGACAACCTTCGACCCAATGCCATGCAGTGACCAGAAGTAGTCACATTGCCCGCTTCTTGTTTGGCCTTGACCAGGGGTTTGATCTGCTCGTCGTAGACCATGCCCATATAGATCTCTTCGACAGACTTTGCATGCGTCTTCGGTTGCAGGGCAGCATCAAAGACAGTCTGTTCCTTCTTCAAGCCGCGATTCTTTTTGGGCGAACCCGCCCGCCAATGGAACCAGGTTGCCAGTTGCTACAAGTATTTTACTTTAGTTTACGATAAAAAAAAAACATGTAGTCGATGACTTACAACTTTACGTTGCTCTTCAGCTTTAACTTCTTGTTTCGTCTGCTCAACAGTGAGCGACACATCACCAGGGATGTCGGGGAACAGAATATTGCGCTCTGGCCATGTTTTGAACCAATATTTGTGTATGCCGGGCCAGAAGCAGGAGTAGTCCTTGTCCCCGGTGCTTTGCTGCATGTACTCTGGCATTTGTTCTTGGAGCCATGTATACTGCGCTTTGGTAGTCCATGAAGCTGCTGGCATCGTTGTGCGTGAATATGAAGGATGATGGGGAAATAATTCCCATATGAAGTAGATGTCCATCCTTATATTATTCGCGAGTCAATACCGAGCGAATAAAAAAAATAGAGCTATTTTAGTGTTGACTTACCACATTGTCAAATTAGGAGAGGGTGGTATGGACGGAAACAATGGAAACAATGGTACCGGCACCGATTTGTGTTTTAGAATGACTAGTGATCAGGTAATGAGGGATGACAACACAATCTGAGTGTTGTGTACTACATACCAGGAGGTGTTAGCTGTGCCTGCACTAAGATTGATATTGGCTTCATATTGCCTCCAGTGGATCTTGAGATGAAGTTGGTAGACTGGCCATCATTGCTGAGTGCACCGTTAGCCCATTGTTATTGTCCATGCAATCATGTAGACTAACCTATGACGATGATGGGATGTGACTTGAACCAACAATAAGTGTTCGGACAGAGCGTCATGACAGTAATAAGCCTGAGTATACAATGTGGGATCAATCAACCAAAGACTCACCTAGACATCGAGTAATAAGTATACAATGTGGGATCAATCAACCAAAGACTCACCTAGACATCGAGAAATGAACATTAAGCAGTAGTTGAGTTTCGATGTGCTTATGTGCGTAGCCTACTTTAGAACATCAAGTTAGCATGTGGCAGTGTGATCAGTTTGCAGGTGTCACAGACTCTATCATAGCGCTGACTATTCTACATTTGTAAAACTCACTCACACGTACACACAGGTGAGACTCTACTGTGCTGGATCTGTTCAACTATTCTACACTCATAAAATGTTTCAAGGCTGCCAATGCTGGCAAATTTCTGTCTATTATTCTTGCTCTCATCCACCGGCCGGGCCTCAAAAAGATTCAAGGAGTGGTTCCTAACGCTGGTAAGTTTTGATCCTTTTTGTCATAACTCATCCACTGGCCAGGCCTCAAAAGATTCGAGGATTGGTTGCTAATGCTGGCACCTTTCAATCCACCGGCCGGGCCTCAAAAAGATTCGAGGATTGGTTCCTAACGCTGGTAAGTTTTAATCCTTTTTGTCGCAACTCATCCACCAGCTGGGTCTTCTTATTTGCCCTTGTACTCTACTTGATGCATTCAATCAATGTATTACTAGGTGGTATGGAAGGCATTCAACAACGTCTCCGGCTACTTCATGGGATCGTTTTGCAGGCTATGGGGACAGGAGAGGAGTTGCAGCGAGTAGATTTGATATCCCATCAAGCATCTAGCCTCATCTTAGCACTGGAGGACTTGCTCATGCATGTCATGGTCGACCCTTGCGATGCGCTGGAAGGTCATACATGCGGTGAGCTATTATACCAGACTACTTGTGATATCACTGTCTCGCAGTTATGATAATGATGCGATGTTAGTGATGCATCAATCATGTAATCTTCAATCCTGACACCGGTGATTGCAAGCACTGAAACTCTATCAAATGCTAGCCCTCGTTGGTCTAAGACGCTTCTACTGGAACCTCACGTTGGCCGCTGCCAATTTGACTCATCAACGTTAACATTTGTGTTCCAAGGTGAGTGATTTGCCATATCAATGGAAGCGCTAGGTATCGAGCTAACCCAAAATTTCCTCGCTGCCAGTCCATCCCTCCATGTGTGATCCCCTTTGGGTCGACATCACTACAACACCCTACATGGCAGAGCCAGAGGAGTATGTGACTGTGTATGAGGGCAGTGTCGAGTTTAATGAGGCCATCTATGCTATGGCGGATGAATGCCTTATTTTTTTGTATCTAGGAATATTCTACAACATGCCTGCCAAGCGCGATCTAGAACCACCTTTCTACTGCGTTACCTATGGCCACTACATTGGAGTTTTTCCATCATATCTCTGATGAGATTTCCATCTCATTTCCATTTTTATACTTAAACACCCATCTTAGGGATGATATAAAAACTGAACTCCAAGCCCCAGGCCATCGTGCTCCTACCTACTTTGCTGTTCGGTCGCTTTTTCTCGGGGAACAGAAAGTTCATCATGCCATCCGGCATAGGCTCGCAGCCAGTAGATGACACACTGTAAGTTTGATGTTGTATCGTTAGTAGCATTTGCTAACATTGCTCGGTCTATAGTCGGGACCGATTATGGGAGAATGTATTCAGTTAGAAGACAATCGGAGTAAGGAAGAGATATAAGGTTTTTTGTGAGGCTCATGGTGTGCAACCAGATTCAGTTAGATGACCATCGGAGTAAGGAAGAGATATAAGGTTTTTTGTGAGGCTCATGGCATGCAGCCAGATTCAGTTAGAAGACAATCAGAGTAAGGAAGAGATATAAGGTTTTTTGTGAGGCTCATGGCATGCAGCCATTCAGTTAGAAGACAATCAGGGTACGGAAGAGATATAAGGTTTTTGTGAGGCCCATGGCATGTAGCCAGTATCTCAGGTATTCCGCTTTGGCTGAGGAAAAGAGCAATCAAATTTCTGGAGCATCCCTAGATAGAGATGAGTGTTTGGCTTCATTGACACCCTTTGGCAAGTCACATGACATGTCAGGCTCGGAGAGCTGCATATGATTTCTGTTTGCTCGACACCATCTAAGAATGTCTATGGGTCCTGGTCCGTCTGAGGCAGGGCCACCATATCCAGTTCAGACTATCATATGTACTAAGGCAATGTCCTCTACCTCGAAGAACTCGCCAAAATGGAAGAGGAAACCAAAGCTCAATTTCTATTGCACAGTGCCAGTAGTCCATTATCACCAGCATACCCAATACCAAGTCAACAATGATGGCTCTGTCAGTTATATGCAGAAGCATCTTCTACCTCCTAAGAATGCTAAAGCAACCATCCCGGACCATTATATTGATCAAACTCATGCAGAACGAACTCTATGCAACTCAGACACCTTTTTTTCAATTCCAGAGCCACTTGACGATCTCCCACTTGAAGTATCATTAGATGTTCTAGGCCAACAAAGGAGAAAACGAACAGCAGGCGTACATGCACTACAATGTTTCACATAATTTGACTTCCCCCTTACAATGTTTAATCAGGACCATCCTTTGTTGACGTGGCTGAATCACAGAGCGTTATTCCTTCAAGAAATGATCTGTCTTGAAGGAAGAGTCAGCATGCGGTTGTGCTTAGAGTGTGATGGTCCCAATCCAGAGTACAAGTGTCAGGACTGCTTCGGGTCAGAGCTTCATTGCTCAACTTGTATTTTGTCAGTCCATGCGCACCACCTGCTTCACTGATTGCAGGTACGTCTTTGCATTTAATTGTGATAATAGACTTAATCTCAAATACAGAAGTGGAACGGTCAATACTTCGAGTGAATTTCTCTGAAAGCCCTGGGCCTCCGCATTCAGCTTGGTCACATCACTGGCCGGCAATGTGTCAATCCTCACCGTGCTTTTAATGACGATTTTGTCATTATCGACATCTTCAGTATACACGAAGTGTCACTCGACTTCTGTGGTTGTGCAATAGCCAAAAGTTGTATGCAACAGCTACTTCGAATGTCATTATTTCCTTCGACAACCTCAGATCCAAAAACTGCTGCAACATTCCACTGTCTTACTAGGATGTGATTGGCAATAAAAATCACCAGTTCTCACTATCCTCCACGGTCAACGGTTCAGACAAATACCAACGGTTGATAATGTGGTCATTCGTGGGAGGAGGCGTAAATAGCTGGGTCAATCTAAACAACTTCTAATGACTTTAGGTGGGTTGAGACAGTGACCGTTTAACTGGCTTGATGCAGTGCTTAGGTACTTGAAAATTGATAGTCCATTAACTGGCTTGATGCAGTACTTAGGACACTGAAGATGAGGATTGTAAATGGTGTAGCTGAATCGATAACTGGCTTGATGCAGTACTATGATGCTACTAAAAGAGGATTGCAAAGGTGTGCAATATGAAGATGAAGATATGAATCACACAGTACACAATGAATCAGAGTAATATCTTGTAAACACTCCCTATTCTCAAAAATTAGAGGAGATCAAACTAAGCCTCTAACACAATCGAATCAACCGAAATATGTGGCTTCAAAACTAACTTCTCTGCTGCTCAGGCACTCACAATGAGTATGACGCAGAATCAGAACAGAGTACACCCTCTTGATGTAGTCTTAAAGCAGCCAAGCTCTTAATATTGTTGAATAAAGTGCTAGTCTTATTTGTCGTCCTCCTAATCGTTAAAAATACGTAAATTCTCCCAACAGAAAAGGTATCCTGTGTTTGTATAGAGAATGTGATGAAAACTACAACTAGAAGGACTGATAACTGTGTACCAGCTAGTGTAATTCAGGATTGGCTCAAGGTAGGCCTCAGAAGATCAGTATGTTGTGGGAAATGATGACAAAAGAATGGAGGGAATAAACTAATATTCACTCAGATGTTCACACAGATGTAGGGTGAGAAATTTCAGGAAGATACTCAAATTTTCCTCCCTCTCTCTAAAAGGGGGATGTCTGTCCTCTCAAAGGAAGCTTATTTCAAAAGGGGAGATTGTCATTATTCAGAGGGGAAACTGGGCCCCTTATATACTACTCTAAATGTGGCTGTGTAACTATCTATTTAAGGAAATATGACTCATCCTGACTCATACTGAGTCATGTTAAAGATGACTCATAGTGACTTAGACAGAAAATGACTCATAATGACTTGTTCACTCCTCAAATATTCCCATCTATCAACTTTCTTCCTTCAGTTTCCTGACTAATCCATCTCATCTTACTAATCCATTTCATCTGACTAAGCCATTGATCACACATGAACTGTTGAAATGTTGGAATGCTACCGTAAATATGTTTCAGAACATACAGAAAAAATGTGAAGAATATTGTAAAAAACAATCATAAGATTGTGAGAGAATGCTGACTAATGTGTTGTGATATGTTTGGAACTTATCTTTAGATTGGATAAGTGTTAATTGAATTATGATGTAATATTATGGGTCTGTTATGTCTGAAAATTACTCAAATCAAATCATAATGTGTTATAGAAAATTCTTAGTAATTTCGTAAAGTGTAGTAGAGAATGTCAAAGCTAAAAAGTAGCCATGACCATGCACAAAACAAGTTTGGTGCATGTCACCGCGTTCTGGAGCAGTATCACCTGCTCTCGTTTGAGTCAAAAATATCTGCCTATGAATTTTATCATGGACTTCGCCGGATGTCTGACAATACCGGTCTACTTCTCATTAAGGTAGGTTCAAAATTTCAAGTATCCTTATGGTCAGTAAAGCTTCTTTACAGGATCGATATGAGTCGTTTATGTGGATGATTCGTAAATGGCGTCACCTGAAGATGCTCAAACGCTCAGGGCGAGGTCACGATCCGAAGGGTGTAGAAGCGACAGCTCAAGGTGAATGTGCTGTATTGTGCCCAGCTTGTCCACATCCAGGGAAGAACCTTCCAGATAATTGGAAATATGCACCTCGACGGTGAGTTTTAGATAGCTTGAGTGGTATTATCGCTGATATAGATAGTATTAGTTGGCTCTACGGATTGTTCCTTGCTATCGATGCAAACTTCCGGTTGAAATGCAAGGCTGTCTTGAATGACAGTGTGGACCCAAGCCTGAGTTCTGGGTGGGCCTATTTCGTGGAGGATGAAGCTTATAAGGGCTTCTTGGACAGCAATTCGGACAATACCCAAGAGGTTGTTTTATTTAAATCTTCTTTTCGTGTATTAATGGTGTTCTACAGAAATCAACATGCTCAAGTCACAACGCTGTGAACATGGCGGACACAAAATCTAATTGCGGACTTGCTGCCACAGGTTTAGGTACTGTCAACTGTGCCCGCCACAACATGAAACGGCCCAACGCTGTTGGAGATCTCCAAAAGGGTAAAAGGTAAATTGTGTTTTGCATTCAGACATTGGTGATCCAATGGTCTGTAGATATGTCAACATGGATTATTTGTTCTTCTCAACACTGCGCCACACTGTAATCGACACTCTGAATGTATCTTATGATATCGTGTGCCAGTGGCACAAAAAATTATGGCACCATATGAGCACATTTCCAGTCTCAATGCACCTCCTGCCTGCTTTCAAAACTATCTCTTTTTTTTGTCCCAAAGTTCCACCTTCCTGCTCACATCGAGGAGTGTCAAACCTCATTCTCGTTCAATTTCAAGAGTGGGGTTGGTCGGACTGATGGAGAAGCACCCGAGCGTGGCTGGGCCAATATCAACCCCGTCGCTTCAAGTACTAAAGAGATGGGTCCTGGTGCACGGCGAGACACCCTTGATGACTACTTTGGAGACTCAAATTGGAAAAAGGTAGTTAAACTTGGTTCATACATTTTCATTGAAATCATCCTTTATTGCAACTGGATACCTTAACCTCGACTGCTCCGACACTCGATTGTGCAGACGCACCATGCACCTTCTCTCCATCCACTAGTCGCCTCGATAATACATCAACCCCTTACTATGCCGAGGCAGTTTTGGTCTTGAAGAGCGTATTTGGGCTGACCTCCTTTATTATCAGGTCATACTATGCTTCACAAGATGAAGGATGCATTACCAGAGCGGCAGGATCATCACGAAGCCCTTGACGACCTTGAAGAAGGTTTGAGAGGTGAATATAGTGCCTCTCTCACCCAGTGGAGAGAACAGGTGGAGGCTTGGGAGCGTGACCCTGCAAAGCCAAATCCTTTCAAACGAAGGGCAGAAAGTATGTATGGATCATCATCAGTCACTGTGTGCTGATCTTTCCGTGCATCGTAGTTGTCACTATGGCTTCTGCGCGACTGGAACTGGCTAGGGATGACCAGAATGATATTCAAACAGGGACTTGCCTTGCGCTACACAAGGACTGTACTCCTAGTGTATTGATCAGTACCGGCTTAGAACTCGAGGAACAACAGTAAGTCCCCTGAGTGCTGCATATGAGATCTTGGTCTTACTTTTTTCTAGACGGTGAATGAAAGCTGACAGAGCCAGCCTCAGAGTTCACGCAACAGACAATCAAGAAGGGAAGATGCTTCAGCAGAATAACACTCTGCAATGCAGGATTGACACCTGGACTAAATTACAGGAACTATACATGCCGTCGCTCGCTGCACTACGTGTCAGTGAGAGTTCAGTATCTGGTGGCATAGCCACTGCAGTAGCTACACCAGAAACTGTCAAACTCTGGCTACCATCCCAAATGGGCAAGACAGCACCTTGTGACACCCGCCTCCAAACCATCGAATGGAAGCTCCGGTATGTGCAAGCTCACGATGCACTCCGTTCCCTACGTTCAAACTTGTGTGCTCAGACTGCAATCCTCAAGTATAAAGATCGCAACCTTCGTGGACAAGGTGCGAATACGAGGGCACGGAATACACTCAAAGCTGTTGAAGCAAGGCTTGAGGCTGCCGCCAGCACATATGAGCGTGCCCATAAGGCTCTCGTGGTTCTTGCACCACTGCTGAATCAGACTGGGTGGCACTCCTCACTGCGGCCACTAAACCAAGCGGATATCCGCTCGATGACAGATCTATTATGGGGGGAATCAGAGGGGACAAGAAAACTATCTTGGATCTGGAATATGTGAGGAGCTGCACCTGACGAGATGGACAAGGACAATGCTTTGGAAGGCGAGTACTTTTTTTTTGTTTTGGAAGCTTCAAGCCTAAGGTTCGCAGTTAATTAGATATGTGAATCGAATGGTGCAAAGCCAGGGCACGGGCGATGCGCTGGGCTGAAGAGGTGGAGCTGCTGAAGGACGAGATGTGGAGGATCCTACAATTTTTCGTATGGGATGCACAATGCTGGGACGAGCGAGGGCTAGAAGATGCCTTACATGACGTGCATGATGATGATGAGCGCGAGGGACTGATAGCATATGCCAAACGTCAAGCTTCATTATGTCGAAGGCTCGCTGAGTCCTTCAGGACTAGTTGGACTGACACCTTGGCACTGGCGGACATATTCAACCACTCACTCATCACTCAGCAAGACATGGACATTGATTGATTAGTACCCATAGTACATGCATACTACGTAGCAAGATCCAATATAAATTTGTGCTAGCATTGGCTGTCTCATTCGAATGAGTAGTAGGTGTATGTGAATGTGGGAGGGCCAACGGGAGGCAAGAATGAGCGGGCCAACGGGGGGGCGAGAACAAGCAGGCGAACAGGCGGGCAAGATGCATTAGCAAAATGGGCAAGCGGAGCACTACTATGCATCATGATGCATCAACTCCCTCCCATGCTGATGCATCAGCGGGAGGACTGATGCATCATGATGCATCGGTGGGAGGGCTGATGCATCAGCACGGGAGGGAGCTGATGCATCACAGCAGGAGGGAGCTGATGCATTAGTGAGGAGAAAGGGTAGTATAATTGCAGCAATGATGCATCACGGGTGCGCTACAGTTACCCTGTTTGATGCATCAGCATGCCACAAACCTGTGTAGAAGAATGTAAGCCGAAGGACAATGATGAGTCTGAACAAATACTTACGACAGTCTCGAGGTGAGCCCTCCCATCTGCAACGTCTTGACTGTCCCACTGTTACGACACACGGTCGTGTGCGACTAGGATAATCTAACAGCGACAACCACGACAGTGGTACCGAGTGCTGAGAGTCGTCGGCCTTTACAGACAAGCAAAGGTTGCGTACTCGAACGTAGCTCGTGGTGGTTAACGAGGGGTTACGCTGAGATGATAGCAGGGTTTACAGACAGTGAGAGGCGTCACTGAAGGTACGAGTCGATGTCGAGCAGGTAGCTTTAGCGGGACAAGGAGTTCAAGGGTAAACCTAGTAAGATTAAAGTAAGGAGCGTCTACTTTAATCTTCGACCTTATATAAGGCTACTCGTCGTATCTAAGCTCAGCCTAAAGCTGGGTTCTAATCTGCTTATCTACATGTGTCAGAGATAGCGTCCATGAGGCAGGCTTCTATCGTAGATAGGATCCACATGGTATCCTTCTATCTATACATGAGGCAGCGTGTGGCTTGCCTTCTGTCTTCTATCAGGCAGCACGAGGCTTGCCTTCTATCATCTATCAGTCCTCGAGGCAACACGAGGCTTGCCTTCTATCTTGATAACATTAATAGGTCTTCTAGACCTATGTCGTCATGTATCGTCACGTGCGGTCCAGACCGCTTATCTAAGCCGGCAGTTGCCACTTATCGTCTATTGTCATCTATTGTCATCTGTCGTCATCTGTCGTCACAGAGCCAGTGATGCTCTGGTATCGTCTATAGAGCTGGTAAGGCTCCGGTGTCGTCTATAGCCGTGCGTTCAGCAGAGGGCTGTCGTCTATAGCCATGCGGTGGCAGAGGGCTGGTCTGCTGGCGGGGGACTCGTGCCATGTTGCTGTAACACCCACCGTTCTTCAACATAAGCCAGCTTATAGTTGGGGTCAAGGACTGTAGTTATATGAGAGGCGGGCACATGTTAGTGAAGTTTTTCATATGAGGCGGTGAAGAGAGAGGGAGGTAGTAGGTACAATAGGAGGGAGAATGGGAGGGAAGTGAAGTTTTTCATATGAGGCAGCGAACTTTTCATAAGATGAGTCGTCCATAGAAGAGGGAGGTAGGTATGGTGGGGAGGGAAAGATGGGAGGAAAGTGAAGTTTTTCATATGAGGTCCATAGAAGAGGGAGATAGGTATGATGGGGGAGGAAGATGGGAGGAAAGTGAAGTTTTTATGAATGCTCACTGAGACAAATAAAATATACATCCGAGTCGCTTGTTTTCTTGTAGTATTTGTTGACGTTCTTGAGTCCTTGCTTGATTGCATCGGTGATCGGTGCATACTGTATATTGTTGGCCATCTCTTGCCACCGGTCAGCCAGGCACTCCAATGTAGGTATCGTTTGCCATGCAGTAGGGTGTTTCACGGAGGAGAAAGTTTGCTGGGCGGTAGCCGGCTCCTTCAGGACTTGATGAACGAGTCCAAGGTGTCTCCAGTCATTCCAGCCGAGCTTGAAATCATCATAAGACTTGTTGTGAAGATTCGGGACTTCTTTGCTTTCGTCAGCGAGATTGGTGAAATGGTTGACGGCCTGTTTAAAATATAAATATCAGATTCACGAACACTGAATAGACGGAGTGTAGAGATACCTCCTCGAAAGACATGCTTACTCTCAGGTTCACCAGCGTCCCTACCAAACATTAGCAGAACACAATACATGCAGTTCTAATTACATACTTGCAAGGGTTGCATACCCAGTGTGTTTCATGGCGAGTGAAGACAGTGTGAATGTCAGCGGTATGTTCAGTCTTCGGCAAAGTGGCTTGGATGGCGTCCTCAGGTTCGGCTTCGGCTTCAGCTTTGGGCTGGTCCTCCAAAGGATCAGTGTCATGACCAGCGTCATCGTCATCAAGGCTATCCTCGTCTGATAATAGACATGATAAAACCTTTTTGTGAGCCGGTTGAAGTTGAAGTTCAGTAGCGCTAGACAATGCACGTTTGTGGTTTGTTGAGCTGGTGGAGGTCGAGGTTGAATAAACGTTCTCAGCATCCCGGAGGCGAGCAGATGGCTTAGAGGTGCGAATGGATTGTCGAGCACCAGCTGTGACTGGTGTTGGTTTGCGCCCAGTATTCAGTAGCATAGAGAAGGCATCCTGAGGAGAATTAGTAGATGATGATGGCTGGGGGGCAGAGGACGTGGTGTCAAGGGGGACAGAATCATCGAGATCATGGTAGAAGACGATGTCCTTGGCATCCTTGAGAGAACCATCAGCATTGACAGCGCATGAGTCTGAATGAGCCATGTTGAATATATTGCTTACCTGCTGAGGCTTGCACATTTTATGTGCAAGCAAATCAGACAGCCAGTGGACAAACAGCCGGTGGAGGATCATAATAGCATTGTAGGGTGTTGGTATGATAAGGATCTGGGCGAGGACATGGTCATTACGAGCACAACACTCACACTGTTCAGTTTGAACAGTGCATATCATGACTTACCTTGTCAATGAGCCTCTGCATTTGACGGAAACAAGTAAGTATCGAAGCTCGAGAATCCTTGAGGCCAAGGCGAATCATCAAAGGCAGTGTCAAAACATGCTTTGACAATGCAACAGAACTTCTCACGGTTTGGGGAAGGTTCGAACCAACATAGAACCATTCGGCAAATGGTGGACTGTGAACCTCACTCAGGTCCGGTCTGCCCCAATTCATGGACCATGGACTGAACCAAGGAAGAACCTGACCGTTGGTCAGGTTCGGACCATGGTTCTGGACCGAACCACGGCAGCACTACTGCTTCTTTTTTTTTTTGGACAAGTGGGTCTATTATATAGCAACTGACACTATCTAGTCCTATATAAATGCTTATAGCGGTATCTAAAGTACCGGCCCGAGGAGAAATGCTCTTACGCACTCCCCGCAGTTCGCGGGGGTGTGTGGGACTCCGTGAACCCTAGGTTGCCTCATTCTGTGGGGGCCTAGGGAGCGTTATACCCACTAAAACCTCAATTGATGTGGCCCAATTCTGGGGGAGGGGGTCCCCTCTTGAGACTACTTCCAACCATGTGGCCTTGACCTGGCTGGTGAAGGCTGGAGATCGTTTTAGTTTACAAGCAGCTACTCTGTCTAATTGTAGTTGGTGTTCAATGGCCTTAAACCATCTCTTTGTCACATGGTTCCTGTCGTGGGATATACCTTGGATGACGCGTTCACATCGTAGGACCCAGATTAAGTATGTGGATTCAGACATAAGGATTCACAGAAGCCTTGATGCCCCTTGGTTACATTTAACGGTCTATTGTCCAGCCTCATTATTCCTGTTCTGCCTTTGATATATACTTAGTGTCCCACATCTGAGGATGGTCCCTAGTGAGACATCAGGCCATGGCGTGTCATCATGGGGCCACAAGCGCTTCGCAAGGCTCCAGATAAGTTTTCCGGCTGGATGGTCGCACTCTATGAGAATGTGCTCTATGGATTCGGTGGTCTCTCTACAATGTGGGCATCAGGCCCTCTGTTCATAATTTGGTATGTTTATCCAGAAATCTCCCACTTTCAGGGAGTTGTGTAGCGCTCTGAATACAAAGTTTTGAAACTTTTTAGATAGGTCTTTATGACGTCTGTTCAGCCAGATTGTTTGGTCCGTTTCCTGTGTTCTTGATACTATTCCCACTGCATGTCTCGTTATTTCTAGGAGTCCGGTGGTCGATCATTTTTGTTCTAGTTTTAGGGACGACCTGATTCCCTGGTACGCCATTGCTTGTGTTATTTTACTGAGTTTTGCACCTTGCAGGTCAAAGTTTTTAGGGACATTGACGTCAATATGGTCACACAGGTTCTTTTGGGCGCCAATACCGGCAAGTTTATCAGCTTCTTCATTGCCCTGAATTCCGCTGTGGCCCTTAATCCAATGGAAGGCTGTCGTTGCTGCTCTTTTTCTTAGGTGGTATGCCATAGCTTTGAAAAGTTCGCTATTTGCAATTCCTATCCAACCTCGGTCCTCCCAGTTTTGGAGATGGTTGGTGAGACCATCTATTGCGTAATGTGAGTCTGTTATAATTGTAATTGGGACTAGAGGGCTGACACTCTGTAGTCTGATTAGTATCGCAGCTACTTCTCCTGTTTGGTTGGATTGGTTTTCACCAGGGATCCTTACGGCCTTGTTCAGGGGGTTGTTTTCCCCGAACCATATGCCGCTGCCACACTGTGCATCTTGTTTTCCATTGTTTATGCATGAGCCGTCAGTGTAAATCTCGACAGGTGGTTCTTGTTGTCCCCGTCCTTGGTTGGGTCTTTGGAGCCGGTGAGCTGGGGTCTGTGCGGTCTCTGAGTCTCCCGCAAAGATTCTGAAACACTCTGCTAGTTGTGATTTTTCCGAGACTGATGGATCGAAGACGATGTCTCCTCTGTGTTGAGTTCTTGCTCTTGTGTTCTTTTCCAGGCGGCGGTGTGTGAGTGTAAGTCCGTAGTTGACTGGACAATGAAATGGGTTGAATTTTGGGGTCAGGTTGTTTATGATTGCTGCCGCCGTGGATATGCATTTATGTGGGTTTTTGCATCCTGCCAGTCTATCCGATATGCATTGACCACATACGCAGTCATGATTCTCCCAGTGGTGTGGAACTGTGGTTGGTCTATTACTCACTTTTAATAGGTCTTTGATTGTTTTTACTTCATGGGTTCGTTTTAGGCATGCGTCTTTTATCTTATGATAGGTCCGCGGTAGTGCGCCGAGGTGAAGCCATGCTGGGAGTTGTTGTTTATGGGTTTGTGAGAGTTTAATCGGCGCGAAGCTCATGTTGTGTTTTCTTGCCATTTTTAACATTGAGATTATTTCTTTAGGTACTCTGCTTGCGCATGTTCCCCTTGTGGGGGGTGCCCAGAAGGTGAGGAAGGTTTGAACATCATTCGGGTTGTTAACCCCATCCGGTTTCAGGGTGTTTAGTACAGCGTCTACCACAAAGGTCCATGCAGGACGTGTGGGGGACGTGTTTACGTAGGCGCTGAGCCACGTTATGTTTATGGCTTCATTTCTAGATGCAATGTCCAGGAGCCCGATGCCTCCTTCTTCTTTCTGTTTTTGCAGGCGTTTCAGGCTAATTGGTGGTGATTTCGCGTTATTCCATATAAACTTTCTTATCATTTTTTCGATAGCTGTCTCAATTGCTTTTGGCATTCCCTGTGCCTTGGTGAGGAATTGGGTCATGCCTCCTACAAACATTTGGATGATCAGGTGTTTACCATCTAGTGTCGGGTTTCCCCTGTTCCATTGTTGGAGTGTGGACTCGATCTTATCTAGGACGGGTTCCCAGGGAGTTGCGCTGTCAAGGTCATTCCCTATCCACGCTCCTAAGGATCTTACAGGTGTTGCATCTCAGGCGATCTTTACTGACACGTCCCACGGGTTATCTTCTGTGTTTAGCTTCCTGGAGGTCACAACTTTTAGCCTGTGTGTTTTAGAGCCAATCGGTAGGATTTCTGTCTTTTCTAAGTTGAATTTCGCGCCTGAAGCTTTGCACCAGGTCTTCAGTAAGTCATGTAGGTCATTATATTTGTTGCCTTTTCTTAGGTACACAGTTGTATCGTCCGCGTACATGTTGACTATTAGTTTGTGTGCGAAACCAGGTATGTCATATCCTTTCAGTTTCGTTGAGTTTATTAGGGCGCATGCTAATGGCTCTATCGCAAGGTCAAAAAGCAGGCAGGATAACGGATCCCCTTGCCTTACTCCTCTCATTACCTTGAAGGGTGCGCTCATGAATCCGTTTATCATTACTCTGGTATGTGCTTGTTCATATAACGATTGGACGGTTTTAATGAATCTTACTGGTAGGTTGAAGGCTTCTAGTGTCTTAATCAGATAGTCATGGTGGACCTTATCATACGCTTTTTCTTGGTCGAGTGCTACGATTGCGCCATCTTCCTCCATGACATCTGCATAGGCTGTCATCATTTGTGTAAGTCGAATTGGGTCAAAGATTGATCTTTTTGGGATGAATCTGCACTGATCTGGATGTATTAGTTTATGTATTTCTTTCGCGAGTCGCACAGCTAAGGTCTTAGTGAGTAGTTTGTAGTCTGTGTTTAGTAGGGTGATCGGGCGGTAGTTTGCTATATCTGATCGGTCTTTCTTTTTGTATAGGGGACACATCCAACCTAGGGCAAAGTTCGATTCCTCTATCATGCCGTGTGTTTGTATGTCGTTGAAGATAATAGTGAGGACTTTAATTATATTGAAGCTGGGTTCGTTTTTCATGCATTTCTTTTTGTGAAGTTCATGTAGGGATTTCCAGGCTTCATAGGGAATTCTGTCTATTCCTGCAGCGCTGCCGGCTTTGGATGAGTATAGTGCTTCTCTCACGTCTGTTACAAGTAACATCAGTCACGTGGCCCCCCTATCATTTTCCCTTCATCCTTGCCCTCACCATCTACCGGCTCGTCCTCCTTTACCGACTTTCCGTTGACCGGATCCTCAGGACTGTTCCCGTCCCTCGCATCGCCCGCCTCCACGCACGTGCACGCACGTTCCTCCACTGATTCGACCACCTATGTGGTCCCGCACCTATGACTCGGTCTGACTCGTGCCACCAATGTGGCTTTCCTCTTTCTGTTTCCCCTGACTGCGGATTCCCGCACATTGTATTCTTACCGTTGGTCCGTTCCAATGTTTCTCGGTCTCATTCCACTTTCGACCATCCATCACTAATCCGGCTATGTTGCCAACGCACCTATACCACATTCGTATCCCCTTTACCCTTACCTACTGTGCGGTAGCCTTGCCCTTAACCCTCTCCACTTAGTATAAGTAGTCGGTCACCCTGTACTAGATTCTCTAACTTGAATCTACTCAATCTTCCCTGGAACATACTTCCCTCTGAAGCCCCCTCAGCTTCAGTCTCTAGTATCTTTTCTTAGTCGCTCTTCGCGACTAAGTCTACCTCGATCGACCTCATCGTTCGGACAAGACAGTCCTTACCTTGAGCGACTTCTAAGACATCCGTCTCAGAAGTCACGTGACACGCGCGTACTGTGATCACTGCCGACTCGTCGTCGCCAGTATCACTTGCTATACCGGATCCTTCCGGTTACGTCATGAACGTTAGCGGACGACGCCCCTCTTAGGGCTCCGCCTAACAGATCTATTTGAGTGCGTAACAACGTCGGTATCTTGTATTGGGTCGTTCAGTGGGCATAGAGGTGGGTTTATTATTTTTTGTTCATTCGGTATTTCATTTAGAGCTTCTCGCATCATTGTGAGTCTCAGCATTTCATCTGGGTCCTGCGTGTCTTCTTGTTGGAGGTTATTATGGTATGTTTTTGCGACTTCTGCCATTTCTTCGGACTTGGTGGCGATTCTGTTTGTGTTTGGAATCTTTAGTCTGTGTATTAAGTCTCTAGGTTTCCTGGATTTGTTTACTCCAGACCAATATTTACTGATCATCTCTCCCTTCAAGGACCACTTCACTTGGGCTTTTGGGTGGGCGTCCCTATATCTTTTTCGTTCCAGGTGCTCAAGCTCTTTCTCTAGTATTATTTTGTTTTGTCGTCTGTCAGTGGACGAATCCATGTCTGGTGCGTTGGACGTCCTTTTGATGTCTTTTTGTAACTGTTTTATCTTTTGATTGATTTTTGCCAGGTGAAACTTTGCGGTGTGCTGTGCTTCTGAGGTTATCTTGGTTTTGAAAGTTTCCCACAGGGTCTGTGGGTTTCTGGAGTTGGTCCGAGTTTCGACTGTACTGTTTTCTATTTCGGTCTGGAGTGATAAGCCTAATTTCTCTATTTTCTCTAATAGGGTTTCATCGGATAATGTGCCTATTGGCCACGACCATCTGCCTGTCCCAATGTGTGGGGCTTCTGGTGGGGCGAAGTGGGTGCGGACGATGCTGTGGTCTGTGGGTATGGGGCAAAGGTATGTTTTCCATTCTGTCACACTATCTTTGTGTAAGATTGACGTATATATTCTGTCTAGGCGTGACAAGGAGTTTGTATTACTATTGAGCGTGAAAAGCCGCGTTGTAGGGTGTGAGTGTCTCCACGTGTCCTGTATATTAAAATCATTCCTGAAGTTTCGTAGGGCCTCTACTGCTTGTTCATTATCTGGTCTGGATGGAGCTCTGTCGAGGGGGTCTTTGGTGACGTTAAAGTCCCCCATCATAAAGTCGAGGGTGCTTAACCCTTTCTGTAGCCATTTCATTCTGACGGTGTCCCAGAAGTGCTGGTGTTCTGAGTGGTTATTGGGTGCGTAGATGTTAAGTAGGTTTATTGTCCTGTCATTATGCCATTTGATTGATAGAGCCGCAGCTCTACCGGGGATTAGTACTGACCATTTAATGTCAGATACATTAATCATTTCTTTATTCAAGACAAAGGCTACACCCGCAGAGTTGCTGGGGCGCGAGGGATCTTGGGAGTTGAGGACCAGTAGGTGTCTCGAGAATAGGGACTCAATTTGTCTTTCATTATCGTTGGAGAGGTGCATTTCTTGCAAGCATAATATACCGATTTTCTCTTCTCTGATTGTTTTATTTATCATGGGCCATTTCAAGATTGTGCTGGCGCCTAGTGATGTGGAAGCCCTGCCTTTCACGTTTAGTGTGGCCAGGGTTATGTTTGCACGGGTGTGTTTTTGAGTGTTAGTGTATGTTCGTCGCTGGTGTGCGGGTGCCCTGTTGGGCACAGGAGGTACTACGCCACCGATCTCCCCTGGTACGTCACTGGGGGGCTCCTCGGCGATGGAAGGCTGCTCCCCTCTGCTCCTGGGGAGGCTAGGACCAAGGCCGAAATCAGAACCGGGAAAAAGGGGGGGGGGGGGTTTGTATATTGGTTGGTAGTCGGTAGATACTTTACTTATCGTTACGACTATAGATAAGTCAGGGATAGCATTGCCCAGCTACCTGGGGGACTATGTCATCATTTTCAAGGAGCATCAATGCCCTAACCATAATGTCGACTACTAATGAAGACTTCAGCCTCTCAGCACGGCTCGTCCAGACCTAAATAGGTCTCCGTGTTCTGGTGTGCACCATGCTTGGTGAGATGGTCTCCGCTTTCCTGTCTCGCCGGAACAATCAGTAAATGTGGGCGGGAACCTGTAGTTGATAGCTCGCGTCTCCCTCGGGCTTACTATGCGATTCAACGACTCATTTTCACAATAGGATTAGGGCCTAAAGTCATAGCCGTTGCTGCGGGTATTTACGTTCACAAGGTCAGTTCTCGGAAAGGACTGTATTTGGTTCTAAAGTATATGGTTGAAGTATGTGCGCATCAGGGAGAGGGATATGTACGAGGTACAAGGTGGGATAGGGAGCATGATCAAGTTGGTAACGGCTGAGGGGGGCTTCTGTCTTATAGTACTAGAGTTCAGGCATGTTATGTATCAATGGCGGAGTGTAACGGGTGCGATAGTACTAGGTGTTCCTTCCAGGTTTTCTGTTTCTCATCCTTCCAGGTTGGCAGGACGCGTTGATTGCCGTTCTAAATCCCATGGTGGGGCCATTCCATTTTGGAATGCTGGGGAACGGGCATAGGCCGCGCGGGTGGGCGAGGGAATGGCAGATTGGGCAGGGGGATAGAGCGACTGTGGCACCACAGCCATCTAGATCTGTTGGATAGTCTAGGAGGTGGAGAAAGCCTCTCAGGTCAGTCCAAGCTTTGGCGTCATTGGTTGGGCTAATGGCGAAAATGTTGAAGCGGGGTACTGAGAGTCCGCCTGTGACTTTGAAGTCAAGGTGCTCTACGCAGATCAATCTGATTAGGTCTCGTGTAGCTTTGTATACCATCTCCTCTTTGCATATCTCACTCATGAAAAAAATATCATTGATGTAGCCTCTGTTCTCGTCTAGGGCCCAAACATCCGCGACCATTTTGCGGATGATGTTGGTATCAGAGGTGGTGAAGCCGGAAAGGCAAAATAGGAGCTCTGGTGTTTGCGAACAGTTAAAAGGGAGTGCCTTGTAGGTGACATCTACGGCGGACCATATTCGCTGTCCTAGAATGAGTTCTTTTGTCTCTTCTGAGACGTTATGGACTAGGTAGCCGACAGGGAAGTCTTTGGAGTTCCTTCCTCCTTAGGGTTGGGGAGGTGAGACATGCACGGGAGGGGCGCCTTGGTGCACAAAGTTTGCCACTGCTTTCAAAGACATCTTTTCCGGTGTGGTCGAAGACTCTGATCATGAACTTTGGGTGTTCTACCTGGAACCAGGCAAGCAGTACCTTATTGTCAAGGTGATCAAAGATCTGAGCGGAGTGAGACATATGCACACTCAGGAATCCTCCAATTGGGTTGGGGTGAACTGTGGGAGGACGGTGCTATGGTTTGGGCCGTCATGGCTTAGGATCGCTCTGTTCTTACCCGCCAGGGCTAGATGCGCAAGGATGACCTCCTCCTCTGGGGTTGGGATGTGCATGGAGGTGGGGCTAGCCAGGATTGTCATTGTCTGGTCCGCAGAGTTAGATGGGGCGTGGATGGATTCCGCTATTCTGTTTTTGGCGACGCCCGCTACAGGGTTCTCTATGGAGGATGTTACACGAAACTCCTGCATGATGAGGAGGTCATCAGGTGGGGGGGGCGCAGGGATTTCGCGAGGAGCTGGGGTAGGGGTGTCGGGAGGAGACTGGAGTGGTTCTGGGGAGTGTGGATCAGGTAGCGGTGTCATGAGGAGATCATCCATATTATCGTCGTCTGGGAGGATGTTGGAGGAGAAGTACTTTGGCCCGACGCAGGAGGATTGAGATGTGAGACGGGGAGTGCTGGGGTAAGGGCGGGATGATTGGGAGAGGGCTTTTATGGATGTGAGGTCTTTGTCTTTCATCTTCTGGTGGGCGAGGATTTCGTATGAGGCTGGAAGGGTTTTTATAGTGAGTATTAGAGCGCAGTTATAGTCGGAGGGGTTGGTTAGTTAGAGGTCGGTGATGTTGTCGTGGCCGAGTTCATATCTTAGCGGCTATTGGGCTGTGGTTCAATGATACCTAGATTGGGAGTGATGTCTCAAGGGTATCGTTTGGCGGTGAAGGAGGGTTATACTATATTATTTGCGAGCTATCGTTTTACGTGGGGTGTAGGTTCACTTCTCAAGTTGGTATAGGTCATGAGAGGGTGTGCTTACTCATGGGGGCAACATGTTATTTTGTGTGTGGTGATGGCAGGTTTTGGTTTTATTATCCAGAGTCGTTTTCATTTAGTGAGTGTTTCCTGGTTCTCAAGTAGTTTTTAATTTGTGCGACGATGCGAGGATGTGTATTGGCCAGGTTATAACCCGAGAGCTTTGCTAGCATCACCTTGCCTGCCGTTTTATAGCGTGGGAATTCTGTCCATGGTTGTGGTACAGAAACAAGGGCCTTTTTCGCACTACTGCTTCTGGAGCTCTAGCACACTGAAGGATAAGGATCTTCTGGAAAACAGACCATGGCCTCCTCAATTAATGTTGCGGGAGAGGATGGCACCCAAACCGTCGCTCTGATGCTCGCAGGTGACCAAGGGTGACATCTTCAGAATTGCAACACATAGTACAACGAGACTGCCTCGTGGTACTTTGCCAAAAAAAATTCAATCTGACCATTTTTTCTAAATACCACTCACCAGTGTGCACATGTTGTCCTGAATGTCCCGAATTCACGTCTGGAATCTGGATAACATGAAACCGAGCTAAGCGGAAAGTGTTCTGCCTAGCGTGATAGAAGCTCGGCTGCAGTTGGCCCACTTGGAAGTGGTAAGATTAAAAAGTCACACAATGCGACGGCGTAAGTACATACTACTCTAGCTAGTACTATTCATGGTGTACAGCAGTTCTACAGTGTACATAGCCTTTGAACCCGAAATCTCCTTGAGACTCAGGCCCACCAGTCACTACATGCACAGCACTCCATTGCAATCCACAGGTACGATTCCATAATCATCCTATTCCGGTCATCAATAGGTTAAATCGTTTGCCATGCATAGTGCTTCTCTTCATGTGCCATGACCTATGTAGGCGAGTGGTAAACACGCTGGTCTGATCGAAAGTACATGTCTGGTGCAACCGCAAAGTCTGTGTGAGTCGCTCTCCAAGTAATCCCTAACATAGACTCTTGTCAGACAACTATCCGAGTCTCTGGGGCATTGGTACAACAGGCCAGGTCTTGATGCTGGTGTCCTTGATGGTCAAATCTATCCATATCGATTCTCAATTTGATTAATCTCACACCCCACGTTTTTTCAGGCTGTCCTATTGTGGCAGCCAGCAGGCCGTTGGGCTTCTATCTTAGTATGAGGGCGCCAATTTCATTCTTACCACTTTCAAGTTATTAGGTTCTATCGCCAATGTTTTGGTTCTTTGACAATCGTGTCCTGAGCGTCAACCACCATGGCAAGCTGTCATACCCGGGTCAAAGTACGACCATCAAGGACATGCTGCTGGGTATATATACTACTGATGGCAAGTAGTACTAGCAGCACCAACTCAGCCCACTCTCAAAAGACGAACATTACATCCTAAACATGTCAACTTTCGGGACTCGGGCACGCAGGTGCACTAGTGCTGTAAGTGGCATCGCTTTGCAGAGTGATCAGCACCTGATAAGCAGTGTTCATGTAGAAGAGCTCCGAGCAGTCATCTTGCAGTTCTGACTCATCCTCGCACAAACACGTTGCTGCTGTTGATACCGATGCCAAGCATCGAGGAACCATTCCTGTTATGAGCAAACTTGACATGCACAAATTCGATCACGTAAGTGCTTGTAGTAACAACTGGACTGTCATTCGGTGTCTTACAGAACTATAGTATGGGGAACCTAGCTCGACGCTTCCTATGAAAAACAAGAAACAGGAGGTCGAACAACGATCGCACACGTTGCCCGTACAGACCATTCAGTCAAGACCCTACGTAGAACCTGTACCCCGGACGTGCCAAATGGCCATACAATGTGTTCAGCCGGAGGCTGGCCGACTGTACTAGATTCATGTAGGTGCTGTACTGGCCAGCCTGTAGGGCCATTCTGGCTGAAGCTTATTGTACATACTGTAATGATTAATAAAATGTGAGCTGGGGGTGGTAGGGTGACCGGCCAGCCACATAGAACCAGTACTGGCCAGTGCCTAAGTAAAAAGGGAGATGCCCATAGATTGTGACCGGCCAGGCCTGTAGAGCATGTACTGGCCAGCATCCAAGTAACAGGTACTGGGCCCATGGGTTTTTATTTTTATTTTTTAAATCCACTTTTTTGTCTTTGAGAGTGTAACTCTATGTAAGACAGTACTATCTAGTCTTGGGGGCCCCTGTGCCCCCCTGCACCTCTAGATTCATGAATGCCCCGGTGTGAGGCTTGCCTCCACCGGTCTGCCGTTCCTGCTGCGTGTTTTAGACATGCAATCTTTCGAAGGGAAGGTGACTTTATAAGTATCGTGCAATGGAATAACTGAGTAGGTAAGGTTTTACTGGACGCGTTCTCTGCCGCGAGTGCGACTGGTATAGGAATCGGGTTGAGTGCAAATTATGTAGTAGAGTGGTTTCTCAGGTGGCGGAGAGACCGATTCTGTTGGATTTGACTGATTTCAATGGAGGCCTTGATTCTGTATAGGCGAGTGAATATGATTGGTTTGTGAGATTATAGAGTTGATAGCGAATTATTTGGTTTGTAGCGTGGAGATGTTGGTAAGGAGGATGGTGGTGTTGTATTATGGGGATGGGGTAGCATATGGTGTTAGACGGGCAGTGTTGCTGCTATTATGTGCGTTCATGTGCGGGTAGGATGATCTGTGACTGAAGTAGCGTCGTGTCTGTCAGTTCGAACATTTCGATAACATGGATACTTCACCGAATGTGGTTTTCATTCTGCCAGTTGCGTTAATGTATTGTATAAGGTGTGGAATAGCTTTTTCGTCCGTCAGAAGATATGGGATAGAGGTGGCTTTACGGCCCAATGCTTGGATCAGTGCATGACGTTCTTGGTGATATTGGGGGCATGCAAGGAGGTAATGGTGAATGTTCTCGTCAGTGTGTGGACAATGCGGGCAGGAGGGGGTGGGAGATTTGCTGATACGATGGAGGTGCTGGTTCAGCGGAGTGTGATGGGTGCAGAGGCACATTAAGAGACCTGTGAGATGTTTAGGGTAAGACTTGGTTAGCTTGATGAATGAGCGGTGTAGAATGTCAGGGTCGATACTATGGGTACGTGCGTAACGAGGGGATTTAGTCCATCCTCTTAACCATCAGGCTTGAGTGGATTGGCGGTGAGCTTGCTTGAGGGCTGAGATACTAAGTGGGAGTGAGTCCAAGCGAAGGTAGTTGGGTAACCGGGCGCGAGCGCTGTTGTTCTGGTGTCCTTCTGCAGCCTTCTTTGCTTGTTTATCCGCTTCTTCGTTGCCGTGAACATCGGAGTGGCCTGGTACCCAGTGTACTGTAATGTCAAAGTCATTATGGTCATTAGCTACTTTCTGCATCATACGGCGGAAGCAGTCCGCTAGGTAGGATCCTGGGCGAGTGCGAAAACTGTTTCCACATTGGATTGCTGCTTGATTGTCAATAGATATGGAGATGGGGAATTGAATGTTGCGTTCTGTGGAAATTAGTCTGGCTGCTAATGTTAGTCCTACCTCTTCTGCTTCGAACACGGTGTGTTCATCCTTCGTGCCTAAATAGAAATGTAATACTCGTGGCGCTGCGCCTGCTCGAAATAGTACCGCGGATGCTCCAATTTTGTCATTGTGACCTGAGCCATCACAATATACCTGGATTGACTCTGTCAGACGTTCGTGTAAGGTGATGGCTTCCTCCCGCATGTGTGCGATGTTGGTCTTGAAGGGATTCTTGGTGGTGGGAGGACACCTTGCTGGGATTAAGGTTTCTATTTCATCTGGGTCAATGGAGAAGAGATGGGTGAGTTTGTGCAATGAGGAACGGTGAGAAGAAACATAGTGCTTGGCTGCGCACCTAACTGGGTGATACAAGGGATGTGTTGCTGGGTGGGCGGTGATGCGAATGATGGCTCTATGACATATGTTGTGGAGAGCTAATGGGATGGGAAGTATGTTAGCGTGGGCCTCAAGAACGTCCCCGGCAGTGGTCCGCATGGCTCCGGTCATGGCTAAGGTTGCAAGTCTCTGCACAGATGCGAGTCTTTTGGCTACCCCCAACGATCCCTGTTGGAGGATATCGGAACCTTCCTTGAAGGATGGAGTAAACCATAGGTCAGCGGCATACATCATTTTCGGTATAGCTACAGCTTGATACAATTGGCACATAAGGGGCATCGGGATTCCTTTGGCCATGGTAGATAGGCAACGGATCTGGCAAATGTAAGCTGTTCCTTTGGCCACCGCGTTATCGACTTGCATGGTCCATCGTAGTTCTTGGTCTACTATGACGCCGATGTCTTCGAGCCACTCTGTCCAATGCTGTTGCTTCGTCGAGGCGATGGAGTCCGCGTATTGAGTTTTGAGGTCCTTCAGTTCCTCATGGCATTCATGGAGAGGCAGGGCGCGCATTTGGTAGGACAGGCGGCTGAGGCGATTGACTTTCTTCCGCAGTACGGTGAGCTCCCGAGTCCACCAATGCTTGGAGTGGGGGCAGGGTTTCGAGAGTGGTACGTGGGCGGTGATGGTGGAGGTGATAGCTTCTGTTAAACGCCAGGTGGCAATCTGAAACTCTTCGTTAGTGGCTAATGGCTGTGGGGGATGAGGGGATAGAAGATCTTGGAGGTGCTTATCGAATTTCTCCCAATCTACTTCTCTCCAGTTCTTCTGTGGTGTTGTGTCTGCGCGTGGGGTCTCCAGTTCGAGAATGAGATGTATCGGGACATGATCAGTTTTTGGGCCCCAGAGTTCTGGAGCCGTGGTGCAGGTGATAATTGCGTTGAGTAGCTGTTCCGTTCCGAAAACGTTGTCGGGTCTGGTCCAGTTGCCGGTACTGGAGGATTGGAGTGTTGGGAGGTTGCCGGGTAGGTAGCTGTATCATACCGAAGTCAGCAATTAAGTCTATGAGAGGGTTAGCAGTAGTATAATTAAATAAGTGCCGGTTGCGCATTTCTTCCCAGAGTGGATGGTGGCGGTTGAAGTCCCCCATCCAGAGCATGTGATCTTCTATAGTAGGGCGGAGGGTCGCGATGTTACTCTCAATGAAGATTTCCAAGGTTTCGAGCGTTGATTGGGATTGGCAGTCGTTGTAGATATTGAAGATGGTGCAATTGCCGTAGGGACCGGATAGCTGAAGGAGCGTGACGTCAGAGGAGGGAAAGGGGATTTGTTTCCATAAGTTAGTATCGAGGGATGCGCTGATAAGCATGATAGCATGGGTACGTTGACGGGGATGAGTGAGGTGTTGCGTGTGGTATATTACATGCCAATGGTGATTTGCGGAGGTGTTGCGTAGGAAGTTGATGTGCGGTTCTTGAATGAGGATGATATCCCAGTTGGAGATGCCGGGGTTGTTGAGAAGGGAGGCCTGGGCAGCCATGGACTTGTTGAGATTTTGCTGCCAGATGCATAGGCGGACGGTGGGTTTGTTACGATGTTCAGGCATTAGGCAAGGACTGGGGAGAGCTGTCTGAGGGGGTAGAAGGGTTAGTGATGTTAGTAGAATTAGTAGAGGAGGAAGAGTTTGGAGGGGAAGCAGCGAGGCAGTTGATGAGTTCAGTGAGAGCGGGGGATTGTGGTTCTTGAGGGGCTTGAGGGGCTTGAGGGGCTTGAGGGGTGCGTGGGTGGGTTGCAGTGCTTGGTCGGAAAGGGATAGTAGTTTGTTTGGAGGTTCTTTGCCGGGGGGATTGGGCTCTGCGAGGTGCAGGGTATGATATTGGGAGTGAGCGTGGTGGTTGGTTGACGTGGGTCTAGGACATCTCCGTCGGGAAGTAGGGCATTGTATTCTCTGGGTATTTTTCATTAATAAGTTCGCAGCATCGAATGAAATCAGGGCAGGAACGGTTCCAACTAGCATGATGGTGACTGTGGCAGTTGACACAGACCGTGGCGCGTGGAGATGAGCATTCGGTGGTGCGGTGTTGGTTGCTACAGGTACCGCATACATCTACCTCTGCAGAACAATTTCGTGCTATGTGCCCATATTTTTGGCATTTAGCACAGCGGATGGGTTCACATCTGTCCTTGCGGACTGCGATACGCTCATTGTTGATACATATACCTTCCTTGAGGATGAGGTTTGCTGTGTGTGGGTCTGTAATGTGAGCCAGAGCGAACGCCTTGCATTGGTTTGTAGATCTGCATTGAGGGGGTTTTATCCATCGGATGGTTGTGATCGAGTTTGCTGGAAGGTTGTTATCTTGCTCCACTGTTCTGAGAAACATTTCATCCTGAATCTGGAGTTGGATGGGGAGATATTCAGCAACGATAGGGTAGGTACGAGTGCGAAACGATACAGCATGATCGAATTGTTCTGTTAGAGCTTCCTTACTTGCCGGCTTGCGAAGCCAATCTGCCAGTGTTTCTGATTCCAGTTCGATTATGAATCCTCCATTGTGTAGTGCAGTGATGGACTTGATGTCACCGGTTGGTGTTTCAGGTTTACGGATGTTGGCGAGGGCTGATTTCATCTTCTTTACCATGTCAGCGTGCAGGGTGTCCGGTGGGAAGAGGCTGTTGCCCAGCGTGGGGGATCCAGTAGGATTTCGCGTGCTCGGATAGCTGCGCGTCCAATAGCTTTGTCGATTGAGGGGGTCAGGTTAGCAGTGACGATGGAGCTGTATGTTTGACGTTGAGGTTGGTTAGTGTCGGTCTCTTCGGTATTCCCGTCGTAATGAGTAGGCACATGCTGGGTTAATAACTGGGTTGATAGGGTGTTGAGGCGTTCCTGAGTGGTGTCGAGCGATGGAGAGAGGAGCTTCAGGGCATTCTGACAGTCTTCAACTGAGGTGTGAAGCTCATCGGCCACCGTTTCAATGCGTGATGCTGAAATTTGCAGGCCGTCATCCATTTCGTCCCTATCATTTACCATGGCTTTGCGGACTGCTTCGGTTCTCTCCACGGTGTCCGAGAGTTGGTCAGAAGCGGTCAGTAGCTTCGCCATTTGTGGTGCCATAGCTCCTACGATGTGCTCAATGATGCGCAGCCGGCCTTGTAGGATCTGTACTGGCCAGCATGTAAGTAATATGGGGACACACCTGTAGAGTGTGGCCAGCCGGCCGTGTAGAACCAACACTGGCCAGTATCTATATAAGAAGGGACATGGCCGTGAATTGTGACCAGCTGATTTCGTAGGGCCAGTACTGGCCAGTATCTATGTGATAAGGGAGATGGCTGTACATTGAGACCGGCCGATTTCATAGGGCCAGTACTGGCCAGTATGAAAGTAATATGGGACATGCCCGTAGAATGTGACCGGCCAGGCTTGTATGAGCAGTACTGGCCAGTATGCAAGTGATATGGGATATGCCCGTAGAATGAGATCGGCCAGACCTGTAGGACCAGTACTGGCCAGTATCTATATAAGAAGGGACATGGCTGTGGATTGTAACCAGCCGACTCTGTAGGGCCAGTACTGGCCAGTATCTATGTGATAAGGGAGATGGCTGTACATTGAGACCGGCTGATATCGTAGGGCCAGTACTGGCCAGTATCTATATAATAAGTGAGATGCCTGTAAATTGAGACCGGCCAATCCTGTAGGGCCAGTACTGGTCAGCATGAAAATGAAAGTTGGTCAGTGCATCAGCAAACTATTAATTTTGTGACAGGTGCCACAGGTCTACAAACTTCACAAACATATAATAAAATATCACACCACTGATGCTACTAATGTGTACATATAATACAAAACAACATAAATATTTGAATTTTAACAAGTATTCCTATCTCTTGCTAACTATGTTCTGACTAAGCTTGTACAACCTGTACAGAGATTTGATAAAATTACTAGTTTTCTAACTTTATTATGGTCTACTATCCTCAAAGCCCTGATTTTGCTGCATATGCTGAGATATATATCAATCTTTACTGTACAAGATCTATTTGACTGAGTGAAATAGGTAAATTAGTTCATCATTCTATTGCAATTATGTGATGTTACTGTAGTGTTATTTATGTAGTAGTAAATAGAATGGTAGTGTTGGAGATAATAATTTGACTAGCCCTGCATGTAGATTGACTTGGTAAAATTTTCGCATTTTTGACATGTGACATTGGGATATATTGGTATTATTGTTAAGATATATAAATGGCCCTGTGGCCTGGTGGTAATGGTGATGCAGTTATAATTGCTGGCAGCCTTTGGTTCAATCCTTGCCAATTGCCAAATATCCTGTATGAAACAGATCATGTGATGTGACATAACATGGTGACATATGTTGGCGGTCCAACCATAGGTGTACGGTCATTAGGTCCTGACGGACTTTGAAAGCTAACCTAGTGGGATCCCTTGGGCCGGCGATTTTTTACATCGCCAGCATACTGTCAGCATCAATGAAGGGCACGACTCCAACCATTCATCCCTCGCCACCTGCATGTCTGACCCCCCAAAGCGTGGCCGCGGGTGTCCAAAAGGTTCCAAGAACCGGCCTGGCGCAAAAAATGTTGGATGGCCCTACAAAAATGGGCAACCAGCCCAGGCTAGGAACACAAAGGATAAAGGTACACGCGGTCCGTCATCTTCAGCATCTGTGCTCCCATTTTTGGCTGACTCGATTTATTTGCTAGATCCATCTCATGTTGCCTTAGCAGGGCCAAGTGCCTCTCTGGCACTAACTCCTAATAGTACTGCGTGAGTTTTTATTTTGTGTTTCAGTATTCTCAACTGATATCTATTATACTCTCAGTGCACCTTGTTCTCCTGAACGGTCCAGTGAATGGCTGCCGTCTCCTTCCGAGTCTCCTTCCTGCCTACAATCCCCCAAACTGGCAACTAATCCTCCTGTTCCATCTGCCGACAATTTGCGCAGCACAAGCGTTGTGACTGTTGTCCCATCTCCTATCCACGAGTCACTGGAAGAGCAACCTGCACTCCCATCCAGCTCGCTGCCACTGCCTTCCCTCGCTGCCAGCTTGCTTGACGCACAATCTGACCCAACAAGCCATTCCCTCTGCGCACAGCCAACTACACCTGAACCTTGCCAACCAATGCCAACCAACAGTGACTTGGAGTGTTGCACTGGCGTCGTATCACGTAGTGCGATGGTGCAAAACCCGTATGGGTCAGATCTCAAGGCTGACAATGTCCATGAAGGGGATGAGGACGAGGATGAGGATATGCTGGAGGAGTTCAACCTCACCTGTGAGGATGCGGACCTCGAGGATGAAGCAGAGAGTACTGGCGACCAGCCCATGACAGTTAATGCAGAGCATGAGATGTCAGCTCTGTCCGCACCAGCTCAAATGGCCAGACAGCATGCACGCCCTACTCTGCCAGCATGGCTGCCAAGTGAGTATCAGCGGCTGCGTGAACGTCTCATTCATGAGATTAAGAATAACTCTTCCCATTTACCCACATGCTATGATCGCCAAACCTTTTTCGACGGACCTGAAAACCCTTTTCTGGTCGCCAAATCAACTTTTCAACTGACTCCTGGTCTCTTCCACCAGCCACGGTTCTTCATATGGCTGCCGCACCTCCTCGTGGATCGTATCCCATGTCCTGCGTGCCTTGATGCTGGCCGTCAGCCTGCTCATGGCTCGTGTGTTTATCTACAGAAACATGGTTTTGCCCAATGCACGCGTCGGGTAGTCGATATTGACTGCAATATATTCATTGTTGGTTACCGATACCTCTGTGGTCACAAAGACTGCCACAAGCACTATCAGAGTTGGACCCCATCAATCCTCCGTGTTTTGCCAGCCCCTGTTGCAGACCAATTTGAGTTCCGGCTCACATATTGAAGTGGGCTGTCAGGTCGCCTCTGTGCACTTCTGCGAGAATCATTTCGAGCAGGAGTTGGCCCTGACCAATTCACAACAATGATTGAGTCTTTTCACTACCGTTGATTTGATGCTCGTCATTGTCAGTTCCTTGAGATGGTGTCCCACCGAAGCAGCAGTGGCTCACTGTCGAGCTGCTGGACAACTGCAAGCCCATTCGGAGAATTTGGGGATCGAGATGGATATGCGGGCTATATTCCCCATGCCCCATACTTTGCCCGATTCTATGACATGCTTGTTGAGGAGTCTGCCCCTGCATCGAAGCAACTTATTGCATCTCTACCTGCTGATATTCTCAAGCAAGACCACAGTTTCAAGGTGACGTAGCACCATCCACTGCTCGATGTGGTCTCTAACCGATGATTGTTGCAGGCTATCAAACGATTGGGCAAGACTGATGGAGTACCTGCATTCAATGCCCTCTTCACAACAATCAATCAATACAGCGAGATACGGTCAATGAATTTCACACCATCAAAAGCCCAGGATGGGTGGGCTCCTATCCTCGCAGCCATGTTGCCGTCATTAGCAAGCTTTGGCCATAGTCCTCCAAAGATTGTCTTCACAGATAACATTCGAGCAGACAAGGACAAGCTCCTGTCAATATTCCCATCATTATCAGCTGGGGTCATCCCTGTGCAGCCTGCGAGTACCCAGGAGCCATTGGTTCTTCCAGAGGACTGGTCATCGATCCCATTGACTACGATGTTCCAGGTCAACCACCGATTTGATATCATCATGAACCAGCACACACCAACCACTCCTGTCATTGTTGCCTTCTCTGTGCAGTGGCCAATTGATGCTGCTACAGGCAAGACTGGACGTGTTGCTTTGATTCAAGTTGCATATCAGAAGGTTGTCTACCTAATACAGGTCAGTCCAAACTCACTTGTGCACCAACTGCAGCTCAAGGATCATGTATCGCACAGACCAGATTATTCATGCAGGATGGCTACATCAGTCTCCCACACTCTCTCCTCATGTTTTTCCAATCTAAGGCCTATCGCAAGGTTGGTGTCAATGTCATGTCGAACCTTCAGCGACTCCAGGGTGATTGCATTCCTGCATGTCGTTCTGTGCTGTTTGCAGGTTCAATTGATGTTGGTCAGATGGCAAGAGAGCGTGATGCTGCCCCAAGTGGTAGCTCAAGAATTGTCACCCTTTGTGCAAATGTCCTTCGCCGTCGAATCACCCGAGACTCAGTGGTATGCATTAGCCCAGCATGGGGGCATTCTGAACTACCATCACAATTTGTTCAGCATGCAGTTCTCGAATCCTATGCTACATGGTCACTCTACCTCACTCTTACAACAGTCAAGGCTCCACAGAACGTCACTGGGTCAACACCAGGTGGCACTGCAGTCACTATGTATGCTCCTGATGGTCGGACAATTGCTCAAGGCCTTATTGCAATCGACCGTCCACTGACATTCAATGGCATCCGTGTCACAAAAACTCGAGTAGTGATGGTTGTCCGAGAAGTTTTGGTACCTGGGTACTTAATATCAGGCAGCCTCCTTGCCTCGCACACTCCAACAGCCTTATCTGCATTTGGACCAGCTCCATTCTCGATCCTCTGCCAGGCTAATCATCTTCAAACATCCTCAGTTCCTCCTCTGCTGGACCCAACTGCTGTTGGGAGCTGTGAAGACCAGACTCCAGTGAATCCTCCTGCCGAGGGTGAAATACTATCTACGGACACTAATGGGGACAGTTTCCAGTCGATTTTTTTGGATGCAGTTGCAACACACCTTGATGCAAGTATTGAGTTGGAGACCGAGCCAGAGCAGACTATTCCTGGCTCATCAATTGATGAGGGTGCCCTGGAGGCAATTTCACAGCTCATCCTTGATATCACAAATTTCGTGCCAGAGAGTGTGGACCTGGTGCGAACACGTATCAAAGGTGACATTTGGCACCTTTTCCATCAGTTTCCGATTTCACTTCACCATGGGCTTCGTCGACCATTTGCACATGCACTCAGCACTGCCATTTTTCTCACAGATGTTAATGACAAACGAGCTGTTACAGAGATACTTGCAAGGCAGAATGTCTCCTATGATGCAAAGTTGATATCAAAGTCAGAGTGGATTCTCACGAGAGTTCGTCGCTATGTTCCACCACCAGAGATACTGTTTAGCTGAGTTGCAGCGGTTGTCAAGACTTATGGGCCACTCAAGGATGCAACGATGGGACAGCCATTGTTCAATGACAAGGCCTGAGATGTCACGAAAAACATTCTTGAACATGTTCGCAATGGATACTACTCTGATCCTCCAGATGTGCCACTCTACTTTGAGATCGGACAAGATAAGGATGGGCTTGCACTGTACCGTTGCTGCCGTGGAACAAATGATGTGGAGGGGGGTGTTCATCAAAATCTGATCTGACGCTTCACATCATTCAATGTTTCAGCTCGTCGTGCTGTGAATATGATTCTAGACTATGCAGTTTGCCATAATATGCAGGTCTGTTTTTCTCTCCCTTCATAGCAAAATACCTCGCTAAAATCACACATTGAAGGTTGGCACCATGAACAGGACTGGCCGTCGATATATTGGCCACTTTGATGTTCCGTTGAAGAATCGTGTAGCCTCACTGTGTCAGCGCACATCACATGCTCTTTCTGACGATACTGGTGTGCTTTCGAGTGGATGGGTCAATGGTGATGACTATGAAGAGATGCAGGAACCATTTGGGATACTGCCTTTTGATGACGACACACTGAAGCACAGCGGGATGCTTCCATTCAGCAGCATGTTCGTGAAGGAGAACGATATTCGTTATGTCCACCTCAGTCAGATGCAGGTCACACGATTCGCAGTGCTTCCCGTGCACTCTTGTGAAGAGCGGGCCTTGTTTCAAGCCTATGCAGAATCATCTCCGATGTTTGCTGGTCCACAGCAGCCTGATTTTGTTGCACTCGCTTCACTCATGAATGGACATGCTGATGGGACTCATATATTCTATAAGGTGAGTTAGGCTACCATCCACCATTGCATCTGTGTTTGAAGCATCTCTCCACAGCTTCCAGAACACATCAAGACACACTACAAGACATGGCTCGACTACAGCAATAAGAAGTCGTCCGTCACCCTAAGTGCAGATGCGACACGAAGAATACGGACCTTACTTGAATTCCAAGTTGGATCTCCACAATCAGTCCCCACTGCTCTCCCGCAGCAACTTGCTGACACCATAAATGCTCCCACAAATCCTTCGCAGACTTCTGAGAATCCTTGGCAACTTGAGAAGCTGCTTGCAGACCATCGCCTGGCACAATCTGCGCTCCAGTACAGCTATGGGGATCGCAGGGATGAAGTACAGGCAATGAGTCATGCAGCATCAGCGAGGAGAGTCCCAGAGGCAAGCAGATCAGAAAAATGCGCTGCTCCAACAGTGGGTGATGACGGCCATGGACCATCACGAAAGAAGAACAAACCACGAACTTGCATGCATTGTAAGAGCACAGAGTGCAAGGGCAGATGGGCAGTGAAAAATTGTGCTGTGAAGATGCACGAGATCCAGGTATGTGTATTGATATGGTGTGGACGCCAGTCAACGATTGATTTTGCTGTATGCTGCCATAGCAACGCGCTGAAACACAGAGTCGACGCAACACAACAGCAGCAGCATCTGTAGTGAGTGGCTCGAATGTCATGTTGGATGCAGACACTGCAGTTTCTGAGTCGTGTGGACAAGTTTGATTCACATTTGTGCAGTCGTTGGAATACCTGCTTCTTTCCCTCCTCGAATTAATTTTATTTAATTTATTTAATTTTTGAGTGTACCGTACACCTTTAGGTTGATCGCCCATATGTTTTGGTATTTGTGCTTCGAAATCCACAAGCTTGTACAAGCCTGCACAGGGGGGACTTAGCTGTAGGTTCTGTGAGTCTGTACAAACCTGTACAAGCTTGTACAATGCTGTATAGACCCCCAGTAGTTTGCTGATGTACTAATTATGGGGGTCGTAGAAACCTTGTCAAGCAAGGTAATAAGTTGCCTCACAGTCAAGGACATTATGACACTGCATGATTATGTAATTTCAGGCTTATTATATTTGATTTCATCAAGGGGATCTATATAGTTACCACATTATATCTTAATTTCACAATTTTGACCGCTGACTTCACAACACCTAAAATATCACCCATTTTAGTAACTCTCCAAAATATCAACCTCTCTATGTCATCCTTGTTTCCACTACACCACAATCATTTTTCTTGTGCATCTAAGTAGTGGTTTATGTTATATATGTGTAATATAATATAATAGACCACTGATTTCTGTCCATGTGCTTCCTCTAGGTCTATAATTGCTGTGTCTGGTGATAACATGGAAAAACATTTTGCATTTTTGCTTGTGTGATAGGAGGGTGTCCTGGAAGGTATAGAACATGTTCAGGAGTGTATATCAATTCATTCCACTGCTTGTTTGACCCTCTGAAGTTCCTGTGAGCTCCCAACATCAACATGCATAGCATATATATATGAAATACAAAATTAGTTTCCATTTTCGAGTTTCTAGCTATATGTAGTTGCAAATACTCTCCAAAGCATCAGTTCAACATTGTGAACAATATTTCAGCAGCTCATGACAGCAGGTGAAGCCCTTGTGGTGCTGTGTGACTACCCTCTCCTGATGATTCACTCTTTGGGAATTTTCTTCCAGTAGGAACACAGCTCCAAGATGGTATAATTATCATTCCTAAACATATTTAGAGTGTTTTAATAAAGCTGGCATCACAGGATACCCACAGAGGCCTTATACATAGACCAAAACCTCCAAACATGCATTTTTGGTGTTTTTCACTAGTTTAGCTTTTCATAACTTGTCCAAGCTGTTCATATATCATCATTAGTACATACTTACATGATTTCTATGCCCAGGATCAGTTAGATATAGGCCAGGATATTAGGATCTAGTAGAATAGAGCTATTTTTACTGATAAGAGGCCACAGCCTTCCCTAGGTCAGAATTTGATGATCAGACATTTGGAATACATGTCTAACACATTCATAATAATAGCCCTAAATTTGTAGAATAATCCACCCAGACCCTAGTGAATGGCAAGCAAAATAGACATGTCATAGGGCGTGAGAAAGTAAAAATGGCAAAACATCGAAAGTCACCAATTGGTGAGTACATATGGTACTGGGATTATACCATAGTATCTATCTAATTTTGCATCACATACATCATTTTCTTTACCATATGCTCAATCTTGAATGGATCTTTATAAGACTTTGGGACTATGCTCACGAATGTATTGGACATATATTCCAAGGGCCTGATCTTGAACATTTCTCCTGGGGAAGCCTCTTGCTCCTTATCAATAGACATTGATTTTCGGTGATTTGACACTATTAATTTCCCACACTTTGTGACATATCTATTTTGCCTGCCATTCACTGGGGTGTGGGTGGATTATTCTACAAATTTAGGGCTATTATTATGAATGTGTTAGACATGTATTCCAAATGTCTGATCATCAAATTCTGACCTAGGGAAGGCTGTGGCCTCTTATCAATAAAAATAGCTCTATTCTACTAGATCCTAATATCCTGGCCTATATCTAACTGATCCTGGGCATAGAAATCATGTAAGTATGTACTAATGATGATATATGAACAGCTTGGACAAGTTATGAAAAGCTAAACTAGTGAAAAACACCAAAAATGTGAAATGTACATCACCTCACAACTTCACCGGGCTTACAACAAAGCAGGCTATATTATTATTGTACTGAATATATCCTACACAGATATCCAGTATTGACTCTATTAAAGACTCTCTCTGCATCCTGAAACTAGTTGTGGACGGAGAAGACTAGATGACCCATAACTTACTAGGACAGGTTAAAGCTGTGTTGCTCAGTCATGTGACTTATTTAAGCAGCGGTTGGTCATGTGACTTATTCACAGGGACGAAAACTGGCATGGAGGCTGAAGCATTTATCAAGTTAGGAGTAGTACATGATTAAATAAATGTAAAGTAAAGTAAACAACAAAAATGCTAAGCTATCAAAGAGTAAACTAGCTAATACAAGACCGCGGCAGAGGGGCCCTCTCCACCTTGGTCTTGTACAGCAAACTACTACAAGAAATAGAAAATATATAAAAATTAAAGCAGGAACAGTCTGTGGACGCGGGTCAGCATCTGTGACGTGATTATGGATGAAAATTACCTTGTTATCAATCCCCTGCCCCAATATTGATAAAGGAGGGTGGATAGGTGCACCAGCGTGCACACAACACCACCCTCCAAGCCCCCAGAATGTAGACAACATGGAGACTAGGCGCACTGGTGTGGGCACTAGACCTCCATGTCATCATAGTGATGAAGGAGGGTGGATAGGCGCACCGGCGTGCACACTAAACCACCCTCCAAGCCCCCAGAATGTAGACAGCATGGAGACTAGGCACACTGGTGTGGGCACTAGACCTCCATGCCATCATAGTGATGAAGGAGGGTGGATAGGCGCACCAGCGTGCACACTAAACCACCCTCCAAGCCCCCAGATTACCCAAGTGCCCATGCCCAATATTCATGAAGAAGAGTGATTAGGTGCACCGGCGTGCACACTATACCACCCTCAAAGCCCCCAGTGCCCATAAAAGAAATTGAAAGATACCCCATTAAAAATTGACCAAGTTAGTATTGAACAAAAGACCAATACAGACTGACCTAGGTATGAGCATGCCAGAGTGACTCAGTGGCCCATTACCCATGAGCAGACTGCAGTTCTGCTCATGGGTAATGAGATCAGGACAAAGGAATACAAGGATGAATAGAAGAATGAGTGAAAAGAAAGAGGATGAACTGCAAGAATCAAACATGTTCAATTTGTGCATGTTTGTTAATCAACCATAGTCATGTGACATTTAAACACGTATTGTATTGATCAACAAACATAGTCACATGACATTAAAACGCGGAAGGAGGAACTTGGGTAGACCGTGGGAACTTTTTCGACAAAAACCAAAGTTGTAGCCTTGGTCAAGGGGAGTCTATTCATAGTCTTATGACATCAATTGGTTAAGATCCTAATAAGATATAAGCAAAATACTCGAAAATGGAGGGTTCAAGAAAGCACTTTGACTGTGGGAACTTTTTTGGTAAAAATCAAAGTTGTAGCCCTTGTCAAGGGGAGTCTATCTGTGGTCTTATGACATCAATCTGATAAGACCATAGTGAGTTATAAGCAAAATACTCAACAATTAAGAGTTCAAAAGTGTTAAGGTATATCTTATGTACATAAGCAATAATGTGGTCCTATAGCCTCTGGCTGGTCAGTATCTACGTCCATGCTCCCTCTCACTTGAGATCTGGCCAGCACTGGTCCTACACCTCTGGCCGGTCAGCATCTACAGCCATGCTCCTTCTCACTTGAGATCTGGCCAGCGCAGATTCTATGACACCGGCCAGTCAGTATCTACAGTGTTGCTGCTTCTCACTCACTGCAGGCATTTTCCCATTTTCCTCCACCAAACATTCAAAAAACATTGATTGAGAAGATAGAAATTTCCCCTCATTTTTCTTATCAAAACATTGAAAAAAAAGAAATTCATGTTTCAATGATATTCTGTGCATAGGACATGATGCAAAAATTTATTATGTTCCTTCAAGAATAGTCCTGTATTTTCTATCTATTGTCTTTGAAATAACAGCTTAAAATAATGTTGATTTTCTTCTGTGTTCTTCAAATATACTATGTTTTCAAATGTTCTGTGTATATTTGAAAAACATGGAAGAAAATCAACATTATTTTAAGCTGTTATTTCAAAGACAATAGATAGAAAATACAGGACTATTCTTGAAGGAACATAATAAATTTTTGCATCATGTCCTATCGCACAGAATATCATTGAAACATGAATTTCTTTTTTTTCAATGTTTTGATAAGAAAAATGAGGGGAAATTTCTATCTTCTCAATCAATGTTTTTTGAATGTTTGGTGGAGGAAAATGGGAAAATGCCTACAGTGACTTGGGATCTGGCCAGCACTGGTTCTACAACACCAGTCGGTCAGGATCTACAACCTTGCTTCCTCTCACTTGGGATCTGGCCAGCACTGGTTCTATGACACTGGCCAGTCAGCATCTACAGCCATGCTCCTTCTCACTTGAGATCTGGCCAGCACTGGTTCTACACCTCTGGCTGGTCAGGATCTACGACCTTGCTCTCTCTCACTTGGGATCTGGCCAGCACTGGTTCCATGACACTGGCCGGTCAGGATCTACGACCTTGCTTCCTCTCACCTGGGATCTGGCCAGCACTGGTTCTACGACGCTGGCTGGTCAGGATCTACGACCTTGCTTCCTCTCATTTGGGATCTGGCCAGCACTGGTTCTATGGCGCCGGCCGGTCAGGATCTACAGTCTTGCTCTCTCTCACCTGGGATCTGGCCAGCACTGGTTCTACAATGCCGGCCGGTCAGGATCTATGACCTTGCTTCCTCTCACTTGAGATCTGGCCAGTGCTGGTTCCATGATACCGGCCGGTCAGGATCTACAAGCTTGCTTCCTCTCATTTGGGATCTGGCCAGGTTCTATGACACCGGCCGGTCAAGATCTATGACCTTGCTTCCTCTCACTTGGGATCTGGCCAGAACTGGTTCTACGACACCGGCCAGTCAGCATCTACAGCCATGCTCCTTCTCACTTGAGATCTGGCCAGCACTGGTTCTACACCTCTGGCTGGTCAGCATCTACGGCCATGCTCCCTCTCATTTGATATCTGGCCAGCACTGGTCCTGCACCTCTGGCTGCTGTCAGATATTACTGTATGTAGAATTAGCATTGGCCAGAATTTCCTCTACATGCCGGCCAGTACCATATCTACATAAATTTAGTACAACCGGCCAGCCTCCGGCTGCACAGGTTCTACGACCATTTGGCACGTCTGGGGTACTGGTTCTACGTAGGGTTTTGACTGAACTATGTGGCCCGTACCCATACAGTGTGCTGTGAATGCCCGGATTTACCTTCAAGTAAGTGACACATGCATCTAAGCAACGACACAGGATTAAGTTGACATTGTTGCAGAGTCAATCGACGAAGTGATATATGGAAACAAAAGAAATCACCAAAAAGCTTTCCTTGAGCTGCCCGACAAGATACTATCTTGCACCATGCTTCGTTGACTATATATGTGGAAGTCTGACTCATTTATAACTCGATACCATCAACTTGATAACTATTAGTGTACTTTATACAAATGTCCAGACCCAAGCTGCTAGCACTGCATTTGCCAAATTCATGACCTCATATGTACGATGACATCACAAGTATTTTCAAAGCAGAGGCGCTGCAGATATTCATTTGATTGATGTATGCATCACGACAAATACTTCATTTCTACTCGTTCGGAGCCACAGGAACAAACGGACCTTCCTCCGTCGGCGTGCATGGATGCTAGGTGTAAGAGTACTAGTGGCGCTTCAGCATATTCAAATTCCCCAAGCTTTGGTTTGACCACTGGCAAGATCAAGCACCGTTTCTCGCAGCCCGGCCTCCGTTCCCCTCCTTGTACCTGACGCGCCATTCATTCCTTTCGAGCCACATTGGCACAAAGCAGGGATGGGATGGGATCCTTTGGGTCAGGAACGAGTCTAGATGCAAGTTAATTAGTTCCTAGAGTGTATCAAGGAGCAGGTCAAGACAGAAATCACAGCCATATCCTCAAACGCGAACACCAATCTCGTAAATGCTGACTGTCGAAAATTGAATCCAGACAGCTGATTGTTTGAGATTCTCACGAATTGTACAGGAATCTACAGGAATGTTTGCTCATAAGTTCGCCGTCGTCCAGTACGTCACCTGGATCACCATTATAAATAGCAATCCACTCCGGGTGTCGGACCAACCCGCCTTTTGGGTCGAAACAGTGATCTTGGCAGTCGGAAGTGTACATGCCGGTCGAAGCTACTAGTATATGTTTGAATGCTGTCGTATCCTGGCGGTGAACTTGTACCCTTTTTGACTCCGCATGCAACAGTCAGTTAATTGAACAGTTTAAATCATACACATACGTTGGTGTTTATCAATGCGACTGCGAAACACAGTTCATCCTACTAAGCACGACCGTAAGAGTTTGAAAGTGCCGAACGAGATAGTCGACGCCATCTAGACTGGACTTGGGTGAATGAGTGTGGAGGGAAGGATATTGGGTCGCAGGGAGTTAGAGCTTATCCTGGACGGAATCTCACAAGGAAAAGCCCACCTTGAACTTTAGAACAGATGATTTGATCAAGTGGGGGCCTAAACGCGAAGACCAAAGTTCTCTGGATGCAGACTCCCACATATACAAGATTGGTACCCGCAGATAGGCATGGCTATATATGAAATATAGGGAATCCTGTCATGGCAGGAACTCGAGTCTGTGACTCAGAGTAGGATGAGTTATACAATCGCAGGTTGGGCAGTGCTGTCTGAGCTCGGATCAAAATTCCCAAAAGACGTATGCCAGACTAGTCACGAATCACGAATCTAAGTGCTGGCACAGGTTTCGTGTCCTCGATTCCCATATTCGAGTTATATGCATACGCGGGAGACAGACTAGTACTACGTTGAAGTAGGAGACTGCACATTCGGGGTCTCCGCGGTCCAAACACTAGTCAATACGTAGACTCACCGTCATCATGATCATGTGGCTTGTCTGTCTTGCTTTGGCTCAGGCCGCTGGCCCCTGCTCCCACTTGTAAATTTTGTAGTCTGCCAATGACTTCTTTTGCCTATCCGACGGACTCGCTCGTACAGGATGAAACCTTACTGCAACATGATACCATCAGGATCAGTCTGTACAATCAGAAATAGCGTGTCACAGGCTTATTGTCTCCTGTGTGCAATTTCTCTTTCGATTTGAGGATGGTGTCGTATAGGTATTCAATGTTCAACGTTGCATCAATCATGATGCTATCTGGCAGTGCAATATGTTACCATCATAGCAGTGCACAATGGATTGAATATGGTGCGCTTTGGATTGGATTCGTTCCATACTTGCCTTCTCTTTGTTTTTGATATAATCATAATGGCCAAATGATCCAAGTGCACGAGGTGCTGCGCCGCAGAATGGCCCTTGTTCCATAAGAGTAATCGGAGGGCTGTTCCGCCTCAGGCTCAGTGAAGCCGAAGAACGTGCTCGTACTTGTTTCGATCACACCATGCTTTGACCTGTGTTAGATCGCTGACTACATGATTATCAGGCACTCCTTCATTTTTTCAAGCTTGCAGCAGAAACGCCTCAAAAATCACATTGGAGATATATTGTTACATAAGTGGTCGGCGTCACCGATGACTGGAACTTTCCTGAGAAGTGCAAGTAGTCACGTGCGTACTAGCAACACTGGTTGGTTCGGAAATAAAAATTTACTTTGATTCGATCAAGGGGTTCAACGTGCTTTTGATTCACTCAGGCTGTTCCAAGGGTCTTGAGGCGGGACTAAATGTACATTTCCATTACACTGATTTGGGCGATAGAAATGCTATATCTAGCACAAATGCTGTCGTTATACACCACCAACCTTCCCCACTCGCTCACACCCATCCCTCGAACATGACCTACGTCTCAAATGATTCCAGTTACTGGCCGCAAATCAGTGAAAATATTGTTGTAAACTATTGGATAGGTTTGTCGCCTCAAGATGTCTGGATCCAACGTTGACTTGCGGTTTTGCAGTTGCTGCTGGCATTGTGGTGGTATACGATTGGGGTGAGCAGGACAGTGTGCGAAAATCATTGATATTCTCATGGTATTTCCAGTCTTAACACTCGGACAAGAGGTACGTCGATATTATCGCCGGAGCAGCTATCTCACTGAGAATCGCGTCTTAGATTGAACTCATCTGGGTGAGTGACAAGAGTCTCGTATCAGAGGAAAACAAGAGCATGCGATGAATTCACGACAGAAACAACGCTTATCTCTCATGACCGTGTTGTATTTCATTGTTCGTACTCGTGTTGCGCTTTAGCGTGGTGAGCACCTTGTGCTGACTCCAAAATGTTCTAGATACGCTATATTGGAATACCGTATTCTGTGTATGTGTCGAGATCAACAACTTTGCACTGTGCTAATAGCTCATCTCTGACAACTAGTGTCTCTCTTCTGCGTATGTCTCATATGCGCTGTGTTCCATTTTTCTGACCGGCGATACACAGAAACTATGCCATCGGTATCGCTTACAGATGCAGTAAGTATTCTACAACCATCTCATTGCCATCCAATCAATACGCTCATATGCAGGGGTGAGCGAGATTCAAACCATTGAACTTGGCTCAACATAATGACTCAATATTAGGTGTAAGTCGGAGTCTTTGATACTAATGCGACGGTGTTCAATAATTGGGAGTTTTAGGTGCTATAATATACTCTGCAGTAGGTGGGACAAATGTGACCTTGTTTGCCATGTTTGGCGGTAAGAGACTCAGATGCAATACCTCTGCGATATTGACCTGACTGACACATGATGCAAGTGATCATGATTGCTCGGTTACATGCCATGTATCAGGGATCTAGAACGATCCTTATCTTCCTTGTTATTATCTTTCTGGCTATCAACATCACCTGCGGAGTAATCGCGGCAATAGGATTCAACAATGTTGTAGCAGGTAAGTTTTACTTGTTGACTTGAAGAATACGGCTCATTGGGAAAACACCAGAGGAGTTCATACTCTCTGGCACGTATATGTGCTATTATGGACTTGATGGGGACGAGCAGCTTCTGTTTTCGATGGCTTGGACGATCAGCACTGTTTGGGAGGTCGTCGCATTGTGTCTTTCAGTTTGGGCTGCTGTGAAACACTTCCGTGAGCTGCGACGACTCGGCCCATCGACAGGATCGACCATCGGGGACTGTTTCAGGGTGCTCATACAATCTCATGTTCTTTATTTTGCAAGGTGAGCTTGTAATGTGAACACGGTTATATTTTTCTGCTTAAGTGCTGCACATGTTAGCTATGTTTGTGTCTCTTGCTTGCAGATTGCTGATCTCTCTCCAGAAATATCGGTGCGCTGACCTGTCGCTGATATCTGCGTGCAACCACTGCTCATCATTTCTGTAGAATTCGCATTCTATTGGAGTTCAGATACTCGGAGGTGCCGCTCAAATTTTATTGGTCGTGCAGATGTTTGTACTGGGACCACGCCTCGTCCTGAGCGTTCGAGAATACCACGCCAAACTCGTGGCATACTCCGACGTGGAAACTAGCATGAGATCGATTGTTTGCCGGGAGCATGTACATGTATCGACTAGCAGTACTGTGTAGGGACATGCTTTCTGAGTGGTCTGTAGGGAGGAGAAATTTGGTGGAGGATTCGTCGTGGTATTCATCTAGCATATTGGGTTTCGAAGTATGTTCAAAAGGTCCAGGCAAACCTATTTAAACTTGTTGTATCACTACTGGAACGAAGCACCCGCGCTTGAACTAAGTGGTAAGGGGAAATTATCCGGAACGACTAGCAACCAAACTGGTCCTTGATAACCGATGTTAAAATACAACGAGAATCAGTGAAAGTGCCTACCCTAACAGCTGAGCGCTGATTTTTGATTCCACAGACGCCAAAGGTAGCGCCGCGGGCTTTAAATAAAATTTAGACAAACTTCAACATTTGGGCTGGGACCATGCATGAAGACCCCGCGTACACCTCTTTCGTGTTATGTTGGGTGCGCGAATGCAAACTCTTGTTTTATTTATTCATTGTGCCCAGTATCGTGTCTTCAGCCTCCTGCCTCAAACGGTCAATTCTTCTTTTGCACGATGGTCATAACCAGCAGTGCTTTAGTATTTACTGAACACAGTCGGTGACCAACGTACTTCAGCAAACAAGTCTGCGACCACACCGAAATTGGCCCTGCCAGGTCTCACTGCCATCTATCCTGTTACAAACCGTTTGTTCGCAAAGCACCCCGACCATTTTGTACTTTATAACAACAATGCATTCCACGACCGGCAAAGCACCTTTGAACTTCGACCCTTCGAGAAGTTGTTTTCGACCCTCGGTTTGGTTTCTTCGTCGATAGCAATTTCAAAAGCCTTAATTCGTCGCCGTAATGTGGTGTTGCCACTGGTAACTATATCATAACTTTCATGTATTTAACACTCAATGGCACTGATCTGTGCCAACACAGGATGGACCTAAACTGGAACGAACACGATACGATCGTGATGGGCCTTCTGGCGTGTTGTAGGTTTATTGTCTCCCGCGTACAATTTCCCCCGATGGTGTCGCACAAGTATTCAACATATTTCAATCACGAATCAGCATGTATCAGACAGTACGATACATCACCATGACATCAAGTGCACGATGCATTGAACAAAGTGAGCTTTCCATCGATCATCATCACTCTTCGTTCATCGTTTTGATATGATCATGATAGCCTAATGATTCAAGCGTACTAGGCGACGGATATATCCGACTCACTCTGCCACGGTTTCTTGTTTGAGTTCCGCAGAATGATTAATGAACCTTGTTCCATAAGAGTAATTGGAGGGCTGTTACGCCTCGGGCTCAGCCAGCGATGCCGAAGAGTGTGTTCATACTTCTTCCACGCATATCACACTTTGACCTGTGTTAAATCGAAGACTACAGGATTTCATAGGGAATCCTTCAATTTTTGCAAGCTCGCAGCAAAAACACCTCAAAAATCGCGTTGGAGATAAGTACCAAGTTTCCGACATCACAAACAAGTACTAGTCCCGTGCGTAATACTGATTTGGAAATCAAAATCTACTTTGATTGCCGGCTTTTTGATCGATTTCGCACCATCAAGGGTCTTCAGGCGTGGCCAAATTTCCATTGCAACCATGCTGATTTTGGTGATACAAGGGCTAAATGGTGGTATATCTAGCACGAACGCTATCGTCATACATCACTGAAATTCCCACTCGCTCAGCAATCCCTCGAACATGACCTACGTCTCAAATGATCCCAGTTACTGGCCGGATATCAATTTAGATATTTTTGTCAGCTATTGGACAGGTTTGTCGCATCAATATATCCAGATCTAAAGCTGACTTGCGGTTTCTCAGTTGCCGCGGGCGTCGTGGTGGTATACAATTGGGGTGAGCAGGACAGTGTTCCAAAATCGCTGATGTTCTCATCATATTTCCAGTCTTAACACTCGGACAAGAGGTACGTCGATGTCATCGCCGGAGCAGCCAACTCGCTAAGAATGGTGTCATAGATTGAACTCATCTGGGTGAGTGACAAGGGTCCCGTATCAGAAGAAAAAAGCAATGAATTCAGGACAGAGACAACGCTGGTCTCTCATTACTGTGCTGTATTTGATTGTTCGTATTTCATGTTGTCCTTTAGCGTGGCGGGCAACTTGTGCTGACTCCAAAATGTTCTAGATACGCTATATTGGAATACCGTATTCTGTGTATGTGTCGAGATCAACAACTCTGCACTGTGCTAATGGCTCATCTTGACGATTAGTGCCTATGTTCTAAGTATGTCTCATACGCTGTATTCCATTTTTCTGACCGGCGGGACACAGAAATTATGCCATCAGTATTGCTGACAGATGCAGTGAGTATTCTGCAAGCATCTCATTTCCGTCCAATCAATACGCTCATATGTAGGGGTGAGTGAGATTCCAACTATTGAACTTGGCTCAACATAATGTCTCAACAGGTGTAAGTCGGAGCCTTTGATTCTAGTGCGAGGGCGTTCACTAATTGCGAGTTTTAGGCGCTAACATGTACTACGCAATAAATGGGATAGGTGTGGCCTTGACTGCCATGTTGGGCGGTAAGTTGCCCAGGTGCAATACCTCTGTGATATTGACCTGACTGACACACGACGCAAGTGATCATGATTGCTCGGTTGCATGCCATGTATCAGGGATCTAGAAAGATGCTCATATTCCTTGTTATTATCTTCCTGGCTGTAAACATCGCCTGCGGGGTGATCGCGGTAATAGTACTGAAGGATACTGTAGGGGGTATGCTTAACTTGTTGACATGAAGAACACGGCTGATTGGACAAACACCAGAGGAGTTCATACTCTCTAGCACATATGTGCTATTATGTATATGGAAGGGAGGAGCAGCTTCGTATTTCGATGGTTTGGATGCTCGAAACTGTTTGGGAGGTCCTTGCATTGTGTCTTTCAGTTTGGATTGCTGTGAAACACTTCCGTGAGCTGCGACGACTCGGCCCATCGACAGGATCGACCATCGGGGACTGTTTCACAGTGCTCATACAATCCCACGCTTTTTATTTTGCAAGGTGAGCGTGTAATGTGAACGCGGTTCTATTTTTCCGCTCAATTTCGGCACATGTTAGCTTTGTTGGTGTCTCTTGCCTCCAGCTTGCTAATATCTCTCCAGAAATCTGGGTGCGTTGACCTGTGGCTGATATCTGCGTGTAATCACTGCTCATCATATCTGTAGAATTTAAGTTCTATTGGAGTTTCGATACTCGGCGGTGCTGTTCAAATTTTATTGGTCGTGCAGCTGTTTGTGCTGGGACCACGGCTCATCCTTAGCGTTCGTGAATACCACGCCAAACTCGTGGCATACTCGGACGCGGAAACTAGTATGAATTTGATTGTTTTCCAGGAGCATGTACATGTATCGACTAGCAGTACTGTGTAGGGAAATGCTTACCGAGTGGTCTGCAGGCAGGAGAAATTTGGTGCAGGATCCGTCGGGGTATTACTGAACATATGGTGTTTCGAAGTATATTTAAAAGGTCTATGCAAAGCTATTTCTTGTTGTATCACTACTGACACGAAGTACCTGCGCTTGAACCAAGTGGTAAGCTGAAATTATCCGAAACGACTAGCAAGCAACCTGATCCTTGATGCATTGATGACCGATGTTACGATACAACGAGAATCAGTGAAAGTGCCTTGATAGCTGTTTCTGAGAAGTTCTGCACGTTGGTAGTCCACTGTCCGAACGTGAATATGGGGTCCGCTGAGTGGAGAGTGGAAAATCATAAAATGTCAGAAGGGTTCAAGCGTAGATATGAAACTACTGATGAGGCATCGACCAAGATATTCTGTTGGAGACCTTGTTAAGCACGACCATCAGAGCAAAGCACCAAACGAGATACAGACATGCCAATATGTAAGCTGTTGCAACGACCAATAAGGAAAACAACTTGTGGGTGCCGGTGACCGGTGATATATTTATGTATCGCATCGATAAAGCCCCGCACCAAATAGAACCACGATGGATGAAAGAAGGATGGCCTAGAATAGATGCCGAGCTAGATAAGGTATGGATGACGATGTGAATCCTGGAAGAAGCACATATTAGGACGACGACACGAACGAGGAACAACGAAAGTATGTCATCGGGAATCAGATCGCCGATTTTGTTATTCCGTTTTCTATTTATCCCGATCGAGCGAATTGCGAACCTACCAAGGCGTGTCTGGGAGGCCTTAAATAGTCTCTACATGGACCTCCTCGCCGATGGACCTTCTCCGCAATCAACTTCTATACCTCACCTTAGCTTACTCATGCCTTGCAACAGTTCATCACAGTTTTCCGTTGACTGGCAGCGCGGCTCTTAGCGTATTGCAATACACTTCATGTGCACCGATGGCGGTGTGCCACTTCAGAATAGAGTGAATTGTGTCATGCCGGAAGTACTAATCGTGTCATACCTAGTAACTCCCGAGCACATTGTCCAAACCGTGCATCAATTTACATTCAGGATCCTGGCGATCTGGCGAGTCCAGACAGGCGACACAAGGAAATCCACAAATTTTTCTCCCTTCCACACATCATCTGCTCAAGTACAAAGCACACGATATCCAGATGTATTATCGTGCGGATGTTATAACTAGTAACGTGTCGCTGAGATAGATCAACGATATCAAGTGTGATTAGTTCTAAAAAAGAAACTGACAGTTTGAGTATATCGCAAAAGCATGTAGCAAACACATCAGGCCTCGGGCATGGTGAGTGGGGAGTAGAGAAGAGAATCGGGTTTTTACGTTGCAAGGTACCCATCACACCTGAGAAAGTATCAGCGAGGAGCCAATCATGAAATTTTAGGACCCACGTATACATTCTTGATCAATGTAGCGCCACCCATACAACTGCAAATCATGCGTCAGATGTGTATTAGGGTACTTGCAACGATCTGTTTCCATCTTCTCGAGTAGCACGGCTGTTAGAGTAAAGCACCGAACGAGATGGATATGTACATACGACGAACTCATTGATGTTGATCACAGTCGCTCTGGTGCGAAGAGATGAGCATTTGAAAGTATACACTTCACCAGGTCGTTATCTGCTCGCCTAGGTAGTACGTTAGCGGCGTGTCCGAATCTGAGCCCGACAGTTAATATATCGGAATTCCATACTGGTGAAAACTACTGTCTATCAGCGAATACATATACCAAAGGAAGAAGTGCGCACGATCTATAGAAGCTAAGATGGCCTGTGGAGGAATGGCTAAGTCGCATCCACTGCATCATCATCCATCTGGTCCGTTCAAGTGGGGCCCGATGTGACTATTCCATGGACCAAGGAAAGTAGAAGTGGCGTGTCTGAGCTCGGATAGCTGATAATCCGAGTATTCGATATATTCATGAATGCCCTGGATTGCCATTTGAGCACGATGCATGCAGAACGAAAAAGAACTGACCATGATTGCAGACTCGTGTATTGGGCATGTATGGCCTGTCGAAGTTCTACTAGTAGCATGTCCGTCAGCGTGAAATCTCGAACGAGGGTATCATATACGTACATGACAATTCGGAGTGACATTGGAGTAGCGTGTCGAAGTCCAAGTGGCCGATAAAGATACACGAAAGCAACTGACCATCTGTCTGAACAAAAAGAATGACCGTGATTCATAAAACCCAGATGACCGATGACACCATGACATTGAAGAGGTTATCACAGCATGGGGTCATCAGCCACCTGAACGAACAAACAGAGAGTGAAGGGCCTGGAAAGGAAAAGTAGCGCGTCTGTGATCAGGTACTAGTTGATAGAGGAAGAAAAAACTCAATATGATGTGTGCGAGCACAATGAAAGATGTGAAAGGGTGGGCTCCAGAGCGGTAGTAGAATGATCCTGAGCGCGAGGAATAATGTTTGGGGAGGATCTATCACAGGAGCAACACTTTAGTCTCATATATATACTTGAGTACTATGTCGCAGGCAGACCAAATACGACAGTCGTTCCTTTAGCTTCGATGGCATAGTGCATGTCCGTCGACCTTCATGCGCGGGTAAATTCTCGTCTTCCATGACCGATGCGGGCGGTGTAACAAGAGAAATTGGCACAGGTGTGAATTCCGGAACAGCGTTGCTTGCAGAGCTGGAAGGTTACAGTAGGTTGGTTCATTTTTTGACTCCGCAAACGCCGAAGGTAGCGCCGCGGGCTTTACATAATTAAAATTTAGACAAACATGGAGGCCCAGCAACCACCTTCGGTCACGACCAGTAACGACCAGTCACGATCGGTCACGTCGTGACCCGACCGTCGTTTTTGCCGTTTGAAACGATACTTCGACTCTCGTATTATGTTTGGTGCGCAAATGCAAACTCTTGTTTTATTGATTCATTGTGCCCAGTATCGTGTGTGGCTTTAGCCTCCTCCCTCAAACGGTCAGTTTTTCCCCTGGACGATGGTCATGACTCATAACCAGCAGCGCTTTACTGAACACAGCCGGTGACCAACGTGCTTCAGCAAACAAGTCTCCGTGCGCCTGCAACCGCAGCGAAATGGCCCTGCCATGTCACACAGTCACCTATCCTATCACTACTCTATTTCAAAATTTCCTCGCCCCCGACTGTCTATTCGGTGGGTCGATCGAGCTGTGATTTGTGATTCGCTGTTACAAACCGTTTGTTTGCATAACTACATCATAACTTTCATGTATTTAACACTGGATGGACCTAAACGGGAACGAGGGATCTCACTCTTACAGGATGGATGGTTACTGAAACACAATGCCATCGATATGAGCTTGTACAATCAGAAATCAGTCTTCTAGCGTGTTGCAGATTTATTGTCTCCCGTGTGCAATTTCCCCTGACGGTGTCGGATAAGTGTTTAACATCTATCAATCACGAATGAGGATGTATCTGGCAGTACAATACATCTGCATCACCATGACATCAAATGCGTTTTGTACCGAATTCGCTCTATGCTTATCATCACTTTGTTCATCGTTTTGATAAAATCATGATAGCCCAATGATTCAAGCGTACCAGGCGACGGATGAGGTGAGATATTTCGACCCACTCTATCTCGATTTCTTGTCTGAGTTCCGCAGAATGACACTTGTTCCATAGGAGTACTAGTAGGGCTGTTGCGCCTCGGGCTCAGCCAGCGACGCCGAAGAGTGCGTACATAATTGCTCACACACATCACATGTAACACTTCGACCTGTGCTAGATAATACTGAATTGGAAGTCAAAATCTATTTTGATTGCCGGCTTTTTGTTTTATTTTGCACCGTTTCACCTGATCTTAAGGGTCTAGGAGGCATGATTAAATTTCCATCATACTGATTGTGGTGATACGAGGGCTGAACGGTGGTATATCTAGCACGACCGCTGTCGTTATACACCACTAACCTTCCCTCGCTCACACCCATCGATGTCCCTCGAACATGACTTACGTCTCAAATGATCCCAGTTACTGGCCAACAATCAGTTCCGACATTTTTTCTAGCTATTGGAACAGTTCGTCGCATCATGATGTCTTAGATCTAACATTGACATGCAGTTTCGCAGTTGCCGCGGGCGTCGTGGTGGTATACGATTGGGGTGAGCAGGACAGTGTTCGAAAATCGCTGATATTCTTATGATATTTCCAGTCTTAACACTCGGGCCAGAGGTACGTCGACGTCATCGCCGCAGCAGCCAACTCACTAAGAATGGCGCCATAGATTGAACTTGTCTGGGCGAGTAACAAGAGTCCTGTATCAGAAGAAAACAAGAGCATGCGATAAATTCACGACAGAGGCAACGCTGGTCTCTCGTGACCGTGCTGTATTTGATTGTTCGTACCTCATGTTGTGCTTTAGCGTGGTGGGAAATTTGTGCTGAATCGAAAATGTTCTAGATACGCTATATTGGAATACCGTATTCGGTGTATGTGTCGAGACCAACAACTTTGCACTGTGCTAATAGCTTATCTCTGACAATTAGTGTCTATCTTCTAGGTATTGTCTCATACGCGCTGTGTTCCATTTTTCTGACCGGCAGGACACAGAAGTTATGCCATCGGTATTGCTGACAGATGCAGTGAGTATTCTGCAAGGATCTCATTCCCATCCAATCAATACGCTCATATGTAGGGGTGAGTGAGATTCCAACCATTGAACTTGGCTCAATATAATGGCTCAATAGGTGTAAGTCGGAGTCTTTGATACTAGTGCGAGGGCGTTCACTAATTGCGAGTTTTAGGCGCTATCGTGTACTATGCACTGAGTTACATAAATATGGCCTTGACTGCCATGTTGGGCGGTAAGTTACCCAGGTGCAATATCTCTGTGATATTGACCTGACTGACACGACGCAAGTGATCATGATTGCTCGGTTGCATGCCATGTATCAGGGATCTAGAACGATGCTTATCTTCCTTGTTATTATCTTCCTGGCTGTAAACATTGCCTGCGGAGTAATCGTTGGAATAGCAACCACAGATGTTGTAGGGGGTACGCTTCACTTGTTGATATGAAGAACACAGCTCATTGGACAAACACCAGAGGAGTCGATACTCTCTGGCATATATATGTGCTATTATGCATATGGAGGGAACGTGCAGCCTCTGTTTTCAATGACTTGGATCCTCAACACTGTTTGGGAGGTCCTCGCACTGTGCCTTTCAGTCTGGGTTGCTGTGAAACACTTCCGCGAGCTGCGACGACTCAGCCCATCGACAGGATCGACCATCGGGGACTGTTTCAGAGTGCTCATACAATCTCATGTTCTCTACTTTGCAAGGTGAGCTTGTAATGTGAACGCGGTTATATTTTTCTGCTCAAGTTCCGCACATGTTAGCTTTGTTGGTGTTTCTTGCCTCGAGCTTACTACTCTCTCTGCTGAAATCATGGTGCGCTGACCTGTTGCTGACATCTGCGTGTAACCACTGCTCATCATTTCTGTAGAATTCGAATTCTATTGGAGTTTCGATACTCGAAGGTGCTCTTCAAATTTTATCGGTCGTGCAAATATTTGTGCTAGGACCACGCCTCATCTTGAGCGTTCGAGAATACCACGCCAAACTCGTGGCATACTCCGACGCAGAAACTAGCATGAATTCGATTGTTTTCCAGGAGCATGTACATGTATCGACTAGCAGTACTGTGTAGAGAAATGGTTGTCGAGTGGTCTGCAGGGAGGAAAAATTTGGTGCAGGGTCCGTCGTGGTATTTATTTAACATATGGTGCTTCGAAGTATGTTTGAAAAGGTCTAGGCAAATCTATTTATTGTTGTATCACTACTGGAACGAGATGCCCGTCCTTGAACCGAGTGGTAAAGTGGAACAACTAGCAACCAAACTGATCCTTGATGACTGATCAACCAGAATCAGTAAAAGTGCCTTGACAGCTGATTCTGCGCGTTGGTGTTCCACTGTCCGGACATATAGATGCTGCGAATCGTGAATACAGATGGCTGATAACTCATTAGTACTCAAATCCTCCATCCGATGGGCGACAGAGAATGAAATGAATGTACACTCATGGCTCGACTGTACGTCTCTCTCGCGAATGAGCATGACAAGGATATCGGATCTGCTGAGTGATGAGTGGAGAAGAAGAAAATTTCAGAAGGCCTGAAGCGTACCTATCAAACTACGGATGAGGCATCGACTGCGATATTCTGTTGGAGCCTTCGCTAAGCACGACTATCAGAGTAAAGCACCGAACGAGATATAGACCATGCATACACACACCCGTTGACATGGATCACAGTCCTAGGGCAAGCAAATGATCACTTGAAAGAAGTATTTGATAGAGTGTGAGAAACGGAGAAATTCGAAGATATTTTGCAGGAACGTTGAACGGTAGCGTGATGTCTGATTTCCGGAGAGCGGCTATTCCTGCAGGAACTATCGTGGATGAAGATACGAATCCTGGAAGACGCACATTAGGACGACGACACGAACGACAACGAAAGTATGTCATCGGGAATCAGATCGCCGATTTTGTTAGTATCCTAAGTTTTTCTTATTTATCTAGATTGAGGGAATTGATGCAGATGAGTTAAAACCTTGTTAGAACCTACATATGTCTCCGGTTCAAAGGTCTACCTTCGATAACACTTATGAGTCGAGCCCTTTCTGCTAAGGAACGCGGATAGGAGCGGAACGGACCTAAGGTCAATTTTACATAATCAGCCTACAAACTCACTTTACACGGATAGTTCATCCAGGTTTTCCGTCGACCAATGGCTACGAGAGATATCAAGCAACGACTACGACAATCTGGATGTTAAAGATACATTGATCGAAATCACTCTGGAGTGCGTCCCACCTGGCGACTCCTAGCACGCCGCCCAAACAATGCAGGATCGCCGAGCCCCATCCTATCATCCATCTGGGGCGCAGAGAAGGAGTAACGAATCATGCGTGCGTGAAGAGTGGATGTAGGATGTAATATCGGCGAGTCATCGGATCGTCTGATATAGTCAACAATGATTGTTTGTATCAAGTAAAAAACGGCACCTTTGAACCTCGACCCTTCGAGAAGTTTCTTTCAACCCTCGTTTCCGTTTCTCCGTCGATAGCAATTCTGAAGCCTTGATTCGTCGCTGTAATTTGGTGTCGCCACAGGTAATCATATCATAGCTTTCATGTATTTGACACTGATCTGTCCCGACACAGGACGGACCTGAACAGGAACGACGGGTCTCACTCTTGGCAGGATAGATGTTTACTGAAACACGATGCCATCGATATGAGCCTGTACAATCACAAATCAGCCTTCTGGCGTGTTGCAGCTTTATTGTCTCCCGTGTGCAATTTCCCCCGATGGTGGCGTATAAGTATCCAACATCTATCAATCACGAATCAGGATGTATCTGGCAGTACAATACATCTGCATCACCATGATATCAAGTGCGCTTGTGTCGAATTCGCTCTATGCTTACCATCACTTTGTTCATCGTTTTGATAAAATCATGATAGCCCAATTATTCGAGCGTACCAGGCGACGGACGAAGTGAGATATATTCGACCCATTCTGCTACGATTTCTTGTCCGAGTTCCGCAGAATGACACTTGTTCCATAAGAGTACTCGTAGGGCTGTTACGCCTTGAGCTCAGCTAGCGATGCTGAAGAGTACGTAAATACTTGTTTCACGCATATCACAGTTCGACCTGTGTTAGACCGATGACTACATGATTTCATAGGGAACTTCTTGATTTTTGCCACCTTGCAGCAAAAACACGCGTTTCAAACAAGTTGCCGACATCACCAACGACTGGAACTTTCCTGGTGTCCAAGTAGTCCTGTGCGTAATACTGATTTGAAAATCAAAATCTATTTTGATTGACAGGTTCTTGATTAACTTTGCACCGTTTCACTCAATCGAGGGTCTTGAAGCGTGAGCAAAAATCCATCTCCAACAAGGGCTGAGCACTGAACGATTAATATATCTTGCACGAACGCTGTCATTATACACCACTAAACTTCCCCACTCGCTCGCACCCATCCCTCGAACATGACCTACGTCTCAAATGATCCCAGTTACTGGCCGTATATCAGTTTCATTATTCTTGTCAGCTATTGGACAGGTTTGTCGCATCAAGATGTCTGGATCCAACGTTGACTTGCGGTTTTGCAGTTGCTGCGGGCATTGTGGTGGTATATGATTGGGGTGAGCAGGACAGTGTTCGAAAATCGCTGATATTCTCATGTTGTTTCCAGTCTTAACGCTCGGAAAAGAGGTACGTCGATATTATCGCCGCAGCAGCCATCTCACTAAGAATGGTGTCATAGATTGAACTCATCTGGGTGAGTGACAAGAGTCCCGTATCAGAAGAAAACAAGAGCATGCAATGAATTCGCGACAGAGACAACACTGGTCTCTCATGACAGTGCTGTATTTGATTGTTTGTACCTCATGTTGTGCTTTAGCTTGGGGGCAACTTGTGCTGACTCCAAAATTTTCTAGATACGCTATATTGGAATACCATTTTCTGTGTATGTGTCGAGACCAACAACTTTGCACTGTGCTAATAGCTCATCTCTGACAACTAGTGTTAATCTTCTGCGTATGTCTCATATGCGCTGTGTTCCATTTTCTGACCGGCGAGACACAGAAATTATGCCATCGGTATCGCTGACAGATGCAGTGAGTATTCTGCAACTATCTCATTCCCATCCAATCAATACGCTCATATGTAGGGGTGAGTAAGATTCCAACCACTGAACTTGGCTCAACATAATGACTCAATAGGTGTAAGCCAGAGTCTTTGATACTAGTGCGAGGGCGTTCACTAATTGCGAGTTTTAGGCGCTATCACCTACTACGCAATAAATGGGACAATTTTGTCCATGAATGCCATGTTGGGCGGTGAGCTACCGGGTGCAATACCTCTGATATTGACCTGACTGACACACGATGCAAGTGATCATGATTGCTCGTTTGCATGCCATGTATCAGGGATCTAAAAAGATGCTTATGTTCCTTGTTATTATCTTGCTGACTGCAAACATCGCGTGCGGGGTATTCGCCGCAATAGGACTAAACAGTCTTGTCTCGGGTAAGTTGTACTTGTTGACTTGAAAAACACAGCTCATTGGACAAACACCAGAGGAATTCATACTCTCTGGCATGCATGCATGTTTTTCTGTGGCTGGGTACAACCAGCTTCTTCTTTCAATGAATTGGATTCTCAACACTGCATGGGAGGTCCTCGCATTGTGTCTTTCAGTCTGGGTTGCTGTGAAACACTTCCGTGAGCTGCGACAATTCGGCCCATCGACAGGATCGACCATCGGGGAATGTTTCAAAGTGCTCATACAATCTCACGTTCTTTATTTTGCAAGGTGAGCTTGTAATGTGAACGCGGTTATATTTTTCTGCTCAAGTTCTGCACATGTTAGTTTTGTTGGTGTCTCTTTCCTCCAGCTTGCTTTGCTATTTCCAGAAATCGCGGTGCGCTGACCTGTCGCCAACATCTGCATGTCAACATTGCTCATCATTTCTGTAGAATTCGAGTTCTATTGGATTTTCGACACTCGGAGGTATTCTCCAGATATTATCGGTCGTGCAGAGGTTTGTGCTGGGACCACGCCTCATCCTGAGCGTCCGAGAATACCACGCCAAACTCGTGGCACGCTCGGACACAGAAACTAGCATGAATTCGATTCTTTTCCAGGAGCATGTACATGTATCGACTAGTAGTACTGTGTAGGGACCGAGTTGTCTGCAGGGAGGCAAAATTTAGCGGAGAATCCATCGTGGTATTTATTTAACATATTGTGTTTCGAAGTATATTTAAAAGGTTCAGGCAAACCTATTTATATATTGTGGTATCACCACTGGAACGAAGCATCCGTGTCTGAATTAAGTGGTAAGGGGGTCTTATTCGGAACGACTAGCAACGAAACTGGTCTTTGATGACCGATGTTAAAATACAACAATGAGGATCAGTGAAAGTGCCCTGACATTTGTGTGTTTGTGGAGTCACTGTCTGAATATATAGATACTGCGAACCGTGAAGCCAGATGGCTGATAACTCATCAGTACTCAGATGCGATTTCCTCCATCCGATGGACTACGGAGAATGAAATGAATGAATCACTTAGACTCATGGTTCAATTACGTCTTTCTTGCGAATGAGGATGACAAGGATATGGGGTCTGCAGAGTGGGGAGTGGTGAATAGGAAAATCAGAGGTTCAGGTCAGAAGGTCTCGAGCGTACCTATGAAACTACTGAGGCATTGACTGTGATATTCTGTTGAAGCCCCTGCTAAACAAGTCAGAGTAAAGCACCGAATGAGATACAGACATGCATACATACCCCCATTGACATGGATCACAGTCCTAGGGCAAGCAAATGATGACTTGAAAGAAGTATGTGATAGAATGTGAGAAACAGGGAAATTCGAAGATACTTTGCAGGGACGTTGAAGGGTAGTGTGATGAGCTGTTGCAGCGACCAACAAGGGTGGGTGCCAGTGACTGGTGATATATTTATATATTGCACGCAGGATTTCCAGAGAGCGGCTATTCCTGCAGGTACTATCGATAGAGACGCGAGGTGCATCGATGGCGGGATTATGATACATGTTCGATTATGAACAACCTGGCACCAAATGGAAGCATGATGGATGAAAGAAGGATGGCCTAGAATAGATGCAAAACACACATTAGGATGACGACATGAGGAACAACGAAAGTATGTATCGGGATTTAGATCGCCGATTTTGTTATTCCATTTTTTATTTATCCCGATTGAGCGAATTGCGAACCTACCAAGGCGAAGTTGGAAGGCACCAAGTGCACTTGCAAAATATCAGTGAAACACCAATCATGAAATTTTAGAACTCTGACAGACATACTTTGATCAAAATAGCGTCACCCATGCAAATTATGCGTCAGATGTGAAATAAGGCCCTTGCAATGATCTGTTTCCATCCTGCCAAGCAGCATGACTGTAAGAGTAAAGCCCAGAATGCGATTATGAAGGGCCATGCTGGAAAAAATACGAAAATTGGTTTTTGCAAAACTTGTGACAGATTCTGAGCTTCTCTTGTTTCAAAATAACAAATCAAACAAAATTAGCAATTGTCGATTTTCTGATTTCGAAGTCTCTTGTTCACATTTGGCTGTATTGGGAAATGGATGACTGTCACTGCGCAGTGTGCACACTTGTACAACTTCAATCATTGTTGGGCATGGATGAACCTGAAGTCCTAGAGCAAATTCCACTACCTCTTGAGACCATACAGCAAGGTTATAATGAGCTTGGTCACCACACTCACATTGTTCTTCTTCAAACTCAACTTGGTGATAGTGCAAGGCTCAATGCTGCCAAGGGGGAGTGTTTGCGGTTTATTAGCATAGTAGAACAGGTGCCATCACTCTTTGCTGCTGCGATGGCTGATACTGAGATGCCAACAAATTCAAAGCATGCTGATGTTCTGTCAGAGAATGAGTTTCTTACCATTCAGACAAGCATACATGACATCAGCAAACCAGTAGGTACCTGTACAAACTTGTACAGACTCACAGAACCTACAGCTAAGTAGGCCTTGTACAGGCCTGTGACAAGGCATACAGGCTGTACAAGATACCTTGTACAGCTTGTGGGTTTCGAAGGACAAATGCCAAAAGAAATGTGACTGCACTTTGTTACATGTCACATCACATAATCAATTTTGCACATTATATTTTGCAATTGGCAGGTATTGAACCTGCACCTGAAGCAATTATAAGTGCAGCATTGTTACCACTTAGCCACCAGGCCATATATATGCTATAGCAATAATAGCAATATATACCAAAGCAATATCACATGACAAAATACGAAAATTTCACCAAGTCAAGTCCATTCAATTACCCCACAACACTACCACTCTATTTACTACTACATGAGTTCCACTATAGTATCTTAATATAGTTGTAATTGAATAGTAATAACTGATGTATGTCCTATTTTACTCAGAGTCATTATATTTGTACAATAAAGATTACCTCAACTATATTGTCAGTTATTACAGGTTGAACAACATATAATAGGCTAAGGATAATAGAGACTAGAATAAGGTCAGAACACTAGTAATTTCAGTGAGTCTCTGCACAGCTTGTACAGCTTGTACAAATTGTACAAGCTGTACAAGCTATACAAGCTTAGTCAGATTATAGTGAGCAAGAGAGTCAAATACTTGCTAACATTTACATATTTATGTTAGTTTGTATTATCTGTAGACATCAGTAGCATTGATAGTGTGATATTTATTATATAGGTCTGTGAAGTTTGTGAGACCTGTGGTGTCTTGTGACACCTTGTGGCACCTTGTACAGAGTTGTACAGTCTGTGACACTTGTGATGAAACTTGTGGTTTGCTGATGGAGATGCATCAGCAAAACCCTGATAGGTTGTGCGGCACTGCACAGTGCCGTACAGTGACACAGACATCACAGGAAAGTCACCCTCTGTCTAGCCGAGTCACAGCGCTATATATTACACTTTGGATGTGTCATGCTGTGCCTTCGATCATGTACGGCACAGCCCGGTTATCACCACACAGTGCCTGTAGCGCTGTACAACACTGTATAGGCTGTTTGTGATGTACAGTGTTTTACAGTAACATATAGTGTTCTGTAGTAGCACTACATAGTAACCCCTAGTTATGATACGTTCCTGTAATGATCATTTGCTTCAGTCTTGGCGAACTTGAGAGTCAATTGACAAATGTATTCAAGGGTTCTGTAAAACATGTGTGATGCCAATGATACTACTACTACCACTACAGTACTACTAATTGAGGTCGACGTCCCAGTCTGAAGTGTTGCAGCCTCCTTCATCACCAAACACGGCACCACATGTATTCCTTGAAGTTTCTCAATGGTTAGTATACCGGTATGATTAAAACAAATACTTACAAGCCCTCCGCAGCCCAGGATTGTAACATCTGATGGAGCTTTGGACCGTGATATGAGTCCTTGTTGACACGCTCGTACAACGTCGAGATTGACTCATAGCTGGCTTCCGAATCCGGAATAGCTGTCTGCTTGCTAACGGCGCCAGTTACCTGGCCATGCTTGGAGTAGATTTCAAGAATATTTTAAACCTTGATAGAGTGGTTAGCTTAAACAACGAGGGGCATAGGCATGCTCACGATGGTTGCGACGAGGATGAGAGCTTTGGGTGGAATGGTCTTCTGAAATGTGGGGAATTGCCTCAATGATTTGGACCTGCTATCGTAAAATGCCTTGTGACAGACAATTCGGAGTGCATTGTGGGCAAAATTTGATGCACAACCCTGTTGAGTTGTTAAGAGTTGGACATCAAGGGCAATTAGAACCTACCTCATCATCACAATCACTGTGCAAAAACTTCGTCCTCTTCAATAGATCACTTGCTTTCGTTTTGACGTTTGCAATGGTGTTTCCCTGTACAAGTGCAAGTCCATATCTGATTGGGACGACAGCAAGTGCAACTTGTTTGATCCAACTTCGGAAGGTCACTGCATTGTTATAAACCTGTGTCTGCACAAGTGATAAGTTAGTATATGAGCCACAATAGTAGTGTGAGTAGGGGCACTCACCACGATAGCCATCTCTCTTTTGTATTTCGGGTAGTAACCTTAATAAAAGTATCAGGGAGGGTAGCAGACAACAGAGCAGTAAAACATGTCACCTTTCTCAACTTGGCGTTTTTGGTCTTGCCAGTATACAATCGCTTCCGTAATTGCTTCACAACATACACCAGAAATGGCGTCCTCTTTTGTAGGGAATGGGACTGAAATAGCGAGATAAAGCCTGAAATTGGCCTTGGCATAGTTGAGAAAATTTCCCCAGAGGTGTGGAAAGAAACTGAGGGTAGTTGGGTTGGCAGCGTCTCCCTTCTTCTTGGCATTGCGGCGCTTCCTCCCAGTATTAATATCATCATCTTCTGAGTCTTCATGCCGATCGTTAGTATCATTCGATGAGGAATTACCTGTGTGAGCGCGCTTAGACTTTGGGTGTTGGTTTCAAATGCTATTTAAGTAGGCAGGGGACGGAGAACGCAGGCAACGGTGAAGGTACAACAATTCAGATGGTGAGTCTGAACAATGTTGGGTCTTGCAGAACCTAGCTGCTATTCGACCCTAAAGGGTTTCTGGACCAGGCTCAAGGCTCAGAGGAGAAGAAATGTCATAAAAACTGCTCAAGACTCAGACAGACTCATACTGGTAACTGGTGAAAAGATAACTTGATTATGTAAGCTACAAAGTGCCAACATAAGGTAAGGTAAAGACAGTCTCTACAAGCCTAGCCAGAAATGAATCCCTACAACGGTTCGTCATATGGTGAAGTTGAAGGAGATCATAATCAGTATCAGGCTGAGAACGTAAACAACTTAAATACCAAAAATATAAGCGGGTGAGTACTTACTATGGTCAGAGCATTTGAACGAGCTGATTTGGTTGTGCCTTGCTGGCAGCGATCTTTATCCACATTCCTGTTCCAGTTGGCCTTCTCCCCTGCTTGTCCTGGGTGGTGCTAGACACGGTTCTGCTGGTTGTGGTCCATGCATGCTGATGCTGTGTCGTTGAAGTCCTCGTCATCAGGCACTGGCGTGGCAGAGTGTCTGGCCTGACGATGGCCAGAATTGGCCTGGTGATTGTGATCCGAGGCATGCGTGATATATTCATCCCTGTAGTTGGCATAATCCATATAGTTATTGTCATTGCTTTCAATGCCAATGTCTTGCTCGACATCAATATCTTCTTCCTCGATGCCGATGTCTTGTTTATCGAGGCCCATACTGCCGTCTTCATCGTCCCAGTCGCCCATTCTGTCTTCATCACCTATTCTGTCTTCATCAATCTCCCTGTCCACCCCATCACTAGCATCATCTGAGTCAGCAAACAAGTGACTTGCAGATGAAGCAATATCAGGAAGGGCAGGGGGTGCCACAATGAACGACTTTGGACGTTGGTTGCTGACCTGCGGAGAATGAGAAATAGTATGGCCACTGAGTGGGACATGAGCTATGTCAGACTGATGGTTGCTGTGAGAGACGCCACGATCAGCACCATGAGTAGCACCATCACAACGAGGAGCATCATTACAACGAGGAGCACCGTCACAACAAGGAGCACCATCACGATGAGGAGCACCAGCACTATGAGCAACATCACCACGAACAGCACCACGGCTGACACCACGAGCAACACCACGAGTACGAGCATTGATGCCGGCCTGGACAACAGGTGTCATTGAGTCAGGCTCAGGAAGGGTTTGATGGGACTGCAGGAGTGGCTTGGAACTGACGTATCCCAAGGGAATTGGTTGATCCTGCAATCTGAACCTTCCATTGTTTACGACGTGCAGGGCAGGTAGACCTGTAATGGCTGGGTTTGATGTCTCCTGCAGAACACCGTCGGATGTTAGTGCTACTCAGGTGACACACATCCCAGAAATGAGGAACAAGCAGACACCTACTACTATGGTGTTCTCCCGAGGCGCTTTTGCTCTCCCCTTCTTCTTTGTGGGAGCCATTGCATTTTCAGGCTCGTCCGGAGGGACAACAACATTTCGAGCCTTCATGTTGGGCACTCTGGCCGGAGTCTCAATAGTGTTTCCTACCTTCCTCAACTGAGAAAGCACTCCTCCAGTGCCAGCCCGCTGTGTATGACATGGTGGAGCTTGAACATCCTCATCCGAATCGTGGATTTGGCACTTTCTGCGAGTCTGTTTGCCCATGGTATACTAGTACTAGTAGTAGTACTACTACTAGCACAAGACTAGCAGTACTAGGCAGGAAAAAACAAAAGACAAACCTCAGGCTTCAAGTTCCGAGTCCGAAAATATTACATAGCAGTAGTAAATGTATGTAATAAGAGGTGCACTGGCTGCCATGAAGTGAACCAGTAGTAGTATGCCAGTGTATTACTATTGCATCCGAAATTAATTAGTACTGTGCTATACTAGTACTAAATCATGATTTGACTGCACCTGAGTATGTTGTTACCTGCAACTCCATCCCTACTGCTAGATGATTGCCTACTGTCCTAACTGTCTCAAAGAATTTGCGAATCCGTGGGCTGTTACACGACACCTGAACCAACCTCGTACTTCCTGTCTACGATGGGCCAACCAGCTTGAGAGTGCATCACAAATTTTGCTCGACCCTACTAGTCAGGAAGACGAACACACAACTGAATCATCACCCAATCAAACTCCAAGCTCTTCTCTTGATTTTCCAATGGACTTGGAATCTGAGGCGCTGCTTGGGCACTGGCAGGATACTGACATACCTGTGGATGACCCGGATTGCCTCTACTCTGATGAGGGAGTTACAGTGAACTTGGAGAGTGATGTTCTAGGGTTTAGTGCAGAATCTTTGGGCAGTCAGGCTTCGGGGCCCTGGCCTTTGTTGAATATTTCAGAAGCACTGCAAAGGTATATGGGCGTGGCCAAACCTTTCAGGATCAGTTCAATGTGGATGCATATGCAGCCCATTGCAAGGAAAACATTTACTATCCATTCGCCTCCCTTCAGGACTGGGAGCTTGGCAGCTTTCTCTTGCACTCTTCATTAAGTATGGCAGCCACCGATGAATTCCTGGGGCTCAAACTGGTATGTCTTGATTTGGTGATTGTGTTGTCACTGGAAGTTCTCATCTCTCTGAAGGTCAAAGGATTGCCGTTCTCCTTTTGCACAGCGAAAGATCTTCGGGGTCGTGCAGAACTTCTGCCTCCTGTTCCTAAGTGGCAGTACCGTGTCATTTCGACAACTCACCCAACAAAACAGCCAGTACATTTTTACTGGCGCGATCCGTTAGATTGTATCAAAGCACTTTTTAATCACCCACTTTTTGCAAAAGAACTTGATCTTACACCTACACATGTATACGACACAGTGGAACGTACAATGCAGATATACAGTGAATGGATGACGGGGGGACACCGCATGGTCAATGCAGGTATGTACCTTGGAATCTACTGAAATAACTTTGCTAACTCTCACTCGATCATAGTCGCAACTTCCGGATGGTGCGACACTCTTAGGTGTCATACTTTCTTCCAATAAAACCAATATCACAAACATGACTGGTGGACGCCTTGCTTACCTGCTCCTCATCAGTCTTGCCAATGTCAAGATGGCGACTTGAAACAAGGCATCCTCAAATGCCTTTCTTCTTACAGCACTACTTCCAATCACCGAATTTCTGCATCCAGTGAAGCGGATGCAGAGTGTCCTTGAAGCCCGCTTAGTCCACCAATGTCTGGATATCATTCTCGAGCCGCTGAAGCAAGCTGCGCGCATTGGGCGGATGATGTCAGACCCGCTTGGGAATCTTAGATATTGCTTTACACCCCTGGCTTCATACATTGTTGATATGCCTGAGGCATGCATGCTTGCATGTGTTTGAGGCAAGACCTCACCAGTAACCCTTGCTATGTACAAAGAATTCGGAGATGACTTCTGTCACCCACCACGCACAGCTAAATCGACTCGACCAGCTTGCAAGCATCAAATGTGATCCCCTCAACATCGGAGGCTACTTTGATGAATGCTCTCTCTTCTGCCTAAACGGTGTGTCCTCGCCATTCTGGCGTAACTGGCCACTAGCAGATCCATCTTCATTTCTGACACCCGAGGCCCTGCATCACTGGCATCGTGAGTTCTATGACCATGATGTTTGGTGGTGTCTTAGAGCTGTTGGTGCACAAGAATTGGATTTTCGCTTCTCTGTACTACAGCAACTCACAACATTCCGACACTTCAAGGATGGTATTTCAAATCTCAAGCAAGTCACAGGAAGAGCACAGCACAACATGCAGCATTATATGGTTGCTCTTATTACTGATGCAGCTCCTCTCTGCCATTTCATGACCTCAGGGTCTGGTTCAAAGTACGTATACAGCATGCAGCATACCATGGCCAATCGACTCCTGGTCCTGCCCTCACGGTGAATGCATTTCCTCCAAGTGCTACTTGGAAGTATGGTCGCTATGACGCTGCAATATTTGCTGTTGATGACACTAAGCTTCAACAGTGGCCCACTAGTGGGCTTAAAGGTGTGTTTCAAGTATCTGCTTGTGTGCCATGTCTGATGTCTGAGCAACTTGCAGGCCACACGGTTGTTGAAGTGCACCTTATTATGCAACCGCTTCCTCCGCAACAAAAGTCCACCATTTGGGCTGCATGCTTCCTGGCTTATGTTCAATGCCTGGATGTTGTACCTCAGCGACATGGAAGCTCATTGGAACACACGACACACATGCACATTTTAAAATGTGCAATGCAATCAGCAAGGGTTCCCTTTGGTGACATACTCCCACTGGATCAACTGCATTCTTTTGCTCACATCGTCCCCCGCTTTGGTCCTGCTGCTGATTCCCGTCTGACAGCAGAGAATAGTACTCACTCTGCACAGGTGTTTTTCTTGAACAAGTATATTGACAAGGAATTTTACTATGCAATCTCGAACTCGTAGTACTACTAGTAGTTTTTAGAGCAGCCTCAGGTACTAGAATACTACCACTGAATAATATTGGTAGATATCGTGTACTACTAGTATTTTTCACTACATATATGTTGCTGTACAACACTGGACATCATGAACAGCCTATGCAGTACCAGGACGCGCTAGGCAGCGCTCCACAGCACTGTAGAGCACTACTTCTCATGATGCACGTGGTTTTTCTAGCTGACTAAACTGACATTGGTGGGGCTCACAACTGACTGGGCTGTGGCACATTGACAGCCCAGTTGTTGTCATACTGTCTCAATGCCTCTCACTACCATTATGACTCTTCCAGTCATATACTCTAAGCTCACTATGAGCTCTGGATCCAAGGGTTGGCTCCCAAAATCACCTTCCAATCCTACTAGTAGTACCTTAATCTCCTCTCCAAGTCCATCAGCGGGGTGTGCACTACTTCAGGTTGAACAACTTCAGAAACCAGCAGAATCTACTAGGACTATCACACTCCCAATAGACAGGCAACTTCCAGACAAACAAGTACTTGCAGACCTCAAAGCACCAATGCAAGCAAGACTTGACATCACAGATGATGATCAAGCCAGCTTAAGCTTAGGTTAATATTTCTCAGATTGCTTATCTCAATCTTCTTCCTGACCATCCATCATCTTCATCATCTTACAGAGCATTGTGCAATTATTCTTGAAGCTCTTCAAAATCTGCAATCAAACACTATCATAGGTTGTCTTATCATTGTCGTTGTCGATATCTGACTTGGGAACTTTTCAAGGTCATCGCCAGCATCACACCTGCAGAGTACATGGCAGTATTAGCATTTACATCTGAAGAGAGAGATTTTGAAGTTCGGGCAAAGTGCGCGCTGTCATTGACTATCCCTTACTACTTATGGTACTCATGACATGTTTACAGATTCACCTATTTTGAGGACACACAGGAACTTCAGATCATGCCTCCCCTCCCTGTCCATGAACAACCGGCTGCCCACCTTTCCAAGGCCATCAACAAATTCATGGATGCTCTTCCATATGACAAACTCTCAGTCGATGTGACCATACACCTCAACCACCGCATCCAAAACAAGGACACCACAAATATCCCAGATTTACACATCGTTGTCATGACACAACCGCCAGAGGACGACAGTTTGGATGACATGGAGATTTCGAAGCCTGTCTCTAAATGGGTTGGCAAATGTGGACTTTCGTCAGACTATGACTTCATGGTGTGGAAGTTGAGAATCATGTGCGACAGCCATCGTGACATTGATCTTGCCTTGATCATGTCCTTCAAAGAGCGGGTTAGATGGCAACAGCCCAAGGAGATGAGTATTGCCGCTCAAACCCTTCAGTATGAGTCCCATATTAGAATATGAAGAATTCATCCCTGCACGCATCAAGAAGAACCTCAAGTTTGGTCCAGTCACCCTCCACTCACATGTATGGATCGACATTAGCGAGGTTCGATACAGTGTATTCAGATGTAGCATGGATGGCCATTTTGATTTTAATAGCAGGAATCCAGACACGTTTGGAGGGGGGGTACGTTTACACAATTACTATCCGAGTCTTCTATATTCCAATCCCAGCTTGCTCCCTGCAGACTCTTTACCTGACAGTAGAGATGTCTGACGTCGAATGCATGCTGAGGGATGGCGCCAATGCGTTGAAGGAGTACATCATTTCATTGATGGAAGGGATGAGTTTAGAGGAGTCTGCAATCTACCTTGTGTGTGATTCCAATCCCTCTTTCGAGCCCATTTTGGGGGCTGGTGTCAATCAAATATCTTCCGCCATATATCTCACAGCTTACTGCCATTACTTGGATTGGTGCAATCACAAATACAGCAAACACAAGATCTCACAGACTGCCCAATCCTTGCGCACTGGTGATCAGAATATCGCCGCCTCCATCTCGTCTGATCCTACTACATTGGCCTCCTCATCTGATCCTACATTTGCCTCGTCTGATCTTACAGTCCCGTTCAAGTTCACCCTCTAGGCTCTCACTTGATGTGCAATCCGAGCCCTTGGCAAAGAAGGCCAAGACCAAGCCTGTTGAGGAGCCCTAGGTGAAGTCAAAGTCAAGACAGATAAAGACAAAGACTCACAGAAATGGAAAGGGGAAGTCGGGGCTCTAGGCTGGAGCTGTATAGTGAGTCACTTGCGCGTTTGAAGTCCATTTTGTCCAATGCTCTCATAGCACATTATAGCTTAGATGATTGCCCGGGCACTCGTTGCAGTACTAGTACTACTAGTACTACTTGTAGCCTACTCTACTCAGCCTGTCACCATCATTCTTGCTTACATACTGTCATGTTGCTCTTAATGTACCCGCCAATGTCTGTGTACTTGTAGCTTCTTCGCATCAGACTACAGTAGCATTACTAGTAGTGCTAGTGCACATTGTATTTGAATCATTGTCACATCACAACTTAGTAGAGCTGTCACTGGTCAGTCACGAGTGCTCAGTGTGACGACAACTTCTCAGTCAATGTCTTCCAACATCCAGCCTATGACATCTGCATCTGTTAAGAGCAGTGAAACTCTTTCAAGTCCCCGAAGACACTCACACGAGGCTCAGACCCTTGTAAGTGCACATCGTTGTGAAGAAGTAATGGTGACTGGCCAGCAAGAAAGCTAGAGCACCAATAAATCCAACTGAGTGCGGGTGTGCTGTCTCGACCCAAGAGGATTGCTATGAAGCACTTCCTTCAAGTAATATGCGAAGGGAGCAAATGCGGAACGGAATAGAACTAAGTTGACCTTGGAAAAGCGAGTCCGCTGGTAAGAGCGAAAGTGAGACCGCGGGTCCGGTGAGTGCGCGATGAGAAATGAACGAAAGCGAGAGGATCCTAGGTAAAGAGCAGCGGGTTTCTAGGTAAAGCGCGGTTCTGCAAGTAGCGGCTAGGTATAAACGAGGTTTGAGGCCGAGGTATAACTAGGTATGAAAAGTGCTAAGTCGGAAACCGAGAGCGGTTTGGATCCGCGCAGAGCCTAGGTAAGGAACCTTAGAGGCGCGTTCTCGGAGCGGTCAAGAACACACGGGTTCGAAGTGAGAAGTGAACAAAGCTTGTCAATTGATCAAATAATACTAGGAACGTCTAAGTGACTCCGCAAAACAAAGGTAACGTCCGAGGGAAGAGAAGTACCATACTGTATGTAGCACACGAGACTTTATCCTACTGCATGAGCATCCAGAACCCGTAGGCGAGAACTGTAGCGATGAAACGAGGCAGATAAGTAATATGTAAAGAGAGCGCGTGCGGAACGGAATACGCGGTTACATGTAATAACCCTTGATAGCATTTAGTCAACCCGAGAGAAAATGAACACGCACCAATGGAGATAGGCGGACACGGAAAGGACATGGACAGAGGACAGATCTGAGTGCGGGTGTATGCCAGTTGGCTATCGGCCAAAGGAACTAGAGTAGGACTGGAATGACATGGATCCAACGAGTTTCTATAGGCCTTGATATGAGTATCAAAAGACACTTGTTCCCGCCCAACGCGGGTCTGAGCGTCACATCGTGCTCAGGCTGGAGATAGTATTTCGCTGAGCATTCTGCCTTCTGGGTTGTCCAGCATACCCGGACCTGTGAACACTACTACTACTATCTCCTCTGACACCATCTCTCGCAAAAAACCCTACCTAGCACACAAGGGGCTTCAAACTTCAAGAACACTCAAGTTGGAACTCCCAGGGCTATGGGCACGCTCCGAAACTGCCAATCCCCTGCATTATTGCATCATTTCACCAGCATGCCACCAAGCATTGCACATTATAGGTTCAGCGTGAAAAGTATCCCATTGCCCAAATTACCAGCAATGACACAGCCAGACCGCGAAGACCAGGACCATGAAGACGAGGATGAGTACTGTGAAGACACCCTGAGTGTAAGTTCATAGGTAATGACATGCAGTATCTGAATGACGATGTCCCTTAGGAACTTACAGACCCCAGCGACACCGACTGCACGACTAATGAACTCAAAGCACAGCTAGTCTTGAATGCAACCCGAGCACAATGAGATGTTTGCCTTGCAGAGAAGACATTAGCAGATTGCATTCTAAAGGAGAACACTGCACTTGGGAAACTCTACAAATTTAAGGCTACAGTGGCTGAGAGGATGCTGGAGGATGCTAATATTGACATTGGCTTTGTATGCCATTCTGTCCACAAAGGTGGCATCACTTTATATGAGGACTCTAAGCCTTGAAAATGCCGTCGTCAATCTATAGTAGTCAAGTTGACACTAGTACACTCAGGCCAGAAGGAGACTCAACTTGGGTACCAGGTACCAGTAATTAGTTGTTTTTATCTAACCACTTCCACTTACACATTTTTTACTGGCAGGATCTGCGAGCGTGACTCCATCCATGACATTCAAATCTGAGGCTGCAGGATTGGACTTGGAGTGTGTGTATTAGTTGTTGTACATCATGATCGCAACAATTCATGCATCATAGTAGTACTACTAGTACTCACTACTACTACTTATACCCTTTGGATATAGTAACGTGGAATTGTACTCTAGTAGTAGTACTATTGCAGTTTGTTTTATATACTACTAGTACACTTGAAAATTTCAAGTGCGGTTTCAGTCTGAATCCTGTTCCAGTTTCAAAAATTCCAATACTCAGGGTTTAATTTTATCAAGTTTGAAACCACTTCCTAGTACCAGAGTAGCAGACCGGCTCACTGTAGTATGCTATGTAGTACTGCCTCGATCATGTAACACTACTGTCTGTAATACACTACAAGATGCTGTAAGTTGCTATAAATATATCACCACACATCACTACGGGTGCCTGCGCTGCTGTAAGATGCTGTAAGATACTGTTAGTGGCTTGGGCAGCTGTGATAAATTTAGGGTTTTGCTGATGTGGTTAATGCCCTCGATGATGCCGTTCATCTGTCAGTAGACCCTCCAGACCAAGACCCACCTCAACTCTCCCACACAGCTCATACTGGTCGACAAGGACGACCACAGATAGATATTGAACCTGAGCTCCTCGAAATCTCATTGAGCATGTGTGGTTCAACCCATCTGGCATCTGTCTTTGGATGTGCACCTCGAACAATCCAGCATAGAGCGTTGGAGTATGGTCTGGCTGAACCAGGTCCGCCTGTCTATGTTGACTATACTGACGAGGAAGGAAACACAACACACTTTTTCACTACAGCAAACAGAGATCACTCGGGGCTCAGTGATGATGAGCTTGATGCCATTACGAGACAAATACTTGAGACTTTCCCAGCTTTTGGACATCATATGATCAACGATCACATGAAGCATCTTGGACATCATGTCCCCCATCGGCGCATCCAGGAGTCATATGCGCAAGTTCATGGGCCATCCGTACATGGTGCATTTGGACTGTGTCATATCCAGCGAAGGGTATACAGTGTTCCTGGGCCTAATTCCTTGTGTCACCACGATGGCCACCATAGTAAGTCAATACCTTATTATCTTAACAGCTCATCGTGTGTATTAATGGTGTACTATTAGGCCTTATCCGCTACCATGTAGTATTCCATGCATTCATTGATGGATACTCATGCCTTGTCACAGGCATTCAGGCTAGCAATAATAACCGAGCAGACACTGTCCTTGAGCTTTTCCTTGACCTGATTGAAGTCCATGGACTTCCTAGTCGTGTTCGAGGTGATCATGGCACGGAAAATTTGCGAGTTGCTGAGTACATGGAGACACAGAGAGGTTTAGGTCGAGGGTCCCACATTTGGGGAAGGTTTGTCTTCATAGTTTCGTTTCAAATTGTATTGATTTATCATGTATTCTTCGATAGAAGTGTTCATAACGTTCGGATTGAACGCCTCTGGTGTGACCTTAGCAGCGGGTTTGGTGGCAAGTGGAAATATTTTTTCCAGGACCTCGAGCAACATGATAGGCTTGACCCAGACATCAAATCACACATCTGGTTATTACACTATTTGTTTCTTGATGCGATCAACGAAGATGCCATGGAATGGGCTGAATCTTGGAATAATCATGTTATCACACTATGCGATGCTTGCGACGCCAGTCCTTGAGACTTGTTTTTCTTTGGGATGCTGGAGAAAGGGATTTGGGGGTTTGATGGCAACCTGGAACCTCAGGATGAAGAGCTCAAAGACCCAACCTCTTACGGCATCAACTGGGATGCCATTGATGATCCACATGTGTTAGCTCACCATTCCCTTCATAATCGACCAGATGAACTTGGCGACAATCCCTTTGTGTCCCAACACCCGCAGCACTTCTCAGATGTGACTGTTCCCGAAGTCGATTCCCCACTTTCAGCCAAGCAGTTAAACCACCTCTCAGAGTATTTACATTCCTCTCAATCCTCTCAATCATGTAGCATGGACTCTCGAAGACTACTTTGGAACAGTGCACTTCAGTTCTGTGGGGATATGTTTGGTGGTTGACCATGGTATCATGTCGCTCTTGTGTGCCTTCACCGGAAATGCGAATTACTATTTTGTTCCTTGCCCAATGTAATCAGGAACTGGCAGATGAACAGCTTTCTCTTGAACTGTGTTGTGTCGATGTGCATCGCATGAGGTTGTTATTGACTTGCTGATACAATTCATTGATTATGTTTAGGATATGCAATACAGATAGTGGCAGAGCCGTGCCTACTCTCATTGTTGTCGGCAAAGTTTCCAGAGGCTCTTCTGAACTTGTTGGCAACAGTCGTGAACATCATCGACAGTGGAGGCGTGCTGCCCGCACTGATCCTCAGTATCTCCAGAATGAAAACATGCTTCATTGCATGCGTTATCAACAGCGTGCTGCTCTGCGACGTCAGCTGACGAGTGAGTGCATCATTGTTCGGCACCTCAGTCACACGTTGATGCAGTTCACAACCAGCCAATTTGTCCCCTCTATCTTCTTTATCCCCTTCACCTTTGTCAGAATGAGAATGTACTCCTCGTGTGACTCTTCAACAAGTGCCTGTGCCATGGTGGGTTCTGCTTCGACAATACCCTCCTCCTCTGATTGTGCCGCCTACATGGAACTGCCGTTGTCCACATTGCCACGTGCTGCTATTGTCGACTGAATCCGACTCATTCTGCTGTGGAAATGGCACATGGGCTCTACTTTCGAGTCACAAGTCCTTGTGCTTGAACATCCATCACTCATCTGCTGTCCTGCTCACGAGGTTAGCTTCCACCTTCCAATGCTATCCACCTGCGACATGGCTGATTGAGGGCAAGAGGGCACAAGCGTATCCTCAGCACTGCCTCGTCGACGCTTGGACACCCGCTATCATCATGCCCACCCTCTCATCTCCCATCATCCTGTGCAGCACTGCTTTCAATTTCGCCTCCCATAGCTTCATGGGGCCACATCAGCTCCACCACCAGCACCACCCACCGCTTTATCCTCCAACAGACTTGGATGAATTCTGGCGCTGGTGATCTTACCAAAGAGCTGAAGGAGATCGACGACCAGGAGATTTGGCGTGCAGGAAATGTTGTGCGGTCGCTGCACCCTGATTACAAGGCTGAGGCCCAACTCATGGGAGAGGTGAGTCATCTGTTCAAACTACTGTGTTCGACCAGGTTTGGCCTTATTTTCACTTTTGTGCTGTGTACACTGTGCTGTGCCTCTCTCTTCTGCACACAGCTGCACCCTCCCGGTACTCATCTACATACACTCGTGTGGAGGTGCTCTCTGCCGGTGCATGTAACAGTACCTCTCTTTTTGTTCCTACAGCCTCCGACAACCTCCCCACACCCATTTCTACTTCCCGCACCAAGTGGCATCATACCATACACTGCCGTCACAACCTTCACCCCATTGCTAACCTCCTACCACATTGCGGTATGGATTTCCACAGGGTGGGGGTACGGGTGCAGCCTGTGGTACCTCATGCTGTTCCCTCACAGAAGGTTTCAACAGCCTCTCTCCACTTTCACACCAGGCTGTCACCTCCTCCAACTTCCCACAGAACAAGAGGAAATGCCGTGAAACCAGGCCACATCAAAATAGTAGGATTTTATGTACTCATTGGTCGCCTGTCCTCACTCTTCTGCTCTTGGCCCCACATCACCAAATAGATTGAACTCTTGCGATGCCAAACACATCCTTATGTTGTCAAAGTGGCTGCAATGCAAGACAGGGCCCAATCTGTGTCTCACATTTTCCTATTAGCATGCTTTGTTCACTTATGCCCGTGTCCCTCTACTCCTAGTCCTTTGGCAATTCAATTCACTAATATCAGGCCTGTCATCTGAGAGCAATGCAATTCGCGTGAACACACCTGTGCGTGCTCTACATGGAGTCCAAATTGCTTAAGCACTCAACAATCTCCTATTTGCAGTGCATTGTTTGCTTATCTCCATGTCTCTAGTCCTCTTTTTGCAATTGTACTCCACCTTGAATGCTTGCTGAAGTTCTAATAGTTGATTCTGCTTCCCTGAACAACTTGAACAAGAATGTGAAAACCTGGAGTTGCACGAACACATCCAAACACTTGAGAAGGTGCCAATCGCAAGTATATCTACTTCCCCAGAGACTTCCAGCTTGACCATGAGTCATCTGAGCATAGACGGAACACCTGTGATCACACTTGCCAGACATCGGGAGCACTGACATATGGAGGTCATAGATGATGACACAGGCCGCCAGTGACCAGTTGACCCTTGTCAGGCGACATCTGGAGAGGATGCCATGTTGAGGCTCAATAAGAATCTTGAATGATCTTCCCTTTCCATGTTTGGTGCATATGGGTGATTTGATGGAAGAATAGAAGCAAGATCACACATGGTTGCATGATGTGTCCATGTGCTCGGCGAGTTGCCAAATGCTTCCTATGCCTGCGCTTGCCTGGCGCTAATGACTCTTACCCTGTCTATGCTTGGTCTATCCAGCATCTACATCGCACCATGGGTCTCTCATGAAATCACCAAATGGTGTAACATGTTGATAGTTGACTCGAGCCTGGGCAAATTCAATAGTAGGTTGTATGATACTACTAGTATGTCTATGTCTTCTATCAAAGCTCACTGTCATGTCATATTAAATCACGTTCTGTGATATTCTGTGAAGGAGACAAGAGTTTGGCCCTGCTCATAAACTCATTTTTTCTCTCATCATCGTCCCTGTCTAAACTTGATATGATGACCTCCCAACTTGCAGCACAGCAAGGACATTGCCAGAAATATTTCTGTGTAGACTTCATGAAGGACATGGTTTCCCCTGGTTCTATGAATATTTGCTTCTGTGACCATTCTTACAAAGACCATGAAGACACTATGGCTCCTCAGGCCCCCACTCAACCTGTTCTCCCTGACAAGGGAGGATGTCCAACAACTGGCTGCATGAGGTTTTCGGTAGGTCATTTGCACCATGACGGTCACATTGTGTATTGACCTTGTGTGCTGAAATTTATCTGTAGTCTCAATCACCGCCAATTAATCCTCAAGAGCACTGTGTTACTCAGACAGCTAGTGGAAACACCTGTGGTCAAGCCTGGATTGCCCATCACCGTGCCGTACACTTGCAGCCCCCATCCTCAACTCAACACACTAGTATCATGGTCTCTCCAAGTCCGCAAACATTACATGCCATTATGCCATGGCAACGCACTACCCCGCTGACCAAACCCAACCAGACTGCCAATGAAAGGCGCCGTAACCATTATGAAGCACAGCGTCCAAGAGCTGGCACTACTGGCAGCATTTTTGGTGCCACTGGTGTCCGAAAGGCTGCTAGCCATAGCACACATCCCAGGCAAAGCTATGGATCTGCTTCTACTCTACCATCAGGTACATCTGCTGCATTCAATGTCATAATATTGCCGTTTAGCATAAGTGTTTTACATTGTCAACAACTTGATACTGACTCGAATCTATATACTACCAGATTTTGACTCGTGATGACTATGATCCACTTATCGGCAAATGCACTATTTTCCCATCAAAGTTGGCATCATTAATAACCCAACTGTCGTGCTTTGGACTCTCTTCAATGGTCCCAGTTATGACTTCAAATGCCGATGAGCCAGTTTGGCATCAAATTACCACCCAGATCTCCTTGCATTTGCAATCACGACAGCTTGTACTTGAAACCCCCCCGATCGATCTCATCTTTGGGAATGCAAGTAATGATATCTCACAGACTGGGCTGCAGTTCCTTGTGCCCAGTAACAACAAGGCAGATGGTTCACGTCTAATGAAGCCAGCTGACGTTCCTGGGCAGCTTTTGACAATTAATTATTTACACTCTGTCGCGTCCAAAATCGAGAACCCCATTGATGCCAACCCATTACTCTTCCTGTGTAGGTTCCTGCTCACAACAATATTGGACTGTACTTACTATTTGTATCATTGTCTTTAGGTCCAATGATTGGAAATGTCAGTGGCAATTTACCTTTGCAGTTGGCACTCCCACAAGGTCGCCACTACTGTCTTGCAAGAAGGGCAATGGACTGCTTTAGTACTTCTGATTTGAGAGAATTATCTGAGGAGCCTGGTTGTAGTACAGTTTGTCCACAGGTAAGTTTTAAACGACCATCTTTATTCTCACCATCAATGACACTAACGACCTGCATTATTTCCTCAGACGTCCTCCATCATATCAGCCGGGCTTTTTACTACACCGCCAACTATGTCAACTCAGATGGTGGTAGATGTGCCTTCACTTGCATCACTTCTTCAGCCCTCCTCCTTTGCATCAGATGGACGTCGTACCAGCTCACCCAGAATGTCAACCGATATGGCAGTAGATGTGCCTTTGATACTTGCATCCGATTCACTGGCAGTAGCTGCACCTTCAGCGCCGACCAGCTCCCAAATTTCCCTACAGATTGGACAGCTTGATGCACTACAAGAGATTGAAGAATGGCAATGGACCACCAGGGATCTCTGGCAGCCGATTCTCCCAGATGGGCGTTCCCTCTCTGCCGGTAGTGGTAGCCAGCGGTCACCATCAAGTACTGTTCAGATATCTGTTAGAGGTCCTGACACCGAAACCACTGCCAAAGGTCTCATTACCTGGACTCGGGCACAGATGACCGGAAAGGTACCTCGCCTCCCACAAGATGTCACCATAAGCAACTCGGACTATTGAAATATTTTTTTTCCTGATGTATTGTTCAATGTGTGAGCTTGGAGTAATTGTGTTACATGTCGTGCAGTGTACTGATGATATGCCATTAGGGATCCTGGTGTCGGTCCTGGTGTTATGTGTGCTGTTTTTGAACATGCTCTCACTGACATGTGTGAGGATGCCAAGCTGTGCAGACGACGGGATGGTCACGCTGGTTACTTCAATCTCAACACCACCAGTGTAGTCTGCACTCCTCACCATCAAGCAGATAATGAGGCATTCGGCTTTCTTGCTGCTGCTCATCTCTTCCTTACTGGACATGGGCCGCACCCCCTCTCCCCTGCCATCATCATATTTTGTATTGCAGGTTATGATGGGCTTTTTGATCTTGAACTTATAGGTCAGGTGCTTCCTGATTCTATGGGGCTACTGAAAAAATGGGCATTGACTGTTCCTGCCACCACCGAAATTTTTATTGGATCAGACATTACAACACTCGGCATTGATCACCTTGATGCAAGTGTAAGTCTTTTGGCCTCGCAGTGACTAAGGTTCACAATGACTTATCACACCCATCCAGCCATCTGAGATCCTGGAAGCTGTATCAAATGACAGGTGGCGCTCACTTACAGAAGCATTCTACTCTGCTATATTATTTGGAGACATGGGCGCTGCAACATCCTCAGCAATGACCAACTTTAAACAAGGATTTAATATCCGTGTCTCTGACACACAAAGCCTGTGTGATGTAAGTTTTAGGGTGCCATCACCTGTTCACCACCAGACTAACATTGGCCTATAAACAGACACTCTGTGATTGTTATAAGACCATTCTCCCTGGTTGCTATGGGAGAATGATTCGAGGTCCTACGTGTGTTATAAGCAAGATTGCCTTTAGGAGCGCATCATCCAATATCGATCGGAGATATTCCAGCACCTCAACTCCCGAGGACTCTCTTGCGATCTCACGACAGTTGCAGGCCATACAACCCACCAATGTTCATACATAAGCTTTCCAGATATCTCCACAGCGTCGGTCACCCTGACCATCCAAACTTATATAAGTTTATGGCTGAATCTGAGCGAAACAAGGACAAGGACGACCCAACTCTTCGTTCATGTCTCTTTATGAGATTTTGCACAGGGTCGCAATTGATGCCTCATAGAAAATACTGGGAGATAAAGGTGCACCTGAAAACCCACTTTTCATTCTCTGTGCTCATTTCCGTAATACAGCTTTCATTCGTCTCAGACCTCCTGGACACAAAAGCTCACTTTATTCTGCAGAATGCATCTTCTGATTGGAAGGTTTGTGATATTCCCTCCGGTGTCTACTTACTGCTAACTAAGATCTCAACAGCCTGAGCCCTTACCACTGTTTGCACATACGTGCACAGGTGACATTGAGGTTGCCTTGAATTCCACCCTCATCAAGTATATCACTGAAGCGCTACCACCTAATGATGATGGAAGGCTGGTCACATGGTTTGATGTTTGGATCCATTCAAATTTGATGTGATCCTGTGGCGGAGAAGATTTTACTGCTCTCTAGTGATTGTGCAAGCCCCCTTGACATGCTTTTTTTCTCAGTGTTTGACACTCAAGCTCATTCCCTTTACTATGTTGTACTAATCGCTCGCGTCATTTCCATCCTGCAAAGACTGATACAAAATCTCTCCCGTGTTCTTTATACTGACTTCTGTATGAACTACTCTTCAATTCAAGCTCTAATCGTACCTTCACATTGTCTTATTGTACCTTTGCACCATCATATTGTACTGTCATACCAGTCTCAAATAACACTGCACTTTTGTTACCCTCCAGAAATGATCTCTCAAGTTTACGAGCACAGCTGTTGGAATACCAGTTGTTAGAACCACGAGTGCCAATGAAGGTTCCATTCGACTGAATGATAGCGTCGAGGAGCACCGGATGCTTGGTAACAGCCACAACTTTTAGCGTCAGAATGAAAATATGACATCTAATTGGCTCACCATTTTCCATAGATCACCTCTGTCTGCTCCACTGCATAATCTACCCACATCCACCCCAACACCCTAGCATCTGACCATCACTCCGGGCCCTTTCGTCACTCATCATGATACACGTGTAGCCTCAATCCCTTTTCGTGTGCGAAGCTCTTCTTGCACCTTAGACACCCTGCGTGCAATGACAGACAATGGGGCAAAGCACTGATCCACTGGGAACTCCTTGCATTGCTGGCTGAAGTCACCGTAGTGCATGTGGATTAATATACACTAAAGTTAGATCTGTAGAGCAACCTATACCCAAAACTTTCACTCACAGGAGGAGTTGGCCTGTATGATGGGTGCTTATGTAGTAAAGGAAATCGAAGGATAATACGTGATCGTCTGGAGGAAGGGAAACCTAGTGCTGAGGAGAAGGACGATTCATTAGGATAATTCCAGGCTTTTCGAGCGAGTTTCTACAAACCCGAGTGATGCGAGAGACAAAAAGGATGCATGATTGTGGTGTATGCTAGGATATGTCAGCTCGACCCAAGCTGGGGTTCATGTCCATGAGACATCTGTGATGGCCACATGTTTAATCACCGAAGAGGGATGTTTGAAGTTATCTCACCAAATTTGAGCAGGTTCAGGGAGGGAATTCGTTGTGGTTCAGGAATCTCGATGTGCTGTTGAACGGTTTCCCAGACAGGCCAACAACCAAGATCATTGAGAAAGCATCTCCGAGCATGTGTGGCCTACTGAGTCGCTAGGTAGTAGGCCTACAAAAGGCTTGACAACTCAGGATGTCAAATCAGAAGACGGGGGGAGTATACAATAATAATTACTTACTTTGTGGTACCAGTCAGAGTCTAGACTTTGTAAGCCAAGTTGAGTTAGAACCTCGGACAAGGAAGGCATGCAGGTTTATATGTGTATGCTTGGTGAATGGGGCCAGTATAAAGGGGCCAGCACTAGACGTGGAGGAAGTGATTGAGAATTGAGAAGGCTCATAAGAGGCGGGAGACATGATTAGGCCAGTGCAAGCTCCACCTATTTACACTGTTCACCACCCAGCACACCAAAGGCAGTTACTAAGTGAGGAGGGCAGAGCTACAAGCACCATCCGATAACCATAACAGTAGATGTAAGAAATGAACGTTGAACATCAGTGACACGTAACTGGGGTGACAGAAATGATATTGGTCAGCAAGGCAATAAAGTCAGTCAAGATTTAATCGTTTTTGGTTTGCTTTTGCAGCTTGGTCATTTGTATTTCGGTCAATTTTTCAGTCGAGTCTTCAGCAACTTAATTCACTTTGAACGTCAAATAACAGCCGGTGATGGATTGAACATCAGGTACACTACTAGGAACAGCAATCAGGTACAGCGCAGAAGTAGGTTAGGGAGTGTCAGGAATCATGAGGTCCGGTAATGAATGTTTGGCCAACTCAGGTGGCGGGTCAATGGGACCTTCCAGCGAAAGAAAGGGTGCCCATAGGACACAAAAATGGTCTGCAAGCCTGCAACGGATGTTAGCCTGTCGGGCAGCATAAGCTCGCAAACCTTCGATGTCAGTGGCACAAACCCCAATGCATGCCTTTCCCTGTTCTTCCCACCATGCTTGCTGCCAGGTAAAAAATTCCAGCACCCTGCGCATCTCTTCCCTGAGTAATTCCACCTCTTCCAACCATTGCAGTGCCCTCGCATGGCTTTTGCACCACTCAATTCGCACACCTTATAGTATGTTAGTTTGCAAAATATAGACCATGACGAGTGCTTACCATCGTCATCACCATCATCACCATGATCAACACCATCCATTATCCAAATCCACAATACATGATGTCTCCCTTCACCAGTAGCATATGGGTCCATGAGGGGCTTGACGTGATCGTCTGCCAGTTCCTCCAACCTGCCCTGCCAACTGTTCTTCTTCATGATTGTAGCTAGGCTCTTGAGCACCATCCACGCTGACTGGTATCTTTTTGCGCAGGCCGTGCGCCTTCGGTGGATGCAGGCAAGGGCATTCTGAGCATGAGTATTTGCACCTTGACCACGCACCCATTCCCTTTTGAATGTCAGTAAGGAGCAGTGAATCCGTAGACACTGCCGAAGTTCTTCTAGCGCATCATGGGCCTGCACATAGCGCAATTGCCATTCATCATCTCATAGGTGTGGATTGCATGGCTTGGTTCCCAGCTGTGAAGGTAACCACAGGTGTATACATTGAGCATTCTCATGGCCTTCACATGCGGCTGCCTAATTAATAAGGCCTTGAATGGCCGGGAGGTAAAGGACCTGTGTACGTTGCCACATATTGATCCTACAACGAAGTGAGTTCCGCATCTGCATGAGACTGCCTTTCTGCGTGTCGGTAGCATGTTGACCCATCGACTCAGTGATATTGGCCAGACGATGCCTTCCAAAGTATGTCAGCTTATTTATGACCGTCAGAGGGCAATTACTTACTGTTCCTCTTCCAGGTCTATGCCAGAAGCAATGAGCATGCTAGGCGAAATTTCTGGGTGCAAAGAGGAGTCTATACCTTGCTGAAGCTCCTCAGCCTCCAGCTCCGCAAGCTTTAGCCTTACTCCTGCTTGCATTATAGCTAGACAAAATCATAATCATTAGTCCAAGGTAACTGTATAATAACAGAAAATACTCACCCATGGCTTTGGCCTTGAGTGGATTAGAGATCGACGTGTCATTTGGATTATCCTCCCAAGCTTGCATTTCTGCTAACCATGCAGAGTGATGCTCGAGAGTGATGACAGCGTCAAATTCCTCAAATGCGAGTGCATGCGCAGCCTTCTCAGCGAGAGCATCCTTCATCTTGTACAGGAGAGACGCGCCCAACCCGACAGTCTTTTTCCAATTCCAATCTCTGAAGTGGTCGTCCAGCGTGTCACAACAACAACCAGGACCCATTGCTTTCGTACTTGATGCCACGGGGTTGATATTCGACCAGCCCCTCTCCGGGGCTTCACCATCCGTCCGGCCAACAAAACGCGTGAAGTTAAATGAGAAGATCATCTGACATTTTGCAACATGTGCGGGGAGGTGGAATTTTGGTACAAAGAAGTGTATGACCTTGCTGAGATAGTCTAAGCCATGGGATTGAGGGAATGACTTCATGTGGGCCCAGAGGTTTTTGTGCCATTGGCATGCAATGTCGTATGACACATTAAGCATTTCAAGCTGCATACCACGCAAAGTTGAGAAAAATAAGTAATCCATGTTGATGTACCTGTCAAGTGCATGATAAGACATGGAATGTACGAGCAAAGCGAGAGTGTGACTTACTTCTCACCTTTCTGCAGATCCCAGACTCCATTTGGCCATTTAAAATTATGATGAGCACAGTCTACTGTCCCCACGCCTGTAGCCGTAAGCCCTTGTAACTGTTTTGTATCTGCCATATTGACAGTGTTGTGACTTGAACACATGCTTTTCTGTAAGACATTGTGAGTAGACATCAATTTATTAATCAGTATGTCACATACCTCCTGCACATCAGTAAGATGTTCAGCCAGGAAGGCCTTGTAGTCCTTCTTGTCGACAAAGTACACCCAGCCTTTCGAAAGGCTTGGGTCTGCTTGATCACTTGATATGTTCCGTCTCTTCAACCGAAAGTTCGCGTCGATTGCTAAAAATACTGCATACAACCACCTAAAGACATCAGGCTTACATTGTGATCAATTTCCGTAGTACTATGCACCATTTTGCTTTTGTAGCAGTTTGCCAGCCATCAGGTAGATTGTTCCCTGGCTGTGGACACACTGGACATAGAACTACACATTCGCCCTGCAATGTACCATCTATGCCACTGGGATCGTGACCACGTCCGAAACGTTTCAGCATTGTGAGATGCCGCCACTCACGAACCATCTGCATGAATCTGTCATAACGATCCTAAAGTAGACTATAAGAAAATGAAGGAGCATGTGTAGATATAGGCGTACTGGCATGTGTTTCACCATTCCTGTATTATCTGTCAGTCGAACAAGGGAATGATAGAACTCATAAGCCGATGCCTTCGACTCGAAAGATAGAATTTGATAGTAGTGCAAAAGTCGAAATGTTGATGCTGTCCTAGGGTCAGTCGATGTTGAAGGGAACCATCCATGGCGAAGTAGTTGTTTGATGTATCTCTCGGATGTTTCACAACCGCAGAAGTCGAGGCCTATTTCGTGTATTCTGTTTGTATCTATCAGCACGAAGTTGTCATTAAATGCCCACTGTGGGAGGATGCATGGTTGACCGATGGAATGCCCAAGTTGCACTTGGAGGCCTAATGTCTTCAAAGAAGATACCTCAAAGAATACGCTGTTCCATTTCTGCAAATAAATAAATAAATTTTGATCTTTCTCAATCAATATCACATACCTGTATGCGATGGGTGGGAGACCGGGCATGATTTGCCAGTGAGCATTTACCACAGTACAGTTGCATATCATCACAATCCTAACATCGGAATCTTGCAGAATCAGTGCAACAGCCTGGACATGTGTCCCTAGCATTTTCACCATGTCCATCCAACCGGATAATCTCTGAGAGATAGGCATCATGTTCCTTTATCCAAACAAGGAGGGGATTGTCCTGACAAGGACAGCGAGTAAGCTAAAGAAACAGCAATAGTAACGACCACTCACACCAGCTGTGCGCTTGTGTTTCTGACTTTGAGCCATTGTTCCATCTTTGCCAGCATCCATGGACATTGAAGGTTCATCAAACATCACAAAATCAAACTCGGTGCTTCTGTCCTCAGGCCCTGCAAATTGGAAAGACTGGAGTGTGGACGAAGGTGACGTGCAACAAATCAAATGGCCAGCAGACACCTGCATATTCCCATCTCGACGTCCTGAAAATATGAAGGCGGTATGGACAGTATCTTGCAACTGTGAGGTAGACGGTGGTACATAGTGATTCAGCTTGGGTCGTTTTTGATTATTGACTTGTCGAGAACTCCTAGTAGGTAGCATCTCTCAGGCAATGGGCTTGCGCATGAGAAGGTGTAATACAATGTGATACGTTTGTGTGACAGATGCTTGCAACTCATTGAACTCAGACTCATCGAACTGCAATGACTCATTGAACTCACGAACTGCAATGCAAGAACTGGTTATTTGAAGGTTTTTGGATCACCCAATATGGATGGCTCTCCTAGTACAAAAAGCCAGAGGTCAGTTCAAACTTCCAACATCAATTCTCCTCCCACTTACACCCAATGATGATCTCCACGAGCACGATAGATGCTGTGCCTGCAGCACCCATTGCTGATGGTGATGATGGTAATGGCACTGGTAAGCAATGATGTCCCCAAGCACACTCAGCTTCTTACTAGCAGGATAGATGTTGTGTCTGCGGCGCACATTGCTGACGGTAATGGTGGTAATGGCACTGGTAAGCAACAATGTCCCCAAGCGCGCCCTGCTTCTTAATGGTGTTCTACAGATAGTCTCATTGCGCTCTTGGCCCAAATGAACATCACTGGGCATTGTTACAGTCTACCATAACATCCACAGATGCCCCCGCTCTGCTAGACTCCCAATGTGGCAACATGCCGCTAGAACTTAGAACGACAGCGGTCTAGACCGCTGTGACACCGCCCCTGGCCTAGAAGGCCTTGTACCTGATTCCCAGAGGCTGTATGCCTCATGGACACCTAGACCAGTGCACGTTGCCTCATGCCGCCTCATGTAGATCCGGAGCACCAGCAGGTGCCTCATGCTTGATTGGAGGTTAAGCCTCATGTACCTTATCTGATCCTCATGGTTGACCTCATGTACTCTTATCTCTGACTCACCATGACTCGCATAGATCCTCAGATACAGACTGAGCTTGAACCCTTATGTACAGTGTATATAAGTAGACAGATTATTGTATTAGTTCTTTACTTTAATCTACTAGGTTGTATCTCAGAACTAGGTTCACCTTGAACCAGCTTGTCTAAACAACTTGCTCCTTTGAACCTCCGATTGCACTTCTAAGTCGCTCCCCATGCCTTAGCCGTATTCTCACTAGACCTTCATCTCGATGAGGCACCTACCTTACCGAGATAGATGGAGAGACCTGTCAACCTTCGATCGACTTGTAAGACACCCTCGACATCCCACCAGACACATTCACGCTTGTGTCAAGAAGACCTATCCTAGTCGTAACAGGCATCAAGCGTCTGACATGACCTCCAAGATCCACGATGTGGTCCAGAATGTGTTGGTTGCCGCTGTTTCTGCTATCAGCGCTGTTTCAACCACTTCGGCATCAGCTTCACCCATTCCAGCATCAACTCCTGTTCCAGCTATCACTGTGTCACCTGTGTTAGTGCCTGCTCCACTGGCTGTAGTGCCTCAGGTCAATGTGACCTACCATGTGCCAGTGGCTGACGCTATGGGACCCTTCTACTGGGTGACTCATGGCCGCTGCATTGGCATATTCTCTACTTGGTAAGTGATTCACATTATTTCAGAACCACAGCAGCTGATTAGGGATTCGCCAACAGGCAACAGACCTCCTCCCATGTGACCGGCATGAGCAGGGCCTCTTTTTCGAAGGTCCGCTCAGTAGCCGAAGGCATTCAGTTGATGGAAGAGGCGATTGACCGTGGTGAAACGGAGGTGTTGATGTAATGTATACCTGAAGCTTTTACATAGTAGCGAAGCGTGAATCTCAATGTGAAATATGCAATTCAAAGTGACATTAGTGCGTAAGCCTCTTGAGCCTACTCAAAATTCTGTGTAGTTCTGGTACAAGAATCCCTTGAGTAAATGAACTACTGCTAACTCAGCATCTCCATCGCTGAGCACATGACAATAGATGTCTTCCACCATAGCAATGGTGTCCCTCATGCTCCTGCACACCTGATCTGTGGCTCACCACTCATCACAAACCCCACATAGTTGAAGGATACCATCTTGTCCTCAACTAGCCCTGTCAAGGAGGTCCTCAATGCTTGACATCACATGCTTGAGAATTTCTCTATCTCCATGGCTTCCGGGAGCATCTGGGATAGACTTCACGTATTCAGCAAAGATGCCCAAGGTGAATAATTGTGGAGATTTAATATGCTGCATGAAGTCGTCCTTGGCATATTTGACCATGGCGATACAATCAGCTAATGTATCTCTAATATTTATATTAAAAACACAGCGACGATAGTAATATTTAGCACGTACATTGATTCATCGCTCACACACTCGTCGCCACCCTTATCCAAGTCATCACCCGTGTGCTTGTTGTCACTGCCGTCATCATCCTTTTGACGGTTTTTGTTGATGTGGTATTTCTCCCTCCTTTTTGCAAGAATCTCTTCACGGCACCTGCATCTGTGATCAGGGCATTGTAGGCTAAATGAAATAGATGATACTTACTTAGCATAGTACCGGGAACACTTTGCTTTCATAGCTTGAAGCTTAGCCACGTTGGTTTTGTATTTGATTGGAGGGGCCATAGGGTATGGTGAAGCAACAGTGTCGTTTGGTATGGAGAGAGAAAAAAAGAGGAAATCAAAGAGAGCTTCAGAAGCTTCGATTTGTTGGACTGTATTAATTATGAGCCTCCATTGATTCATTGGACTGTATTAATTACGAGCCTCTGTTCAAATGTTGATGGCCCATGGTGCTGAGTACTACACTGCAAATGCTGTAGATATAACTAATTGTAAGTGCGGTGCATGGCATGGATGATAATCAGCACATCTGCTCTTTGTGAGATGATGGGCACGCACCTGCTAAAGTATTGCTGCAGCGTAAGTGGAGCGTTATTGGTTGGACCTTAATCTGCGAGTCAATATTGAAGTTTCAAGTCATGTTTGGAGTGAACTGACCTTTCCAAGTCATTATTCAGTGACTTATTGTGATATGAGTAGTCCTTAATCATCACCGGAGTAGGTTGGACATATAGGTCGGACCTTAATAGCTTTGACCTGGAAAGTAGTACTACTAATCATAATCATGGTAGGACCGCAATCAGTTTCAAGTTGCATTTGTCCGGTTCAGAATGAACTATGCTTACATTTTCATGCTGAACATGCAGCAGACATGACCGAGCTACTAGTATACATCATACTTCAACCGATTCATTGCATGATGGTATGTCTGGAGGAGATATCACTGCAAACTAGTAGCATGGTAGGACCGTATTAATTGACTGTATTTCAATGTACCGATTACTAACTTTACTAATTCCTCACATAAGCAAGCACTCTCACAGGCTGACTCCGAGTCATCCATAAGTCAATGATGTTCAAACACTGGTGCTCACAGAATATTTACAGGTAAGTATTCATATGAACTAACTGCTGGTATGCACCGATGACTCACTAGGTTGAAGCACTGTTACCTTCCGGTCCAGGCCCTGCTTTGATGATCAAGTGCTTCCGAGTCTGCCGCGGCTTCGGTGGCGCTTCCTACAGCGTCTATGTCCCTCAGGTCCACCTTGTGGCTCAACATTTGTTGCTATGGGTTGGGCTGATCTTTTTCAGAACAACATTACATGTGAAGGTATGGACCATGCATATTTTCACCCAGTGGTGGTCACGACCTGGCAATTAGTACTACCAGTGATCATGATCGTGCCACGTAAGACCACAATAAGTTTTGAATTCAATTTGAATGGTGTACCCAGTGACATGCTCTAACAAGTTTTTTTCCTGGGCTGAAACTTCATCATTCGGTGAGTTTCCACTGGTTGGTGCTTCCTACAAGATCCATTTCACTCAGGTCCACCTTGTGGCTCAATATTTGTTACTATGGGCTGGGGCGATCTTTTTAAGAATAACACTATGCATGAAGGTACGGACTGCGCTCAATTTCTCCCAGCTTTTAGTGACATTAGCCTACAGCTGAGTTATCCTCCTACTGCTTACTCGCACCAGTATGTCCATGTCTGACACTCGAATACTCATGCGCGAGCAGCGCGACATGCTCAAACAGTTTTTGCCTGGGTTTAAGCTTGTTTGCTCTGGGTCTGTGGAAGAGCAGAATATGTTTTGGGAGAATGCGTTCACTCAGTGGTTCATGGCTTGGCCCGAACATGCAGTATACTACCCTGGGGTACCGCAGGAGCAGGAGCTGTCCGACTTACAACAGGCGTCACTCAAATTTGTGATTCAATGTCGTCAACGAGTATGTCTTAGATTTCCTAGTCATCATAATGTATATTGATTTGAACGACACAGCAGATCAAATCATTTATTTATGCAAACTCTATTTACAGAGAGACGCGCCTGACATCGTCCACATTGAATGACTTTTTTAAAGTCAAGAAGTCAACAAGGTTTGTTGCATGTTTTGTCCATCGCAACAATAGCACTTACAATAGCAGACAACGTTGATGAAACAATGGCGGCATATATTTGTGGATGTCGAGGTTAGAAAGTATTGTACTAGACGGTGTTGTTTTGTGGTGGCAATGAACACAATTCTTGTAGACATTGTCTGGTGCATCTGAGAAATGCGGATCTTGTCAAAATTTAGTTAGATTCAACATGTTCAAAAAGGAGTGATTGGTAAAGACGGCATTTCGGCACATGGACCAAGAAATGGGCTCTATGATATTCGAATAATGAAGACAAACATCCCTCCCCAACTTACTACCTACTGAGATTATCCCTCCCACCCCACAAGTCTAACCGCTGTATGTGCCAGGATGTTAAAACTTGTGCTCCTACTAATCTCGATGATAGATGCCTCAGAAATGGACAACCGACGAACAAGAGGAATTTCTCATCCCCTTGTATGCAGAATTTCGCGAGTGCACTGCAGAAAAGAGGACCGAGGAGTTCTGGACAAAAGTTAAAATAATGTGGTTCAAGAGATGGCCAGAGCGAAAAGTTCTATTTGGCGACTTACCAGTAGACTATGTCCTTACGCCAGACCAAGTGGAAAAATTGGCAGCTGCTGTGAAAAGTCGCGAACAGGTGAGTACTACTGTCTGCATTTAGAACATGTAAAACCACACATACCGACTCATTTTGATTAGCAACTCACCACATGGTACTGGTGGCAAAAAAATCCTTTGTGTCTGGGCCATACGAGTGGCGTCAAAGGAGTATTGAAGTTTAACACCATGTTAGCTGGTGGTATAGAACTTAAGGGGACTCATGCACCACACAAAATGGACGTCTACTCACATGAATACTATGAGGAGAAAGTCAAGGACACTGCGGACACCAAAATCAGAGTCCAGAATGTTACTGACCATGGACCAAAGCTAAATAAGCGCTGTGAGGTCACACATCATGTGTACTCTGAAGAAAGTGAAGAAGTCAAGGATAAGATCGAAAGGAAGTACCAAAAGGCAAAGGCAAAGCATGCAAAAGCGCGCTTACGCCAGAAGTCTGGCAAGCTGCCAAAAATTGACGACAAGACGAAGATTAAGTACGTACTTCCTTTGAATGTTTGGATCTTGAAGAATGAATGAAACCTGCAGAGCTATCCATGAGCTTTGTCTGATGCTTGATTGGATCCTCAAGTACCTTGCATATGCCACGGGTGGGTGGAAGTTCTCGATCCTGATGGGAGGAAACGATCCTAGTACAGGAGAGGTGTCTGTGTACAAGTAAGTAAAGTTTATTAGTAACGAAGTAAGCTTACTGATGTTGTAAAGCTATCATGTTGGTGAGCTTGAGAGTGGGGCGCAGTTTGATCAGACATACGCCAATTTTGATGCAGTGCAGGCTGCATTCCTAATGTTTGTCAAAGATGCTCTCGGTATGTTAATAGTATAAGTCTTTAAGTACATACACTCACCTTTTAACTAGTGTTTGAGTCCACAGTGCCCCAAGGCTTGGATGCTGAGGAAGGGGATGATTCATTGTTAAGCTCAGACGATGACTCCAATGAGGAGCGAGTGATGAGCACTAGTGGTGATGCGCAAGGCAGGTGTCATGTGGAAGCAGATGTTTCAATCAACACTACCAGCATGTACCGGATGACTCCTCAGTCTGAGTCATCCATTGGAAATGACTTTGGCGCCGCATCAAGTGATGCATCATTGACATCTGGTGTTCAGCTCACCAGTGATTCGCACTTTACATCATTCAATAACCACGATTTAAGTGGCGCCAACCTCTCTGTGTTTGACTACAATATGTTTACCACTGTCATCAATGACCCAAGTTTCTACATCCGGATTTTGGACTTCCCACCTCTGAATGCTTGCCATGATACTAGTGCTTATGCCGGAGTCTTTCTCCCTCTGGTTCCTTCTGTGACTTCCTTCCCAAATGTTGGAGGTTCTGGGACGCAGAACGAAGCACCGTATCCTGAAGTCTTTCTCCCTCCCGTTCCTCCTGCGACTTCCTTCCCAAATGTTGGAGGTTCTGGGACACAGAACGAAGCACTGACTTTGCTGGTCGAAGCCAGAACTAGGCCTCATCGTGGAAGTATAAATCTCAAAAATGACATCATCTTCTCAAGTAACGAGCGAAAGCCTACCAAAAATGAATGAAATAGCCGGATGGCAAGGTAAATGCCTGGAACGGTCTGCATGTAGCATAGGTAAGCAAGGTACAAACAAGGGAAGCATGGTACAGAGAGTTCTGCCAGGCACGTCCCAGCAAACAAAAGCCCCAATTTGACGCAGGAGGATGATGCATCATGATGCATCTGATGCACCACTGCTCTCTAGCATGGTTGATGCATCACCAAAATCTGCTACTTAGCCTGGTTTTATGCATCATTATGATAGTATAGCCTCTTCTGTACAGGTAGTCCATGGGTACTTATGCAGCCATCCTCCGAGACTGGCCGTGTCTCGCCATCGAGTGTCCTGGTTCCTGTTCAGAAGCTGTTCGAAGACTCCAATTAAGGCAGTGTTCTTGCTGAGCACTGAGCTCTGAGGACTCATAGTATAGAAGTCGCCAATGTATATTTGGAGGCCGCCGGCAATAGCTATCACTGTTACCGAACCTTTGAGCTTGCTGCCATGCACAGTGAGCTCAGGTATCTCACCAATGGGAGCACGCACTCATTTTGATTTGAAGACCACAGGTAAATAAATTTTTTTTAGGATTGTGTAACTAGCAGATATAATGTGAATAAATGTATCAATAAAGATGTGGAAGGAAGCGATTTTTAGCACGCTTTTAGGGAATGGTATGGGAAGACAGGAGGGCGGAGAAAATCTGGGACCCTCGCACCCTCGGACAAGCTGAGGGCACCCATCCAACCCTGTAAACCGCCACATGTAAGCACGGTGTACGTGTGGGTCTGCATAATCTACACCTTACCTGTATGGTATGAGGTGGCAGTAGATGTGGTTGGGCCCTGGGATGGTGTTAGCAAACTCTAGCATGCTGTGAGGCCTAGGTGCATGTTGAACATCAGAATAAAGAAGAGATGCAAAAGGAAACAACCACGTACTTGTGGATAACCTCTCTGATCCTCAACCAACTTCTCCCTTCATGCTGGTCGTGGTGCACACATGTCCGTGCCACATCAGCGCTCGCTGACATGTCCTAGGCTATGTGCTCCAGTTGCTGAATTGAGCAGAGATGGGAATGGACAATACACTGAGCCAGATGTTATCAGAGTCAAGCAGTGCAGATGGTTGTGTGCATGTAGTGTGGTTGAGTGGCAGAAGGTTGCTGTAGCACTGCAGTCGGTTGGAAAGCAAGCTGAGCCTGAAATACATAGATACAGTAAAAAGAACTTACTTAAACAAGGACAATGTTGAATTAAAGACTACTAGTCGTTAATGGATTTGAGCTTTAAATTTGTTAGTAGACAACAAATTCGTTATCTGAGAAAAACATACCTTTCATAATAGTAGAAGCTCCAGAATCATCATTCCTATCATGCCCATAACAGAGTCCTCAAGTGTGAAGTCCTGGTTGAGAGTGTACATAGTAACTGTACATGAGGAAGCATACAATGCATTTGAGCTGGTCAGAGTAAAAGTCCAATAAAAGTCCAACAACGTCCAACTTGAACTCACACGCACAGATTTAGTACCGTACAACTGAATTCTGCTACACCTTGCTAATCATTACTTGTGCTACTATTTGTAGTAGGATAATGCAAAGAGGCTGTTCATGGCAAAGCCCGCTATGGTCGCTTTTTCGAGTCATAATACAAATCAATTGGTGTTAGCCTACAGGTACAAGTATCCTGCAGATAAACCCTCTGAGATGAATCATGAGATGGAGGCAGGTGCTACTAGCAAATACATGCGGATGGTGAAATTGAAGTGATTTTATGTGCAGCAAAGTCATCCTGTCTTCACATGTGAGTTGCTTGAGGTACTCAATCCCTACCCTCCATCACTGCTGTACAGGCGCTGCAGCACAGAGGGCCGACTCACAGTGTCTGACAGTACCATCATTCTTGGTAGTCTGAGATATAAATCTGTAAAGTTAACAATCTTCATCTCGGGATAACATTCAGATATATTGTTCATTTCCTACCACTTTCACGCAACTTCTGATGCATGTGCAGTGCTAGGTCTCAGCACATGGGGTGACACAGATTCGGATTAAATTTTTCATTAACTCAGAACGGCTGATGATGTGTGTCAACTTACGCTTAGCAGAAGTCAACACTCTAGGAGATCAGGCATGCACGTTCGAGGTGATTCGTGCTGAACGCACAGAACACTGTGATCAAAGTTTTGAATGACACACAGCTGTTTGTCAGCGGGGTAACAGTCAGCCACATCACAAAGGACTTCTTGATGGCAGGCACAAGACTGCACAAAAGCATCGAAGATCCCAGGCTGAGATCTATCCTATTGCCGCATCTGTAAGAGAAGGGAGCTGGCTCAGTGCCAACGGATGGTGAACTGGAAAATGACCATGTAAGGCATTCAACCCCCTGTAGAATGATTCTCGCACAGGATATATCCAGTTGGACAGTGGATGATAACACAAGAATATGTATCAGACTTTTTGGATTACAGTCCAGTTAGGATATATCTATATAACAGTATTGGCTGAATATACATACATCAATACAATTCTGAGTGGAGTTGGAGTAGCGTGTCGAAACCCAGGCAGCTGATATCAAGTGTAAACGAAAGCAACTTATCATCTGTGTGAGCAAAAAGAATGATCATGATTCATAAAGCCCAGATGGCCGATGACACCGTGACATTGAATAGGTTATCACAGCACGGGGTGATCAGTCACCTGGACAAAAAAACAGATAGTGAAGGACTTAGAAAGGGAAAGTAGCACGTCTATGATCAGGTAAGAAAAAAACTCACTGTGATGTGTCCAAACACAAAGAAAGGCGGGAAAAAGTGGCATTCAGAGTAGTAGCATAATGTTCTTGAGCGAGAGGAAGACTGTGTCTGGAGGATCTGTCAAAGAAACAACACTTTAGTCTCATATATGTATATAACAGTAGCAGACCATTGAAATACGAGAATCGTTCCTTCTTGTTTCGATGGCATACCGGTAGTGCCTGTCCGTTGAACTTCACGCACAGGTCAATTATTGTCTGCCAAGTCCGATGCGAGTGAGGTAACAAGACAGAATGGTACAAGTGGGAGTTCCGGAACGGCAGCTGATGCTTAGCGCAAATATTCCGGCAAACACCGAAGGTAGCACCAACCCACTTCAACGTTGGCTGCGAACACACGGAAATCCCACATCTTTCGTATTATGTTTGGTGCGCTGATGCAAACTCTTGTTTTATTGATTCATTGTGCCCAGTATCGTGTATGTCTTCAGCCTCCTACCTCAAAACGGTCGGTTCTTTCTCTGGACCATGGGCATAACCAGCAGTGCTTTACTGAACACAGCCACCGGGTGACCAACGTGCTTCAGCAAACAAGTCTCCGTGCGCCTGCAACCGCAGCGAAATGGCCCTGCCATGTCACACAGTCACCTATCTTATCACTACTCTATTTCCTCGCCCCCGACTGTCTATTCGATGGGTCGATCGAGCTGTGATTTGCGATTCGTTGTCACAAACCGTTTGTTTGCAAAGCACCGCGACTATTTTTTGCTTATAACAACAACACATCCCACATCCATCAAAGCACCTTCGAACTTCGACCCCTCGTTTCCGTTTCTCTGTCGAAAGCCCTAATTCGTTGCCGTAATTTGGTGTTACCACAGGTAACTATATTATGACTTTCATGTATTTAACACTGGATGGACCTAAACGGGAACGAGGGATCCCACTCTTACAGGATAGATGTTTACTGAAACACAATGCCATCGATATGAGCCTGTACAATCAGAAATCAGCGCTTAGCCTTCTAGCGTGTTGCAGCTTTATTGTCTCCCGTGTGCAATTTCCCCCGATGGTGTCGGATAAGTATTTAACTTCTATCAATCACGAATGAGGATGTATCTGGCAGTATAATACATCTGCATCACCATGACATCAAGTGCGCTTTGTACCGAATTCGCTCTATGCTTACCATCACTTTGTTCATCGTTTTGATAAAATCGTGATAGCCCAATTATTCAAGCGTACCAGGCGACGCATGAGGTGAGATATATTCGACCCGCTCTATCATGATTTCTTGTCTGAGTTCCGCAGAATGCCACTTGTTCCATAAGAGCACTGTTGCGCCTTGGGCTCAGCCAGCGATGCCGAAGAGTGCGTAAATACTTATTTCACACACATCACACTTCAACCTGTGTTAGATCGATGCTACGTGATTTCATAGGGAACTTCTTTATTTTTGCAATCTTGCACTAAAAAGTCGGGTTTCAAATAAGTTTCCGACATCACGAACGACTAGAACTTTCCTGGTGTCCAAGTAGTCCCGTGCGTAATTCCCCACTCGCTCACACCCATCCCTCGAATATGACCTACGTGTCAAATGATCCCAGTTACTGGCCGTATATCGGTTTGGATATATTTTAAAATTATTGGATGGGTTTGTCAGATTAAGATGTCTGGATCAAACGTTGACTTTGCGATTTTGAAGTTGCTGCTGGCATTGTGGTGGTATATGATTGGGGTCAGCAGGCCAGTATTCGAAAATCGCTGATATTCTCATGATATTTCCAGTCTTAACACTCGGACAAGAGGTACGTCGATGTTATCGCCTCAGCAGCTATCTCGCTAAGAATGGCGTCTTAGATTGAACTCATATGGGTGAGTCACAAGGGTCCCGTATCAAAAGACAACAAGAGCATGCACTGAATTCGCAGCAGAGACAACGCTGGTCTCTCATGACTGTGCTGTACTTGATTGTTAGTACCTCGTGTTGTGCTTCAGCGTGGCGGGTAACTTATGCTGACTTCAAAATATTCTAGATACGCTATATTGGAATAATGTATCCTGTGTATGTGTCGAGATCAACAACTTTGCACTGTGCTAATAGCTCATCTCTGACAATTAGTGTCAATCTTCTGCGTATGTCTCATATGCAATGTATTTTATTTTTCTGATCGGCGAGACACAGAAACTATGACATCGGTATCGCTGACAGATGCAGTAAGTATTTTACAACCATTTCATTCCCATTCAATCAATACGCTCATATGTAGGGGTGAGTGAGATTCCAAGCATTGAACTTGGCTCAACATAACGACTCAATAGGTGTAAGTCAGCGTCTTTGATACTAGTGCGATGGCGTTTACTAATTGCCAGTTTCAGGCGCTACCATGTACTACGCAACAGATGGGACAATTGTGGCCTTGACTGCCATGTTGGGCGGTAAGTGACCCAGGTGCAATACCTCTGTGATATGGACCTGACTGACACACGATGCAAGTCATCATGATTGCTCGGTTGCATGCCATGTATCAGGGATCCAGAAAGATGCTTGTCTTCCTTGTTATTATCTTCCTGGCTGTAAACATCACATGCGGAGTAATCGCGGCAATAGGACTAAACGATACTGTAGCAGGTAAGCTTTACTTGTCGACTTGAAGAACACGGCTCATTGGACAAACACCAGATGAGTCGATACTCTCTGGCACATATATGTGCTATTTTGTACATGGAGGGAACGACCAGCTTCTGTATTCAATGGTTTGGATCCTCAACACTGTTTGGGAGGTCCTCGCACTGTGTCTTTCAGTTTGGGTTGCTGTGAAACACTTCCGTGAGCTGCGACGACTCGGCCCATCGACAGGATCGACCATCGGGGACTGTTTCAGAGTGCTGATACAATCTCATGTTCTGTATTTTGCAAGGTGAGCTTGTAATGTGAACGCGGTTGAATTTTTCCGCTCAAGTTCCGCACACGTTAGCTTTGTTAGTGTCTCTTGCCTCCAGCTTGTTAATATCTCTCCAGAAATCTGGGTGCGCTGACCTCTTGCTGATATCTGCGTGTAACCACTGTTGATTAGTTCTATAGAATTCGAATTCTATTGGACCTCAGATACTCTATGGTGCTCTTTTGATTTTATCCGTCGTGCAGATGTTTGTGCTAGGACCACGCCTCGTCCTTAGCGTTCGAGAATACCACGCTAAACTCATGGCATACTCCGATGCAGAAACTAGCCTGAATTCGATTGTTTTCCAGGAGCATGTACATGTATCAACTAGCAGTACTGTGTAGGGAAATGCTTGCTGGGTGGTCTGCAGGGAGGAGAAATTTGGTCGAGGATCCGTCGTGGTGACCATGCAATAAAGGTGGGTGCCGGTGACGGTGATATATTTATATTTATATATTGCAAGCAAGATGAGAATAAAGTTCCGGAGAGCGGCTATTCCTGCATGTACTATCAATGGAGACGCGAGGTGCATCGATGGCGGGATTATGATACGTGTTCGATTATGGACAACCGGCGTGATGGTTAAAGCCCCGCACCAAATAGAACCACGAATAGATGCCGGGCTAGATAAGGCATGGATGAAGATACGAATCCTGGAAGACGCACAAATACTAGGACTACGACGACAACGAAAGTATGTCATCGGGAATCAAATCCCCGATTTTGTTAGCATTACAAGTTTTTCTTATTCATCTAGATCGAGGGAATTGATGAGTCTCCGGTTCAAGCCGTGCCTAGCTAGGAGGCCTTAGAGTGGCTGACTTCCTCGCTGATGGCCCTTCTCCACGAGGTCTACCTTCGATAACACTTATGAGTCGAGCCCTTTCTGCTAAATAAATGTAGGATCGAAGACTTTTGAAGGTCGATTTTACATAATTAACCTATCTTTGGCTTACATGGATAGTTCATCCAGGTTTTCCGTCGACCAATGGCTACGAGAGATATCAAGCAACGACTACGACAATCTGGATGTTGAAGATACATTGATCGCAATCACTCTGGAGTGCGTCCCACCTGGCGACTCCCAGCACGCCGCCCAAACCATGCAGGATAGCCGAGCCCCATCCTATCATCCATCTGGGGCGCAGAGAAGTAGTAACGAATCGTATGTGAAGAGTGGATGTAAGATCGGCGAGTCATCGGATCGTCTGATATAGTCAACGATGATTGTTTGTATCAAGTAAAAAACGGCACCTTTGAACCTCGACCCTTCGAGAAGTTTCTTTCAACCCTCGTTTCCGTTTCTCCGTCGATAGCAATTCTGAAGCCTTGATTCGTCGCTGTAATTTGGTGTCGCCACAGGTAACTATATCATAGCTTTCATGTATTTGATACTGATCTGTGCCGACACAGGACGGACCTAAACAGGAACGACGGGTCTCACTCTTACAGGATAGATGGTTACTGAAACACGATGCTATCGATATGAGCCTGTACAGTCACAAATCAGCCTTCTGGCGTGTTGCAGCTTTATTGTCTCCCTTGTGCAATTTCCCCCGATGGTGTCGTATAAGTATCCAACATCTATCAATCACGAATCAGGATGTATCTGGCAGTACAATACATCTGCGTCACCATGATATCAAGTGCGCTTGTGTCGAATTCGCTCTATGCTTACCATCTCTTTGTTCATCGTTTTGATAAAATCATGATAGCCCAATTATTCGAGCGTACCAGGCGACGGACGAAGTGAGATATTCGACCCACTCTGCTACGGTTTCTTGTCCGAGTTCCGCAGAATGACACTTGTTCCATAAGAGTACTCGTAGGGCTGTTACGCCTTGGGCTCAGCCAGCGATACTGAAGAGTACGTAAATACTTGTTTCACGTATATCACAGTTCGACCTGTGTTAGACCGATGACTACATGATTTCATAGGGAACTTCTTGATTTTTGCAACCTTGCAGCAAAAACACGCGTTTCAAACAAGTTGCCAACGACTGGAACTTTCCTGGTGTCCAAGTAGTCCCGTGCGTAATACTGATTTGAAAATCAAAATCTATCTTGATTGACAGGTTCTTGTTTGACTTTTATATCTTGCACGAACTCTGTCATTATACACCACTAAACTTCCCCACTCGCTCACACCCGTCCCTCGAACATGACCTACGTCTCAAATGATCCCAGTTACTGGCTGACTATCATTTTGAATATATTTTTCAGCTATTGGGAAGGTTTGTCCCATCAGGATGTCTAGATCTAACGTTGACATGCAGTTTCACAGTTGCCGCGTGCGTCGTGGTGGTATACGATTGGGGTGAGCAGGACAGTGTTCGAAAATCGCTGGTATTCTCATGTTGTTTCCAGTCTTAACACTCGGACAAGAGGTACGTCGATATTACCGCCGCCGCCGCCATCTCACCAAGAATGGTGTCATAGATTGAACTCATATGGGTGAGTCACAAGAGTCCCGTATCAGAAGAAAACAAGAGCATGCAATGAATTCGCGACAGAGACAACGCTGGTCTCTCATGACCGTGCTGTATTTGATTGTTCGTACCTCGTGTTGTGCTTTAGCGTGGTGGGCAACTTGTGCTGACTCCGAAATGCTTTAGATACGCTATATTGGAATAACGTATCCTGTGTATGTATCGAGATCAACAACTTTGCACTGTGCTGATAGTTCATCTCTGACAATTAGTGTCAATCTTCTGAGTATGTCTCATATGCGCTGTATTTCATTTTCTGACCGGCGAGACACAGCAGATATGACATCGGTATCACTGACAGATGCAGTAAGTATTCTGCAACCATCTCATTCCCATCCAATCAATACGCTCATATGTAGGGGTGAGTGAGATTCCAAGCATTGAACTCGGCTCAACATAATGACTCGATAGGTGTAAGTCGGAGTCTTTGATACTAGTTCGAGGGCGTTTACTAATTGCGAGTTTTAGGCGCTGCCGTGTACTACGCAACAGATGAGACAATTGTGGCTTTGAATGCCATGTTGGGCGGTAAGTGACCCAGGTGCAATACCTCTGTGATATTGACCTGACTGACACGACGCAAGTGATCATGATTGCTCGGTTGCATGCCATGTATCAGGGATCTAGAACGATGCTTGTCTTCCTTGTTATTATCTTCCTGGCTGTAAACATTACATGCGGAGTAATGTCGACAATGGGACTAAACGACACTGTAGCAGGTAAGCTTTACTTGTCGACTTGAAGAACACGGCTCATTGGACAAACACCAGATGAGTGGATACTCTCTGGCACATATATGTGCTATTATGCATATGGAGGGAACGTGCACCTTCTGTTTTCGATGTTTTGGATGCTCAACACTGTTTGGGAGGTCCTCGCACTGTGCCTTTCAGTCTGGGTTGCTGTGAAACACTTCCGCGAGCTGCGACGACTCGGCCCATCGACAGGATCGACCATCGGGGACTGTTTCAGAGTGCTGATACAATCTCATGTTCTTTATTTTGCAAGGTGAGCTTGTAATGTGAATGCGGTTGTATTTTTCTGCTCAAATTCCACACATGTTAGCTTTGTTGGTGTCTCTTGCCTCCAGCTTGCTTCTCTCTCTCCAGAAATCTTGGTGCGCTGACCTGTTGCTGACCTCTGCATGTAACCACTGCTCATCATTTCTGTAGAATTCGAGCTCTATTGGAGTTTCGATACTCAGTGGTGCTATTCAAATTTTATCGGTCGTGCAGATGTTTGTGCTAGGACCACGCCTCATCCTGAGCGTTCGAGAATACCATGCCAAACTGGTGGCATACTCGGACGCAGAAACTAGCATGAATTCGATTGTTTTCCAGGAGCATGTACATGTATCGACTAGCAGTACTGTGTAGGGAAATGCTTGTCAGGTGGTCTGCAGGGAGGTGGAAATTTGGTGAAGGATCCGTCGTAGTATTTAAGGGTTTCGAAGTATATTTGCAAGGTCTAGCCTAGGCGAACCTATTTATTGTTGTAACACTACTGGAACGAAGCACCCGCGCCTGAACTCAGGGGTACGGTGAAATTATATGGAACGTCTAGCAACCAACCTGGTCCTTGATGGCCGATGTTAAAACACAACGAGAATCGGTGCAAGTGCCTTGACAGCTGATTCTGCACGTTGGTGTTCCACTGTCTGGATATAGATACTTCGAATCGTGAAGCCAGATGGCTGATAAACTCATTGGTACTCAAATGCAAAAAGTTTCCTCCATCTGATGGGCCACGGAGAATGAAATGAAATGAATCACGTAGACTCGTGGCTCGACTGTACGTCTCTCTCGCGGATGAGCATGGAAGGATATGGGGCCTGCTGAGTGATGAGTATGATGAGTGGAGAATAAGAAGATGTCAGAAGGCCCCAGGCGTACCTATAAAACTACTGATGAGGCATCGACTGTGATGTTCTGTTGGAGCCCTCACTAGCACGACCATCAGAGTAAAGCACCAAGCGAGATACAGACATGCATACATACCCCCATTGACATGGATCACAGTCCTAGCGCAAGCAAACGATCACTTGAAAGAAGTATCTGATAGAGAAACGGGGAAATTCGAAGATATTTTGCAGGGACGTTGAAGGGTAGCGTGATGTCTCGCACGTGAGCTGTTGCAGCGACCAATAAGGGTGGGTGCCGGTGACCGGTGATATATCTATATATTGCACGTAGGATTTCCGGAGAGCGGCTATTCCTGTAGGTACTATCGATAGAGACGCGAGGTGCATCGATGGCGGGATTAGGATACGTGTTCGATTACGGACAACCGGCGTGATGGTTAAAGCCCCGCACCAAATAGAACCACGAATAGATGCCGGGCTAGATAAGGCATGTATGAAGATACGAATCCTGGAAGACGCACATTAGGACGACGACACGAACGACAACGAAAGTATGTCATCGGGAATCAGATCGCCGATTTTGTTAGCATCCCAAGTTTTTCCTATTCATCTAGATTGAGGGAAATGATGAGTTAAACCTTGTTAGAACCTACATGTCTCCGGTTCAAGGCGTGCCTAGTTGGGAGGCCTTAGAGTGGCTGACCTCCTCACTGATGGCCCTTCTCCACGAGGTCTACCTTCGATAACACTTATGAGTCGAGCCCTTTCTGCTAAATGAATGTAGGATCGCGGATATGAGCGGAACGGACCTAAGACTTTTGAAGGTCAATTTTACATAATCAAACTTACACGGGTAGTTCATCCAAGTTTTCCGTTGACCAATGGCTACGAGAGATATTGAGCGATGACTAGAGCGATAACGACAATCTGAATGTTGAAGATACATTGATCGCGAGTGCGTCCCACCTAACGACTCCCGAGAACGCCGCCCAAACCATGCAGGATCGCCAAGCCCCATCCCATCATCCATCTGGGCCGCAGAGAAGTAGTAACGGATTGTGCGTGAAGAGTGGATGTAGATCGGCGAGTCATTGGATCGTCTGATATCCAGATCAGTTGAATGTCGCTACTGGCATGAACCCACGCATCACTGAAATAGAGTCAACGATGATTGTTTGTATCGATGACGACCTAAGAACTGACCATTTTGTGAGTGATTTGGAAGACCAGATGGCCGATGACACCATGACGTTAAGGTAGTCACCTGGACGAAGTACTTAGACAGCTAGATAGCTGTGTTGAGGAGCGAGCACACAAGGCTGGGTCCTGGACGAAAGCCAAGGGACAACAAGCGGGTTTGAGTCGGGGGAAGGTCACCTCAGTGACTGGGATGAGCTCGTTAAATAAAGGGACAAGATCGCTACGAGATCGGAAATATCGTAAAGCGCTATGAAGATTCCGGCGATATGGCCGATGTGTGACGAATCGAGAAATTCCCGAACGTACGACGAGCGGGAATCTTTATCGGGAATCGGATCGCCGATTTTGTCTGGTAAAAACAAGTTTTTTTTTATTTGAATTTATCTAGATTGAGCGAATTCTCAGCGAACGACGTTGTTCATTTTGTGCTCACTACGTACTCACATCCGTGCTCATCGTGCTCATCATCGAGCTCATCGTCGGGCTCGTTGGCTGTTGGAACGTGTTTTTGGTGAGGCTAGATCCGAGATAGTCCACGTGTTTTGTATTGATTCTCCGCTTTTGTTAGTAAAAACGCAGGGAACGCCCTTCACCCCAGCTGCCTCCTCGTCTTCTCGTTCAAAGTTTCAATTGTCAACGACGTTTGTACGGCTGGCAACGGTTTTATATTTTGTTTTTTTTTCAGGTCAAATATTAGATCGGGTATCTGGTCTCAGATCGGAGATCTATGGCCTCGCCAGCTCGTCGTGCAAGACCTCAAGTAACGGCAGAAGTTCAAGTCAGACTACCACCAATAAAATCATTACAACTAGCACACACAACAACAGAACAAGATACTGTATACCCAACTCCACTAAGCGCTGCCTGGCCACCAAATCAGCAATTCGCTCGTACAACTCCCCTAGTACCAACAACACTAGATCCAACAGCCTATCCAACTCCAATCTCTGCACGTCCTCACAGAACTTCATATCAGCAATTTCAAAACTCTTCCTTCCACTACGTACCACCAACAACTGCAGAAAGTACAACAAGCACAACAAGTTCAACCAGAAATTTCATAGACGACAAGACTCTCCCATTCGCTCACGACAGAACAACATCCTACCCCCGTTATCCACACCCACCACGTGACCCACAACAACCAGACGATCGAAGCGTGTACACTCCAGCAGAAGCACGCGCCACCTATAGCCCATACACACAAGACGCACGTCCTTATCCACAGGACCCGCGCTACACCCAAGACCATCCACGCCCACCCTATACCACAACTCCCGACCCTAGATACGACGCACGTGCAACCTACCCAGCACAAGATACGAGGACATACCCAGACCCCCGCTATCCAGATCCCCAGAGGGCCTATCCAGCTGATCAACGGGGCTATCAGACAAGCCCCGAAATCGAGAGGGCCTATCAGGATCCGCGCTATCCCCCTCAGGATGGCCGTCCAACCTATGATGCGCATGGCCGTCCCTATCCTCAAGAATCAAGGGCCTATCCACCTCCGCCGCAGCCAGGTCCACCGCAGTCCCAAACGCAGGACACGCGATACACCCCCACCCAAGAGACCCGAAATACATACCCTCCACCCACGCCTGCCTATCCCCCAGCGCAGGATACCAGACCGTATGCACCGCCTCCCCCTGTAGAACGTACTTATTCGCAGACGGAGGTGAGAGGGTATCCGGGGGAAAGGCAGCAACAGCAATTGGGTTATTCGCATGATGCGCAACAAGGAAGGGTAGATCAACGTTCGTCGGTGCTGGAATCACAGCCACAATCACAGCCGCCTCACTCTCATTCACAACCTCAACCTTCACGCGAACACCGCGGAACAACTTCCAATGATCGTAATTTAGGTGTGGTCGAGCCACGTGCGGTGGAAGTCAGGCCTACTTTATTACAGAGGCAGTCGGTGAGCGATGCGAGACCTGTGGCTGTGGAGACTAGGAGTGGGTTGGAGACGCAAGTGAGGGGTGTGGGCATGGAGACGCAGCCGAGGAGTGTGGGTATGGAGACACAGAGGCCACCGGCGTTCGAGTCACAGAGACCACCAGCGTTCGAGTCGCAGGTCAGGGGAGCAGGGGTAGAGACGCAGACACAGACGCAAGGCAGACAGGCAGTGTTTGAGCCTCAGCCGAGGCAGACGAATTTAGAGACGCAGACACGTCCACCAGTATTCGAGACGCAGGCAAGACCTGCGGCTTTCGAGTCTCAGCCAAGACCGACGTTTGAGCCTCAGAGGCAGACAATGATCGAGTCACAGCCAAGATCGACGTTTGAGTCTCAATCAAGATCTACGGTTCTCGAGTCGCAAGTGAGACCTACGCCATTCGAGCCTCAGCAAAGATCTGCGGTACTCGAATCACAGCCAAGACCGCCTATGATGTTGGAAGGTCCAGCGAGATCCACGGGCTTTATTTCGCAGTCTCAGTCTCAAGGATCTCAAAGGGTTGCAGGAGGTGATAGGATGAGCAAGGACGATGTCATTCGAGAGGTGAGTCTTATCTTTCCTTTGGTCTGTTTGTGTTGCGTTTGATCATGGGGGATGAGTATGGACGCGATGCTGACGTTGGTTCTTTAGATCGTTCAGCATTGTACGGCGTTATATAAATTTGCAGATCATTATTGTGAGTTTCCCGTCTCGTCTCCTTTAATTCTTTTGTACCCTTCCCCACTCCAATCCCAACACTAACCCCCTCCACAGCCACCCTCCAATCCTCCAACCCACATCTCCAACCGCCCGCGGAAGAACTCGCAGAAATGACAGCCCGTGCAGGAGAAGTTGTTCGTCTTCTCGAAGCACTCCGAAACGACATACCCATCTTCCAATCCTCCCTCCTCTCCGCATCTGCATTCACTTCCCCACCCGGACCCCACGCACTCGTCTCAGTGCACCCCCACGCTTTAGAAGCAGCTGTCAAAGGACACATAAACTCAAGCTCCAGTCTAGGAATGGGCATAATGGATATAGATGCGCCCGATCGGGCGCCGAAGCGGCCTTGGGAGGATGTAGAAGGTATGCTACCTCCTGGATCTGGGCCTGGTATCGCCCCGTCTTCATCGGCAGGGCATGTTCCTGTTCCTCTCGCATCTCCATCGGGGTTAGGAACTGCGCAGATTCCTGGAACGGGTACGGGTTTGGGTGGGGTACAGGATCAAGACCGATCGATGGCTGAAGCAGATATGGAACTCATAAGGACCAAGAGAGCGCTGACGACTATGGCGGCCGCTGCTGCGCTGGGTGGGAATGGCGGTGGAGGGAGTGGAGGGAAGAATAAGTATCGGAAGCGGAGTGTGAGTCGTTTTATGTTTTTTACTTGGACGGTATTAGGTGCTGACTGTGTGTGGTACGGTGGATAGCGCGCGACACCTCCTGGAAAATGCCATTCCTGCAATATTCGGGAGACGCCAGAGTGGAGACGGGGACCGGATGGTGCAAGGACGTTGTGTAATGCTTGTGGGTTGCGTATGTGACTTTTTCTTTTGTGGGATTGGTTGTTGATGGCTCTCTTTCGATGTGTTTTTTTGGACATGTGTATTCTAACCCGCCTTGGACCCACTTCAACAACCCATCCGCGCTCGCAGACTACGCGAAGCTCGTGCGTAAGCGCGAGAAAGCCTTTGCAAACGGGGAGACGCCATCAATCCAGCGCATCGACATGGAGATGCTACGTGCAAGTGCGCGAGCTGCTGATGCCGACAAGGGTGCGCGCGCCGCATTAGGAGGCGGATCTGCGGGTGGAGCCGTCATGAATTCAGTTGGTGGAAACGGACATGGCAGTGGCAGCGGAAGTGGGGGTGGGAATGGTAACGGCGGAGGAGACGACAAGATGAATTTAGGGATCCATCAAGGCTCGTTCCAGATCAACACGGACGCCGGCGATGCGATGCAGGATCAAGATCCTAATATGAATTCGCAGTCGAGCGCAGGGGGGACGTATACGCGTCCTCCACGCCCTGCGCACTCGAAGCGTCCGTCGTCGACTCGGGTGATGCAGTCCCCTGGGGTTATGGGGGGGCAACATCCGTCTGCGGGCGTTTCGCATCATCCGTCTGGGCAGACGCCATCCATGTCTCATCATACGACACCGTCTGTGCAGCACCACCAAGCGCCTTCTACGCACCACCAAACGCCGTCTGCTCACCATCAGACGCCATCTGCGCACCATCAGACGCCGTCTGCGCACCACCAAACGCCGTCTGTGCAACACCATCAAACGCCATCCATATCCCATCACACGACTCCTGTGACTCATCAAAGTGGTAATTCGTCATCAGGATCTACATCGCGTCATCCACCTGCTGCGTCGCATACGCCTGTAGCACCGCCTGCCTCTCAACAGAATCAAGGGCATCATCAGCCGACGGCGCAAGGACATCATCAATCTGGGTCGGCGCAAGGCCACCATCAATCTACTACGCAGGGGCATCACCAATCCACAGCGCAGGGCCATCATCAATCTGGGTCGGCGCAAGGACATCATCAATCTACGTCCGCGCAAGGACACCACCAAGCGTCTGTACACCACCCTCCGTCTCGACTCGTACCACCGCCTACGCCGCCTTGGTACCTGCCCGCTGCTAATCAGTCACATTCGATGCTGAGGCAGTGATGTTTGGAGAGTTGATAATTTTAGGACTATCGTTACCCACAATAGGGAAGGGGTACGATGATAATGCATGGTTGGCTGAGAGGCTATACCTAATCGTGCTGGTTATGATGATATCACATTGGGGGGGTTATACCCATTGATGGTGATCTCACGAGGTTTGTACTGATCACATCGGTTTTTCAATTTCCTTTGCATATCTCACCAAGTTGTTTTCCTTGTTGTTCTTTGTATTACGCATCGCACTGTCCATCTCAGCTGACTTCTTTCAAGACTTTGCTTCGTTAATGTTCCAAATGTGCTCTTGTAATTCATCTTATCTTTTGCATCTTCCATCACCCCTGCACCCCTGTTTTGTTCTATATGTATATCACATATAATGATTTGGTTCAGTAATGAACTTGTAATTTTTTTCTTGGCTGTTGCCCAGATACGACGATTTTCTTTCTGATGATGATAGTTTTTTTTTTGAATCGTAGTGCATAGTGTACGTATATATATCAAAGTAGTATTCCTACTTACGAAGTCAAGATCTAAGAAGTCTTGGAAGCACTTGGGAATGAGATGGATCTAGATTGATCGGGGTGGAAGCTGAAGTAGAAAACATAAATCTCGATCGATTGAAGGGCGTCAACATGTCATTCTCGAAAACGTGGCATCTAATCGATCTTGGAGATCCTTATCGTTCTTTTATCAGATCTTGTCTTTGTATTTGGGACAATTTGGTGGCTGCTTGTTTGATCTGGTTTATGAGCCTATCTGTGCGTGGATATCTTTAGGCTGGATGATCACTGCGGTATTGCTCACTATCAAGTGAATTGTCCCAGGCTGGAGAACTTGTCGGAAAAGTGATCTTGTTAGCAGCTCTTACCGGCTTCGACCTAGATATGATCTGGTGGCTTCTAAGGAGTCTGGACCTCGATGTTAAGCGCTAGGCCTCTTCTTTTTAAAACCGAGAAGCTCGGACGGTCACAGTACAGAAACATTCCCACGCATCTTCCCTCTCTAGGACACGGCACTTGGTACAAATCATGTTCAACTTGAACGAATCAAAACGCTAGTTGAATCGTCGTTAATCATCGATGCATCAACTAGTGTCCATCTGCATACACTGGCCCTGGATCTAGTGCTGCATTCACTTCACCATATTTATAGTGCTTGTGCTGTGTTCGGACTACCCGAGAATGTAGTGTGTATCTTGTGTCTGTTTTGTATTGCTTCTCTAATGTTAGTTTTCAGATGCAGTGTCATGCCTCGGTTGCACCTTGTCAAGTCCAATGTGACCTCTGTACTTTAGTTCATGACAAGTTCTCCCTGACATCTGCGCAGTCCATGTACTAATGTCAACTTCTACACTTACCTAAACCGCGTCAATGCATTGTGAATGCCACGTCACGGCCGCGTCAAGCCTCTTTCATGCCATGTCAAATCTCAGATCTCAGCACTCCAACTGCCACACCTACGCCTTGTCAGTGTCGTGTCACTCCCACATGCCGCATCAAACTTTACCCTACGCGTCAGTACTTCGACTGTCCGTCACAGCACAACCACAGAACCACTACTCAAGGGAAATATTACCTGCTCTGTTCTTGAGTGATTGACAGCGTGGCCCTTTATTCGACGATACCACATTTTCAGAGTTTGCAGACGAATTGGCGCTCCTTCGCTACTGACTAGAGAAATTGCACCTATGAAACGTTGCCCTTTTCTGCCGTGTATGTGAGTGCGCCCATTAGACGTCGACATGCTTCGCAGAGGATTCGGAGAGGGATGCAAAGAAAATAATCATTGGCCGATGCCAGTGTAGCTAGTGGTATGTGTCCCTACGATGAATAAAATAACGAAGGAACGGTCATGAACGTTTGAACGTTTGAACCCGTGCAACTTGCATCCGAGACTGGGAGTCAAATGTATAATATATTCTGGCGCGCGAGTACTTCAGCGGCACGTCACATGCACGTCACGCCGGGTTACCAAAATACATAGTACGCCCCTGACTCCTCTCAGCCTCTGACTCTGACCAACAAGCACCCTCAGGCTCGTGCACATCATACGTCGCAACACATCGCGCCCTGTCAGCTTCAGCTAGTTATAGGTAACTCTGCTTTCATTCCCATATGATGAATCATTTTGACGATGACCAGATTTCCATTGAACACCGATCGGTTTCACTTCGAGCTCACAGTTGAAGCACGCCCTATCAGACCTGTCACTAGGAGTACGAGGTATCTTCGCCAGAAAGCTGACCAAAACGAAGGTCGCCATAATGAACCTGCACGAGGAGCTTGTATTCGATCTGTGCCGCTTGCCAACTGAAGTCCTATGTCATATTTTTATCCACTGTCTTCCCCAAACCGGCTACACGTTGCCCAACTCAAAATCACCTCCTATCTTGCTCACCAGAATATGCCGACACTGGAGAGAGGTCGCGGCGGACATGCCCTCCTTGTGGTGCAGACTGTCCATGAATATCGACCATGCTGATAGTAGGAACTGGCGACAAGCAGTCTTCGGCTATGACTTGTGGCTCAAGCGCACACAAGGACGCCCCCTCTCCTTAGAAATCATGTGCATCGAAAATGACACCACCAACCTACGAAACCTTTTGCAACCTTACATCTCTCAGATCCTCTCTCTCAAAGTCACGTTTGACAGGGCTGTCACACCCGAAATCTTACTAAATGACCTCCCGGCACTTCAGAAGCTTCAAGTCGTCATATATTGCGGTTTTAAAGATCGTGATACACTATCACGTATTTTGACATCCATCTCGCGACTCTTCACTCTGCGCAGTCTGAATCAACGCGCCGGATGATTGCCACGGCATTAAGTGCCTATTCCACCTCAACTTGACAAGTATCGACCTGTTTGCAAGCTCCCCAGCCAACATCGTAAACTTACTCCAAAATTTTCCCACCCTCTCCTCGTTGAAAATCCAGGTGCTCATCGACGACGGCCTACCCTGCGAACCGTTTACCCACTCCACCATCCAATTACTCTCCATCCAAATCATTGTACGCGGTCTCCTTCATCCAGAAGTACCATTGGTTTGTTTGTTCGATGCACTCACGCTTCCCAATCTGCGCGTGCTTCGTGTTCAAGGTAGATCCTGGCCTTGTGTTGAAGATTTAATTTCGCATTATAGGCATGTCGTCAGGTAGATAAACACCTGCCAGATGTCAAGCTGTGCCTCCGTGTTTGTCATGCCGACATGCCCACGCGTATGTTGTTTTCTTTGTTCGAGTCCAAGTCACCAATATCTGGTGTGTGAACACCATTGACCTTCTTGTGGACTTTCATAACAGGGTGTTTGATGAGCTTTTGAGTTGTTGACCCCTTGGATTTTGACATTGTGCAAAGTGGAAAAGAGTTACACTACCAGTAATCCCCTAAATCACAATATTGTATTGCAGCTCTGTTACGTAACGAGGCACGAGCGAAGGAACAGAGTTTAGTCTTTGTGAGAACAAACAGAAGCGGCACGAACTCTTCTTCTCGTACCGCGACTGTCATTCCCCAATAGTCGTTGTCGACGTTCTCTCCATTCTCCTTGCTTTTCCCCACCCTCCGCACCCTCTTCGCAGTACCGTTCACCAACGGCACCGCCCCTCGCATTCCTCCAGTGGTCCGGACTGTCTCCAAGCCTCATCAGAGACCTGCAAGGGTTTTTCCCTTCCCACCCTCGCAGCTCACTCGTCTCTTACAGGCATGCAGATCGGGATCGGGAAGCGCTGCGCGCTTTTGCCCAGATAGCTCTCTCGTGCTCTCATAGCTTAGACCTTTGTCCTTCGTAGTCGAAATTTATCTGAAATTTTCCGGCCAAATCACTAAGCTTCTACGTGAATCTCAAAGACGGTAAACTGTTCAAACGAGATGCGCGTTATGCGTGTTTGAAAGTCCGACTCATGTTGCCGCTTGACCAGTCGAAATCCAAATCCACCAAAGGTGATTAAATAGGTTTGCCTGGATCTTGCAAATATACTTCGAAATTTTATATGTCAAATAAATACTACGACGGATCCTCCACCAAATTTCCTCCTCCCTGCAGACCACTCCACAAGCATTTCTCTACACAGTACTGCTAGTTGATACATGTACATGCTCCCGGAAAACAATCGAATTCATGCTAGTTTCTGCGTCAGAGTATGCCACGAGTTTGGCGTGGTATTCCCGTACGCTCAGGATGAGGCGTGGTCCCAGCACAAACATCTGCACGACCAATAAAATTTGAAAAGCACTATTGAATATCTGAGTTCCAATAGCAAATGAATTCTACACAAATGATGAGCGGTGGTTACACGCAGATATCAGCAACAGGTCAGCGCACCAAGATTTCTGGAGAGATATAAGCAATCTGGAGGCAAGAGACGCCAAGAAAGCTAACATGTGTGGAACTTGAGCAGAAAAATATAACCGTATTCACATTACAAGCTCACCTTGCAAAATAAAGAACGTGAGATTGTATGAGCACTCTGAAACAGTCCCCAATGGTCGATCCTGTCGATGGGCCGAGTCGTCGCAGCTCACGGAAGTGTTTCACAGCAACCCGGACTGAAAGGCACAGTGCGAGGACCTCCCAAACAATGTTGAGCATCGAAGTGATCGAAAACAGAAGCTGCCCATCCCATCCATATTCATAACCGCACATATATGTGCCAGAGAGTATCGACTCCTCTGGTGTTTGTCCAATGAGCCATGTTCTTCAAGCCAACAAGTACAGCTTACCCCCTGGAGTATCGTTGAGTGCTATTGCCTCCATTACTCCGCAGGCGATGTTTACAGCGAGGAAAATAATAACAAGGAATATAAGCATCGTTCTAGATCTCTGATACATGGCATGCAACCGAGCAATCATGATCACTTGCATCGTGTGTCAGTCAGGTCCATATCACACAGGCATTGCACCTGGGTGACTTACCGCCCAAGATGGCATTCAAGGCCACAATTGTCCCACCGTATGCGTAGTACATGATAGTGCCTGAAACTCCCAATTAGTGAACGCCCTCGAACTAGGGTCAAAGACTCCGACTTACACCTATTGAGTCATTGTGTTGAGCCAAGTTCAATAGTTGGAATCTCACTCACCCCTACAAATGAGCGTATTAATCGGATGGGAATGAGATGGTTGCAGAATACTTACTGCATCTGTCAGCGATACTGATGGCATCGCGTCTGTGTCTCGCCGGTCAGAAAAATGGAACACAGCACATATGAGACATACTCAGAAGATTGACACTAGTTGTCAGAGATTAGCACAGTCCAAAGTTGTTGGTCTCGACACATACACAGAAAACGGTATTCCAATATAGCGTATCTAGAACGTTTTGGAGTCAGCACAAGTTGCCTACCACACTAAAGCATAACAAGAGGTACGAACAGTCAAATACAGCACAGTCATGAGAGACCAACGTTGTCTCTGTCGCGAATTCATGCTCTTAGTTTTTAGTTTCTTCTGACATGGGACTCTTGTCACTCACCCAGATGAGTTGAATCTATGGCACCATTCTCAGCGAGTTGGCTGCTGCGGCGATAACATCGACGTACCTCTTGTCCGAGTGTGAAGACTGGAAATATCATGAGAATATCAGCGATTTTCGAACACTGTCCTGCTCACCCCAATCGTATACCACCACGACAACTGCGGCAGCTGTGAAACCGCACGTCAACGTTGGATCTAGACATCGTGATGCGACAGACCTTGCCAATAGCTGGCTAAAATATTCAAATTGATTAACGACCACCAACTGGGATCATTTGAGACATAGGTCATGTTCGAGGGATGGATGTGAGCGAGTGGGGAAGGGTTAGTGGTGTATAACGACAGCGTTCGTGCTAGATATACCACGGTCCAGCGTTTCCATCGCCGAAATCAGTATAACGGAGATGTATATTTGATCACGCCCCAAGACCCTTGATCGATATCCGGTGAGACGGTTCGAAATCAAACAAAAGTAAGCGCTAAGCCCTGGATAATCAAAGTAGAATTTGATTTACAAACCAGTGTTACGCATGTGACTACTCGGACACCAGAAAAGTTCCAGTGGTTAGTGATATCGCAAACTTATTTCCAATGCCATTTTCGAGGTGTTGTGTATGAAACCATGTGGCCATATGTCGATCTAACACAGGTATAAGCGTGATGCGATCGCAATGAGCTTGTGTTCTCTTAGCTTCGCTGGTCAAGCTCGAGACTTGCTATCAGCTCCTCTTATTGCTTTCTGTAGCAAGGTCGCATTCTGTAGTATGGAAAAAGTCAGAGAACAAACACAACAGCACATTCTATTCGGTGGATCCGATCGTGCGCTTTTTGCACTGGCGGATACACTGGCATGCTGTGTGATTGATACCTTATACACAGGTGCAAACAATACAAATTCGAAGTAGTCACGCAACATGCATAGAATCTGGTCGATGCTAAAATTAAAACGTTAAGCGCTAGGCCTCTTCTTTTTGAGAAGCTCGGACGGTCACAGACTCACAGTACATAAATATTCCCACGCATATTCCCTCCTCCAGGTGACATTTCGACGCGGCACTTGGTACAAATCATGTTCAACTTGAACGACGTCACGGCCGTGTCAAGCCTCTTTCATGCCAGTTTAAATCTCAGATCTCCACTCCAACTGCCACACCTACGCCTTGTCAGTACTTTAGTGTCGTGTCACTCCCACATGCCACATCAAGCTCCCTACGCGTCAGTACTTCAACTGTCCGTCACAGCACAACCACAGAATCACTACTCAACGGAAATATTATCTGCTCTTTCAATAGGTCTCTTGAGTGATGCCCTTTATCCAACGACAACTCTGATACCACATCTTCGGAGTTTGCAGACGAATTGTCGCTCCCTCGCTACTGGCTAGAGAAATTGCACCCATGAAAACGTTGTTCTTCGCTCCCGGCTGAAGAATATGTGTCCATTAAACGTCGACATACTTTGCAGAGGGTCCGGAGAGGGAGGCCAAAGAAAATAATCATTGGCCGATGTCAGTGTAGCTAGTGGTATGTGTCCCTACGATGAATAAAATAACGAAGGAACGGTCATGAACCCGTGCAACTTGCATCCGAGACTGGGAGTCGAATGAAGAATATATTCTGGCGGGCGAGTGCTTCAGTGGCACGTCACATGCGCGTCACGCCGGGTTACGACCAAAATAAATAGTACGCCCCTCTGAGCTCTCTGACTCGGACCAACAAGTACCCTTAGGCTCGTGCACATCATACGTCGCAACACATCGCGCCCTGTTAGCTTCAGCTGGGTACAGGTAACTGTGCATTCATTCCCATATGATGAATCATGTTGACGGTGGCCAGATTTCCATTGAACGCCGATCAGTTTCACTTCGAGCTCATAGTTGAAGCACGCCCTATCAGATCCGTCACTAGGAGTACGAAGTATCTTCGCCAGAAGCTGACACAGAAGAAGGTCGCCAGAATGAACCTGCACGAGGAGCTTGTATTCGATCTGTGCCGCTTGCCAACCGAAGTCCTATGTCATATTTTTATCCACTGTCTTCCCCAAACCGACTGCACATCGCCCAACTCAGAATCACCTCCTCTGTTGCTCACCAGAATATGCCGACGCTGGAGAGAGGTCGCGGCGGACATGCCCTCCTTGTGGTGCAGACTGTCCATGAATATCGACCATGCTGATAGTAGGAACTGGCGACAGGCAGTCTTCGGCTATGACTTGTGGCTCAAGCGCACACAAGGATGCCCCCTCTCCTTAGAAATCATGTGCATCGAAAATGACACCACCGACCTACGAAACCTTTTGCAACCTTACATCTCTCAGATCCTCTCTCTCAAAGTCACGTTTGACAGGGCTGTCACACCCGAAATCTTACTAAATGACCTCCCGGCACTTCAGGAGCTTCAAGTCGTCATATATTGCGGTTTTAAAGATCGTGATACACTATCACCTATCTTGACATCCATCTCGCGACTCTTCACTCTGCGCAGTCTGAATCTTAACACGCTGGATTGCCACGGCATTAAGTGCCTATCTCACCTCAACTTGACAAACGTCGACCTCTTTACGAGCTCCCCAGCCAACATCATAAACTTACTCCAAACATTCCCCACCCTTTCCTCGTTAAAAATTGAGATGCTCGTCGACGGCGGCCTGCCTTGCGAGCCGCTCACCCACTCCAGCATTCAATTACTCTCCATCCAAGTCATCGTACGCGTTCTCTTTCATCCAGCACCAATATTGGTTCGCCTGTTCAATGCACTCACGCTTCCCAATTTGCGCGTGCTTCGTGTCGAAGGTGGATCCTGGCCTTGTGTTGAAGATTTAATTTCGTATTATAAGTATGTCGTCAAGTAGATAAACGCCCGCTAGATGTCGAGTTATGCGGCAATGCCTTTGTGTTTGTCATGCCGACATGCCCTAAATCATGGTAGACTATTCAAACCAGATGCGCGTTTGAACAGTTTACCATGATTTAGGGTACTACTCTTGTTTACTGGCAGTGTAGCTCTTTTCCACTTTGCAAAATGTCAAAATCCAAGCAGTCAACTCAAAAGTCCATCAAACACCTTGTCGCGAAAGTCCACAAGAAGGTCAATGGTGTTCACATTGGAGACTTGGACTTGAACAACGAAAACAACAGTTATGCATGTTTGAAAGTCCGACTCATATTACCGCTTGACCAGTCGAAATCCATCTCAAATCCACCAAAGATGATTTCATTTTCGAAACGCGGATTTCTTCTTGCACCTATGACCACAACTCAACCGGTACCACCTATGACGACCTTCCAGACGGGATAAAGTGACTTTAGCGCCTGGATTTGATCCTGTCGATTGGGGAAATCTCAACGCATCTGGCCAGACTTGCACACAAGCAAGTCGATGCATCGATGCGCATCCCACCATCTGTGTTCAAGTCACACAACAAAAAGGAGGATGCTTGGACAGCGATCAATAGAAATGTTTATAATATCACACCCTACCTCCATATCACCCGGGTGGCGAGAAGGAGCTCATCAGAGCATCGGGCGGAGATGGAACCAAGTTGCTTTGTGAGTACTCACATCTTCGTATGGGCTGCATCATTGAGCGGCATAATCTAGCCCTGACACGCGCGTGGGCGGACGCAGACTTCATGCACATGCTTGATGCATGCCTGGTCGAATTCCTAGTCTCCGAACCAAGCTCGTAATCGTTTGGACATGACGTTGGATATAATTGTTTAGCCTAGAACTGCATGCTCCTATCGATATTTATACCCGATCACTTGCTGTGCTGCAACGGGCGCCGCATAGGTGCTGTGTTGTACTTGACGCTCAAACCGGACCGCCACGAAATGGACATTTGAGGTGTGGCTGCTTGTACGTCCTTCTTTTGCTAAATTTAATACAAAGCCCTAACAGGTGACTGCAAGAGTTATCGTAATCGTAATATTAAGTGTCGCAACTCACTGCAAGACTACGGAAATCTACAATTGCCTTGATTATCGCGATGGACGCGTTGCCATACAGCCGAAGGCCCCTCTAGAACCGGGTCGTCCGTCGAAGAATGCAGAGAGGCACCGATCGTCATAATGTGGCTCAAAATACCTACTTTGATTGTATCATATCCAAAATGGCAAGTGAGTGATGTGGTTGCGCAATAAGGCCTTCGACTGGCACCACATTCCGCATTGAGTTTCCGGGAATGGTCGCATGATCTCTTTGCTCTAGTATAAAGTAGGAGAAATGTACAATGCAGAAGCTAACACGAGATTCTTCCCTTCTAAATCACCACAGCATGGCACCGGTAGCTATCAGCGAGGAAAGCGGCAATGCAACTATCGGCAGTGCTGCAGAGTTGAAGAAAGCTCAGGCCAATAAGCCAACAGAGGAGACTCAGTTATTCAATCCCTTCTTCTCGCCCACTGTGGAGACCGAGAACGACGACTACCAATATGCCAAGTACAAGGTGAGTGACGTTGGATTTCAATCTCACAGGCAAAGACTGATGCTTCACCAAGCCCCAATTCCCCGTTGTGGAGTGGGAACCGCTCACAGACATCGAGGTCACCGACCGCGGCCACTTTGCAGACCCAAGCAAGACAGCTCTCTTCAGTGCTGCACAGAAAGTGAAACACCTCACACCCACCATTGGCACAGAACTCGTTGGTATTGACCTCCGCCAGCTAACGAATCCACAAAAGGACGAACTGTGGGTACCACATCCTTGATTGCAACTATATTTTAATGAGTTTATCTTGCTAGTGCCCTTCTTGTTGCGGAGAGAGGCGTTGTTTGTGAGTGAACCTAAATAGGTCTCCCACTTGGTGAACTAACACATCCCTCGCGTAGTTTTCCGAGACCAGGAGCTCAGTATCCATGAGCAGCTCGACGTTGGTAGATACTTTGGACCCCTTCACAAGCATGCATCGACCCCCATCCCTCGAGAACCAGGACTTGAGGAGGTCCATGGTGAGTTGGATTGTTCAAAAAAACTGTGTGACTATTAATTTCATCCTTCAGTCGTTTACAATGACGCTGCACAACGTCCTGATGCTAGCGGGTTTTCGAAGATCGAGCTTTGGCACAGCGATGTGACATATGAGGTCCAACCGCCGAGTGCCACGTCTTTGAAGGTGATCACTGGTCCCGAGTATGGCGGTGACACGCTCTGGAGCTCTGGGTAAGTAGAAAAGGATGGTCCGTCGTGCAAAGAAGTCATCCTGATGATCCCATACAGTTATGCTCTTTATTCCTCCCTTAGTCCTGGCATGCAGGTATACCTCGAAGGTCTTACAGCTCTACACAGCGCTGTCCCACAAGCGGATGGATATCGCGCAGCTGGCCTCCACGTCCGTCGCGAACCTGTTGAAAGCGTACATCCTGTCGTTCGTGTCCACCCAGTAACTGGCTGGAAGAGTGTTTATGTCAACCCTGGCTTTACTCTTCGCATACTCGGCGTCCCCAAACCCGAATCCGACACTATTCTCAATTTCTTGTTCCACCAGATTGCCGATAATGTTGACTTCCACGTGCGCTTCCACTGGGAGCCGAATTCAGTCGCGTTCTGGGATAACAGGGTCGGTGCTGTTTCTACTCGACGAAGAGCGTAAAGTTTGACCAGATACTAGGTTGTGACTCACACCGCAACTTTCGATTTCTGGCCTCACACTCGCCATGCGCTCAGAGTTACGCCTCGTGGCGAGAAACCCGAGTCTGTTGAAGACTACGAGAGCCGGACAGGCAAAGTGGCAAAAGATCGCCAGATTGAGATCTGGAAGGAGCAGGGAGTTGAGATTCCACAGTCGAAGAAGGGCCTGTCTCGGGCACGCGGATATAATGACTGAGATGTTAGTCTATGCTTTGATTTGCAGAGTATGACAGAGGTTCAAGCCATTGTGGCTGACAGAGCGGGTGATCAGTAGCGCAACAAAAGCGTTTGATCCAGACAACCCTGACATAGAAACGTCGAGGCTCTGACTGATAGCAGATTTTCTGTAGTACCACTTGTGAGTACTTCAACATACCCTTCGCAACCAGTCTTTATTTAGGTTTGAGCACACCATCTACTGCTACGAAAGTCTACGGAGTTCCTGTCTCGAGAAACGCCCACTTTCAAGTTGGGTTCGAAAACGAAAACCTGAGGGCATAACGGGCGGCATCCCTATGCCATCGAGTTTAGTGTGTACTAAGTTCACCTTTATCTTTTCCAGGTGACCATAGTTGAGGCTTGTCGACGTCGTGATTGCTTAGTTGTCTCTCGTGAATCGTGACGTCGTGCTCATCGGTAACCACTCCTGGCAAAAGCAAAATCTCCGAAACTGAAGCCAGTGGTTCCAGTACACAACCCTCCCTAATCACCCATTTGTCTGCCTGTCGTGTCTGATGATTTACAGTCACCTGAAGGTTGGCCACTCCTTGTTGCTCGTCGTCAACGCTTTCTACCCGGAGCACGCTCGATCGGTTAGAACCACCAACTCAAACACTTATTTACAGTTTCATGTTCGTTCCTCATTCATTTTTACTTGCTAAGCGTTGAGGAAAGTGAGGACAACGCGTGTGGACTCCCACAAAGTCGTAAGTTTTGGATCGATTCTACAGGTTTTCTGGTTATATAAAATGCTCCCCGGTTCAAGATGTGGCGGGACAGGACCGTCTATCACGAATTTACTTATCGGGAAGCCAAGCCATTGATCAATCCATTGCATAGAGCGTAATGAAAAATGAAAAGATGGCATTGACGAGAATTACGCTACACCAACATAACAAACCGTAGTGTGTAAAATGCTCTGCAGATGCACGGGGTAGTACATAGTGCTAGTGAAAATTATAAGTTGTCGAGATCACCGATGACTGGAACTTTCCTGATGAAGTTGAAGTAGTCACGTGGGTAACACTGGTTCGGAAATGAAATCTTACTCTGATCCGATCAGGGGATTCCACATGCTTTTTGCTTCATTTTGCACTTAGGTTGTTAAGGGTCTTGAGGCGCAATCAAATATCCGCCACCATCATGCTGATTTTGGTGATACGACGGCCAAATGGTAGTATATCTAGCACGAACGCTATCGTCATACACCACTGATATTCCCCACTCGTTCAGCCATCCCTCGAACATGACCTTCATCTCAAATGATCCCAGTTGGTGGTTGTATATCAATTTGGATATTTTTGTCAGCTATTGGGCAGGTTTGTCGCATCAAGATGTCCAAATCTAAAGTTGACTTGCGTTTCACAGTTGCCGCCGGCGTCGTGGTGGTATATGATTGGGGTGAGCAGGACAGTGTTCGAAATTCACTAATATTTTCATGATATTTCCAGTCTTAACACTCGGACAAGAGGTACGTCGATATTATCGCCGGAGCAGCCAGCTCACTGAGAATGGTGTCATAGATTGAACTCATCTGGGTGAGTGACAACTTGACAAGAGTCCCATATCGGAAGAAAACAAGACCATTCAACGAATCCGCGACAGAGACAACGCTGGTCTCTCATGACTATATTGTATTTAATTGTTCGTACTCGTGTTGTGATTTAGCGTGTGGGCAACTTGTGCTGACTCCAAAATGTTCTAGATACGCTATATTGGAATACCGTATTCTGTGTATGTATCGAGATCAACAACTTTGCCTTGTGCTAATAGCTCATCTCTGACAACTAGTGTCAATCTTCTGCGTATGTCTCATATGCGCTGAATTCAATTCTCTGACCGGCGAGACACAGAAACTATGCGATCGGTATCGCTGACAGATGCAGTAAGTATTCTGCAACTATCTCATTCCTATCCAATCAATACACTCATATGTAGGGGTGAGTGAGATTCCGACCATTGAACTTGGCTCAACATAATGACTCAATAGGTGTAAGTCGGAGTCTTTGATACTAGTGCGAGGACGTTCACTAATTGCGAGTTTTTAGGCACTATCACGGACTATGCAGTGAATGGCACAAATGTGGCGTTGACTGCCATGTTGGGCGGTAAGTTACCCAGGTGCAATACCTCTGTGATATTGACCTGACTGACACACGATGCAAGTCATCATGATTGCTCGGTTGTATGCCATGTATCAGGGATCTAGAAAGATGCTCATGTTCCTTATTATTATCTTCCTGGCTGTAAACATCGCCTGCGTAGTAATCACGGCGATAGGACTCAACGATGCTGTAGCAGGTAAGTTTTACTTGTTGACTTGATGAACACAGCTCATTGGACAAACACCAGAGGAGCTGATATTCTCTGGCACATATATGTGCGGTTATGTATCTGAAGGGAACGACCAGCTTCTTATTTCGATTGTTTGGATCCTCAACACTGTTTGGGAGGTCCTCGCACTGTGCCTTTCAGTCTGGGTTGCTGTGAAACACTTCCGTGAGCTGCGACGACTCGACCCATCGACAGGATCGACCATCGGGGACTGTTTCAGAGTGCTGATACAATCTCACGTTCTTTATTTTGCAAGGTAAGCTCGTGATGTGAATGCGGTTATATTTTTTGCTCAAGTTCCGCATATGTTAGCTTTGTTAGTGTCTCTTGCCTCCAGCTTGCTGATCTTTCTCCAGAAATCGCGGTGCGCCGATCTGTCGCCAACATCTGCGTGTAACCACCGCTCATTAGTTCTATAGAATTCTAATTCTATTGGAGTTTCGATACTCGGTGGTACTGTTCAAATTTTATTGGTCGTGCAGATGTTTGTGCTGGGACCACGCCTCATCCTGAGCGTTCGAGAATACAACGCCAAACTCGTGGAAGACTCTGACGCAGAAACTAGCATGAATTCGATTGTTTTCCAGGAACGTGTACATGTATCGACTAGCAATACTGTGTAGGGAAATGCTTGCTGAGTGGTCTGCAGGGAGGAGAAATTTGGTAGGATCCGTTATGGTATTTATTTAACATATTGTGTTTCGAAGTATATTTGAAAGATCTAGGCAATTGTAAAGCTATTTATTGTTGTATCACTACTGGAACGAAGCACCCGCGCTTCACAAAGTCATCCTCTCAGAATGACGACAAATACACTGGTGAGTGAGATAATTGATGAAGTTTGCTGCCGTGAGGCTCACAGTCCGACGCATTCCACAAAGTCGAGCAAGACCTGGAAAAAAACAGCGTATTGGCAGCCTTACTACATAGTCAGCATTCAAAAAAGCAAAGGCTCCAACAGTGTCTGATTTACAGAGTGACGAAAATGGGAATTCTAATAGTACAACTACATAAACTCCGCTCACTGGCACGTTCGGCAATGTTCGGCATCAACAGCGTCGTGACACTAGTAAGTACTCTTGTCATAAACTTCAACATTTGGCTGCGAGTCGAGATCTGAGACCTCGCGTGCACCTCTTTCATATTATGTCTGGTGCGCGAATGGAAACACTTGACGGTATTATTTATTCATCATTGTGAGCATTGATTCATCGCTGTGCTTTGGTATTGGCACGGGTAAGTATATCGTAGATTCATGTGTCCAACACTCGATGTCACTGATCTGCCCCAACACAGGATGGACCGACACTGGAATTCCAGGGCCAAGACAGCCACTGCAACAGTCGAGCTTCTCAAACGACAAAATATCAACATAAAACCCCATGGGAAACACCTAACAATGTCTGTGCATTTGAAGCGCTTGGAGAACCACAAAAAGGGTGGATGTACGGTGCAACAACATTTTTATGGCAAGTCTTCTAGGTTATAACGATTGCATCGTCCAGGCTGAGTATTTCCATGCGAAGATAGAGGATGGGATGGTTACCGTGCGCTTCATCGCGTGAAGATGTGGTGCTATCTGCATGTCACGACATGTGACTGTTTTGTATTTGTATCTTTGGCACTCTGTGCAGGTGGAATAAGGATTCTAAAGCGACGATGTGTCTGTACGATGGCGATGCATGTGCAAGCATCCGACTATGGATGCGACTTTCGTAGTCTGCCCATGAATTTGCTGAGCATGATGAAGGTCAGACAATGGCGTTCTTTGCTCATCTGATGGACCTCGCTTCTCGCTCGCAACCTTTACCGGTTCCTGCTCAAGTCGGCACTGCAAAACATCACTGAAATACAATGGCCACCGACCGAGGCTGTACAATCAGAAATCGGGCTTTTTGGCCTGTTACAGGCTTCTCGTCTCACATGTGCGATTTCTCTTTCGACCTGACATGTATGGCGTATTATATTTAGCAGGTATCAATCACACAGTATGAGTCACGATGTATCCGCCAGTGTAATGAATCACTGTCGCATCAAGCGCACGATCGGATCCACCAAATATGGTGAGCTGTTGTGTTTCTTCTCTGACTTTTGCCGTATGACAGAATGCGACCCTGTTACAGAAAGCAATCAGGGGAGCTGATAGCAAGTCTCGAGCTTGGCCAGCGAAGCTAAGAGAACACAGATCCTCATTGCGATCACATCACGGTTAGATCGATGGCCACATGGTTTCATACAGAACACCTCGACAATATGGCATTGGAAATAAGTTTGTCATGTTACTGACCACTGGAATTGTTTTGGTGTCCAAGTAGTCGCATGCGTACGTAATACTGGTTTGTAAATCAAATTCTACTTTGATTATCCAGGGCAAATCCAGGGCTTCTTTTTGTTTGATTTCGAACCGTTTCACCCGATCAATTGAGGGTCTTGGGGCGGGATCAAATGTACATCTCCATTATGTTGATTTTGGCGACGAAAATGCGAAACGGTGGTATATCTAGCACGAACGCTGTCGTTATACACCACTAACCTTCCCCACTCGCCCACATACATCCCTCGAACATGACCTACGTCTCAAATGATCCAAGTTGGTGGCCGACAATCAATTTCAATATTTTTGACAGCCATTGGGCAGGTTTGTCACACCAGGATGTCTAGATCTCACGTTGACATGCAGTTTCGCAGTTGCCGCGGGTGTCGTGGTGGTATACGATTGGGGTAAGCAGGATAGCGTTCGAAAATCGCTGATATTCTCATGATATTTCCAGTCTTAACACTCGGACAAGAGGTACGTCTATGTTATCGCCGGAGCAGTCAACTCGCTAAGAATGGTGTCATAGATTGAACTCATCTGGGTGAGTGACAAGAGTCCCATATCGGAGGAAAACAAGAGCATGCAATGAATTCGCGACAGAGACAACGCTGGTCTCTCATGACTGTGTTGTATTTGATTGTTCGTACTCGTGTTGTGCTTTAGCATGTGGGCAACTTGTGCTGACTCTAAAATGTTCTAGATACGCTATGTTGGAATACCGTTTTCTGCGTATGTGTCGAGACCAACAACTTTGCACTGTACTAATAGCTCATCTCTGACAACTAGTGTCAATCTTCTGGGTATGTCTCATATGCGCTGTATTTCATTTTCTGACTGGTGAGACATAGAAACTATGCCATCGGTATCGCTGACAGATGCAGTAAGTATTCTGCAACCATCTCATTCTCATCCAATCAATACACTCATATGTAGGGGTGAGTGAGATTCCAACCATTGAACTGGGCTCAACATAATAACTCAATAGGTGTAAGTCTGAGTCTTTGACACTAGTGCGAGGGCGTTCGCTAATTGCGAGTTTTTAGGCGCTGTCACGGACTATGCAATGGGTAGCACAAATGTGGCCTTGACTGCCATGCTGGGCGGTAAGTTGCCCAGCTGTAATACCTCTGTGATATTGACCTGACTGACACACGATGCAAGTCATCATGATTGCTCGGCTGTATGCCATGTATCAGGGATCTAGAAAGATGCTTATGTTCCTTGTTATTATCTTCCTGGCTGTAAACATCGCCTGTGGAGTGATCACGGCAATATCACTCAACGATACTGTAATTGGTAAGCTTTACTTGTTGACTTGAAGGTCAAGGCTCATTAGGCGCACACCAGAGGAGGCGATACTCTCTGGCACATATATGTGCGGTTATGTATCTGAAGGGAACGACCAGCTTCTTATTTCGATTGTTTGGATCCTCAACACTGTTTGGGAGGTCCTCGCACTGTGCCTTTCACTCTGGATTGCTGTGAAACACTTCCGTGAGCTGCGACGACTCGGCCCATCGAAAGGATCGACTATCAGGGACTGTTTCAGAGTGCTGATACAATCTCACGTTCTTTATTTTGCAAGGTGAGCTTGTAATGTGATTGCGGTTATATCTTCTGCTCAAGTTCCGCACATGTTAGCTTTGTTGGTGTCTCTTGCCTCCAGCTTGCTATTCTCTCTCCAACAATCTCGGTGAGCTGACCTGTTGCTGACATCTGCGTGTAACTACTGCTCATCATTTCTGTAGAATTCGGATTCTATTGGAGTTCTGATACTCTATGGCGTTCTTGAAATTTTATTGATCGTGCAGACGTTTGTGCTGGGACCACGCCTCATCCTGAGCGTTCGAGAACACAACGCCAAACTCGTGGAATACTCTGACGCAGAAACTAGCATGAATTCGATTGTTTTCCAGGAACGTGTACATGTATCAACTGGCAGTACTGTGTAGGGAAATGCTTGCCGAGTGGTCTGCAGGGGGGAGAAATTTGGTAGGATCCGTTATGGTATTTATTTAACATATTGTGTTTCGAAGTATATTTGAAAGATTTAGGCAAAGCTATTTATTGTTGTATTACTGCTGGAACCAAGCACCCGCGCTTCATGAAGTCATCTTCTCAGATCAATGACGACAAAGACAGCCGCCGGGGCATTGTTGACTCAGAGATTCAGAGCATGGCTTTGGCAGCAACAAGACCTGGAAAAATCAGTGTATTGGCAGCCTTGCATTCAAAGTTGATTCAAAGGCTCCAACAGTTTCTGATGGACAGAGTGACGAAAATGTGAATAGTACAACTACATTATTATAAACTCCGCTCACTGGCAAGTTCGGCAACGTTCGGCATCAACTGTACTGCAACACCGTCTGTATCTTAAGCTTTATCGATAGACTCACATATGGTACCATATTCCGGTATCAATGCAAATACTTTATGACGTGACGAACGCATTTTTTAGAACTTCTAGAATGTTGAACTTTAAATCAAGTAAGTGCAGAACTTCGTCATGTAAATTATGTTCAAATAAGTTTGGAATTGCAGAATCACGCGCTTCTCAGTGACACTAATACTATTGATGGTTTCTGTTCAACAGGTTCTGCAGTAAAATCCCACAGGCCATTTCCTACCGCCAGACTTCTGCTGCAACTACTTATTAACCGACACTCATTTCCTGCATAGATGAACTTCATGGAACTCGAATGTTCTAAAGAAGTCATCCTGATGATCACGTACAGTTATGCTCTTTATTCCTCCCTCAGTCCAGGCATGCAGGTATACCTCGAGGGTCTTACAGCTCTGCACAGCGCCGTCACGCAAGCGGATGGATATCGCGCAGCTGGCCTCCACGTCCGTCGCGAACCTGTCGAAAGCGTACATCCTGTCGTTCGTGTCCACCCAGCAACTGGCTGGAAGAGCGTTCATGTCAACCCTGGCTTTACTCTTCGCATACTCGGCGTCCCCAAGCCCGAATCCGACACCATTCTCAATTTCTTGTTCCACCAGATCGCCGATAATGTTGACTTCCACGTGCGTTTCCAATGGGAGCCGAATTCAGTCGCGTTCTGGGATGACAGGGTCAGTGCTGTTTCTACTCGACGAAGAGCGTAAAGTTTTGAGCAGATACTAGATTGTGACTCACACCGCAACTTTCGATTTCTGGCCTCACTCGCCCTGCGCTCAGAGTTACGCCTCGTGGCGAGAAACCCGAGTCTGTTGAAGACTACGAGAGCCGGACAGGCAAAGTGGCAAAAGATCGCCAGATTGAGATCTGGAAGGAGTAGGGAATCGAGATTCCACAATCGAAGAAGGGTCTGTCTCGGGCACGCGGATATAATGACTGAGATTTTAGTCTATGCTTTGATTTGCAGAGTATGACGGAAGTTCAAGCCACTGTGGCTACTGGACAGTGCGGATGATCAGTAGCGCAGCAAAAGCGTTTGATCCAGACAACCCTGACATAGAAACGTCGAGGCTCTGACTGATAGCAGATTTTCTGTAGTACCACTTGTGAGTACTTCAACATACCCTTCGCAACCAGTCTTTATTTAGGTTTGAGCACACCATCTGCTGCTACGAAAGTCTGCGGAGTTCCTGTCTCGAGAAACGCCTACTTTCAAGTTGGGTTCGAAACCTGAATGCATAGTGGGCGGCAGCCCTGCGCTATCGAGTTCATTGCGTACTAGCCTCGCCTTGATCTCTGACATGGACAGGTTACCTCACTCGATGTCGTGCTCATCGGCAACTCCAGGCAAAAGCAAAAACCTCCTAACCTGAAGCCAGTGGTTTCAGCACACAACCCTCCTCCTGATAACCCATTTGTCTGCTGGTTGTGTCTGATAATTTGCAGTCACCCAAAGGTGGGCCACTCCTTGTTGCCGGTCGTCAACACCCAGAGGATACTCGATCGGTTAGAATCACCAACTTAACCACTTATTTACAGTTTCGTGTTCGTTAACAAAATCGGCGATCTAATTCTCAATGACATACTTTGGTTGTTCCTAGTTCATGTTGTCGTCCTAATGCGCGTCTTCCAGGATTTGTATCATCAACCATGGCTTATCTAGCCCGGCATTTATTCCAGGTTCATCCATCGTGGTTCTATTCAGTAGCGCTTAAGCGCTTAAGCTTTATTGATTATCGATCACGCGGGTTGTTCATAATCGAACACGTATCCCAATCTCGCCATCGATGGACCTCGCGTCTCTATCGATAGTACCCGCAGAAACACCCGTTCTCCGGAATTTTATTTTCCTCATTCTGCATGCGATATTTATGTAAATATATCACCGATCACCAGCCCTCAAGGCCTCACCCTCATCAATCATTGGTCGTTGCAACAGCTCAAGCACCCACGTGCGAGACATCACGCTAGTGACCGGCACCCTCACCACCCTTCAACGTTCCTGCAAAATATCTTCTGATTTTCCCGTTTCTCGCATTCTATCAGATATATATATACTTCTCATTTGCTTGCCCTGGCAGCGACTGTGGTCCATGTCAATAGGGGTATGTATACATCATGATGTCTGTATCTCGTTTGGTGCTTTACTCTGATAGTCATGCTCAGCTAGGGCTCCAACAGAATATCGTGGTCGATCCCTCATTAGTAGTTTGATAGGTACACCTGAGGCCTTCTGACATTTGATTCTCCACTCCCCACTCAGCAGACCCCATATTCTTGTCATGCTCATTCGCGAGAGAGACGTACAGTCGAGCCATCAGTATACGTGATTCCTTCATTTCATTCTCCTTGGCCCATCACATGGAGGAAATCGCATCTGAGCATTAATGGGTTATCAGCCATCTGGCTTCACGATTCGGAGTAGCTATATGTCCAGACAGTGGAACACCAACGCGCAGAATTAGCTGTCAAGGCACTTTCACTGATTCTTGTTGTATCTTAACATCGGCCATCAAGCTTAAGGACCAGTTTGGTTGTTAGACGTTCCGGGTGATTTCACCTTACCACTTAGTTCAAGCGCGGGTGCTTCGTTCCAGTAGTGATACAACAAGAAATAGCTTTGCCTAGACCTTTCAAATGTACTATATGTTAAATAAATACCACGACAGATCCTCTACCAAATTTGTCCTCCCTGCAGACCAGTCGGCAAGCATTTCCCTACACAGTACTGCTAGTTGATACATGTACACGGTCCTGGAAAACAATCGAATTCATGCTAGTTTCTGCGTCAGAGTATTCCACGAGTTTGGCGTTGTATTCTCGAATGCTAAGGATGAGGCATGGTCCTAGCACAAACATCTGCACGGCCGATAAAATTTGAAGAGTACCTGCGAGTATCAGAATTCCAATAGGATTTGAATTCTACAGAAATAATGAGCAGTGGTCGCACGCAGATATCAGCAACAGGTCAGCTCACCGAGATTGGAGAGAGAAAAGTAAGCTGGAGGCAAGAGACACCAACAAAGCTAACATGTGCAGAAATCGCTTCTTGGACCTACACCAAGTGGCACCCCGACCAGGACCCCGAAAAAACCTAGTCCACATAGCGCTCAACAGCGTTACCGACGCCAAAAGCGTCAACCACTGACCTTCTCTCTCTTATAAAACTTTATTAAAAAACCTAATCATCCTCTATTGGATACTTTTCACACAGAAATGCCTGGGGACAACTCGACTGACGACTCACCCGCCCAAAATCAAATAAGATCAAGCCAAAGGAAGAAAGATCAATACCTCCGCCCTACTAACAGATCCATTCCTGATATACTAGACAACCCACAGAACCCATCAAATGTAATAGACGCGGCCACAGCCAGAATCGAGCTGACCAGTCGAGGCATGATGATACCCGTATCCGGAGCCTCAATCGAATCCCTAATCGAATCCCTTCTCGAATTCACGCTTCAAGCCCCAGGACTCACAAGACTGCACGTCGACATTATACGTGCAATCGCAATTATGCTGGACCAAGCAGATTACACCGCGAAAGCTCAACGCATCGCAAAAGAAACCACACTTCAAATGTCAGGCATGTTTGACAGAATGGAAAAGCTAATAGACAGACAGGAAATCATCATCTCCTCGAGCAATTCAACGTCGAGCAACATGGCCAACCCTAAAGATTCATCTGTAGCGGATCAAGTCGCGGCAGTCATAATCCCTCAAATGGAAAAGGTAATAACATTCACGAAGACGCTAACAGATACCCTAGACCAAGCTGAAGAAAACCAACGCTCACTATCAAGAGAACGCGAAGAAAAAGAACAAGACCTCAAAACATCAGCAGAAAGAATCGAGGAAGCCGCGGACGCTTTCTACCACTCAGCCGAAGACTGCCAAAACGCCATGAAACTACTAACCCCATCTCTCGACTCAGCTCAAAACAAGATCAACTCGCTATCTGTCCAATTACAATCCCAGCCGGAAATCCACCCATCGATGGCGAATGGAACACCCACGTTCAGCGATGCCGTACGTTCATTCACCCCTGGACCAGCAGACCAAGCACTAGCCAGAGCAGCGATCAGAGCACGCCAAATCCTTATAGACCCAACACCAGGTAATCATATATTCCCAGTTAATGTCACTCACACAGAAATAGTCGACACTTTGCGAAATGCACTGAAGTTGGTAAAACCAGACGACATTGCGAACGCGGACATCAAGGCAGTCATGCAACTGAAAAACGGAGGTATCATCATGGAGCTAAACACGGAAGAGTCAGCCAAATGGATGCGCACCGCAGAGGCCAGAATGAAACTGACCACAGCACTCAAGACCCCAATCAACTTCCGCGACCAAACATATGCCCTAATAATCCAATATCTCTCTACCAGTCTCCATACCGACAGACCTCAATTCCTAAGGCTCGTGGAAGAAGAAAACTCGCTCAAGATCAACAGCTTAGCCTCGATACGTTGGATCAAAGCCCCCGAACGCCGACCCCCAGGTCAACTCACCGCATTCGCTATGCTCCAGATCTCGGATCCTTCCACAGCCAACCAACTCCTCAAAGACGGGCTCTACATCAACAGGGAGAAACTACGAGTTCGCAAAGACCGACGAGAACCTATCCGATGCACTAAATGCCAACACTTCGGACACATGGCCAAGAACTGCCAAGCGACACAAGACTCTTGCGGGACATGCGGAAAAGAACATCGTACCTCGGAATGCACAGGGAACTCAAACCAAGACCATTGGTGCACTAACTGCCGCAGCAATAACCATGCCAGTTGGAGCAGGGAATGCCCAACATTCGGAAAACAATGTCAGCTATTGGACGACAGGTACCCCGAGAACACAATGCCGTATTTCCCCACCTCGGAACCCTGGACCCAAGTCATGCTACCACCGAAAGCTGCCCCATACCAGCGACAATCCACGGCAGACCACTCCCAATCGAGAATGCTTCGTCAAACCACATTGAACTCACTACCAAGACAATATCCAGCTAACGATCACCCTCCTCCTCGCACATCACCACACCAACCGCGTCCCCAACCCATCAATCGAACCCAATTCCGACCCTTGACCCAGACTCAGTACTGACAAGCCAGCGTTGACCGAACTCGACTAACAACAGCCCCATCACCCAACCGTTTCTCATCTTTACCTATTGACGATACTAACCCACCCTCCTCTCCAACAGCAGAAACCCCCGCGACCCTAGTCCTATGTTAGAACAACAAGATGATCTCGTTAGGTTAAGAATATGGCAACAGAATCTCAATAAATCCAGAACGGCTCAAGAATCACTCCTCAATGGCCCAACAGCAAAGCATTGGGACATATTAGCATTGCAAGAACCCTGCTCGAACAAACTACGCAACACGAAATCGACACGCCAATGGCACTCCGTCTACCCAACTCAGCACTTCACCCACCCACTCCAGAGGACCCGCGCGGTCACACTTATCAGTGTAGCCCTAGACACGAACGGATGGAAGCAACTCGCGTTCCCCTCATCAGATGTAATCATAATCCAATTTTCAGGTCCTTTCGGCAAATGCACAATCTTCAATATTTACAATGACGGTGAACGGCAAGACACACTAATGGCACTCAACACGTATATGGAAGCTAACATAGCGATCATCCGCCCAACAGTGGACGATCACATTATCTGGCTAGGCGACTTCAACCGACATCATCCGTTATGGGAGGAAGAAAGGAATCATCATTTATTTAACTACGAAGCTGTGCAACCGTTATTGGACTTAATGGCTGACTACGGTTTAGATCAGGCCCTACCCAGAGGAATGCCAACCCTGCAATCTACGAGCACCGGAAATTGGACTCGCCCAGATAATGTCCTTTGTACTGACCACACTCTAGAAACATTCACGATCTGCAAGACCAACCCCGCACTGAGAGGCCCGAAGACCGACCATGTACCTATTCAAAGCGTACTCGAACTCTCAGTCCCAAGAGTTACCAAGGACCCTATACGAAACTACCGAGAAACGGATTGGCAGGAATTCAACACCGCTCTCGAAACTCACCTTACCCGCCTACCAGAACCACGCCCTTGGGTAACAGAGGACGAATTCCAACAAGCTGCGAGAAGTTTGGCGAAGGCACTGGACGACACGATAATGGAGAAGGTACCCTTATCCAAAC